CATCGACTTTTGTCGGCGTAGGGAAATAATTGATTAAATCTCCGGAGGAAAAATGTGATCCTTTTATTCGCGAATTTTAATAGGTTGAAGGCGCCTTTCATTATCAACGGACCTGAACCAATGGTAGGTAAGGTCTTTCGAATTGTAAATCGTGAATTTAACGCGATATGGTGGCTTTATTAGTACTTAAAAGTATGCGGGACCTTCAACAGTAATTGTCTCTATTACTTCGGTTTCACCCTAGGGGAAATCCACCATCTGAGAAGTTGTCGTTCGAGCTATCACGCTTCCATCCCTCCTCGTACTCAGCGATTGCTCTATTCTCCTGCCTTGAACTGTAAATTCAAGAATTATATCCCATTCTAATCTATATCGGCTCTGCCTTATTAGTCATTTTATCTTTGGCAATTGGGTAGGGGTTATACCAGCTCTAATGTAAGCCATTCAAGGACATATCTTTGAAGACAAAGTGTAAAGCGTATGGACGTGCTTATTTCAAATTAGATCCACTGGACGTAGGGGATTCTCTGCTGTTTAAAGGTGGGTTGAAGTCATCTTCTTAAAGTAATGTAGGCGATAGCTGTGTTTAAGAAGAATTCTTTAAGATGAAGCTAGAAACCCCTATCTATTTATTTGCTAATGCTATACGTCTCTAGACCCTTGGTTAGGCTTGTGAAACATAAGTTAGGTGTATTAATCTACCCGCTATAATTGGCCAAGTCCGATGTGATTAATAGTGACCGGTTACAGCTACTAGTGAGTGAAACTTATTTAAAACTCCACACCTTGTATATTATTCTATTTATCGGGATTATTCTGATAGTGATGAATAAAGTGATTTGAAATCTCTAGCTACGTAATGCTGTACTTGTCACTGAGTACGGGCATTTACTGTTGGCCCTTATAGACGAGGGTTAAAGAATAACTGAACGAGTTCTGTAATATGTCTAATCACTGATATCACGTCAAAACTTTGTAGACAAAAACATTCGTAGGATCTGTGCGGTGTAAATGACTAACGCCTGGAGATCGAGCGTTTCTGCCCGACACGCTGACTATTTTATAGCTGATGAGTACCTCGCTCTATTCATCGTAAAATAATTGAGGGTCCAAAGCATTCTCTACGTTTAAACCTATCCTGAGACTGGTTGAGGATCCTAAGGTAGAAAGCTTGTTACCCCCTTCACTAATACCGAGTAGAGAAGACATATAAAAGCGTAACAGCCTAGGCTCGATACCTGCACGATCCGATCGGTCTCTCCATGTGATCTTTTGATAAGTAGTTAGTGAGTGAAAATTTTTAACATACTTCCTCACTTACTATATCGTTCTGCCTCTAGAATAGAAACTTGTTTAACTCTTTGTCCAACTGCCTGATAGCTTTGCGCCCCGGAGTATCGGATTTTTGACCGTCGGAAGTAATCATGGAGATTTCTAACGGCTTGATAGCTTTGCATTCCGGAGTCTCGGGTTTTTGACCGTCGGAACTAATCATGGAGATATCCAACCTCGTAGCTTCGCGATCCTGAGTTCTGCGTAGGCCATTATATCTAGCTGGCTTTCCGTTAAGCTCATCACTTTTTCCTTCTTTCTGTGTCGGAGGCTGCTACGATTGTTTATCGGTTCTATGCCTATCAGACTTATGATCGGGAAAACCAATAATAGAAAATCAGACCTATGAAAATGGTGCCAACAATTTTGTGCGCCTTTTCCTAAAGCCTCACTGATTTCCTTATAACTTAAGCCTTGACCACGCATCTGCAGAAGAGATTGCGTTTCTTCGGGGGTCTAGGTGGAAGGCCGAGGCATCGCGTACGATATTGATATCGACGTGGTCATTTTAAGGCGTTAAATAGAGAGGACCCGAGATATTTATATAATACTAGTAATTATTAGCGGCCACGGCAGAGCTTAAGTGCCTCGGAATCCCCGAACGTATTGTTAACGCTTTAGTGGTGCTTGCTAATTTAGTGCATAATGCCCAAAAATTCCACAGAGCATGATTCCATCTATATTACACACAGACACAATGGCTCCTAAATTATCACATGATTTGGTAGCTGCAATCTTTATTGTAAATGATTGTGTATTTCAGTATGTATAATACAGATTCCTATCACAACTTAGAATCAGAAATTTATCTCTTTCGAGACCGTATTTCCTCTTTACATAGTACCACTCCTCGTTTCGCAGAAGAGCCTTCGCACCCTCTATCTTGTATTGAAGTTCTAGCAAGACGAACTCGGATAACGCTTTACCATTAATAAAGGAACCGCCATAAACGTAGCCTTTCGAGGAATCGTTGTATCTGATATAGAACCTCATAAAGACGGTTTCTAGAGTCTACACTATGCCCTCGTATCTCTCGAATTCACTAATATCGCTGAGGACTGCCACATTCAAGATTGTCCCCTGCGGCTGTGTCATTGGTCTGTATTGTTAACAAAAGTCCACCTTGAATTACCTGACAATAACTTATAAGATTAATCTTCTAAATTTCGCTTCCTGCACTAGGTCCAATACGATTGTAATAACCAATCGGCTCGCTCTGGACCTTTAAATCACTTATATATTGCCTTGGTGGAAGCTTAAGTTGGATTGGTGTAGAGAATGGTTCTGGCACAGTGATGAACATATCGGTGAGATGCCAAATAAAGGGGAAACTACCGTGAATCAATAGACCAGAAGTAGGAGCTCCATCACTCTTGGGCTGCAGACAGTTTGACGATGCTATAACCTCCCTTAAGTTGGGAAGTATCCTAGGTTTATATATCGCAACCTTAGTATATATATACGAGGTCGCATTATCGGAGCCTGCTGGTTCGGGATTTCTTTCTGTTTCTTCCTTAAGGTTCCAAGAAGAAATGGAATCATTTCGTAGGGGCATCAATGACTGGACCCACCCCGGAAGTAGCGATCGGAGCGAGATGGCGGAGAAGCAACTCATGTTGGGCCTTTGAAAATTGCTTTGTATTTAGGCGAGAATAGATAATAAATTGATTCTAAGTATAAAGACCGAAGTCAGAATGCTACAGTAATATTATATTTACTCTGCATGCTAGAATTCATCCCAACAGAATTCCGTTTCCGACGCTGAGTACTGATAATTGAGTGGAACAAAGAAAATTGATGTCTAGGTCATCTGTTCCATATATTCTCGCTATACCTAAAGCTGTAGATATCTTGTTTCAAAAAAAAAAAAAAAAAGGTCCTCTTACCTGTCTAGATAGCATCTACGTGTTGTTATGAAATGATAACTGAACGGGCGGTCAAATATCAATCAGATATCCTTATAAACACTCAATTGACATTAATAGAAGACGCATAAGTAACATCCGATTGCCTTTGATCTTCACGATCTTCAAAGCCTTATGAAATGGCCAATGTCAGGAGTGGTTCACCATAGAATTGATATAGCACTCGTGAACTTGCCGGCCACTTTTTGTGTGCGCTCTCTATAGTAGCCAGGCATCGGGTTAGGGTGGTAAAAAAATTGAAGTATATATAAAGCATTTCCGGCCACGTATATCATATCAAAATCTTCCAAACAAAACCTAGCTGTCCAGAGCATCAGACCTAATGTCTCGTCGTAAAAAGGATTAAGGCCATCCAAAATTGCCGTTGAGTTGGAAGCATGTGTCCCTAGGGGTAGAAGTTGCTGCATTTCATAGAAAATATAGACTTCCTGTTTCATCGAACTTATAAGCCGAGTGTTATGGCCCTGCTGGGAGTTTGCGAAGGATTCATCTGAGATCCTATCCTATAAGGCAGAGTATAGGCTCCTCCCTAGCGGGCGACTATGAGCCCAAAGGGGATATAGTTCCATGATTGTGGTATATATTTGCTTAGGAGGGAAAAATATTATGTGAGAAGGTAGTTGGAATTTTGCTTGGTATGCCCGTGTAATAGGTTCCTGAATGGGACATGCGTATGCGAAAGACGTCTCATCGACTCTGATAACTACTTCAAATTTTAGTGACTCCTTCATATAAGACTGAGTACTTTACTCACCCTGCTGTAGACCGGTCAAATAATTACGCAGGTCAAGCTTATTCATTGTGGATTGGGAACAAACACCGATGCCGTAACCTCTCCTAAGTTAGGAAGTATCCTAGGGTTATAAATCGCAACTTTAGTACGTGTATATGAGGTTGTAGTATCGGAGGCCGCTAGTTCGGGATTTCTTTCTATCTCTTCCTTAAGGTTCTAAGAAGAAATGGAATGATTTCGTAGGGGTATCAACAACTAGACCTACCCTGGAAGTAGCGATCGGAGCGAGATTCCAGAGAAGTAACTTATAGTGGGCTTTTAAAAATTGCTTTGTACTCAGGCGAGAATGAAATGGAGTTGATAATGATAGGTTATATATTAATATCAGTTAAATCTTCGAAGTCAGGAGGCTACAGTGATATCAAGTTTACTCTACGAGCTAGGATCTAACTAAGACGTTTTCCGTTTTCGACGCTAGGTACAGATAATTAAGTAGGATAGATGCAGGTCAATTACTTCAAAGCTGCCAAAAGAAATTAAAAGAATCATATGGGGCTGTAACCAACAATGGCTATCTTCATTACCTATATTTCATGTATTCTCGCTATATCTAAAGCTGTAGTTCTACAAACCACTTAGTTAGAAGTACAAATGTGCCGATATCTGGTTCTAACAGACTAGACGTTAGAACCTTACTTTCGCTAGGTCTATGAGGTTATTAGTTTTTCATTGAAGTAGAGTGAAGGAAACCAATGGATTCGATTGTATAGGTAAACTAGTTAATTACTAAGGTTCTAATAGCAAACGCGGTGTGTGTTGTCCCCTACGCCTGCTTAGCGGTACGTTAAGCCATAGAGACCACTTATATAGTCCCTTCGAGGGCTAGCCCGAGAGGGTTATAACACTGGATAAGGAAAGCTTGAACGATAAATTGGGAAAGAATGTTTTTCGCTCAGCTGATTTGACTCAGCGTATGTAGCTATCTTCGTTTTTCTGATATATCTTCACGGTTAGTCTTCCAAAAACCTCACAACTTCCGTCTGATTCAACTTCTGTGCCCACTCCATAACGGTGCGGCCGTGCGCGTCCTTAACGCTAGTGTCTGCTCCGAGATTAATCAAATGACGAATCGCATCCGTTTTCCCTAGCTCTGCTGCCACATGCAAAGGGGCCCCCAAACTCATAGGCCAGAATCGCACCAAAGTAGGACTATCCTGATACATTGTGGCGTTTAAAGAGGCACCTTCATCAACGAGCAGCGATATGACGTCATTAAGATTAGTGGCCCGAAAAATCGCATAATGAAGAGGCTATCCCTTTCGTACATCGCCTCCACGGCTCAGCATCAGCTTGACGATGCTAACAGGTGCAAGTTGAACAGCGTAAGACAAAGCGGTGCAATCTATCTCGCATCGCTTATTCGGGTTTGCTCCGTGATCAAGAAGCCACATAGTCATCTCTTCATCGTCGACTGCATAGCTATAATGATTGTTATTCGTTATTGAAGTTTCTGTCGAAAGAGCTGAATTGACTTACCCAAGTACGGGAGGTTTGATCTCACCAACTGGCTCATTGATATCCCATCCTGCTTCGATGTAACATGTGAGAGCGCCCTTCGCCTTACGGAGTGTTGCCTCCAAAGCGTAGCAAGGCTGTATCGGAAAACCATAGAAGAGAAGCTTAGAAACAAATCTGGCGTTGTCAAGTTTAATTGCTTCCATCATCACCTCGCCAAGCTCCTCTATGGCAAAACCTCCAGATTGAGAAGTCGCGAGTAACATGTCCATTGTCTCCTGGAATGTATGCAGATTATCATCAATGCATAACGAACGCAGATTTTCGATTGTTTCTGTTGGTGTCTGACGTGGGAAGAAAAATCCATCATTGCTAACGAGATTCTCTCGTGATGGTAGCTAAATATCCATAGGGACTGAAGTCTTGTATATTTGGTCGTCGATGGAGTTGAAAAAAAACTTGCGTTTGATTTGGGCGAACTGGATGTTTAAATACTTGACTCGTCTGGGGCGGAAGTTATAAGTCACGCGCCACCGTTTGCATAGTTCCAGCCAACGAGAGTGGGGTTAGTGTAATGTAGCAGGAACTCCCATCTTACGAAGTATATATCAACTCTTAACTCTTCCTGCTTAATGCATAGTCTATATGCGTCCTGACACAGAAAATACGAGGACGTTGTTTAGTGCCAGAGACCCACTACATATGTAAGTCTAGGTTTGCTTCAAAACGTCGAATTTAACTCCCTGTGAAGGCTAAAATAGTCCTATTCGTAAGCCCGACCGCAAAAGCAGAAAAACTCTGAGATTTATGCAATTATCTTTAACGTGGAACATCTATCACAACTGAAGAGCAGTACAATAAAACATTGGCGCGGAATAAGACAAACACAATTGGCTCCATGCTGCTAAAGTGATCTTAATTTCTTATCTCCCTTGAGTTGCAGTCGCCGCTAGGTGACTGTAAAATGCTCAAACTCGAAGTCGAAGATATATGGCGGCTTTTAGATTTGGATATCATCATAATATACCAATGGACCGCCCGTAATAACGACTGTCCCCTGACTAGGAGTGTTCGGATTCACAGGTACAGAATAATATTTTATGATCGGAATAAGGCCCATTCCCTAAAGAGAATCTTTTATAATGTCCACTTGACTGGGCAATGCCACCCCTCCTATATACCAGGCACAGATAACCCTCGTAGTCGCCGCGGGAAAGAAATTCCGGTTGGCGTCGTAGAGATTCTTAATCTGTACCATCATGAACCGAGCATTAGTATCACCCGTATGAGGATCTGGTGTTGCCGAAGGAAGCGGTGGTATATAACCGAGTATTACACCGTATATCGAAGCTATAACCACGGCGGAACAAGCTCCAAGCCCAGAAGTCCCGATTGCGGGCTTTTGCTAGAAAGAAACGAATTTCACGCCGCCCATCCGGACCTCTTCTACCCTATTTTGGGTCTTCAGCTGTTCAAAAAATCCCGGAGCCATTATAACGTCGAGCTTTGGTGGGAGTAGGTTTGGGATGATGATTTGGCCTCTACCAGGGACTTGGTGTAACGATGCGTTTAAGAAAAGTTCTCTATATAGGAGACCTTGCTATACTTATAGCATTCGAATTATCTTTACATATAACTTAAGTATGAATTAACCGACAACTCCTTCTTTAAAGGCAGATGAATATTTTCTTTAGCGGAAAAGTAAAGTGATTTATTAACTTTGTTCCTGATCTAACAGATGGCTATACATAGACCCCTATTCCAGTGAATGAGTAGATAGTTTCGCAAGTCTATAGGTCAAAGGCAGAGCTTGAAAGTAGCGATAGGAGTGCAACAGCAGCTAATTAAGCTGAGCTTAGTCGTAAGGTACCCTAGACTAACCAAAATAGGAACACTGCATCGATCAAGTTATTCCGTAGTTAGTGCCGAGACCTTAATGTGGGCGAAGAACCAGTTCCCGGTCCTCTCTATTCTATGTTATAGCGCTAGTTAAATCTAGAAGATTCAAGGTTGGAAAGGGGGAAAGCCGTAACAAAAGTCTACACCGGTAGTCTTATTATTGTTAGAGAGATTAATCATGGTCGACGTTATAGGTACTGAAAACCATCGTCAAAATTGGCCAAGAAGTGCGTTAAGTGTGCGAGAGGGGTAGAAACGCACACATAAAGCACCCTTACCTATTATCTAGCTATCCTTGCTAAGGTCGGCCCCTTATGTGGGGTTTGGGGATTTGGGGGTTGGGGGGAGCGCGGATCTTTTAATATTCTGGGGTTATTGGACGAAGGGTGCGTTAACTGTGAGAATGACTTAACTAAAGCGCCTTTGTAGTAAGCTAATGTAACGACTAGGGAATCGCTACGGCGTGTCTCAAAAGCCGCCAATTATCAAAGATACGTGTCCATGCGATCAGGGAGATCAGCAGCCGTTCAGTACCTATTTTACGCACCCTCTCCGTTCATCACATTTTGTCGGTCGGCGACCACGGGTGCATTTTTAGATTAATTAGCGCCAAAAGAGGGTTCACTATTAGCTTCTCCATACCGCTCTGTCAGGGATCATACAGGGCTGTGCATTATCCATCCAGAAAGCAAAGTGCCGCCCTGTGTCCTAACTAAAGTCTCTCTTCCTTATTCTTTCGCTTCCCAAGACCGCCATAAATATCGACGAACTGGATAGAGAATTCAATGGGCTGCTTGCTTAACTTGACGATGCCCTGGACAGAATCGAATTACGACTGTCCGTTAAAGACCGCAGAGCTTTCTTCAACAGGCTTTCTTTACGCAATATACCAGTATTCGATAGGTTGCTCGGCATTAAGCACCAGGAAGTTGAAGGGGCAACAGCAGATAATCTCTCCCGAATCATTAGTGATTCTGGTCGTAGCAACGTCGAAGACTCAGCTCAGGACAACACTTCCTCTGAGCCATCAATATATCGCCCCGGTGAAAATAGCAGCCATTCAAGTTATTCTAGCCCTATTCCTAGACCACCAAACCAGGGATCAAGCAAATCTGGAAAAGGCTTGTTGGATAACACTGGGTTTTCAGGGGTTCAGTTATCAATGCCACGTAAATTACGTGAGCTATTGGCACAGTCCGTTAAACAACCTAAGATTTTTGGGGAAATAATTGGACGAAGGACCCCGACCGGGGCTGGCTTACATTCAGCCTTTTTCGAAATTTACGACAGAAGTGAGGACGCCGAGCTCCTTAAAATATACCGGCGATTCGAGCTACGCAATTTTTACCTTCTAGCAGTCAATCTAGACTACCACACAGGTGAAAGATAGTGCAGAAATACATCCTCCAAACTTGCTAAGGAGATCGCGAGGCTACGGCCGTCTTTAGATATGGATGAAAAGGACCTTAAGGAGTACCTAGACGAGTGTGTTCGAATCGGTCGCAAATACGATAGATAGGCTACGGACTTAGGCGGGCCAGGTTACTTGATCGTGCTACCTTTATATATCAAGGAAAGAGAGTGAGATAAGCAGTATGCCCTTCAGTCAACCAGAGCACTACTAATACGCACTAGATACACGGACAGGCACTATAGCAAAGTCATTCCCTCTGCTATTGCAAAGTTTCGCGAAGCAGGTATTGATCGAATTATTACTAAAAGTGGTTATAATCAGTTGGGCAGCCACATTGCAGACGGACTGTGGGCTCAATTTAGTCCCTCACAAGCCTCCTTGAGGCGAGCTTTAACAAAATCCGCACAGAGGAATAAGCGGAAAAGGGGAAACGCCCACAATCAAAGCACGGGTAGTAAGTCGTCTCACAAACTCTGTATTAGACAGCATTCTCATCGTGTTCTGAAGCACGTAAGCATGCACGCATAGCAGGAGATCCGGAGACGTATCAAGCCTTCGGCGGTGGAACCTCGGGGTCTAGCGACAATGGACAATCCTACAGCCTAGAAGTGACATCGGGACAAGCAGCTAAAGAACAAGATTTATCAAATCACAACATTCCTTCTCCGAATTCTAAGGAGCAAAATCAAGATTTAACAAATTCTCCAACTAACACGCGGGCGCCGGAGTGGATAGCATCGATCGACCCCGAGGCGTGTGCGGATTTCCCCAACACATTAGGCTTGATAGCATCGATCGACCCTACAGCTAGTGCAGACTTCCCCGACGCACTGGGACTTCTAGCTTCAATCGATCCCGAGGCGACTACAGATTTTCCGGATGCACTAGGCTTAATGGCATCGATCGACCCTANGCTTCAATCGATCCCGAGGCGACTACAGATTTTCCGGATGCACTAGGCTTAATGGCATCGATCGACCCTAAAGCAAGTGCAGACTTCCCCGACGCACTAGGACTTCTAGCTTCAATCGATCCTAAGGCGACTACGGATTTTCCAGATGCACTAGGCTTAATAGCATCGATCGACCCTGCAGCTAGTGCAGACTTCCCCGACGCACTAGGACTTCTAGCTTCAATTGATCCTGAGGCGACTGCGGATTTTCCAGATACACTAGGCTTAATGGTATCGATCGACCCTGCAGCTGGTGCAGACTTCCCCGACGCACTAGGACTGTTAGCTTCAATCGATCCCGAGGCGACTGCAGATTTTCCTAATGCACTGGGCTTGATGGCATCGATCGACCCTATAGCTGGTGCTGACTTTCCCCACGCGCTGAGCACGCTCGCTCCCATAACTTGTGGGTCTAGACCTCCAGATGCCACGTGCAATTCGAGCACATCAAGGATTTCATAGGATAAGAGTAACTATCACAGAACTGATGAATATTTGGTTAGAGAGCTTATATATACATAATACGTTGAATTCCCTCCAAAAATTAGGGACGTGAATTCGTGCCATATAACTAGAGGCCAGTCATTGCCTCTCATTCGTATCGCTCGTCTCTGGTAAAAGAACTATGAGATAGTCTAGCTGGGTATCAAGAACCAGACGACTAGTCAGGTGAATGAATTTTCCGGGTGTAAGCGCTTGACCTACTACTTATAATTCGCTAGACGACGACTCCTTGTCCGAACCGATAGTGAGAGGGAAGAACAACGACCGGTATTTAGGAGTCATTTTGATTTCTACTTTCCCAGCAATGCGGTACATCGTATAGCCGTGGCCCTTTAGTAAATTAGCCAGTGACTAGCAAAACATATATAGGCAAATTGATTTACCTTAATCTTGCGATATCCCAACTCATCTAGCAATAGACGCAGTTAGTTATGACGGTCCGGATCCACGCATCTAAAGGTGTTCTTCTCCTCCTCTTCCATTTTCGCGGTGTCTCTCAGCCAAGAAGCCAGGACTTTCAGCTTCTCGAGCGCAGAATCATTTATTGAATATGACGCCATAGCAGTCAGGATGATCGTAGGGGGACAAGGCACGTGAGAACGTAACTGAATAAGATCAGCTCGCTTGCGATAGACGTTAGCAAAGTGGCAATACTGAGTTCAAGGAATCCGTTCTTACATTCCTATCGCATACTAGATCCTACGGAACGCAGTCTCGTATGCAGCAAAGGGGATAACTAAGATCGTTAAAAAAACAAAGGCGGGGATAAGGAATTAGAGGCGGGGTGGAATATGGTTAATGCCCGACGCCAGCTCGGACGAGGAAAATACTTATCCCGTTACCACGTGATGAGATAACATAGCGCCGAGTGTCCATGCATTGACATCAAACGCACCCTCTATAACCCGCCAACGGTAGTACAAGCAGCCAAAATGATCTTAAGGACTGGACTGCTAGAACAATTTCTTGCACTGCCATCCACGGTAATCAAACACACATAGTGAAAACGGGTTAATTTAGGTATATAGAACCGGAGGGCTAAGAAAGCCCCGACAGGTACACAGAAACAGAACGATCAGCAAGACTACGAAGGGAAATGTAATATACTGGTGCGGACGGAGAATGTCATTCGTGCCAGGAACGATTTCTATTTAGAAAGCGAGGGCGGGACATCTATATTTATAGTCGAAGGCTGCATACCTAGTAGAATCGGGCGGCTAGGACAGTCCACAAATCATCCAATCAATCAATCATAAAGCATGATGTCTATTCGGAGCAGTGCTATTTTGCGCCTTAATTATTTTGGCTGGCCGTTCTCTAAACCGCGGCGGAAAAATAATAAACATTAGCGAGCGAGTCACTCAACCCTTACTAGTGATGGCGGATATACAGGCAAGGGAGATATGTCTTTTTGCATTCACACTAGTCAGAAAGGGGTATTACGGTACTGCCGTCTCCTTCCGGTTGCTTCCATCTTAGTCAGCTACGAATGACAGCACATATTAAGTTAGTTAGTTGACTAGTGTTATCAATTATTGTCACGTAATAATATTTGCGCATCGAAGGCGAACAATGCATTTGTCAGGTAAAGGAAAATTTAACTAGTAAACTAATGTCAACCATCTTCCCGATCTCGTACAAAGGGCAAGTCTCAGAGGCCCATTTTCCAGTACACAGGAACGGGGTCTCTATAATAACCTTCATAGTCAGTCGAATAATAAGGCACGATTATGCGGATCCAGAGCCTAATTCTTCGGATATTCAATTTCCCCCCCGGCCCGGGGGGGCTAATCCGGAGTAATCAACAATCAGAAGCAGTTTTTGTTTGATTTTCAACAGTATATAAAGTCTTAGCATTGGAAATAGTGTGGCATGACTGAAATATTCTGACATCGATTTATTTACTTATAACACAAATAACATACTCCAATCATGCGATGTAGATATATATATCACCATGATCATACCTTAGTGTAATTATTGATCTAATAAAAATACTTAGCATGATATATCAAATACTAACTCACACCAGGACTATACTTCTCGCTTTAGTGGTTGAAATATGGTTGTAGAAGAGCGCATTTAGCATGGTGTTTTGGAGTTCGCAGCTCGGCCGTGAACTACGTTAACGTATTGGATAAGCGAGCCGGCCACCCGACCAAGCCGGCCACCCCAAACCAACATACTAACGGCGAATTTCGAGGTCATTATAGATCAACAACGAGAATTTATTCTTACTTGATTCTTGGTAGATAATGTTTTCTGAGCATTCAAAATAGTATAATATAATTTATATATTCTGAAACTAATTATTTACACGAAATACCAAAAATACGCTACCAACGACCGATGTAGCTATTATATCTATATTATCACACCCTAAAATATTTCTTACATTAAGGATAATACTTATTATAGTAGATTAAAGATCAGGATATCTTTAGAGAGGATGATTAGCTTCGAGCGTTGAAATATCAAGTTATGAAATATTACATTTAGTATGGTGTTTTGGGGTGGCCGGCTCGGTCGGGTGGCCGGCTCGCTTATCCAATACGTTATCTCCTTCTCCGCTGCTACTCTGACACAAGCATTGCCACGTGATTTTGGAGATAGCAATCACATGACATTCGACAAGGTCTGATGGTGTCGGATAAACTATAGTCCCTCGGAATTCGTTAATATGTCAAGGTCCCACATTTCCTGGGTAGCACGTGATTGCCATCCTATTCCGAACGATTGTCCTGCTATCCTCCTCCTTGTTTACTACCTTCAACCCTATGCAAGCCTAGCTTCCGCGTAATTACCATAGTGCTTGAAATAGGGCAAATAACGACCCTTTTCCGGCAGTCACATTCATCTTATGAGATACTAGGGCCGTCTTCTGGTTGCTTGCCGTCTTAGTCAGCCCCAATATCAGCAGCCTACAACCCCCCAATAGGAACACGGTTTACTCCCCGACTCTCACAATCATAGCTAGGCTTAGTCACCCTGGCAACCCTGCATGTGACCAACCATTAACTTCGCGTTTTGATATGTCAAACCCAGCCTTTTCAACGCAACACATGGAATTTTGTAGTCAGTCTCGACTTGCTAGAAGCCCATGCAATGAAGGGTGTGGCACGTCTACTTAAGGGTCTTGTGTCTCCCCTTTTCCGGCGGTCCCCATCGCCAGCCCGACACTTTCCACCTGGCCCTGTTCTCGACTCGACGGAGAAACTCGAGGAGGAAAAACTAGCATGGTATTCCAAAAGCAACTTCTTCCCTGTCAAAATCGGCGATATCTTTCATTCAAAGTATCAAGTGGTTGGAAAATTGGGCTATGGCGGATATTCAACCGTGTGGCTTGGACGAGACTTAGAGTAAGCCCCTTCCATGATTGAGAGCCGCGGGGGAATGGGAACTAATATCGCACAGAGAGGACGTCTATGTCACCTTAAAACTATACGAACATGACTCTGCTCATGCTAAGCGAGAAATTATGGTTTACGAACACCTCAAAGGTCTTAAATCATGCCACACTGGTACCATTCTCGTACGAACCGCGTTGGATAAGTTCCAGCTCAGTTCAGCCGATGGCTCCCACATCTACCAGTGTCTGGTCCACCCACCATTAGGCATGAGCCTCTTTGAGCTTCGGAATCGGTGCCCACGAAAGGTCTTTCCTGAAAACCTCCTTAAACCCACCCTTATCCATATCCTCCTTGCACTAGATTTCCTACATACTGAAGCGCAAGTAGTCCACACTGGTTAGTGCCTCGATGCTTTTGAAATGTTCTATGCTGACATCTAACAAAAGACCTACAAGAAAAGAACATTATGCTCAATATTGAAGATGAGTCGATTCTCGTTGACTTTGAGGAGACCGAGATATCAAACCCAAGTCCACGCAAAGTGGTCGAAGATCGGGTAATCTATGAGTCTCGCAGATTAGGTATTCCAAGAAAGCATGGACGTCCAGTACTCTCAGACTTCGGTGAGGCTCGCTTTGGGTCAGAGTCAGGCACTTATGATGATGATGTACAGCCATATATGTATCGGGCTCCAGAGGTACTACTTCGCATGTCTTGGAATGAAAAGATAGACATCTGGAATCTTGCAGTCATGGTACGTTTATCAGTATTACACCATTATTTTTTTCTCTTAACATTCTTTACGCAGGCTTGGGACCTATTCGAGCCAGGCCATCTTTTCTATGCCCGGGATGCAAATAAGCGAGAATCGGATACTCACCATCTCGCTGAAATGATTGCGTATCTGGGGCCACCGCCACTTGAGATGCTTGAGAAAAGCGAATTAGCTAATAAGTATTTTGATAGCAGCGGTAAGCTCGCCACCTTCTCGTCTCTTTATTCTTCAGTCTGCGTTTCTGACCCCTAGAGAATAGGAAAATGGAAGGGTCTTGCTGAAATTCGCCTTACGTCTTTAGAGAGCATTGAAAGAAACCTTGAGGGTGAGCGACAAGAGGGTTTCCTCCGATTCATACGGAAAATGCTGCAGTGGCGACCAGAAGATCGAGCTACTGCGAAAGAGTTGTTATCTGACCCTTGGTTAAGGTCACCATAACTTGAGATGGCGGCAGCGCGAGCGTTCAAGAATTTAGAAACCCATATACTGTGACTTGAATTTTTTCTTTGCAGGAACAGTACGGAAGCCCAGATATGTATTATCTTATATTTACTGAATCTTAGGTGTATATACGCCGAGGCCTCTCTTGGGACGGAGATCGGACAACACATTCAATGACAAAGAAACCCCTTATGAGACGCTACGCAGATGGTCCGTGCAAAGTTGTGGCCTCTGCAACCTAGTTCACCTTGCGTACAGAGCCGTCTTGGTGGACATGGATTCGCTGTATAGTTTTGACATTGCCATCTTTGAGACGAACTGAAATCACCTCTTGTTTATCAGTCGGATCATCGTGAGAAAGGTGCGGCTGAGAACCTCTGTAAGTCATAAATTAGGTTCTACCATTCTATTAAAAATCATAATGTAGGACGCATTACCTGATCTCAGCAAACTTGAAATCTGGATTCTGTTGACGCTCGTCAGTAGAACTCGTGGAACTTTGTATCTGGCACTCAAATACCGTTTGTTCTTGACTTAGAAGAACTGAATCGACGGGATTTTGCCACGTGGCCGGAAGGTCAGACAGTTTGACCTTGCCAATAAATTGATACAGACGCTGTTTCGTTTGCTTAAACATCATGGGAAAAATCTAGCAAGTTTTTGTGGAGGTACAAAGGATCTGAAATATAAAAAATTCAGAAGTCACTTCGAACCGAGCCGGACGCCAGGAATTATATATTCGGGATAGAAAACCCAACGCAAATTGGCATGAGATGCGGACGATTCTCAAGGACTCTCAGACGACCGTGATACGTCCAGCTGAGGTGAGCGCTTATGCAACACCCAATCAGCCCGTTTAGTCGGGAAATCTTGTAGCGGTGTGTTGGTATGAAAGCGCCAGATTAGACATTATGGTTGGCTCGTTCCGGACTGCCAATGTTCCATCATACTAAACTCTAGCAGCAAAGCGTGATAACGCTATAGCAGCTTTGGAAGGTTGTCTTACGAATATCCGTAAACAAGAGGGCTTTGAACGATTCCTTCTTCCCCCTTCTTCTGCTGCGTTACAAGAAAACGCTATGGACGGTCCAATTGTCGTTGTGAACGTCACTTCGATTAGCAGCGATGCTATAATCGTCCTTCCTACAGAGATCAGACATGTCCCGTTACCTAACTTTCCCTCAACGAAGGTTGAACATTACCGTTCGTTAGGGTTAGTGAGGGGCCAATTAAGGCTAATTGAGTTAAACGACCGCGAAAGATCTGATAGTCGGTTTCAGAAACTATTACGCTATCTATGGTCGGACTGTGTCCGCTTAGTTCTCCAGGAGCTAAATTTTCTCTCTCCGTCCTCTAATAGTGAGCTCCCTCGGATTTGGTGGATTGGCACTGGTCTAGCAAGCTCTCTCCCGTTCCATGCGGCGGGCGATCATTCGGCGGGCTCAGTTGAGAATGCTTTTAGTTGCGTTCTATCTTCCTACACACCGTCAATCAAGATGCTACGATACGCAAGAGAGAAGATAGGAGCTACAGTTAGCACACAATCGGTGTTGCTAGTCACAATGCCTACGACTCCCGGCGAAGTCGACCTACCCGGTGTCGTAGAGGAAGCCCAAGCAATCCAAGCGGCTGTTACCGCACCACACGAAGTACAAATACTCGCTGAGCCTAGTGCAGAGAAAGTCCTTAGCAGGCTCCCGGATTACACCATCGCGCACTTTGCATGTCACGGATCGTCCGATATGCTAGATCCCTCAAACAGTTTCCTAGCTCTACATAGAAAGTCGGACTCGGCTCCAGATCATCTTACGGTCCAGCGGATCTCCGAATCCAATCTTGGGCAAGCATGGCTAGCATATCTTTCCGCCTGCTCCACAGCTGAAAACCGAGTCTCAGAGTTAGCAGATGAAGCCCTACATCTTGCAAGCGGGTTTCAAGTCGCAGGCTTTGCACACACAGTGGCTTCGATGTGGCCTTCTAGCGATGATATTTGTGCGCAAGTAGCCAGTGTCTTCTATCGTGAGCTTATTGTCAAGGGTGAGTTTCGAGAGGGTAACCGGGCTGTGGCAGCGGCGATTCATTCGGCTGTGAAGGAGGTCCGCACGCAACACGCGGAACGACCACATCAGTGGGCCCAAGTCGTTCACTTTGGGGCATAGGAGATCCAGATTGTTCCCAAAATTGTCAACATAATGAGAATTAAGCAGAATGTTTATTTGAAGCTAAAGACTTCCAAACTCATGTTTCAGCAATCGGACTAACAAAGTCGTATCTTCATGTGGTTCATGCATGGTTGCCTTAAGGTACGGCTTGCCAGTGTATGTGACTCTGTCGTCCAATGAATGCTTCGTCTGGTTTTCTCAGGAATACGTGCCCAACAATCATTTGAGTTGATGCTGATGTATCTCACAAATTTTTTGTGTATGGTGGCCGTTGTATAATCATGATTGATCATGGGCACACGACCGAGTACGGTCTTCATAGTGCTCGACACATGGAGGTCGAAGGTGCCCAGCACCAGTGATGTCACGTGATGTAAATTTTCCAATCGCGGAATTTAGTTACTCCGTACTAGATGTCCAGATTGTCGGTGGCCTGGAAGAGGAGTTCGGCCCAAGGCGCCGTTCAAGTCAGCCTCGCCGTTCATTTAGCCAATCCTGGGTTGGGATTCGACGGTATACGCAAGTGCCAAGGGACCGTCGTTTCAGCCAGGCCAAGGAAAGCTAATGACACTGTTTCTGAGCCAAGCTGAGAAGGTCAGTGCGGTGGTCGCGCGACGGAGGGTGAGAATCACCCGCTCTCACCCAGCTTCTCACCCTGTCTATTGCGCACTCACCCTATCTCACCCCGGTCGCGCGACCGTAAAGCGGCGCTCACCCACTTCTCACCCGGGCGGCAGCCACCCGACTATCTGCCGCACATAAGCCCATTACTCTACGAGGCCAATTCTCGAGGCGCCCTGAAAATTCAAATGGCGAAAAAAAAAGTCTTGGGTTGAGTGTAGGTGATATGGGTGAGAATTCTGGAGACCGAGGTGATAGAGGTGAGAACAGGGTGAGAAGGGGTGACAACATGATGGACATCCCTCCGCACATCTGCCCAAGCCAGAGTGATAAATAGGCAGCTGGGGTGTCAGGACCACTGTACCTGACCTGCGCAGGCCAACTGCGGCAGTGAGAGACAGATGGGTTTCCCGCCGAAACAACCACAGGTCACGTGATCCACTACTGTATTTAAGCATTCTCAGCTGGGCCTCTCGAGGACCAGCGTTCAGTCTACCTAATACGACATACTGTATTACACGCATCAGCTTAGGCTTCTATCTCGCTTACCCATCTAACCCGAGACTACTGGTGGTCTCACAGTTACCCTCTAGTATTTCCTAACGATCCACGATTCGAAGCTTTCACGACCCCATTTTTGCGCAAATCTTAGCCTCTTCCTAGCAAGAGAAGGCTTAATAGGGATCTCTGTTTCGATCGACGTTTTGCGAGTCCGAACCGCTTCAAAATTAGGCGTATAGTAGACCGTGTCGGATGACTAGGTATCGCAGCACTTAGCTGTTTATAGGTCCAAAACGGGTGTCGGCGAGCCTGTAAATATAAGTAATTAGTAGCTCGATCACCTAAAATAGTAGGACGGCCGGTTCGGGGTAGGGACTTAGTAGTTTGATGCTCTTCTTGACGTTTAAGCGTAGAGTAGATAGTCTTGCGAGTACAGCCGAAATCGGCAGCAAGTTTGACCTGCGTTACGCCCGCCTTATGAGCATAAATAATAGCTAAGCGCTGCTCAGACGTTAGTACAGCCAATTTCCTACGTTTTGAGGTAAAATCCATAGGATTTTAAGCAGTAGGTGAGGTGTAGGAAGAGAAAAAGAAAGTTGAGTTTGCGTTGTTAGGGGGATAGAGTGGGGCCAGTGGGTACTGTACATAGATACTATTCGGTAATATCTGTACCTTATATTCCACTTGACGACAAAGAAAATTTCGTCATCTCACTGGATCATGATCCAGAGGCCACAGAAGGTAAATGAGATTATTGAGGCTTGGCTCAAGGAACATCTGGTTTCCTAAATTGGAATTCCCAAGTTCAATCACGAGGAAATAGAAGACGAGATCACAATTGTTCACATTGCAAGATTGGCATGTTGAGATAAAAACCAAGTGTTGTTGTCAACTGGCTCTTGTAAATATTAAACTTTATAAGTTTAAATTTAGCAATACCTGTTTAACATACTTGCCGTTTAGACACTGTCTAAACATTTCCCTCCATCAACAAAGGGGGGGCAATATTACAAGAGATATGAACATTGATTTATAGATAATCCCCTCTTCGTGCAGATCACGTAAAACAGTTTTAGGTTTCACCTCACATTCGAAGGATATATGCCAACATTTGAGGCCCAGTCCAGTCAGATTAACGAGTAAGGCGGTTTACATAGCCATCAACAACCAAAAGGATACCATAGCGAGTTTATCTATTACTCTAACATGGCGAACATATTTGACTTCGATCGTCGATCAACAACCGATATGCAGTTCCAACATAACGTATGCAAGCCCTGTTGTTCCTTCAGCTATCCCAAATCCTCCTCTAGCGTCACTGACGTCTCCCTACACACTATACCTGGTTGTCTGCTTCAAGACACCCGAGGGTCTTCGGCTTCGGCTTCGCTTTTGATCTGGGACCCACGCACACATGAAGTAATGGCTCAAAGGGCCTAGGCCATTTCGTCTGGAGTTATTGTTGGGCCTTGTGGGTTGCCCTTAGCTGCATCGACATTTTCAAAAACGGTCATGGGCTTCTCGGTACCCCAAACAAAGTCAATCGATGAATCCCAAAATTGGGCTGAGATGTATGACCAGTCGCGGCATAAATGCTCCGAGCTTTCATAATCCACATGCACGAATTGCGAGTGGTCAGCCGGCTTTTCCAAAGTTGTGTCCCCAAAGCAAAGAATTGCCTAGAAGACATCGTTAGTACTCTCTGCATAGCTAGAGCTACAAAGACAAGACCCTACATGTCGGATGAATTCCACACAGTGACCCATGTGTCCCAGTGTCTCCTTATCCAATATAATACCATCCATCAATTGTATCTTCCAATGATTCATCATACCCTGTCCGATGCGGATATTAGCTGAAAGGAATCTCTCGTGGATGAAACAAACGTACAACACAATGAAGCTGATGGAGAACTGAGGGTACATAGCCCTCTTTCCCATTTGGCCAGGTACCATTCTCTGAGTAAAGGCTCAATGGTAGCCCCCCTGAGATCCCTTGACTCTCGGACGGAGAGAGTTGGATCCATGAACCTGTTAATCCATTGGATTCACAATGTGAGTACCAAGTCCCTTTAGTAGCAGGAGAGCTCATGAGGTATATTACCACGATGGATTTCGTCCCAGACCGTCCAATTTCCCGCTTTATTTGAGAAGAAGCGGCCCTTCGTTGGGTCAGTCTTCATGAACCTCTCATCGTTGATCCATCGAACTTTTCTAAGGGGAACTTGTCTTCATTAGATTTCTCTGACGAGAGCAACGGCTTCAGTATCAAACGTAATTTGACTTACCTTCCCCCCAAATCAAGTCTGACCGTAAATGGACGCTCTGGTGTTCATTTATAGCTAGTCGTTGGCCCAAATAAAAAGAGGCCATCAATGACCCAACAACGAGAATCAAGCAAAACAAGACCGTCGAATATTGTCGGAGATTGGAACCTCGCTGAGAGGATGAAAAGGGTGTTCTAATGACCTCGTCCCGCCTGGAAACTCCTTCTTCGCCGTCTTCCAGGTCCAAATGAGCATAGACTGGATTGGGTTTTCCATTCCATAACCAAGTGATGTTTCTAGGAGCAAATGAGAACTTGTTCATCGCGATGTGCCTCAAAAGTGATTCCTGCGTTGAAGAATCGGGCACAAAAAATGTATTTCTGTTAGCACTGCCCTGTCCGCAGCACTAATAAACTCGAAGGAAGGAATATTACGACGGTGGAGCAGTACTTACCAATGTCTGTCATTGGTTTCCATATTATCTACATTTACTAACACTGTGTATGTAATTTTCGGGATTCTTTGCAGCATGGATCAGGCTCATCCGAGTATTGCAGCGTTACCCCGCTGCTCTCTTGCTGGCATCGGAAAATACCGATGGCCGTTTAGCAGACAGTAATTGACTATTAGTACACTATCTAACCCGATCCGGTAGGGTCGCTGAAATCCTAATACTCAAGATGAATACAATACTGTCCTCTCCCCTCTCCCCTTGATGTCTTATGTGATTTATGTCTTCAAACCTTACCACCTTCTACTGACTGGAACTCCTAATTACAAACGAGAAGCTTATTGGGTTTCATTGCGGGAAGCAGCGAATCTCTACAAGTTCGCTAAAGCTCCCTTGAGGTATCTTTGCTGAGATTCCTGTGTATTTTCCCTGCTCGCTACTAGTCAAAATCATTAACGAATACTGTATCAAGACGACTGTAGATATCTAAATCGAATATTACGCTCACGGCCGGCCTGCCAGCTCGGGTTAGGAAATCCTAGTAGCAGCTCGTTGGTGTACATTTAGCAATCCCCGTTTAGCATGCCCGCTCCTGACACGATTTTGAGATATTTTGCTTAATCTACCAAGGGAAACTAATTGAACAAAAAAGATTGATAGGGATCTCTAGATAACCCCCTCTTAGTGCATACCATGCAGGCTATTTTGGCTTGTTTAGGCAGAATGTAACCTCTTGCCAGGGTCTGTTTTAGCGCCAGGAATGTTACATTGTAATATGAGGCTAGTCAAGCCAAACATGAAATTCTATGCCACCCACCTGGAAACGGAGCCTCCGAAACCCCTAGCTTCGCAACCCCGCCGAAGTTCGATCTGGCGGCGGCAGGGGCTGAAGCCACCAAAACAAGCGATATCCCTCTCTTTGAGCCCCGCTACGATGTCGACTAACCGATGTCACTTTGCGCCCTATCTCTTGGCATCAAGTGGTGGTCGCGGAGCGTGAACCATTCATACTGTTGAGACGGAGACAGTACGGTATGTAATAACGAAAGCTAGCATTCATACCACACTAATACATGTCACAATTTACAGTCAACATGTCAAGTACGGCTTATCCCCACGACAGGCTGGCTGGACACATTCTCAAAGCAACAAAACCTAATCGCAGCCTAGCAGAGCTTGATAGAAATCAAGCTGTTTTTCTTTTAACTGCCCTTCCTTGAATCACCACCAAGAGAATCAAATTCCTGCTTCCAAGATGAACCGCGACTTCGGACCGTTGCTTGCCTGGTCTTCACCTCGATCACACCCACGGTCAACCCTTGTATGGTGGGCATGCTTTGCTTTCAGCTTTGTTGTTATAATCTCAATCATCATCAGCATATTTCCAAAATCCCATCCATCATTTTCCAATGACAGGAGCGATGAGTTACAGGACTATACTGCGCCATTGACTTATCTACCTCCCGTCGGGTTGGGTACGTGGCAGTTACAGAAATCAAAGGCGGCTAAGATCGTAAAGTTCGCTCTTGAGAAGGGATACAGACATATTGATGCAGCAATGATCTATGGTAAGTAGTTCCTACAAGCCCATTGTGAAATATCGGGCTAACAGAGCATTCAAGGAAACGAAAAAGAAGTTGGAGAAGGAATTGCCCAGGCAGACATCCCGCGTTCCTCTTTTTGGGTTACAAGCAAGCTTTGGAACACAGACCATCGTCCACCACACGTTCGCCCTGCTTTGAATAAGACGCTACAAGATCTTGGACTAGATTATCTTGATCTATACTTGATGCATTGGCCTGTTGCCTTTCAGCCCGGAAAGGGTCGTGAGATTGAACTTGAAAGGGTAGATATTATCGAAACATGGTGGGCCATGGAAGACCTTGTTCGTGAGGGGCTTGTTCGACAAATTGGGATATCGAATTTCAACCAACACGAAGTGGAAAGGCTTTTGAGACATGCTCGTATACCGCCCAGTGTGCACGAGTTTGAAAGCCACCCATATCTCTCACAATCCGAATTTGTCAAATGGAATTTGCAACATGGGCTGCGAGTCATTGCTTTTTCACCACTTGGAAATATGAACCCAATCTACGAGTCATCTAGCCCACCTCTGTTGAAGGACGATTTTCTGACATCCATTGCTCAAAAAAAGGGCATCACAGTGGCACAGCTTGTATTGGCGTGGTCCATGCATCGAGGGGTGATTGTAATCCCGAAAAGTGATCATGAAGAGAGAGTGGCGGAGAATTGGGAAGCACAGAGAGTCGTCTTGACTGACGACGAAGTTGCATCTATTACTGCATATGACAAGAAACTACGATTCAACAACCCCAGCACTGAATGGGGAACAGAGTTGTACACTGGCTTGGATGGTATATGAAATTAGAGCCGAAGCTTCCATGGAGCTTCTTACAAGCAAAACTAGTCTGCATTGATTAGTCTGGCTAGAGATATTTCAAGTATAATTCGACTGTTGGTTCACCGCCCAAGAACTCCGTAAGCAAAACCTGCTCATTCTGACTGCCGCCATGCTCGAGTATGCTCTTCCGATATTTGAGACCGGCTTCCTGACTCATCGGATCCGCATGGAAATTCGACCACCACATGTTGGCTGCCAATATACGGGTGCTAGATTGAAACCAAAGTTAAAAATCCAATAGATATCGCACAGAGTTTTTGGGGAACGTACTACAAGTAGGAATAGTAGTTCGCTTCTTGGCCCCAAATATAGTGAGGTGTCGTCGCATAGCCATGCCCCCATTGGTAATCATTATCTGGCCCTTGCAAAAGAGTTGTTCTTTGCAAGAGGGAGTTATAAATTTCAGCAACGTCCATCGACTTGATGTCTTCATGGGAAGGTGGAGAGTGAATCTTCAAGTCAAAGCTGCTGAACGCGACCTGTCTCATGGTCAAAATGCCCTGGTTTATCGACCTAGCCTCGACCAGTTTTTCCAAAAGGCTTCGAGGGATTTCCTTTGTTGGGCGAGTCGAATGGATCATAGAGGTACCACACTCATAATCCTCACCAGCACCCGCGGATAAATAGCTATAATGGTAGCTGAGTCGCTGAAGACACTCAGGAACCCAACACCAATACTCTAGCAACTGGCTTGGTGCTTCAACAAAATCTGCAACTGTTCTGTGCCCGTGGAATGTTGCGTACTTGGACCTTCCCAAGAGATCATGAAAAGCTAATGTGTGGATTGTAAGTGAACGTCAGAAGGAACACGGGAATTCCGATTTTGCTCACCGTGGCCTAGCTCGTGAAAGAGTGTGATAACTTCGTGATGCTTTAAAAGCGCTAGCTTGCCAGGTAGAGGGTATGCTACGTTGCACACCAAAGCTGTGCAGACCAAAGGTGGATCTATGCCCATGGGAACAGAGTAGGACTATTGAATGCAGGTATTAGCAACTTGACCTTTACAAGGATCTTTAACTTCGAGTTTGACAGAATCATCTTGTTCCAGCGAACCTTGGAAGCTCACGCGAGGACCCCACATACAGGGAATATGTTAAAGTTTGCCGCGTGGTTGAATTTCCCGTCACGAGGATATATATCTAGATATAGATAGCCAAAAAAGGTAGATGAATCTCTGTCGTGTACACTGCAGACTTTCACCTCTGGGTGCCAGATATCGTCACCTTGAGTGCACTCCAAATTTTGAATCTCCAAGCCGAAGATTGATTCGAAGATACCGAGCATATGTTGAATCGTGATTTTGGCAGGAAAATACTCCGCAATCAGATCATGATCTACCTGGTAATTGTCTCGCAACATCTTGTTGTGATAATAGTCAAAATCCCAAAGATAGAAGGGGCTCCCGGGTGGATCTTTAGCGTGCTGCAATGCCTCCAGCTCGGCCTGGGAAATAGGCAGTAAATGCATTGAAAGTTCTTCTAGCATATATTCAACTTCCCGGGGAGATTTCAGCAATTTAGACCGGGCTTGTTGATGCGCATATGACTCGAAACCAAGCAAACGAGCTCTTTCATCTCGAAGAGTAACAATCTCTTTAAAGATCTTGATATTCTCGGGAAATATTTCTTGGCTTTGAAGAAAAGCCTCTTTTCGGGTTTCAGACCGAACACAGCTGGAGAGGACTGCATTCACGAAGGTCTTTTTTAGAGGTACGCCCCTATGGCCGGTTGAGGGACACAGAGGAAGTGCTTGTATCCTGTCGGCACCAAGCCCCTCTAAATCCTCTTCGTCCTTCCACATATACCCAGGATCCAAGCTGAGATTGCCTGTGAAAGCAACTCGAAGCTCGACAAGTCGCTTAGAAATCTCGCCAGACCGCTTTTTGTGCTCCCCCTTTAGCCCAAGACCATTGTCAATGAAGGTCGAATGAATTTTTGAGAGAAACTTTCGGTCTTCAATTTCCATTTGACTCGCATCACAGTTCTCATACACAGCATCTACCAATGCAAACAAATTTTCGTCCTGAAAAAGCTCCAAGTATGCTGTGTCGACCATACTCACAGCGACCGAGGATTCTTGGCGTAATTCCAATGAGGGCGAAACAGCCTGGAAGAATGCCAGAAATTGGACTTTGCTCTTGACATCATTATCGGTGTTGGCCATCGACAAGACGACATTTTCAAATGTCGCATCTCGTGGCGAGACCTTGTCGAGTAGTTGCTTGGTCGCTGTTTGAATCCTGTTGATCAAATCCACAGCCATTTGGGTGAGCTGTGATGGACTGACTTGAAAAGAAGGCAGCGCTGGTCTTGATGTCTTCATTTTGACCCGTTACAAGTCACAAAGATATGATATGTGAATAATGTGCAACCATTTGTAAGAGGTCAGAAAATAGGCTGAATAGAGCGCATAGAAACTCAGACGGTTATGCTACGCGATGCAAATTCTTTGAGGCTTTCGCCGACGACTGCTCCTATGTAGCAGGGGGGCCCCTAGGAAGACCCGGACCACCCCTCGGATTGTCTGTCTTGTGTAACTGTGTAATCGTTTCTTTGTAACGCCCCCGTCAGAGATATCTCCTGACAATACCATTCCATCGCAAATACAAGCGCCTGCTTGGCGTTTCTTATCTTGCACCACAAGAAGCCTTATGGCCCCACAATCCACAATCCTTGATGGTCTTGTCGGGGCTCCAAGTGACCACCGCATACATACCCCCGGACTTGAACCCATAGATGCAGTAGTCTTCTGCGGCCTATAAGCGAGATAACCAGTCGGCCAGTGTCGCCAAAGGTAATTGGCTAGCCCGGGATTCACCCCTCGATCATGCATGCTGAGAGCTGGCTTGAGCATCGTGCAGCGATATTATGTACTACGGTACAAAACAGTCATCTAACTACGACCCATCCACTCGGTCCTTCCTGCTAGTTTCATTTGGCGGCTCCAATATCGTTCAGGAATTTGGTGGCAGGAATCTTTGATAGGCCATTTCAAAGGTCCGAGTATGTCCGGTTCTCCTGCTGAATCTCGTCGCAGGCTGTAGCAGTCAATTCATCAATGGAGACGTAATTTCCACCAATCTATAACCAGGAGTGTCATCTGGCTACTTTCAGCCCGTTCAAAAGTACATTATGTAGATATGTACTCTTTGGGCAACCGGAAAGCTGTGCATCTCTTAGGGTGGGCTTCAGGGATCTCTTCATTGACTTGATACGACCATATTTACGTAAAACAAATGCTCTTATCCTTCAATACAATAATCTTTCAATAATAGTGAAAGACTGTTATTAATAAAGACCCAAAGCAAGAAGGACCAGACATGGTATTTCTCGTTGGATCTATTGTCTCTTTAACCCACTCCAAAAAACCTTTCCTTCCCCGAGAGCGTGAGATTAGTTTCCTACACACCATGGTACGAAAGGATCATTCATCTCAAATCGAGCTCATACTGACTACAAGGAAATTAGGAAAAATTCTTGCAAAAGGTGCTGGTCCCTCTGACCATCGTAACGACCCCTTTCCAGTCAATTTGGCAGAAATGGGAGGGGCACAGTGGGAGCAGCACGAATGGCTTCATGTGTTCGGCGGCCAATTACACTACTGAGATTGTTAGTCTAGACCCAGTGGCAATCTATATCAACGGATTCATATCGAGCTGGGAGATTGCGCATCTCCGAGATCTAGCGTGAGCAAAGAACAAAAAACCATACCCACAACTGAGTACTAAGCGTCTAACGTACCATTTTCAGGGACAAAGAGGGAGCATTTACACACCACGAGGACAAATACCCTGACCACAAAACCCATAATGCACGCCGAGTTGCGAGCTCCCTTTATCTTCCAAGTGATGATATCGTGGTGGATTGTATCATCAAGCGATCAACTGACTTTGTTGGTTTCATTCCCAACGATGGATTCGAAGCCCTCCAAGTTGTGAAATATCATGAAGGAGGTGATAGACACGACCCTCACTACGATTGGTTTCTTTCTCCTCCCCAGGTTACTTCTGGCTTAACATGTAACCGGGCAGCGAGCTTTTTTGTTTACCTGGGCGATGAGCCCGAAGGTGGAGAGACATGCTTTCATTTTCTGCAGCCTGCACCGCAAGATGCTGATCCTAAGAGGTTCAGTAATATCAATAGCGATGATGGGCTTGGTTTCGCGGTGAAACCTTTTACTGGGAATGCGATGTTCTGGATGAATTTACACTCGAATAACACTGGAGATGTTCGCGTACAGCATTCGGCGCTGCCTATTAGGTCTGGAACAAAATATGGGATGAACATTCTGTTGAAAAGATGCTTTGAGGCTTGATAAAAATGAATGTTTTCCTGTTACCAAGATTGTTATTCAGTTACTCAACTTAATTTGAAAGAGACAGAAAAATCTGTTATTAGAGCGCGCACTTATTTCCCGAGTAGTCAACTCACTACGACAATCTTACATCTCCATTGACTCTGCATATCATCCAATCTTTCTTGGATGCCACTTCTTCTCTCTCTCACACTGTCACCAAGATGTTTGACCGAGCTTTTGGTCTGATATTGGCAATTACATTCCTTGGAGGTGCCTGGATAGGCTTCCAACCTGCCCCAAAGTCCCATCTAAGCCAGTATGGTGCTTGCAAAGAAGTCCGGGCAACTGGGGCAACGGCTACAGTATTCCGCTATCAACTCAACAATGGATCGTCTTACGCGGTGAAACGTTTTCGAAAGAAAAGTCAAAGTACAACACAGGAAGATTACTTGTCCAGCGTTCGGAACGAGGTCGAAATTTCCAATTATCTGAGTCACAAGCGAATCATGCCTACATTGGACTTTTTTGACGAAAATAGGGTGTTCTATTCTGTGATGCCTTACGTACCAATCACGCTTTTCGATCGCATCATGAGAAATACTACCGTCTTATTGGAAGAGCAGCGTGACTGTATCTTCCGACAAATCGTTGATGCGATTGTGTATATGCACAGTAAAGGGGCGGCCCATCTAGATCTCAAGCTCAACAACATTCTTCTTGAGGACGAAAGCGAAATCAAAGTCATTGACTTTGGGAACTCTCGAGTTTTCCAGCAGCCCCACGGTGCTTTGGTCAAAGGTAAGTTATCTTGCGCATTTTCCACCTATGGGCCTGAAGTTACATGCTAAGGCTAGCTTTTGCTGTAGGTTTATTTGCTACTCCACCGAACGCCCCTTACGAGGCGTATCAAGATGGATACTACGACCCTTTTGCGGGCGACGTATGGGCAGTCGGGATGATTTACTGTCAAATGACATTCCCACTGGCCCCATGGAACATGGGGTTACAGCCACCAGCGATCTTTGCCATTTTTTCTCCCTCCGTGTCGCAAGCGCCATCGGCCATCGATTTGACGCAGCTGCAAGCCACAGTGGAGATGATATCGCGGAACCTCCCAGAGCGGGCCCGGTCGGTGATCGGCGGAATGCTTCGGTCTAACCCTCAGGACCGCATTAGCATGAATGAAGTGTTAGAAAATGATTGGATCCGCAGTCTCCGAAATTGCGAATGATCCAACCACTTTATGACCTTCGTTTATCGAGCAAGATAGGGGAAACGCAACTAAGGTCCGTGCACACCGATTCTATGTACACGAATGCAGATTTGGGGGCCGGAGTATCCTCGGAAGTTTTGACATTCTTGGTTATTACTGTTTCTTGACTAAAAGTAGTAAGAACTTGATACCCTTCAATGCCAGCCTTTGCCGGGCGTTCCGTTAAGTTCCAAGGCTGTCTTCAAGTTCTACCTCCTGTTAGCTCCAGGGCTGTTATACATTACGTATTACATACTGTAGTGGTGGAATCTGTGACCTAGGAAAAGAGAGCACTGATCACATGCTTAGTCATATAGTACTTCTCTATGTTGATATTTCTTTTGAGAGTTAAACATCATCAAGCAAGACAATACACACTTTTCAGTTTCTCAGTCCTTTCGTTATGAAGAAGTCTCAGGGTCTACGATCTATCGTATACTAGTGCTGTCTAGGGAGTGTTGGTTGTCTGATCCTTCGTCTATGATATCGACCTGTCTGCTTTGCTAGACTGCCATTGAGCCATCCCCATTTCAATACATATATCCCCACACGTTAACTAAATATACCACTAACACACTAACACACGTATTTATTTCTTCTTCCTACTACCTTAACATTGTAGCCTTATCTTACATGGGTAAGATTTAGTCTAGTATCTTGTCAAAGTTATTATGCGATAAGTCATGGAAAAACCTGGTAAGGAATACAGGTTATGATGTTCAAGGAAAGAGATGAGGATAATGTAATCCGTATATGCATCTCAAGCAATGAATTTATTTTTGAGTGATAATTATGGAAGCCGACGCATACTGTGATCTTGCCCAATGTGGATATTTTCATGTTAATCATCGTACGAACCCTCATGAAGGTCTTCGCGAGACTCATATGGTCCAATTATTGGGGAAGATTTGTAGTGCTTTGTCCATACATTCATACCATACTTTACTCCAGAGAGTACAGGAAGCCCGGCATGAAACGTCCGCTGATCACCTGTTCCATTAGACGGGTGGAGGTTAATCCAGAATAAAGCACTGCCTTTGACAGGCTTCACAACCAAACCCTGGCCATTGCTGGGGATAGCGTATTTCTTTCCGTCAGATTCAAGACTGGCGCCACTGACGAAAGGGAAATATGTCTCGCCACCTGTCGCATTACCTCCAAGATAGGTGAAAAAGCTCCCGAGTCGATTGTATTCTCTTCCCTCATCTTGGGCAGAGCGGCTGATCTTTGGCTTGGCCAACCAGTCACTATGAAGATTGTATTCCTGACCGGGGTAGTAGCGAACAAGTTGTAATCTCTCATGGGCATCGTGCTCGACGAACCCTAAGAACTTCAATGCGCGCTGACCAATACACTGGCAAAGCGAGTCCGAGTAGGGCAGGAAGGCAGTCGATGAGGATCGATACGGTCTGTCAACAGTTCGGACCTGCTCATCATCGAAGAGCTGAGAGTCTTGGAACAAAGGATCCCTTTTCATATTTGAACACATTTAGTATATAAGACTTGGTACAAGGACACGCACACCAGGGCTGTGACTTACCCAAGTTTCATGACATAGTCAATCTCAGCATCGCTGACGAAGTTCTCGATATAGACAATGAGGGGGTCGAGGGAGAGGATTTCTGTGCTGTATTTCTGTTCCAAGCAATCCCAAAAGACATCGCGCTCTTCATTCAGGGCAACTCTGGTTCCGAATGCAATAAGAAGTGGCAAAGCAATAATAAGAACGGATCGATTCAGGAGTCCCTGGTCCGATATGTTAGCAGACAAAAAAGGCCTATGAAATATTAAAATCCATGAGTTTGTAACACACCATATTGGCTAACCAAAGATTTGTGTTTGTTGCGAAGTCTGGAATTGGAAAGGAAAGAAACAACCATAGGCTCGCAGCTGTAGTAGGTTCCAGATTGTGGTTTGAAGGTCTGATATAGGATAAAGGAAGCCAATGGCATTCAACTATAATATCACCTGCTTCGCATAGGATTACTAGGTACAACCCACAGTGTGTAATCAACTTACCTTCATCCGATGATACAGAGGTCGTACACGAGACCCCTTCATCCAGATACGGCCTCAAGTGTGGAAATCCCCGCGATTGTCTATCATTAATTGGAATCATTGACTCATGGGAATCTACCCGAAAGCCCCATAGTGGCACGGGCCTCTGCCATATGCAGCTTTCACGCATAGTCTACTACCAGGGTCTGAACGGTAAAAGCGACAAAAGAAGAAGTCGATATCAGTCTACTAGCTAATGCGCCTGCAGAATATACTCAGGTTACATCGTGTATAATTTAGCGTGGGTGATTTTGAAGTCCAACTTCTCTACCGGGTCATGGTTCGTCAGACAGGGCATGACATCCCACGGGTGCCTAGGGACAGTACTCTGGGAAGGAGAACCAATTGCGGTCTTGAAATGAGCGATCTTGGGGTGGAAAGCTGAATTGGCCTCACCGATAAACAGTGAGTCGGCGCGTAATGCCTAAAGGGGAAAGCCGTACGAACGGGGACTTAAGCAACAATGCGTATCTCTCGTGCTTTGGCCTGGAAACATAAATAGGCCTCAGGGCTCCTAGTCCATCTCATAGTATTTCAATTCAGTTCACAGATCAATCTGAAATAGCTTATCATTTTCAAACATGAAGTACTCCTTCGTTCTTTGTGCTCTTGTCACCTTCCTTGGTGCTGCCAACGCCGTTGCCGTTGCCAATGCCGCCCCCGCCGCTGAGCCCGCTGTCGTCGACATCGGTGATATGAAGCTACGTCTCCGAGGCAGCAGTCCTCGTAAGTATCTTCATTTTTAGATATCAGTGAATTAGAAAGTTTTCTGACCAATATCCTCAGCTCCCCCCTCGCCATCCAAGCGCGAGTATGAGACTGAGGAAGAGTAAATCGAACGATGATGGTATGATACAAAGATCCCCTATGAAAGCCGCTTCTAGATATTTGCTAACGCCTCACACGAAGGATTTGTGACAGCAGAAGGATGAGAAACTGAAGTGGTGTCGATTCATAGGACATGTTAGTATGGGGAGGGGATGATGGGGATGAGTAAATGTAGTACCATTTGACAGAGCTCCATGTTCGTAAGGGGCTAGTTACAATATAAATGATTCTACGCCAATCTCTCTCGTACCAATCCCCAATCTGTCACAAGATTGGACAGTTTTGATTTGGCAGTTGCAGCCTTTCTTTCAATAGTTGAAGGATAAAAATATAAAAACCTAGCTCTCCCCCGTCAACTTTGCCACGTAAAACCGCATCCATTTTTTTCTGCCATATAGCCATAATGACCGCCCAAGCTTACGACCAACAGCTTTCGATTTTATCATTTGGTCTCATGGCAAATCTTGGTATAGCAGGTGCCAAAATTGGTGGTGGTTGGGTGTTACACAGTCAGTCGTTGAGGGCCGATGGCTTCCATTCACTCGCAGACTCAATCTCTGATCTGGCCGCGATGAGTGTCTTGCTTATGGATTCCTTCAATCTTTCTTCGCGCTTCTCATCTATCCACGTGAAAGTAGAGAGTGTTGGAGGCATTATCATTGGACTCATGGTACTGATGGGCGGAATATTTTTGGCCAAGGAGGCCATTACACTAGCCCCAACTGCCCATGTCACTGTCAACCCCCATGCCATTTGGTTCTCTTTGGCGTCCATTTTGATCAAGGAGATATTATACGCCAAGAGTAAGTCAGCAAATATGGAAGTTTCATACGTTATCGGCGCGCTTACAAAAAGTAGCAATGGAAGTTGCTCGACAAACAAAGTCCGCGGCTCTCGCCGCGAGCGCTGCCCACCACAGGCTGGACTCGTTCTCTAGCCTTTTGTCACTGGTTTCTATCATGGTTGGATATTTCAATACTTCGTCTCGGATCTTTGATGCGGTTTGTGCAGGGTTTCTATCGATCTTAGTGATCAAGGAAGCCCTGGAAGTACTGTACAAAAGTGCGGAAGATGTGTTTCGAGCTGCGACAAGATTAGATTACGCGAAAAACCACTAGTTGGTACGAACAAGAAAGTCGGCCAGTGGGGCGTGTATCTTGGTAACCTGGGTCAAATATTAAATATGCGACTGTCCTCTTTTGTAATTGCCAATTTCCTGCGCACCCGTCGCAATGTTGTCCTGTTCACCCTCGCGACTGGTTCTTTCCATCCCAGCGGGACTTTCAGTTATCGGCATCACGTTCTTTCTTTTCTGGTCTCAGCTTTCTGTTTACTTTGAGTCTATCAGAATCAACTTGACCAATACATCCTCCTCGCCTTCTCCTCAAAGCTCCTCCAGTATTGCACCGCTACCAAATATATGGGCAGACTTGACCGATAGGGAGACGGTTGAAGTTTTGAAATTTGTTCATTCCACTTCGCCTGAGCTCAATTTAACTGCAGCGGTCAACGCGTCACTGTGGGATAATTTTATACACGGCGTCGAGGTTGTGCGCCCAAATAAGAAAGATGCCTTGAAATTCATGACAGGCGCCTCAGTTCTTCCTCCTCCCAGATTTGCACGAATTGCTATTCACCATGGCACAGCCTCGGAGGTATACTGGGATGAGTATGTCGTTGGCCCATTGCCAGTATCGAATGAGACAGGAATCAGTCATCTGGAATATCACCATCGAGCAGATCTAGACCATGCGCGCAATCTCGTACCCGATGCCATTTCATTCAAGAAGTGGCCATATTCGATCGCCCAAGAAGTTGCCGATATCACAGAGGACCTTCTGCAGGCCACAATCAATGATGATGGGAAGAACGACCCAGATGGGTTAGAGTTGAGTTTCCGAGATCCCTGGGTTAAAGATGGTCGTATTTTGCGGTGGTGCAGCTTTCAAAGAGCTGGAAGTCGGGCGGAATCGGGAACCCTTCTTCCCCAAGGACTTTATGTTAAGTTGGATACCACTGGGCGGGATCCCAAAGCGTGGCGAGTGCTCAGGTGGTACTATAATGGAAGGTTATACAATTCGACAGGTGAATTCCGCAAGGCATGGCAATCCCCAGGATTCCAGAAAGCACCCATCAACCGGGATGGAGACTGGACAAAGATTGAGGAGTCTTCATCGGAGATATCTCCAAGGGACGAGCCAGCGCCATTCATGGTTAACCCTGGAGGACCGCGGTATCGACTTGATAACCAGCAGCAATATGTATCGTGGATGGGTTTTACATTCTATTGGTCGTTTGCTCAGTCAACTGGGATCACCTTGTTTGACGTCCGCTTCCGGGGAGAACGTATCCTATATGAGCTTGGCCTTCAGGAGGCGATGTCGCTCTATGCGGGTGGTGACCCTGTCCAAGGTGCTGTCGCATACTTGGACAGCTTTTTTGGAATGGGGCGCGCCATGTTTGAATTAGTTCCAGGTATGAAACTATGATCTGAAGAATATCTGCATGCGTTCTAATTTGACCTGGCTCAGGATACGATTGTCCGGTGTATGCGGACTTCATGGATACTGTGATATATGACGCTGAACGTACGCAGCGACGGAAGAGAACAATATGTCTGTTCGAATACACGGCCGACTATCCCTTGCAACGGCATTCGACCTCGTTTTACGTCACTGTTTCCCGAAATAATTATCTGGTTCTGCGCACGACTGCCGTGGTTGGGAACTATGACTACACCATCGACTATCTTTTCTATCTGGATGGGACTATCGAGATCAAAGTCCGTGCCAGTGGTTACATCCAAGGGGCTTATTTTGTGCCTGAAGAAAGCCAGGAGTATGGATTCCGAGTACATGATCAATTTGCCACGAGTATGCATGATCATGTACTCAACTTTAAAGCAGATCTAGATGTCCTCAACTCCAGCAACACCCTCCTCAAAGTCGATATAGAGCCAGAAACGAAGTCCTACCCATGGTCAGAAGGGGAGAAGCTGCATACCATGGGTCTGGTGAAAGAACATGTTCTCCACGAAACTGGTGTAAATTGGCCTGCCAATTCACAGTCAATATATCTCGTCGTCAATAATGAGACCCACAACCGGTGGGGCGAGAACCGTGGTTATCGGATCATGCCTGGCACGGGAATAGGAACGCCTGGGCATTTGGTAGTTAATGGCTCTCAAAGCCTGGGAAAGTCGGCTTCCTGGGCTTCGAAGGACTTTTGGGTAACTAAGCAAAAGGACGATGAAGCGCGAAGTGCTAGTCCGCGCAATGCCTTCAATACTGACCAGCCGATGGTGGATTTCAGTCAGTACGTAAATGGCGAGAACATCACACAAGAGGACCTGTGAGTAAGATATTTGCTAACACCGAAGCAAATTCTTCGTTCCAAATTAATTTTGTGATGCCTATTGACAAAACTTTTGATCGCAGCGTCTTCTGGATAAATCTTGGATCCCACCATGTACCAAACTCTGGGGACATTCCTAATACATTACAACATACCAGCGCGAATTCAATTATGCTTGTTCCATTTAACTTTCATGACCGAAGCGTCAGCTCGGGAAGCTCGCAAGGAGTCCGGATTGATTTCACTCGAAAGGCTGGAGAAGGGGCGGCCCAATTCTTCGGGCATCACTTTGAAGATGGTATGACATTGGACTCGGTGAGTGATGAACAAGGCATATAAACGCTGCCAGGAAACTGGGTTTTGCGAGCTGACAATTGGTGCAGAAGGATGTGGTACCAATACTTGCCTCGTATGGAGCTGAGGAGCGACAAGTCCGCAAATTCCCTTATACCGAAGACATGTTGTCTATGTAGCCCCTTATATAAGGCTCTTCCTTGATAGATGACATGCTTGGCGTCGCACCATGCGGCTCAAACGAAAGACAGAAACCAGAATCATACACCTAGTCCTTGCTTTCGATGATTGGCAGTGATGAAGATAATGTTTTCCTTTGGCATACTTACACGTACAAGAATAACACTGTGCTCCCGGTTCTTTACTAGTAAATACGAATTGTTCCTTTTAGTTTTCTTCTTTTGTATTCCAGGTCAATTGATATCAAATCGCAGGGTCTATCTTAATTCTTCTTTGTTCAAGTATGTGTCAATATTTACCAGCTCCATCAAATAGGAATCTTGGTGAGATAGAGGTTCCTTTGTGGGGGGCCGGTGTGAATGTGTATAATACAGGTACTTTTTTTGCTCAGTTCAGCCTGGTAGCGGTCTGACGTGTTGCGTTATGGATTCTGGGGATCTGTTGATGTGATTAGGTGCTGGCAAGTGAGGCATAGTCGACACAATACCATACCTTGTCCTCTGACCCGTCCCTTCTTATATCTGCGCAGAACTTGCGATTTCAAGTTTGGGGTGAAGAACTGCTGTTATCGAAAGGGAATTTGTGCACTTTAAGACAAAGCTCTTGCAGAATTAACTTGTGATCCCATCATCATGCCGGGATTAGAATGGAGATGAGTGAAGGGACAAAGCAATCCAATCTATCCAGAAGCGAAATTGGTGGCTCCAAATTAACAATACTTTAGAGGGTCGAGGAGATCTGCCGAGTCGAATCGTTTCATTTTCTCAGAGTTGTACCTGTCTAGTTTGAATGATAATGGACTTGAACCGGCGAGCTAATTTCGGCCAGATACTCTCAAACTTCTCCAGCTTTCAGAGTGGGAAGAGGAAATAGATTGTATGACACGGCGGTTTGACTAATCCCTAGTGCCCATACACAACTTTGAGCACCTCGTCGGCTCCTTGAACCCTGTTCCAAATAACGATGAACGCTGATTGTAAGTTAGCCGCTATGAGGCTTTTAGTGGCATACGGAGTCCGCTTTTAGACTCTCCGTCCTAGGACCTTCGAGTATGTACTGACGCGCGGGGAGGAAGCTTTGCCTTTCCTTGCATACATGCTGGATAATGGCGTGGATATCAATGAACTGGAACCCAAAGGCACTGCCTTGCATATTGCTGTCACTGTAGATGAACCAGTCCTGATGTGATGGTTATTAGGTCATATGGCGGACCCACGATTCGGACCCTCTGGCTTGACTGCGGCCGACTGGGCGGAGGGAATTGGCGAAACAGAAATGCCGAAGCTGCTACAAAACCACAAGAGACAAATAATAACTTGCAAGTAGCGAATAAATAAATACACGCTCCCAACGATCTTTGATTTCGCATTGCCGATCGTATTAATACTATGTCCCCATTGAAGTCCCGATCCTGTCCTATTAGTTCTTAGGCAAAAAGGGACAAGAACCGCTCCCCTGGGAATCACTAATATGGTCGTGGTGGTTGTGGTGGTGGTGAACATGGTGGTGTTGATCTGAATGGGGTTTCAAGGTTGACGCTGGCGCCGCGGTGGCCGATACAGGTAGGAAATCCGAATTAGCAGAGGTAGACGTGGTGATTTCTGGGCGCCCAGTTGAAGCTGACACTGTGGTGGCTGATCCGGATGAGAAAACCGAACTGCTAGAGATGGACGTGGTGGCTTCTTGAAATTTTACCACTGAAGTCGTATGAGTTGACGATTTGTGAATTACAGAGCTCGTTGTTGACGAGTCACGCATCGAAGCCACATCGGATTCGTTTAAATAATACAAAAGGGTACCCCATCCTAGTGTATCGTAATTTCCAGAGACTCTAGGAGACCCGGAAGATCCAGAGCCGGGCTCGAATCCACCAAAAGTTTTATACGTCTTGTTTAGGTATTGTGTCGTCCAGGGCGCTTTTTGTCCTTTGATTATCACATAGTGGTTGTAGAGCACTTCCTATACCCATCGGACATCCCTACGGGAACCACTACTAATTTCGGTATAGCTAACTATGCCGTTCGTGTAGGGCTTAAAGGGGACGTTATATCCTAGGTTATAGCGGGCAAAGTACTCGGCCCTATACGGTGTTAGTAAAAATGCTATCACATTAAGGGAAATATGGTAGACTAACCCAATAAGAATACGGCTGTTATTGTACGTAAATAAGTCTTCACCTTGGTTCCACGCCTGTTGTCCGATGACTCCTAGCAGGGCAAAATCTAAGGCAGAATAGCCTTGATCACGGCCCGCTTCTTGCCCTTAGCCGAGGGAATTGCCTATACCCGGTTCTTCGACAATATTAGTTATGGCGTTGTTAATCGCACCGTTTCCAATCCCGTTCTTGAAATAGTCAACAGCAAAATTACATATAGTCGTATTATCGGTAAGGACGCCAATCGCCAGGACAGAGGCTACCTGCGCGAGCTCCCAATTAGCGAAAAAGTGTTTGACATTGTGCTCCGACCCGTCCCGATACTTAAGAAAGTAAATGTTCTTTGCCAGAAAGACATCAACCATCATCGTCCGAAAGGTATCCAGCCCATGCTCTCGGAAGGGGGTGTAGTCCCGCAAAAGCTCGCCGGCATTTGCTAACTAGTGGCCTTGCAGTCCAGCTATAAGGTATTAATCGTCATTAGTCCCGATGGAAGTAAGCTTCTTACTCTAGGATGTCAGAATATCAGCTGCTGCATCCGCATACGAGGTGTTCCCCTTAACCTTCTAGCGAAGAGCTAATACGAAGGCTGCAGCGGCATCTTGCCATAGCAGATCGGCGTTGGCTTCGTTATCGCGATCGACAGAGCTCACAGCCTGGGGGGTGTAAGGAACGTTTGCAGGGGACGTAGAGACAAGCTTATTCCAGCAAGCTTGCCATGGATCCAACTGCGCTGAGAGCTTCCCTCGGAGCCGGGTCAGATCAGATTCAGCGACCAGCAATCCGGGGTGGCTAAAGCTGGATGCTAAAGGGAGCAAGGGGAGTAAAAATTGGAGAGCTTTCATGGTGCTAGAATGAAGGCGCAACGATTGTCAAGGAATGGGAGATAAAAGAAAAGCAAAAGATTTCAAGAAAAGAAGAGATGAAAAATGAACCAAGGGAATGTCAATAGTGAGATCAATGAGCGAAGCGTACAGCTAATTTTTCCACGGGATCATGCTTTCTAGGTGTAAATGCCTGACATATAGACGCTCCAAACCCGGCTCTTAACTTAACCGCTCGGCAAACCTCCAGCTAACAACGTCCCAAGGTTTTAATCTACGTGAGATACCTCTGGAAAGCGGGTACGGTCCTTTAAACCTTAATCCCCCCGGCGCCTAATCTCCGAACTGTGAGCAACCTCGACCCTACACTGCCTTCATGATATAATATTCTGCCCGTTTTAAATATTCCCAGATATCAGCCAAGCAGCGATTTTACGATATTAATCATACCAAAAAGACGGTTCTGACTCAAGTCTATATTTGATAATTGAGGGAGAATTTTCAAAGGCAGTCTAAATGCTTTAGGCGTATTGTACTATGACCTGCAGAGCAGTCTGGTAGGAGGTAGGCCAGTTATAGGGGCGGTGTGGGGTGTGTGCTAAAACTCATGTGTAGTCTTTGTACCATTTGATCTTAGTTTTTCGGACAATTAGCCTAATCAGATCAGATACCTGAAAGATTCCACAATCACAGTACTGGATACGAAGTGAAACCCGTGCCGCTATAGTAGGCTTGACTAAAGTTGACCGGCAGAAGCTAAATCAATTACCCCAAAATTTCGCGTTCTCCTTTCAATTAATATTGCTAGATGAAATCAGCGTTGGACGTCAATGATACTTATCATGCAACGGCAGTAAATTGTGTTTCAGGGGTACACAAGGTTTTTGCCTGCCGATCTTGACTTTCCTTAGATAACCAACTAACCCCATTCATTAGTTAACTAAACTACCATTGATTAGTATGCACACCCCCTGTACATTCCAATCATCATTATCGGCTTCTGAGAAAGCCAGAAGGCTCGTGACCTGCATTGCTTGAGTTTGTCATGGGTTCTTGGTGCTGTACTCATGCTGAACAGAGAGGCACTACTTGCCATTGAAGTAGCTTCCATCATCCGCCTCTTAGTATTGCTAAGCCTGGCCTGCCTGTACTGGATCTTTCCGTCAGCGTCTCCGCTGGCCTCCAGGCTGTGCTGATATTCGAATTTTACCTAAGAGGAAACTTCCCCGCACTGATGACCAAGGACAATTGGCATAAGAAATTCGGCCTCGATCCATGGGTGAGAAGCAACTACAAGCCAGCTAAACTACTGGACGATCCAGCCTTTGAACTCGAAAACTAGAAGCCGCTCTTTGACGGTAGCTTCGGTTCAATTTACGTTGGAGATGTGACCGAGTTACGCCCAGACGGTGTCAATGACCCGAAGTTTAGCTCAATGAAAATTGTCATTGGGCGAGCAAAGGGTAGTAGTGACTACAAAGAGGTTTTCGTCTGTCATACAGCCTACCATAAAGAAGATGCCAAAGTCATAGTTCCCCTTCACTAAGAGAAAAACGTACCACTTAGTTACATTTCCTGTGTTTGGTGTTGCACGCGGGCAACTCTCACTTTTGTTTGTCTGGACTGCTGTCTGGAAGCTAGGCTTATTTCTTGCTGTTGATCAGGAGAACATGAAATAATTTCGGGAGTTCTTGTCTCAACAGACTACCGTAGAGGAACTTTTGTTGTGTGTTCTATTAGTAAGGTTGTTCGGCAGTCCCAACTCTCTCTCAGTCTCTCCCAGCCCGTCACCAGGTACGTATCTCACGCTTTTCTGTGTATATGCTAGCCGTTGGATAACCACGATTGACCTTGAGTACACGAACCAGTACGGACTTACGCTCTAACACAATCACGTCCACGTAGTGTGGATTTGTCAATCCGCGGAATTTAGTTATGCTGACTCCGGACAGGATGTTGATGGATGTCTAGCTCATGTTGGTGGCCTGGGCACCAAGCAAACCACTTTGGCCCAAGGCGAGGAAGGAGATATTCGAGTGGTGGTTCAAGTCCTGTCTTGGGCACGGCCTTGGGCTTGGGAGGTTTACCGTGGATTTGGGAGGACTTCGTCAAGGGTCTGGGGTCAACAACCCAAGACATGCAAACTACTATCAATCTCGAATAATACGCAATGTTTTCATGATCAGAATTCTCTCGACTACTGCTATTTCATTGCCATTTTCTTCGTCTTCGTCTTCGCCTTCCTTTTTCCATTCTAAAGGGTCGACATGGAAGTCAGCTTCGCCGAAAATTTGGCCAATTCTGGGTTGGGATTCAATGAGATCTGCAAGTGCCAAGAGACCACTGTTCAGCCTGCCCAAGGTGAACCAATAATATCTTAGCCCAATAGGGATAGCGGTGGCAATTTCAGCGTGGTGGAGCCGGACTCCAATAGAACTTGCAGTTCGCTGGGGTCAGATCTTCGCATGACAACCATTCTGGAATCGGAAATGATGAGGAAAGAATATTGCAGATCGAGGCAAGCAGCAGAGGCACTGGGCAAACCATGCATGGCCCACGGCCTGTTTCCCTTTGGAAGGATTTTACAAAATCCTGGTAGGATGTAGAACGGTGAGCCCTGAATGGCCAGTGTCATCAGTCCCCGCTGATATAACTAAGAACTGTGGTAAATAGTGACGTAGTTGACCTACCGCTTCGGTCGTCCGGGTCCTAAGCTCAACGAGTTTTTTAAGCCCACCGATCTATTTGGTACTATCACCATCTCTCTTCTGCCTAACTAACAGAGCGGTGATACAGTGTATCTCGGAATTATTTCCGGGAATCAAGTTAAAAGAGTTTGGGATCAAACTGATTTCGAAAACTACTGTACAGTAGAACTCGAAATCAGCTCTAAATGCCGTCAAACTCTTTCTTTTCTTTCACGTAGCGCAACCACCAGGTACTTCGAGAGAATCAACAAGCGGTTGACCCTTGGCCATGCACTAGTTGGTCAACTTAGGCTAGACAGACTCCATGCTCTTTCAGCTGCCCCCACCGTTCAGCTCGCTAATCTCCACTCAGACATCGACCCACTGTCGGTGTCAACAGATCTATGTATCTCCACAACGGTGCATCCGCTACATACGTGGTACGATAGAGTCAAATTGGCAATTAAGTATGTAGACGCTAGCGCGAGTATATAACCCGCCGCAGCCACATTCACCACCCCGCGAACAGGTATGTATCTCCAGACTCGGCAGCGTTTCCTTGCGCATAACGAAGATTGTGTCGATCATATCCAGCTACAAGACGCTACTTTTGCTTCCCGCATTCCATTTGAGTCACACCGCAAGTCTGAGGCCGGCATTATCCGACATGTCAGCCTTGCACGTGACAGCAGAACTCTGTATAAAGTCGGCACAATTTTCTTATACTTCTTCCTAACGACTACCCTTGAACGATTCTCATAAGTACTACTTCGAACACAAGCCGGCCGTTCCAATCATACATCACGATAAGAAAGAGATTTCGGACGACTTTTAACCTTCTAACTTGCGACCCGCCGTTTTAAAGAGATCGAAATGTCTTACGGTATGCAAGCGACCAAGTACAGCTTCAGCATAAAGCTGGGCTTTTCTAATGAATGTATTCTCGCCGAATCCAGGATCTGGCAGAACACTTACCGGCTGGTGCTTGGCTTATAATCATTCCTCCGATCTCATTTTCATGAAAACTGAATATTATCACATCGGCTACTTAAACAACAATAGCGCGCCGGGAGGTGCATACTTCACCCCAGCTGGCTTCTTCGTGAAATCGCGCGACTCTGATAACCATTTTGAGGTTTTCAAGCTCTCAGGAAATGGTACGTGCAGCAGCGATCAGATGGCTGAATACGCCAGAAGGTGGAAGGGCTATGTTGTGACCGGCGATGAGAAGGAATACTATTGGAGATTGATTACGGCTGCTCATCCATATGAAACTTGCCCTTGCTGTTCTGACGGGAAGCTGGCCTGCGAGTGCAACGGCAAGATGGTGCGATGTGACAATGAGACCGATTCCGGGCGATGTTGGAATGGTCAAGTCCCGCTGAATATACGCGGTACTCAGACGTACACATGTGGATGGTGCAAAGGTTACCCCGGCTGGGTGTGGTGTCGCCACTGTAAAGGCTCAGGTCGGAGACAATGCCGATGGTGTAAGGGCTCAGTCAGGGCATCTGAAGAAATCTGGAAGTCCGAAATAGACGGAAAGCCCTTGTGGTGATGGACAATCGGCCTCAAAGCTTATTCACCGAGAATGACGAATGGTGATCAATAAGTTGTAAGTGATGGCTCCTCTCGTTGAAGAACGATAACCACGTGGCTAGAACTGACGAATGGTGATCGATAGCTTGTAAGTGACCTCAAAGACTTCTAAAGGCTGGGACTTACAATGTACTAGTGAATACGAAGCATCGATGAAAGCTTTTCATTGACCGTTGCTCTCAGAGTTAGTCGTGACCTAGAGTGATAGAATGTTTTTATACTCAGCCTTGATGCAGGGTTTGTCCTTGACTTTGGTTTCCTACGTCTTCATGTGAATTCAAAGACTGAAAGTTACGGTAAACCACGTTTCATTTTTGATTATGTATCTCTAGAGTCTATTTGCAGCATTTTTGTCAACAAAACCGACCGAGTTTGCCAAATCCTTTGCCTGGAACGAAGTCAGGAATGAAGCTACGTTACCTTAAGTCTTACGCGGGAGTCTTTCCATCTTGTCTTATCTCGTTCGAACTCGTCTGGACACAATAGCGTAGTAACGTGCCCCATGAGGATTCTTGAATGCTTGTTTATGGTTCTTCCTGGATAGTCCCAGTACAGCCGAAGGAGAGGCTTGAACTATAACCCGGCGTCATAAATGTCAAAAGTAGGAAAAGCTGCCCCGGTAAAGTATTGCGTCTCAGGCCGCAGATCCTGATCTTCTGTTTGATTGAATAAACGGCAACGCCAGCAGTTTGCTTTCTCATCTATCACCATAGACTCTCATAGTGGTACTGCAGTAGTGGATACTCAGAGATACTATAGATTCGCCCCTTAGTAATGACTATGTCCTCATAAATTACTAGCTAGGGGCGTTATAATAGTTCAGCCCTATTATTCGCATATCAAGGGCCGCCGCCTATGGCAGAAGGGAAACGCAGACTGCACGAATACCATCACAGTAATGTTCTCCACTAATGCATAGAAGCTGGGGGTGGGCGATAAAGAACGTTCGACATGATGGAAATTCCACATCCTCGGGTTTCTAATTAGAATAAACTTTCTGGTATTTATTTGCAGCATTGAGCTTCTCTCTGTAGGAAGTATCTTTTAGCTATGCTTGTCTTGGGGATGAATACTTGCACTGTGATTAAGAAGCATTACTAAGGCATCCTGCGAAACAGACTATACAGCAAAGTGAAGAGCTTCTTGCTCGTCCTTGTCTTCAAGGTCAACGTCCGCACCACTTTCGAGGAGGCTTCCTAAGCGTACTGTAAGCCAGCCTGTGCGGCAAGGTGGAGAGGTATCCGGCCGTCCTTGTCTTAACGATAAAGTCTACACCGCTCTCGAGAAGTCCCGAAGTCTCTGATTGCAGCTCAATCCAGATTAAACTCACAGAACAGAAGAGAAGAGAGTTAAATTAGCTTATCGTATCAACTAGAGGAACTCTTAGGCTTCCGGCGCTTATCGCGTACGTAAAATCCTTTTGGTCTACCATGCCGAGGAGGATATACTGTAGCTAGAAGCCAACATTTGAAGCTTATCCATTCCTTAGCCAACGAACCTCTGACAAAACGCCTTCCGGATATCTCGAGATTGCTGCAACTCTGCAGCCTGCCCTGAATCTCATTCGTTATGGGCTTCAGTGCTAGTCTCCCGTCTAAAGTACCATTAGCCTTCTGTTTGTTTTAATTAATTGCTCATAATTCTCGTTCTCCATTTGACTTCTGGCCAGATACTGTTTCAGGTAAAGAGAATCCCTGTTCGTGACCTGCGTTGAAAGGAAGGGATATTAATGGAGGATTTACGCGCTTAAATACCTAGCGAACTCAGGAGCAATGGTCGTATTTCTAGTTAATCCTGCATAAGTACTTGTTTATTGTGTAGGAATGCTATCCCGCCTGTATAGAGCTACGCAAAAGCTCCACGACCTCATAATGGCAAAAACGTTCAGCTCTGGATAATGGGGTATCGCCCCAACGGTCTTTGGAGTTCACTTTAACTTACCCAGTTTTCAGTAACAATTGCGTCACTTCCTCACTCGCACCTCTTGCCGCATGCCATAATGGTGTGTGGCCCGCCCTATCCTTCGTATCAATACTCACTACAGATATCTAAATATTCCCTCTCTTTGTATTCCCAAAGGAGTCCTACGCTAGTATTAGCCGGTAAGTTTGATTTAACGAATGTCCGCGCGACGTCCAACAACGAGCACGTATCCTACAAACCCCGTACTTTAGGCCCAAGGCGACATCGAAGTCAGCCTTGCCACTCATTTGGCCAATCCTGGGTTGTGATCCAACAGTATATGCACCACTAAGTCAGTGGTATCCGAATCTACCGAATTGAAAATTGGTTTACCATGTATGCAGTTGTCCACTGCTCGTCTTACATTTTTGCTAGACTCCACATATAAATCGGTTGCCCCAGGTACATCTCGGAGAAGCAAAAAGGGGTTCTGGTACCTGTTTGTCCCTTTTTCCGAGTGACCGGATTTTGATGTCCACCAGAGCAAACTTCGACCTAATCCATCCTCAAAGACGACTCTACCTTCCGTCAAGGGAAGCAAAATTTCAACGGCTTCCAAATGCCCGTTTCGAATTGCGGCACGCAGTCACATAGCTAAGTCTAGAGCACTTCCCAGCGAATGATGTCACCCCTACGGCCAGCAGTGAACACCGGTGCCACGCGAGGACATTCGGGAATCTTCAATATGGTTTGCCATCTTTTCCCGTTGCATAAAAGATACATGCCACAAATCGGGCTCAGATGACGTCTCTTTGAAATAGTTCCCCTGATTCCAAAAATGTCAGGGCGCTGTATGAAGCAAATCTTTTTCTGGGTGGCAAAAGAATACTGCGTCTGCACCGTGCTTGGCTTGAAAAGTCTCCGTGTGAAGCTTTTCTTAAGCTCGATCAACTCATAAGAAAATATCACATCGTTTATATGAAGCACAATTTCCGGTATCTTCATCAGGAACGAAATATTTGGCCCTGAGGATTTTGATGCTTCAGGAATCTCAGCTGCTTCTGGTGGTGCCTCAATAATTTGTTTGATCAGGAAATTATTAAACGCATCCTGCGTTCCGGATAATACAATTCTATGTGAGGACAGTGGTTTGTGCGAAACCTCATCTGGAGAATACTATCTCACTATTCTCATTTGTCGCATTCATCAACCCGCACTTCTAGAATCAGCATCCTCCGTCTTTGCGGCCCACTCGTGGGCCAGAATCCCCATCTGTATAGAGTCCCACCATCTCCCACCCTTCCATAAACATTTCCTCCTCCGTCCCTCAATTATAAAGCCAAGCTTTTGGTACGCCTTTTGCGCCCTCTCATTCCACTCAGAGACGGTCAACTCAACACGGTGTAGCCCCGCAGTCAAAAGGACCAGTCTAGCATCCACGATATGGCCTCAGGCCCATATCCCCTCCCCTGGTACTCTCGAGCAATAGTAATTGCTAACTCATGCGTGCGATTATGTGTGAGACCGGGGGCTTGCTTTCTCAATGAGATCACACCAATCGTCTCAGGAGCGTTATCGGAGCCCACGTCTGGGATGATGCATATCATGACTGACATGAACACAACAGCTTCGAGATTTGCTCGCAACTCTTTTCGCTCCTTATTGCTGAGCGGGCGTATGAGGGCGGTGGAGGCCATAGATCCGACTACGGGGTCACTATAGAGAGCGTGGAAGAATGCGTCGTCAGTCAGGTTGTCCTCTGGTGCGCGATAGAGTAGACGTGCGGAGCGGTAGGGTTCCAACGGGAAAGGATCCATTGCGACCGTCTGGGGGACTGATTGAAGGGTAAGGGGCAAGCAGTGAACTGTTGATATCTTGATGGTCAGTCAACAGAGCGAGGAGAGATTATTTATATGAAGCGTGCGTGAGCCTTCGCTGCCAGACCTCAGGAAGTGGTCTTTTAGTCGGTTAATAAGTCGTAATCAAGTACGAACAAGATCACTTAGCCTATGAACTCGGGGTGGCTGTCATTTGAACTATTCAATGTAACGTTGTCTATTCATTGTAACAATACTGTAATCTATATTGAGTTCTCTGGCACATCCAGCAATCTGGCAAGATCATCTCCCTTCATTTTGCCTTCCCACCACTGTCCCCGCATGCAGCGCATCGCATTGGTGAGGAACGGCGGTGATTTCCAAGAAAGAGGACAAGAGGATGGTGCCGTTGAGAGAATTCTTCGCCTGCAAACAACTGCCAACTAGTCAAGTTGATCGTTAGCCGCTAATCTCACTGGTTGAAGTTCTCTGGGCCAAATAAACACCTCGTAAGTGATGACTAGCACACGCCGCCCAAAAGGAGAATGAAGGATCTATCTGCTAGCAGATCCTCAAGCACCTTAGCGCAAGATGGCCATCCCCACGTGATTGGCAGAGATACGCCATAGAATTCCATGGAACATCCACTTGAATAGATATTAGTGAATGTCCCTATCCTTAATGTAAATATTCACAAATATCCAAAGAATACCCTCTCTTTGTGTTCCCAATGAAGCCCTACGCCGTACGTAGCAAACAAAGGACTAGCTGGTAAGTTTGATTAACGAATGTCTGCGCGACATCAGGCAACCAACACATACCCTACAAACTACGTACTTTAGCCCAAGGCGACATCGAAGTCAGCCTCGCCATTCATTTGGCCAATTCTGGGTTGAGATTCAGGCAGTATATGTAAGTGCCAAGAGACCGCGGTTTCAGCCTGGTCAAGTTAGGCCAATAATACTGTTTCTGAGCCCAGCTGAGAGGGTCAGTGCGTGGTCGCGCGACAGAGGGTGATTCTCACCCGCTCTCACCCGGCTTCTCACCCTGTTTATTGCGCACTCACCCTAGCTCACCCTGGTCGCGCGACCGTAAAGCGGCGCTCACCCACTTCTCACCCGGGCGGCAGCCACCCGACTATCTGCCCTATATAAGCCACACGCCGGCCAGTTAGTAGTATGGTGGGTGACCACATGCGAATCCTGGCTGTTGTATGTTTTTCCCATTTTGTTTTTAGCCTTAGGCATAGTCTGTTCTAGTCTTCAGTCAAAACAATCTGAAGAGAGAAAAAAGCGGGAGTGTGGATTTGCATTAGCGGGTTGTTCATTAGTCTACGGCGGACTATAGGGAGCGGCTGAGAGACAGGAAAGATGCGGCGGACAAAATCCTGTGTATATAGGCGCATACACTCGAAAAATAGAATACAGCACGACAACTTAGTGTTTTTCCAGCTGTCAATATTGTGATTAACCCATAAAATTGCCTTCTGTTCGTATGAATCTCATCCTACAATGAACGGTACCACTCCTTCTGCGTCATCATCCAATACAAACCCACCACGGACGTCACAATAGGAATCCATCCTTCTTTAGCCCGGACAGTTTGCCAAATGAAGAGCTCAGTAGAGAATAGGAACAATACTCCCACCCAAGTCAGAATGGCGAGATTGTACAATTGCGGATCGTGTATATTATACGCAGCGTACAATCGGATCATAGCTGTGTAGAAATTTTTGATGCCGTAGACATGTGCAGTCAAAGCGTGACGCGCCGGTGCTCTCTCGCCGGAAAACTGCCGCTGCGACGCACTAGGAAAGATATATGTCACAATAGTATGGGTACTCCCAACTATTACAGCCTATATGGTGAGAACTTTCGTATGAGAAGCGCCCGTTTACTTTATTTCAGAAAATAGATCTCACATAGAACAAGAAATATGGAAGAAAGCCGCGGTCGACCGATGGGAGAACGGACATAGTTGCAATTCGCCAGCGACAAGGTTCTCAAGACTCCGAGAACACAAATTGGATAATCATGCGGAACTGATGGAGGAACAGAGATAATATACTGTAAATGGATAGCCCCCGATGATATGGGTCGCGAGTCAGCTTGTGGGGCTTATGCTAAAGGAACCTCTGCATTAGGAAATCTAGATGTTATTTCACTGCTGATGTGATTTATCAGCGCTTATATATGATGTTGGTCGATGATCATTAAAGATGTGTCGGAGCCTGATCCGTTTCAGCAGGGATGCGTCTTAGAGTGACAAGACCAGACAAGGCTGGGGGACGCGGATGAGGCTCCGACTGTGGATACGACATTACGTGGCATAAGTTCCGAACGTGATAACGCTATACCAATATTACCTCATAGGCGACTTAGTATATACGTCCACATCTTTGTTCGATGTACATAATATGGACATGGACACTGATGCTAGGAGACTACTGTGGTCGTAGCTATCGGGCCGAAAGGGAATTGACGACTTTTAACTTTCTCCAGCTAATCTTTCATTCCATTGGCGCTCTAAAATCATATCATTCCCCATCGTATTGGTCTTCTCTTGTTTGGACCTTGAGTAAGCAAAAATGTTATGGTAAAAACCCCATCTGCTCCCAAGTAGCCACATACTTCTCCATAAGTGACAAATCGATTGCTTTCGCGTGTGCCAGGGTCTGGGAATCTGAGCAAATATACGTGATATCCATGATGAGACTGCTACAAGCCATGCGGAGGAAATGGTCGTCGAAGAACTTGAGGATCTCCTGCGCCGGATACTCATTATCGATGTCGCTGCTCGCAGTCCGCACCCTCTGAAACCATTGATTGAAGGGGATGATCTCTGGGGTAGTGGAGGCGGAATCCAGCGCGGCGCTGGCTAAGGCACGGATCATTTCGAGCCATGGCTGGCGGGTGGGGTTCTCGATGTGGTAGATTGGGGGGTATGGAGCCAGTGTTGGCGTTGTCTCGGAAGATAATGAAGAAGAAGTTAGCAACAATAGCTCGGCTAGGGTGGTGGCTACCTCGTCTACTGACTGGGAGCCAAGAGAGGTTCTGTTGTAGAGATTAGTATCTATTCGATCTTCCAAATGGATAAAAATGGATGCATACGCATATGCAAAGAAGTAGAATATGAGGAGAAAGGGGAAAATACTCACACCTTGAAGATCCGAAAGCTTTGCAATGTAACCGAAGACTTGATCAGGAAGGGAAAGTGTTCCACGGGATTCCAATAACCACACTTCTTCGAGCCGGCGATCTGCCCGATGCGCACCACCATTGCCCGGAAGTACTCGGGGTATTGCTGCAGGGGTTTCTGGAGCATAGTCTCACAGATGATCTTCGCCTCTCCGTAGCCGGACCCCAGAACGGAATCAACCGTCATGGGGGTCTCCGGCACGGTAGAGTTTCCGCTCCAGATGGGATAGAGTCCCACGGTAGCGATCGAGGAGATGAATTGGAAACTGATTACCGGGGGAGGCTGGAGCAGTTGTGAACTATAGACGGCGATATCATGCACCAGCTCAAAGAAATTCCGTAGAGCCTGGAAGCTAGGCTAAACCACTTTCACTGGGCGGGTGATGGTCATGGGCCACGCGTTATGGAGGATGTGGGAGACGGTGGAGACCAATTTCATACTGGTGACCCGATAGCCCCAGCTGTGGTTTGGTGATGTCGGCCCCGAGAACCTGTACCTTGGACCATGCTGTTGGGCCGAGTGAGATTCCTCGGGATGTGAATGCTTCCTCCTGCCGGTTCCTCAGCGCCGCCACCATCAGACACCCTGGTCGATTGAGGCAAAAGACTGTCTGAACATTGGATAACTCGGCAAGATGAGATCAAAGAATTCCCGTAGCACCCGTCAGAAGCACATAGTGACCAGTCATACCGGTTGGTGATCTGATTGGAACATCTTTACCGGCCAGAGACAGTGATGGAAGAAACTCTTGGATATATTTTAGAGCATACGCATCAACAGTTTCTTGACGGTGAGCAGCATACTGAGTGGAAGTATTCTCATCATCGCACTGCTGATCAGTTTTGGACGATGCGTATGAACACGGTGTCATGACTGTAGTAGACGAAGATGCAGAAGATGCAGAAGACGGAGAAAGAGCAGAAGGAGCAGAAGAAGAAGATGAAATCGGCGATGATTATGAAGATATGGAAGATTCTGTCATGGCAGCGCCACTAGCAGCCCCTAACGTGGCGTCAATACAATCGAGGAGACCCTTAATTTCGGTCAGCGTAATGAGATCTCCTGTGGACAAAGTGCATTTGAAGGCATTCTTAATATCTCGGGCCAATTCCATACCCATGAGAGAATCGATTCCTAGATCAGCGAGGACGGCCGAATTCTGTACTTCTGAACTTCTCGACCGCAGACCTGGGTAATTAAATTGCGAATCTTGCCATGCACATCGCGGGGAGCTGCGGATGTGAGATCTGCATTCCTGGGAGGCTTTTGTGTTGTCTCCTCCTCCCTGGTAGTGGCGTAAGGAGAAGTTGATTCCACCTCTGTCGCAGAGGATTGGATGACCACAGCCGGTTCTTCTTGTTTAAAGCCCAGGGTGAGTTTAGTAAGAAATTTGCCCAAGGCGAATCTGTTGACCTTTTGATACTGTATTCCCAATATGACCTCCATCAATGCCCCGGAACGGGGGTCAAAGACAGAGACATCACTAGAATAGAGCTTGGGCGACGGCTTATGATGAATGGCAAAGAAATGGTACTCGTCTGCTCGAGAATCACCCGGACTTAGGGGCGGGGAGTGGATCAACCGCTCAATTTTGTTCGAGATGCAGACTTCTGCGTCGGAGTCAGGACATGTGTTACTTGGGCATATTTGTCTCGCTAAACAGAAAAACGGTTAAGTAGTGTAGTGAATATATATTAGATTGAGATGTAGTGTTGAGCTTTCTCTGCATATCTATCTGCTATTTCTCTGGTAGTTTGGAATCGTTTGTGAACACGCTTGCTTATCCTACTTTATATCCGCCAAAATTAGTTGTCATTATACCAGCAAAAAGCGTTAGGTGGGGCTAGTATAGTATTTCAGATTTGTTAATGTCCTATTAACGCACCCGTTTAGTATGCTGAGCGGTATATCTAAACTCGCTGCCGAGCCTTAATAATCACGACAATAGCTAGCTCACTGGATAATTTTCATAATTTCCGCGTGTCTTGTTCGCAATTATCATAGGATACACTTTCAAGGACAATTTCTCTCAATTGAGACAATTAATGGCGGGGATGAGCCATTATGGTAAGTATCTACTTTGGTTATGTATATTTACCATTGCTATGGCGAGCATATAAGTCTTATGTCCGAATTAACTTGTATGTGGGTTAGTGTGCCCACATTTTGAGTTAACATAAGACAGACTAATCTTCCCAATGGATTGCACAACCTAATCTTTGGGCTGAGTGAAATGACCAGCTTTACATTCCTTACAAAGATGAAGACTGTATAGGCTTCTGCCTTCATTGGAGACTGGTGATCTCACCACTCGAATATTCCTCCATTGACATGACTACCGAAGTAATATCTGGTGATTTGAGCACTGTTAGTAATGTTCCCGTAGTATACTGTCTCGGCCTTCTCAACGTTTAACAGGTTCCCGCATACGATTGGTCCAAACTTGGCCGAGCGAGGTAATTGCAAGGTTTGCAGCGTTGACGGTACACTCTCGCATTATACATTCGTCCTGGGTAAAGACGAATGGTGATGGCAATCATCTTACTTGACCAACTGTTTGCTTTGCACGCCGGCTTTCAACATGTTAATCGTCTACTCTAGGCGAGCAGCCCAATCGACCTAGATTTCCTTCCGAACAACTTATACCTGACTCCGCTCTGCATATGTGGCCTGACCCGCGGCCGTGGTCAGATCGCCCTATCCAGAATTGAACTTGTATGTAGCCTACGTTCGTCCCTCAACGTGTCCTGAGCCTGGCCGAAATCCCAGGGCTTTATGGGATCTCATTCTGGGGAGCAATAAGATCATATAACAAGAGATCGACATGGCCGGCCAACGAAACACTTTGATTTCGTATGCTAAGCCGAAAAAGGGCCTGGTCTAGCAGTGCTAAGAGCAGACATAAGATCATAGATTGATGAGACCAATACATGACTTTGACCTGTCAAAACCTCGCGCGGTAGCAGCTCTTGTAGACAGACCATAACCTCCTGGGTTGAAGAAAGTGGGATCTGATCTCCCTCCTCTGTCCCGTTTCTAGAGACAACTTGACAAATGGTAGGGATACCTCGATTAAGATTTATCCATTGCTGTGTTTTCGCCGTCTCGTCCATGTCTAGAGCGAACCGTTGCGACATGATTGATGGGTGACTGCCAGCTGAAGATGGAGGAACATTGGCTGCGATTGTTCCATATATCCACAGGCATAAGCTGACCTGGTACGTGACAATAGCGTGAAAATCCGTAAACTGAGACGGAAGAATTTCTCGCAAGTAGCGAACGGCCTGGCCAGCATGTGCTACTGCCTGTCGGGCTTGGCAGCGCTTGCTCCAAGCTTGGGCACTCCAATACGCAGCTTTGGCTTCATCTTGGCCTTCACGGCCAGCCGCCAATTCGAATTGACCGAATGGAGCGAAAATGTGCATAGACAAAAGTTCGATCAACAGGGACCGGTTGACAGCGTCTTGAGTCTTGTGATTTTCGTTGATCATTCGTGTGCTTTGCAGAAGGCGATGTAGCCTTTGCTCTTCACCTTCGTTGGCAAGGAGATGTATGCGCGTCATATCGTTATCTTCAGACTCACAAATAGTCTGAAATTGTTGGTAGTCTCGTATCATGGAAGAGATGCTATGGAGGAGAATCAACTGAGCACAATCGGAGTCGTATATGTCAGGCAGTGACACGAGTACCAGCGGATTTGAGAGTACTTGACGGGCGGAGATTTTTGGGGTTAGCCCATGAGATATAAGGCTGACGTAGATCTCTTTCCACTCCAAAGATGTCTTTGCAGCCCACAGTCGTCGACAATATGGAAGTGGCAGCAATAATTCAAAGCATGAAACGGGCATCCTGGTACCCGTTGTAAGAGATCCCTTCGAGCAATGTACTTGCATGTGGAAAACCAATCTACCTTTAGTAGTCAGCTAAATCTGTTGAGTCATATGGCTCAATCACCTTCAAATCTTACCTCTTGAATGATTCTTCTTCCACCCAATTCTGCCATTTGGCTTCAAGCACTTCACCATCGTCATCGGGAGAAGCACTGATACCCTGGAAAGTAGAACCTCGATACCAACCACCATATCGCAGCATCTTAGGTCGAGTTAGTTCGAGCACGTCTGATAGGTAAGGGTTTGCGCTCACTTGAATTACGCATCCCACGACCGCTTCAGATATTTCCATCATACGCCTATCTCCACTCCATAATCCGATCTGAACAAAAAGTGCGAGAGCCTGGATGTATGGTAGATGGCGCGTTCGTATGATGTTGTTTTCGAACTGATTTAAATGCCATTCTTATTAGCTCCTGATAGGCAAAAGACGACATGACTAGGCACAGAGGAAACCTTACCACTTGAAAGAGATATGGGTGCAGAATACTGTGGAGAGCTTTGCCAAACCTTCGAAAGGCACTGGTCGTAGATTTAATGGCACCTGACGCGACACAAGCCATCACTAATTCTAGGGGTGCTTTGTTCGCTTCAAAAGTGGAAAAGTGGATCCATGAATCCTCTTCCAAGGCATGGGACTCGAGAAACCTGAGCAGAAGGCGGCTCATCACTTCGGCAGAAGGGAAAGCAGAAGCCACTTTCGTGATGTTATCTTTGTCACAATTCTTGAGAATCATGGCAAGGATCCCATCCCTTGAATCCGAAGAAACGATATGAGTCGTTGGGAGGAGTGGCGGGCTGGCTAAGTATTCATCAAATAAATGTGATGTCGGTTCAACGTAGACATTCTTTTCTTCAGCCGCTCGGTGGTTCTGCCAGTCTGGGTGCCACGGACCTACTGTTTTCCCAAAGGCCACTGTGACATTCGACAAGCCCAACAAGGAAGCAAAGAGACCTTCGAGGTCATTTTGAGGGGTCTCTTGTCTTTGAGAAAACATATCACGCATAAATATTGCAACAGGAAAATCATTAGATGTGTAAGCGGCATTTCCTTGATCTCCCTGAGAGGGACCTATTTGAGGCTGTCCTTCAGATGGAGTATCCAAGCGGACGACTTGTGCTTTTTCTGGTGAATTTCCTAAGAGTGAATAATCAGCTTACCAATTCTACAACTCAGAATACAGCGATAGGAAATTGTTCTCCGACCAAGAGAGCCAGAGGTTTTGGCTTGGAGATTTACCTAAAGTGTGCCCCGAAGATTCCACAGAAAGCGATGCGGGAATTTCTCGCTGGATCCAGTCGTGCAATATGTCGAAACAGAGATCTTCTGGACCATCCCGATTTTGGTCTTCCCCCGTGCAGAGTTGTAAAGCTGGGCGGGTCTTCCCTGAGCTTACAACGCGCATCGATGGTTTCTCATGGAGTGGCGTAGGCCTGATACAGGGCAAATCCCGCCTGCGACATCGTTGACAGCACTCATTGTTGTCACATCGCGCCTTCGCCGTGGCACAGTTGTCGCACGCCTGTGATGCGCGGGGCGCTCGACGGCGTCGTCGCTGTCTGTTTGCTTCTTGGCGTGGCTGGCCCATAGACATGGACCACAATCACGAGGAGATATTCCAATTCGAGTCGTTTCAATGCAAGCAATGTCGTCTCAAAGATCTGCCGTAAATTCACCTCGGTGGTAGTTCTCAACAAGATTTTAGGCTGCCAATAAAGATGATGGTCGGAAGTGCAGTGGGGAAGACTGGGGCAAGTTGAATCCGGGGCTTTTATGAAGTCAAGTCGGATGAAAAATGCGGGGGGATGACTACGCGGCCTGTGGCGTTCCGCTTAAAGGGGGTCTGTTCTATTGAAATCGGAACACACCATAGTACCATCAACCTCAGTACCACCCATCAAGGTGGAAAAATATGAAAGGGATCTATGCTGAGGTAGATAGTATTGATTTCATTTAACTTATGTAGAGTTAACCCGACTTTCTCATGATTATCAGCACGTCAAATTCGCTATCCTCCTCAACCATGTGGACTTTTCTTGACGGATTCGAGCAATAGGTTGTTCCTAGGAACACCATACTGTAAAGTCATCAGAATCAAGGACTTCTTAGTTTTAAGACTAGTTCTTTGTGCTTTTCTGACAAGACCAAAGAGGGACTTTGAAGGCACAATCGGTAATATTCCAAGCTTCCCTGTGGTAACGTGGAAAGTGGACCACGTCCCGATAAAATCCGTCATACCAAAGTGTCACGTCGTTCTACTCTACTTTCTGGTCCTGTCACCTCTCCAGACTTTCAGTAGATGGAAAAGTATATTCTTCCTAGATGTCGACTGTCTCATCAAAACGGGTCTACCCTGACTTCACACCATACACGAAGAGTCATGAGTTTATCGTGCTCAGGATTGACGTATTGCCTGATCAGGTGGGAAATCTGGTGAGGTGACGATAGTTGCAAGACAAAGATTGCAGCAAATTGCCAATTCTGTGTCTGCAAAGTTCGTATTCAAAGCGGAGGGAAATCCGCTGCCCGGTTATTCTTGGAGCTATTCGGACCTGGGTGTGAGTACCTAGGACCTAGCCAAAAATGGATCAAGCTCAATTCATGTACAGCGAATTATATCTACACCTAGGATCGTCTTTTGAGCGCAATACAACTAGAATCCCAAGATTTTCCCGAGACTCCTCCTTAGCAGAGTGGATCTTTCCTGCTCCTCAGTCACTTGGCCTCTCCATGCAACAATACCATCCGGTCGAATAAGCAGGGCTTCGTCAATACCAAGCTGATAGATCGCTTTGAATCCGCCGCTCAAGTCAACAAACCGACTCGAGTCGCCTGAAATCTCGTGAACATCAATTTGCACGGATTGCGCAACGGCTGCTCTCTCCCACGAGTGGAATTCGCCACCTACAAGTAGCACAAAATTCCTCTTTAGTAGATCGAGGGTTGACAATACGGCGACTGGCCTCGAGCTGTCACGAAGTGCAACATGTGGAAGCCTAGCACCAATTCGAATGCTGGGAGAGTGCGGGTCTTCCCATGCCCCGGAGAGGGGATCTGTAGGGGGAATTTTCTCGGAAATAAAGGCACCTCTTGGATAGCGATAGCCAAGCTCGCAAGTATCGTCCGGAAGTTCCTTGTCACAAACAATACTTGGGTCCCGAAGTACACGGTTTACTAACCGAGCAAAGGCTTGTTGCATGATTTGTTCAGCTGCCGCTTGCCGCTCAATGGTGTATGACTTGAGCAATGACGGCGACGCTTTTTGGTCGACCACATACGCAAGTTTCCAGGCAAGATTATAGGCGTCCTATCACGTATCAGTTTTGAGTAAGTTTGCGCTTCTTGGGGCGTCCTACCTGAATGCCTGTGTTGCCGCCCATGCCCCCGGTTGGTGGCATAACATGTGCAGCATCTCCAGCAATGAACACGCGGCCATTCTCACTTGAGTATCTTTCCGAGTTGAGTGCCGCAACAGTCCAATAGGAGACTGACTCGATTTCCAATGGGAAAGTCTCGTCCATACCGGAAGCGGCATAGAAAGCTTCTCGGGCTTCTCTTTCCGTAATCGAGTCGGGCTCAAAGTCGTCTTTCTCTCCCGTTTTGGCAATAATCATAAATCATCCCTTGCCCCCATTCTCAAGTCTAAAGCCAGCAGACACGTCTTTGTTGTTCACGTATGTAACGCCATGCACAGCACGCGAGCCCAGGTAGGGTGTAAGATTCGCCTTGAAGTTGATCGACAGGTTGTTGCCGAAAATTCCCAGGCCTTTCCACTCAATGCCTTCTTTCCGCCGGGTGGCACTCCGATTTCCATCGCAGGCCACCAGGTACTGTGTCTTGTACTTGATATGTTTCTCTGACTTCATATCTTGACAAACAACAATCACTCCGTCTTCCTGCTCCTCGTAGTGCACGACCCGGGTTCCAAAACATTGCTCTGCCCCGAAACGATGCGCCTCACGACGAAGCAACGGCTCGAACATATTTTGAGTCAACCACAGACGCTTGGATGGTGTAAACTTGGCAGTTCGAGCGAGGTCCGCTTCCTGCATTCTAGTAAGAACTTTCCCTCCAATGAGTTTGTCGACGATTAGCATTCCCGCGTTCAAGTCGAAGTCTGATGCGCTCTCGGTTTCCATTTCACCATCCAAGCCCAAATGCCTAAAAATCTCCATTGTTCTTAATAAAAACAGTGCGGCGCGAGGATGCGTCGCCGTCGAGGGATGTCGATCGAAGGAAATGGATTCAATACTGAACAGATATCGTCAATATACAACATCAGGATGTCTTCGAATTTTTGACTCACCCATAGTACCCCAGCAGAATGCTTAGGGTCATTCCCACCATGCTGGAACCAATTATGATGACCGGCCATCTTTTTTCCTCCAACGGGATGTTGGAATGGTCAAAATCACCAAAACTGAACTCAGTATGCTGGGCTCCCCGAAGGACGGTTTCGTCTTTTTGTGTGAGATGGCTCATGACGTCTGCTTCGATGAATATATGTAGCAGGCGGAGGATGACAATGTACATCCAAAAGCTCTTTTATATAATCCATCCAGGTAGCTGAGTGGTGCGTACTATGTCTCTCGTCCCCCACAACACGTGGAGCCGTCTGACGCGATTTGCAGTCAAGATATCGTTGGTACTGAATCAAAGTTACTTCCTGTCGCGTCGTGGCCGGGATCCCGGCGGGATCCCGCTGGGTTGCCCCCGCACTCCGGGATGCCGGCCTGGGAGACTGTGGGGGGAATCATGTGTGCGATGATGCAAATAAATATTATACTTAACCTCCCAAGAGCGAGGAAAAGATTTGGAATGAAAGTATCCCATTGAGGACTGCCAAAAGAATCCGATCTTTAATTATGTGCACGGCGAAAGTCTATGGTTCTTTCTTATCGACATGCACTCAGCGTGTTCTGGTTGTGCTTGAAGAAGCTAAGCTACATACGACTTGATCGATATAGATATGAGAGCAGGGAAGCACCATGTATCATAAGCCTTGATGTTCTTGCGGAGAACCTAAAGGGCTACTTTGTTTCCCTTTTGTTTCAACTAAAGCTAAGACTGGCCCAGGATCCAACATATGTTGCCGAGAGACACCCGTTTGCAAAGGTTCCTGCTCTTGAACATGGCTCGGTGAGACTATTTGAATCTCGAGCCATATGCCGCTATCTAGCAAAGGAATATCTAGGCGAAGTTGACCTGTTTGGTCCCGAGTCCGGTTTGGCACTATTGGAGCAGGCGGCAAGTGTGGAGTACTCATATTTCGATCCTCCGATCAAAGGGTTGGCCTACGAGAGGATGTTCAAAAAGTTTGGCCACTCCAAGAGTGTTCATATCTTTTCCGCATGCTAATTGACTTAGGATGATGGGACACGGGGAGCCAAATACCGAACTGGTGTTCATTTATGAAACTCAAATTCGTCAATGCTTCGATTATTACGAGTCTCTTCTCACGAAGCAAACTTATCTAGCAGGCAATGTAAGTCTGAGGAGCAATGAAAATTTAGAGTCACCAGGATTGAAATACGTATGGCTACAGGCTTACACTATCATCGATATTTTCCACCTTCCTTGGATTGCATTTCTGGCAAAGCTAGAGCTGTCGCACGAAATTGAAGCGAGACCGCATTTACTAGCTTGGTGGAAGGTAGTCAGTGAGCGGCCCGCATGGAAGGCCGTTATCAGCAAGGTTCCATAGAAATTCTATCATTTGCGGGCAATTCACTGGAAGCTCCCCTGCGATGTAGCGCCGAAACTCGGATGAAGCTCTCCTTCATTCGGAATATTCTTTTAATCTCACTTAAAAGCGAGTAAAATCCATGTCGGATTTGATGTACAGTGTCTAGATATCTCGGTTACAGTCCTTCCGGAGGTGATTCATGTGAGGTCTGATCCTGAGCCTTAATGTAACAAATCAACCCCCCTGTGAAGCCCTTTAGGTGTGATATTAGGTCCTGACCAGGACCCGCCCACTAGGCCGCATGCGTTTCTACCAAGTTCTAGTATTTGTTGAGTTCCATACAGACATCACTTTTCGAGGTACCTTGTCTTGGCTTTCGCGTATTACGGAGAAAGGACTTATCTTTCCCGAAACTATCTACATATGCCCCAAGATTGAGCAAATTAGTTCATTACTAGTCACTTTAGCCTTATTTACAGCAATGGGATCACGGAAAGCCGATACTGTCTGATGTGGGCCACTCTAAAAACAAAATCCGGGGGCGGGGTTCCCGGTGATGGGGCCCGTATCAGCAAATCCGAATGACAAATGAAGTTATATGTATCATTCCGAATTGTGTCGAGGTATAAGACGAAGAATACAGGCTTTCCAGATCTTGATTCTTTCGCACTCTACCCCGCTTCTTTGGTACCGCGGGCACAGGCTCAACCGTGTCTCAAGACTGGGTGCAAGTTACTTCTCTTTACCTTGAATAGCAAGAAGAAGAAGAAGAAGAAGGATAAGAAGAAGAAGAAGAAGAAGGATAAGAAGAAGAAGCAATATGTGGACCAAGTTATTGATCATGCTGGTGTTGGCCGTGGCAGTATCGGCGAGACCCGCGAATCCCTTGTTCAACAGGAGCACTTCACAAACACGACAACCTGTGACCGGAAGTGCATGACTACCATGATGACTGAGGTCCTGGAGTCCATGATGGCAAACGACCCTTTCAGACTTCCATTGTCCGAGGTTTACAAGGCTACCGAGAACTCACACCCAGCAGCACTCAATATGATGACTCTATGGCGAACTGTCACTAAAGCCGGCCCCCCTGACCTACTGGCAATCGATACCAAGCAGGGTCAGGCATACTTCTCACTGGACATCACTGAAGGCAACGGCACAGCTCAAAGCATTCTCTGGGGCCGAATCAAAGTCGTCGACCAGCTGTTGACTGAGTTCGAGCTCTTCGTCAATCGTGGCCGTGGTGAAGACGGTTTTGCCTACGACGCCGAAAATCTTCCCCATAATTATAAGAGATGGATGACCCCACCGAAAGACCGAGTCAAAGCGAGTCGGGCAGAGCTTAACGGGGTAGCTGCAGCAAGTTTCAACTCGAATGACAATACCACCATCAACATGGCTTCCGACTGTCAATTCACTGAAATGGGTTGGATTGTCAAAAACGCGGCGTGCAACTGGATGCCAGACCGACCTACCGATCTAAATGCACGAACTGTGGTCCTGGACGAGGAACTCGGAATTATCGTAACAGCCGGAGTTGTCCCTGGAAAAGTTTATCCATATGCAACATTCTCCGCCTTTATTCCAGACTCCATGGAATCGTCGCAAAAAACACAGGATACGTGGTATGCGATTCAGAAATCGGAAGGCTACATCTACTTGGTGGAGCCAACTGAAGCCCTGGGAACAAGCTTCAACGTCTTCCAATACTACAACAACGAGCTTCAGGGTGAACAGTTTCTGGTCTACCTGAGCGGTCCGCGCAATGGGACTGCGTGGGCGTAGCTGCCTGAAATAAGTGAGGATAAAGTTTTCTTAGCCTTGGTGGATGATTCCGCGGATTTTCCCAGGGCCCCAGTTGCGCACTGGCGGAGGTTTTTTCTGTCAATATTGCTTGTCAAGATGCTCAAGCCCTGAGCTTCCCTGTCACTCTTTACCTGCTTTTCATATGTAATTTGGCTTTCATGAGATGATTTGTCAATCGAATAGCTTAGTCTCAGACCAGGTGAATATTTTACGGGTGTCTTGACATGTGTAGAATGCCTGCTCAGAATGTCATGAATTATGTCCTAAGTCAACTCGTAGAGAATCGACGCTGGCGAGAAGCCTTGATTGCTCCGATGAGCCTCACAGGTTATCTCTGTACCTCTGCCTTGGTGCCTGACCTACAGCGGATACCAGAAACAAGTAGTACATGGGAGAGTAAAAGCATACAAAGGGGAGGGGGGTTAGTGGATCGATCCAGTAGTTTTGCCAATCCCTTTGTTTGTGTCATGTGGGGCATCGGAAAGTATTAAACTGAAGGCATGTTGCTCCTCGGAATCAGTCCGTTTCGGTTTTTATTCTTGCTACTGCCTCCAAGTGCAACGTCCCTAAGACTCATTCCAGGGAGAGAGCACCAGATACTCTGAAATTGGAACAGTCATGTTCCTTCTAGTTTACTCAGGATGCTGTTCTTCTTCTCTGCTCACGGATTTTCAATTAATACCTTCATTTTCTGCTGTCTCTCCACGGATGGCCTACGTGTACCGAGCAGGCTACCTTGGGAGCTCCCTTTCCTCCAATTCACCAGGTACGTCTACTTATGTTAATGAATATGTGCACTTCTCTTTCTGAGAAAGGCTGTTGACCTCAAATCTGAAAACAGTGCTGACGCTGGTGTACCCTCACTTCTCCGCAATTGGCGACACAGTGCCGCCTCCCGCAAGCTTGACTGTTCGGCCTCGCAGGGCGTGATTCGCAGGTGAAGTGGCGTTGTACATGATCGAAAAGCCATTGCTCCGAACATTGGAGAATGAGCCATCAGTATTAGTCAAGTTCTGCAGCGCGGTATTGCCCGTCAAGTTCCAGGTACTAGAGGCATCGAGTGCCACACCTAACTCTGCAACTCCATGTCCAATGTAGCCCTTTCCGGTCCAGAATGAATGTCCGTGAAGTTGCAACGCCAGAGTGCTGCCATTGTATGCCACGAGGTCACCGTTCAGGGTGCTCTGTTCCACGAATACATGGCCATCTGCGGTATTCACCGCGCTCGGCATGTCAGAATACCCGGCATAGAAGTTGAACTTCTGGGTGATTGTGGAGTAATTGGCTACAGCCAGAAGCCCAGAGCTTGTCACAAATTCCGTGTGGTGGACGTAAACCTCTCCCACAACACCACCAAACCAAAGCGCAGGAGCGGTCTCGTCGGTGACAGTGATCTTGCTGTGATCCAGGTAGAAGCAGTTCACACCCGAGCTCTTGTCCAAGCTGAAGATAACGAGGCCAGCGAGGAGTCCAGCGGTTAGTTCACAGTTGGTACATGTTCCAACGGCGCCGGCGATCGTAAAGAATGCTGGAGATTTATCCGCCGAACCAACCACATTTGTCAGGCTCATCTCTCCCAGAACAAATCCAACTGCGGACCCAATGCCTGCGGTATGAGCAGCAGAGTCGTGAATGTATAGGTATCCTGCGGGATTGTCGCCAGAGAAAGCAGAGCAACAATTTCCACCACTATAAACATTGACATTCCGAGCGTGGATTGTTCCATTTCCGCTCGCATACAGGCCGTGGGCTGTTGGTCCCGAACTGTACAGCCAGATGTTCTCTGCGTCAACAACGGTACCCGTGCCATAGGCGTAAACATTGGCCGCACCGTTGTGGCTGGTAATGTTCACGTCGGATAGGTAAAGCTGGCTGTGGTTGGCCGCGAGCACTGCCGAGTTCGTACCAAAGAAGCTCGCCTGAATGAGGTCGCTGGAGTATCCAAATTTGGTGATCGTCGTGTCTCTGACATGAACCATCGACCCATCGATAGCGACCAGAACACTGGTCTCGTTTCCAGTGCCATTGAAGACTGTATTCTCAAAAGTCTTGTGTTGGTGCTTCACGGTGTATGGGCTGACTATTGCCATCGTCTGGTAGTAGATCACCGGAACATCGTAGTCTGCTTTGATTGCATTGTCAGAGGCCCATTCTTGGTATGGAATGGTGTCGCTTGGGGCGTTCACAATGATTGACGCAGAAACGAGCGACACAAGTGATAAAAAAAGTAAGGCTTTCATCTTGTTAATGAGGCAAACAGTTGAGTTTGTTATCAGAGACTATATGTAATATAGATGTGGCTGTATTTATAGCCTGTACAGCATACAATGCACCCTCGCCAATGGTCTCCAAACTTATTGCTTCTGATCTTCAATGTGAAATTCAACGTGAATCTCGATTGTTGGCAAGATGGTAGCTCCTCGGCCCCACAGACTTGGTCGCGCCGTGGTAGCTCCGCTGTGCAGCTCTTCTCCACACCTATCGGGGCCCACAAAGCTTTTCCGGGCATGCAATTTCCATCCATTAGTATTCTAGCTGCGGTAAGAGAGTCTTTAGCCAAGACACGAAAATTAGGATTTTAAGCCTGCTTAAGCTGCGAGTCGTTACATGGTATCTCGGAGAGCCGGAAGGATTCGTAAGCGACTAACCGGATTGCCGGTGGGATTCTATAGGGCGCTCGCAAACCACGGGCTCAGACCGGGGAAGGTACCGGGAACACAGTATTTCCAAAACTGGGCTGGTCAGCGCATCCACTTTGCGCCCCCTTGGATCCGGGGTAAAACGGGATATGTGTGGAGTAAGGTTGTGTTCGGCCCTCGCTAGGATAACATTCCTGCTGAGGTGTCAAAGAGGAAATACTTGTGGCTGGAACCATTGAGTGGGCGATAGAACAAAGCAGCTTCGTCACTCCAGGAATGACCTAATTACCGTGGTATTTTTTTGACAACGACGATACGAGCAGCCGATAAGACTGCAAATTAGGTATAGACTGTAGTTAAAGCCCATGTTGATTCATAAATCGATTTGGCGGTAACCTGTTGCGGTTACTATGTGAAGGATAGGTTGCCCAACTTCTCAACTAAAGGGCATCTATAGAAGGCACAATCTTGATATTACCATCTTGTTTTCACACCGAAACTCTTGAACAAAGTACTTTCAATAAATGTTATTGAAACTCTGCACATAGCGCATACGCGTATCTGGCAGCATTACGAGAGAAACTACTGTCGCCGGCTGCTGATAGCTGTTCTCCAACAGGCCAAAAAGGATCGCGAAAACTTGCCGTTTTCCTCATGGCAATGATATGGCTCAGATAAGCCTAAGTCATTGTACTGCTTGTCAAGAGGACAGACGATCACTTGTCGGGAAGTGGAGGATACCGTTCAATGTCAGGCCCGGAATGGTAACCTTACGCTTGGAGTGGATAGACATCCAGGCCCAGACTACCGGATCCATCTGGCCTATCCATTGCTAACCATGTTGAGGTAGATTTCAGGATATATGCAAGGCCATATCAACTCCTTTCTCCCTTTCGTCCTATGCTCCTTTGTCCTCGACCATTGCTCCAAGCTCAGCTATCATGGAAAAGCTTACAACTCAGACTCTCGGGACGGTCCAGCTCCGTCATGAGGAAACCAACGAAATTATTCTGATTCCAGAGCCGTCTCGAGATCCAAACGATCCATTAAACTGGTAAGCTTTACGCTCGAAGAAGGACAGCCTTCGCCCACAAGCAGCTAACCGACTCTTTTCGTAGGTCTACTGTACGCAAGTGCTACCTTCTTGGTTTGGTCTCTTTTGGCATATTTCTCGTCAATTTCGTGGCTGTAGGGCCCTCCGTGGCCCTTGCCTCTATTGCCGTCACTTTTTTTGGAAATGGTCCAAATCTTGGGAAGGAAATTTCGGGAAAGGCTTCATATTTCCAGACGGCTACTTCCCTGATGGTCGGAATGGGGAACCTCTTCTGGGTTCCCTTGGCGACAAAGTATGGAAAGCGACCGGTCTACATTGCTTCCTTCCTGCTTCTTACCGGATCTTCAGTTTGGTGTGGCGTCGCGACAAGATTTGCCAGTGAGCTGGCAGCAAGAGTTGTCCTTGGCACTGCCTGCGGTGCACCAGAGATTATCGCGCCTCTCACACTGACCGATATGTTCTTTCTCCATCAACGAGGTACCGTCATGGTGTAAGTGGTCTCTGCAGAAATCTTGGGCTTTTCCATTGTCTTCGAACTTCTTTGACAGTTATTCTAGAATTTATACTTGTGCCTTATCCTGCGGCGTTGGCGCTGGGGTTGTCGTTTCGGGCCTGATCACCATGCATCATAGCTGGCGCGTCATCTACTGGTTGTGCACCGGACTTCTCGGAGCTACGACCATCTTGGTATTCTTTACCTTCCCAGAAACAAGTTACAAGAGAGAAGTCACGACCGACGGAATCGAAACGATCGAAGAGAGTCCAAAGATCCGCGTGGGTCACACTGAGGACATCGTTATGCCAGTGCCCTCGAAACGAACCTTTGCACAAAATCTCAGAGTATTCACCACGAAGTATACTGACGAGTCCTTCTTCGTGCTTGCTATGCGACCAATTATCGCTCTCGCTCTACCAGCGGTTTTCTGGGCCACATTGATCAGCTCTGTCACCATCGGCATGATTGTCATCATTTCTGCCAATTTCTCGACTGCGTTCGCCAATATCTACGGATTCAAGACCTGGCAATCCGGCTTAACATTCATTTCCACCATCATCGGCTCTCTGCTCGCGATCTTTGTGGGTGGTTATTTGACCGATTTTATCGCCGACAAATTGACGTTGCGGAACAATGGAAAAAGAACCCCCGAAATGCGACTTCCTGCTCTTGCGGTGAGCCTGATCACAGCACCATTGGCTTGTATCCTGTATGGAGTTGGTTGCGGGAAGCAGCTTCACTGGATTTGTGCAGTCATTGGAATCGGTCTAGGTACGCAAACCCTTGGACAGGCTCTCCAACAGAAACTTATCAGCCGTTTGCATATTCTAACGATTTACGCCTTAGTCAACTTCACAACCGTTCAGGCAACCAACATTGCCATCGTGTATATTGTGGACTCATATCGTCCAATTGCCGGTGAGGTCATTGTCACACAGTCCGTCTTCAAAGGTTGGTCATTCTAAGAGCACACCCCTACTTACCTTCGCAAAATTGGCACTGAAACTCGATTATAGCTCTCTTTGGATTTTTGCTCAGCTTCTATGTTGATCAGTGGATTGAATTATCTGGATACATCAATACCTTTGGCGCGTTGGCAGGGATATCCGCAGCTGTATTTCTTTGTGTTGTCCCGTTCTATTTCTGGGGACACGAGATGCGGCACAGTTCGTGGAAATGGGGATTTGTCAGCAAGCTGCTTCACTGGAATATGGACCGTGAGGTGGGAGAGTGATGATCGAGTTTCTGAGTTTGGTGGTATGTCAGCTGCGGAGCCCGTGGAATTGTTGAATTAATACTCTGTGCGATATGCTTGGCGGGTGGTCCAGCCTTTGCTCATGTAGTAATTGCTACTTGTTATATATTGCCGTTGAGCTAATGTATATTCCCCACACCATTTATCTCGCATTTCAGATTCGCTCAAAGCCCCTTGAAATTGCTACGGATATGACAGTACGGAGTGCTAGGCACAATTTGGTGGGAATCTCTTTCGATAATATAATGTAATTTTCCAAACTTCATTTACCCGAGGAAAGTGCGGAAAGCACATTCCAAATAACGATAAATTTTCAATAATTGTATCAATTACTGAGCATGTGCCCGCTTGACTGCCCTCCATTTGACATCCGCACCGAACGACTACTTTTGGTTGACAAAACTAAATTGTCCCATTTGCACACATAAATAATTCTGATATCCCCTCGACTGGGAACTTGGTTCAAAAACCTTGGGGAGGTGGGGGTATTATTAAGGAATCAATAATGGCAAGGAGGATTCGAGATCTAAGAAGGGAACGGAAATTTGATTGGGCTACGAAATAAATGACCTATTTAACTGAATGCATATCTCGTGGAGGTACCTATAATAGTACTATGATTGACAGACCATCACCTATTCAAACAATGGAAAGAAGACAGTCAAATAACAACATCTGGCACGCCAATAACAGTCTCCGTCGTTCCTGCGCCAGTCATGAAAAAATCGCAATTATGTACCTCGAAGAAGGCAACCGCGTCGTTCTCGTCTGCAAAAATGAGTGTCTCAAGCGCTTTGTAATGAAGCCATGATCCGCCGGAGAATTGTGAGTCGTGGAAGTAATTTTTCGTCTTCGGCGTCACATCATGCCACAAAATGTACTTTCGTGGCCGACCATCAGAAGCCAAAAGACTTTTCAATTTGGCAGCTCGCTCTGAGAACCATTGAGGAGTGAAATCATCATCGATGCCCTCCCTCTTGTGGTAGATCAAACACTGAATGGGACCAACGTTTGCTGCTTCAGATGACTCGGATTTTGCAGTGTATTGATCCATCTGGGACATAAGACATCCTTCCTGATCCAGTCGGCAGAAGATGTGACTGCCAGCAGTTCTGCGATAGTCGGGGTCTTGTAAGCCAACATGAATTACGAACAAAGTCGGCCATGTCAAGCACGTCACGTAATCCCAAACAGGAGACTTTGTGCCCGAGACCGACTTTCGCAAGTTTTCCAGTTGCACATATCGACGAATCACCGGAGCCTTCTCGGCTCCGATACGAGTCATGTTGGCATGAACAACTTCGTACTCGTGCCGGAACTTTTCCTCGGTCCAGTCCGGAATACGAGTGACCGAGACGAACCATGTCACTTCTCCCCGTGTGTCGAATATTTTGTCAGATGTAGTCGTGAGACAAAAATCTGGGAGTCCAGTCTGGGACGCGGTGATAACATCCTTTGGATCTTTCAATTTCGCAAATGTCTCTTCTCTTTCTTTGACATGCTCAGGATCTTGCGAGAAAAGTCTCAGCAAGTTGCCAGTGCTGAGCGGGCTTGTCCGCTCGAGAAAGATTCGCCGCCGAACATCGGAATAAGTTGTCAAGACTTTGGGATCATCGTCATGCCAGATGACTTGCTTCAAAGCTTTGGCAAGATGAGCAGCATCGAGGAGCCCAGTCGTAAGACCAAGGCCGCCGACAGGATTGTTTAGCTGTAACTTATGTTTAGCACGGATTTTGAATTCGGGTTCCTTGAATTGAAGACATACATGCGCCGCATCACCAGCTAAAAGAACATTTCCATCCCGGAAGCGACTCGCACATCGCTGGTGCACGACATATGGAGCCATAGCTTCGTACTGGATTTGGCTGGTGTCACCCGGGAGAATGCGACGCAAACGTCTCTTGACAAGGTCGATGGTAGCTTTATCGAGGGGATCCTTAGTTTGGCTGTCTCTCTGAATTCCCGTGGCTAATCGCCAGCTGTTTCCCTTGCCACGTTTAACCACAATGCCCCAGTCAACCGGGTCCACAATAAAGTTAGCTGCCTTCCATTCATGTTCCCGCAGAGGGTATTGGAAATTGACAGCCACAAACTGCAGCTGCTCGAGCGTATGACCTTCGAGATGAATGCCCAGACTATGCCTCACGGAGCTGCGACCGCCATCCGCCCCGATCAAGTATTGACAGGTGTGTTCAGTTTCGTGGTCGTCCCGCCGTGTCCAGAATCTAACAGATCCAGCACTTTGTTCCAAGCGCTGGAATGACTCATTGAAAAACACATTTGCATTTGAAGTCGCCAGAAGCTTCTGCATCAAGATCTCGCCGAGTTCTGGCTGTGCAAGGCACACGGCAAAAGTGGAATCGTTTGGAGGCGGATCGATGCCGGCAATGAAGGCCCCGTCTGCGGTTCTCCAGTCGCATCCATCTGCATTCTTTTCTCCCGCGGTGATTATATCGTCAAGGATGCCTGCTTTGGAAAATTCCTCAAGAACTGGTGGGAAGTAGCTAAGGAAAGTAATTTAGCTTGTTCTGAGAGGAAACTGATAGTCACTCACGCTACCGCGCGAGGCGACTGGTTGATTCCCTCGCCTGCCTCAAAGACCGTGACGTTAATCCCACTTTGTGCGAGGACGAGCGCAGTAAACAGTCCAACAGGACCAGCGCCAATTACGGCGACCGGGCTTTCAGTGTCCTGTCGAAGCTGTAAGTCAATATTCTTATTTTCCGTACGGAGCGTAGCGGAGATCCCACCATAATTTTCTGGGCTGAGGCTAAAGTATTACGTTTCTCAATCTGTCGCTAAAGGGAGTTCAAGGTGCTGGGAGAAGTTACATGATATAGTGACAAGGCCTACTTAGAATGCAAGATCTATACCTCGGCAAGAGGGGCTCTCGTCGGAAGTCCGCATCGATGGCCTTCCCGTCACCTTGGTAGCTTGATGCGGTTTCTCAGTCAATCCAGGTTTGTGTAAGAAAAGATCCGGGTGATTAGTTCTCTGTTGCTTACTCCCGGCCGTGACTAAAATGGCTCAAGGTTACGGCAAGCCGGTCTTGGCGTCTCATTCCGATTGCACTGAGTACGACGATGTGTCTTTGGGCTCCACCCGTGGGCTTTCTGTACATATCCGAAGCGCACCAGTGCCGGCCCACAAGTTCCGATGCGAGAATGACCTCAACATCGAGAATAATCCCTTACGACTTGTAACTTCAAAAGCTGGTTCTCTTTTCACTGATTGGCTTGTGACAAGAGGTTGTCTTGCTCGTGAGGTGGAAAGCGCCTTTTGCAACGCCTGCTGTTCTTCGCAATCAAACACTCTTGCCTCGTCGCATTTAGCTGTCAATTTGAGCGTTCAAGAATGGTTCCAAGCAGCGAGGACATCTTGAATGGCTCTCGGCCAGATCCAGAGTTTGAAAAGGTTTCTTAATTCACCCACACGTCCTACTGTTTGCAGATTATCACATTGAGAGGCCCTGACTAACTTGCTCTTGATTCATTTGAGATTGCGACAAAGGCAGCTGCGCCACCTCTACCCTCCGACGTTGATATAAGCGACCTACGCAACGTTACAAACGCAGCAAAAGCAACTACTCGGGAAGCTCATGGCCTAGATGCTCGTGTTTCCGAGCACGACATTGAAATACCCACGGGCGACGCCAGCATAATAATCGCCCGCGTGTATTCTCCCACAGAAATTACTACGGAACACAATCTCCCCTTATTTGTCTTTTTCCATGGTGGTGGCTTCTGCATTGGCAGCCGTTACGATGACTATGAGGCCAACCGCGCCGTAGCACTGAGAAACAAAGTCATTATAATCAGCCCGGATTACCGTCTAGCCCCGGAATATCCTTTTCCAACCGCTGTTCAAGACGAACTCGATACTCTGAAATGGGTAAGCAAGACTCTCCAGCAAAACACATCTGCTTATCTATTTGCTTGATCTCATAGCAGTCGAAACCCTCTCTTATACTTCTTGACTCAACATTTCTGTACTGACGTTCTGATGGTCCACCAGGTAGCAGCCAATAGGCACAAAATTCACCCCTCCGCCTCGCTGTCCGCTGGTATAATCGTGGGCGGTACCTCCTCTGGAGGTAACATTGCCAACGCCGTCGTTTACTTGAATCGCAACCAGGCCAGTCCCGTGAAGGTGACCGGCCAGTTTCTTAGTGTGGCACCCTTGATCCCTGCGCCAGTTGTCCCGGATAAGTACCGACAAGATTATACGAGCGCCGAACAGAGCAAGGCATTCTCCATTCCGCCACCAGAGCTGACTCAATTGTTTTTGTGTAAGTTTCTTCTTGTGATCACCTCCTATCTTCCAAAAATAGGCAACATGTACTTCCGCTGTTTAACTATATCTATCCTCGTCACAACGAAGCAAGAATCACTAACCGTTCATTTTCACTTCGCCATCTAGCCGCTTACAAGCCTGATATCCATTCTCCTCTGATGGTTCCTTTCAATCATCCTAAAGGGCACGGTAGCATCCCTCCTACATACTTCCAGGTTTGCGGTCTAGATGCCCTGCGTGACGACAGCTTGATCTATGAGCGAGTCTTGCGGGAAGAGAATGGGATCGCCACCCGTCTTGACTTCTACCCTGGCCTACCTCATCACTTCTGGGAGTTCTTTCCGCAATTGAGGCAGCACATCCATCGGAGAATCGAGGATACCGTAAATGGTATTCAATGGCTATTAGAAGAAGGCAGACAACACCATGTATTCTAAATAGCGACTTGTTTTACAATCCCAGGACTTTCTGGTATCAATGCGACTCACTTCGCTAATTGTAACAAATTGCAGTTTTCATTTGAATTTCTCCAGACTCATGCCCTTGTGCGGAGCTCTCCAGGAAACCGGCGACGTTACGTTTCTACTCGGGTTCACCACATCAGTACATTAAAAATTCAGCTGGACTCCACTCACTGGTTGTTCCGTAATACACAATGGCTGTGTAAGAATCCCCATGCATAGCAACTGAGTCAAAGTAGTGGCATTGCCTGAGGAGCCAAGCCCAAACTTTCAATCAAGATGGCAACGTCAGGATGAATAGGCATACAGAAAATGTCTTGCATATTTCAAGCTAAATCATCAGTGCAAAACAATCACCCCTTAGTGTATTGTTTCAGTGCTTGTACAAGTGCCCAGCCAACTCGCCAATTCCCTATAGCAGCTCAGGTTCATTTCGGTCGAAGGAATCCACCCCCACGAAGTTTGTATGTCTTTCCTCTCAACGCTGAATTGAACTTGGACTCTTTATCATAGGTGATATTGAATCCATTGCTGACAACATTGCTCAAGGAGGTATCTGCATCAGAAAAGTTCTGAAGGGCGCTGTTCCCCGTCAAATTCCAAGTCGAAGTCTCATCGAGATGCACAGCGATGTAAGCGCTGTTATAGCCAATTTTGGCATCACCAGTCCAGTGTGAGTGCTCAGCCAAGTTGAAAGTAATTTTCGACTCATTGTAGGCGACCAGTGAGCCCGATAGGCTGGAATCCTCGACTTTTACACTGATCTGGCCAGGTGACATATTCTTGTTTTGGTCATAACCAGCAAAGTAGTTGAAGTCTTGCGTGATGAAAGAATAATTTGCCACAACTAAGAGTCCCGAGGCACTGTTGTTGATGAAAGACGATTTGATATGCGCCTCTGCAATGATGTTTCCAGCCCACAGAGCAGGCATTGTGTCGCCTAAGACGGTGAGTTTCGTGTTGTCGAGGATAGTCGTCGATCCATCCCTGATTGCCGAGTCAGAGAAGATCACGAAGCCCGCGAGCAAACCAGCTGTCAGATCGGAGTCTTTCCAAATTCCCGTAACAGGACCCATGCTGCCGTCGCTAAAAGAGACTGGGGAATTCCGGGCATATCCGACCACGTTCGTCATATTGCAGATTCCTTGCAGGAAGCAGATCGCAGATTCAACGCCATCGGTGTGGGCAATCGCGTTCTCCACGTGGATGAACCCGTTGGGGACGTCTCCGCTAAAAGAGGAGCACCGATCACCGCCTGCATAGTGTCGGACATTCTTCGCGTAGATGGTTCCATTTCCTGACGCGTAAAGACCATGCGAGACAGGGCCAGAACTGTACATCCAAATATTTTCAGCATAAATGACGCTCGTGTTTCCATGAGTGTACACGTTTGCAGCGCCGTTGTGCGTGGTGATATTGACATTGGAGAGGTGGAGAGTCGAGCCGTTGGCATTGTTGACAGCCGCATTGACACCTTGAGTGGTCCCATGGAGTTAATTTCGTGAACATCTTTGGTGTTTGAAAAACCTACCATAGAAGCTAGCCTGGTTCAAGCTCGTGGAGTAGCCAGTTTTGACAATTACCGAGTCGTCGACAGTCACGGTTGACCCTTCAGTCACCACGAGGACGCTGGTATCGTTTTTGTGGTTTTCCAAGATCTGGTGGCTGATGTGTTCCTTTTGATGGCTATAGTAGTAGGGACCGGTGATTGCAATCTCTTGGGAAACTGTGCCGCCGGCGGTACGCCAATCGAACACATAGGCATTATCTGCAGCCCAGTCTTCAGAGGGAATGTCATCGCTTAGGTCGTAAACCACGAAGCTCCCAAGTGCCAGAGTAGCAAGCGGAAAGAGGAAAATAGAGTTCACCATTGCCGAATATCTTTTCGAATACAGATGCTAAAAGAGCCTGAGCTACATGTGTCACGGCCGTTGAAGCCTACTTTATAAGTAAAAATACTCTGATCCCAACTGCCTCCACTTCGGTAATATTGCAATTCAGTTATCCTGAGCTAAGGAGACGACGGGGTTTGTCATGTGGAGGCAGTAAATATTAATCACGATTCCCAATTTGGGAAATAGCCAAGAGCTTTCATAACAATATTTGAATACAAACAGCTATATCTCCGCAAGCTAATTTCGGGTTGTGGGGAGAAGCTGCCCCTGTATAACGGCTTACCGGAATCTTTTGGCCAGGCTTCGTTTTCCTCAGAGGTTCACGCACAAGTGATACGTCTGATCCAATATTGTTTGGCAGAACGTACGGCAGCCTCTAGAATCCCCATGGAGAGCGCTACATTCCGCAAATTTGGTCTGCCAAAGTTGTTGGTCCTCAAACGCAAGGGTGTACTCAATACTCGACAAAGGAAAGTCGCGCTATGTTCCAGAACCAATTGAACTCGGAAACGAGCCCTGGGCTCGGAACACATGACGTGAATGTCCCGGCATGCACCTCATCTGTGTTCCAACCAGAGCAAGATGCGTTTGGCCAATATCACTCTTCCGTCCTACAAGATTGCTGCTGTTGTGAAGAAGCTCGCTTAAGTGTTTCCCATGCTGTATTTCATCGCCTTGAGTTGGTCAATTTGTGTCTTGGTGAGACTCTCGGAAGCTGCCATTTCCTTGCAGCGTCCATCCAGCGTTTTCGGACATGTTTTGGAATTTGAACCCTTTCGATCAATAAATTCCATGGAAGAATCTAGAATATGGTGTGGTGTTCACTTTGACCAAATTGTTGAGCCCGCCATCAGCCAGTTTTATCTTACCCCTGTACTCACTTTGCAGGCTGATGGGCTTTTGTAACAGAAAATGCAAGATCAATTCATCTGGTGGTCTTGTCATCATCCTGAGGACGGGCAACGTTAAGCTCGCATCCTCGAACCGTGTCGAGGCTCATGTGAGCCGAACGCTTTCCCCGCTCCATCAACTCCCATTCTCCACACTGACGCAGACTGTGGGGTTGGTCCCGCCTCTTCATTCTCCAAAGCTACGATTCTACTTCCATACTGCCCCTCAATCTCCGAATATTGCGTATACCAACCAGCCCTCGCGGCTTGCGCCAAGCAAGTGTCCAAAATATGATAGTCGTGCAATCATCTTTTTAGACCCATACCCAAGGCTAACTGGTCTCATTTAATTTGGGCTTCTAAATCCCGAGCTATCCACTATTGCAAGCGAGTCTCATTGGAAATACAAATTAGTAGGTACAATGGCTCTGGAAGACACTTGTACAGAAAGATTGAGAATCACGACTCTTTTTGACATTTGAATCAGAATAGTAAGCTAGTAGGACAAGAAATAGCTAGACCAGGCGCTTTTGCATCTCGACAGGTCACAAATAAGCTGCCCACTCGAACATTCGCTGAATCGTAAAGAGCTCAGAAGAACCGCCAGCATACACTCAGTGTAGTAAAGTAAAACATTGCTACTCAGCGCTACCACACCGATTCAGAGCCCAACTCTCACACCCAGGAAGATGTCATATTTGGACCACTCAGCAAGACATTAAATTGGAGGGCCTGAAGCTTGTCGTTGAAAAATTGGAGCACTTCGAGGTTCTCCCCAGTGGCTTCGGTTGGCGCAACCAGAGTCAAATTGCCTTGTTTCTTCACTTCGTTGAACCAGGCTTCTTGCGCTTTTTGAGGCGCAGACATGGAATCCGGGATAAAAGTGGAAATATCACCGTAATAAGGATAGACCTTGCCTTGAGTCAGACCACTGGTCACAATGAAGCCCAGCTCCTCATCGATGACTAGACTAGTTCGTGCCGTAAGGTCAGTGGGTCTAGTAGTGCCCCAACTGCAGGTAAGCGGCGACGAGGACTCGTTTCCGTAAACGCCGGTGTCGATGATCTTCCAGCCCACTTCGGTGAATTGGCAGGTATCGCTAACGCTGACCGACAGGTTGTCCGACGAATCCCAAGCAGCCGCCCCGATGGCTTCCAGCTTTGCCCGACTGGCCTTCACGCGGTTCTTCGGCGGCGACATCAACACTTTGAAGTTATCTGCCAGTTCCGTAGAAGAAAAGGCATAGCCGTCGTCGCCGCGAGTGCGGTTGATAAACAGCTCCAGCTCGGTGATGCGTCCATCGACCACCTTGACGCGACCCCTCAGAACTGCTTCCGCTTTGCTGTTGCCTTCGCTGACAGTGGTGGCAAAATAGGCTGAGCCTTGTATGGTGTCGATTGCCAACATGCTAGGCGATTCAGCCTTGACGATGGTGCGCCATAGTGTCATCATGGCGAGGGATGCACCATGCCCGTTCTCAGTCGCTTTATAAACAGTGGCCAGCGGGAGGACGTGCGAGTTGTGCGTTTCCATAGAATGCAAGATTTGAGTCACAATGTCTTTCAGATGCTCGCGAGAGGTGGCATGAGTCGAGCGTTCACTGGCAACCGCGGCGGCGGCGGAAGGAGCCGCCACCGCGAGGCATAGCGAGAAAAGAAGAAGATTGAAGATACTAGGGATGCGCATCGTGCGGTTTGGGAAAGGATATAATGATAGACGAGCCTCGTGTCGACCATATGACGGGAAAGCTCACGTTCATATATAACTGAGTTATGTAGGTCCATCATGTACATGGGTCCGCTCGGCCCCACCTCCTGCTAGCTCATTCTGAATGAGTTCCTGGTCCCGGTCTGGGGTAATGTGTTAGGCATGTGTGGGTCGGGTCAATCTGGGGTTAGGATGATGTGAAGTAAAACTGCTCTGATCCGGACTTCCCATGACTTATGACGAATTAAACTACGCCTTACACAGCAAATCGACAAGCCGCCAGTTTAATGTAACTGCATCTTCGTGGAGAGGTACTTGTAAGCAACATTGGTTTCTCTTCTGAAAAATGATGGTCAGATTGTAAGATGGTATGATGAAACCTGGAAATATCAAACTTATGTTGCTCTGCACGCTCATTGGAAACGTTCGCAAAGGTACCAAGCATCTACGGATAAGTGCGAGTTGAGGTATCACTTTTTAGTCACTTTCTTTCTACAGTATACCTTCATAACCCTCATGAGCTAGGGCCTTGGCCCGTTTTCCGACAGGTAGGCAGTTATTCCTGGAAACAGAGGCATAAGATGTGTTACGATCACACTGGCTGGGTGCAGGGACCAAAACTACTAGGGTAGTCGGCCCGGCGAGGACTCATCACCAGGCATTCAGTCTTGCCAGCTTAGGTATGGAGTGTTCCATTCCCAGCCCCACCCAGGCCGGCTTGCCGTTGTGCCCTCAATTACGGCTTCCCGCTCTAGGTAGCCATATTAGTCGGTAATCCATCGTCGCTCACACCAGCGGGGTACGCCACTAGTCCTGATGATAAGCAACCAGGAAAGCAGGGAACTTGAGGTTCTCAAATCAAGAACCTCTAGAGAAAGCGCTAGCGAGACCTCTAGGACCATCTCGAATCCAGCCGAACTGGCCGAAGGCGGCGGGAGGCAGGGTAGCAGCAGGCAGACAAGGGACCAACAAACTCGGGCAATCGTGGGTTCATGATCTTGTGGGTTAACCTTGCTGGCGTGAATCAAGAATTGCTCAAAAACCTCAAGATCGCCTTCAACAGCTGCCATACCCCCCTTCTCTATGGGCCAGAAGTTATCGATAACTCGTGCTCGCGCAGAGATTCTAGTCAAAGCATCATCCCGGCGATGGTCAAGGCAGTATATTCGCCAAAACTGTGACCAATCACACCTTGTATGGGAACTCCGCAATCGATCCAGGATATGGCGCAGGATACTGCAGAGCGAACGAAGAAATATGCAGGGCCACCATGTCACTGATGGGTAATTTCTGGAAAGTTCCGGGATATATGCTTGGAAGTCAGAGATCTTGATAGATACCATCACATCGATCAAAGTAAGAATGTAAAGGGGTGATTCTGTAGAGTGAACATGCTGAATCCAGGTCTGTGCCATTCAGCTCTAGCCCGGGAATCAGGTTGGGATCTTTGGTTCCTGAAGCTCGTGTTTGCTCGATCTACCAGGGTGGGAAGCCGAAGCCTGTTGGCGGCTGCTGCCTCTGGGCCTGAGAGTCATGGAGCATACCTATCAGACGATAATTTGGCCAATGAAGCGCTGTCTCTATTTGTGACCAGTCGGGAAAATTCTGGCCCGAAGCGTGTTGCTGACAACAATAGCAATGATAATTAGGCAAGAACAAATAAGCTCCTCGTGTGTCCGCTGATTCGGCGATACTCAAGCTGGGCTAGTTTTCCAAGTATAGAGTCTTTTGGCCAATTCATGGAAAACCACAGGAACATCTTCCGTCCAATCACGAATTAGAAACGAAAAGTACGTTTTTGCGTATTGAAACAGCTTAATAAAAGCGCTTCTACCACAGAACTATATTGGGTCCTATCAACATCCTTTTGATCAAAGAAGATAAAAAGATGGCTTTTATCTTGAGTCACCATGGTTGGATGGAGTTGTAATGACGAATTCAGGTCGAAACGTCTGCTATCTACAGCCTCAGGCGCTAAAAGCATTCCCTAGAGGACATTACTCAGGTTGCCATCCCTTATTATTTCCAAGAGAGTAGTGTTTCAAGCGGCTTTGAATAATGTGCAGAGTTTGAGAAGAATGACTTGGTCTCTTGATCCTATCATAGTCTCTGCAGTTCCTGGGACGCGCAGATCTCTCGGAGATTTCCCGCAGCCAACATTTGATTGGCCAACTTTGATGCTGAGAACGGCTTTGCCAGGATATAATTCAGTGTCGCTCGCCGAAGAAAGCTTTATAGAGAAATTGCAACCTGTCGCATTTGTAAGCGGTTCGAGTGATTAAGACCCCGTTACTGCAAGAAGTGGGGTTCGAGCGGAGAGAAGACTCGAGGTATTCAGTGCTATCCGTACACAATTTATGCTTTCCAAAGTGATTGACCTTATTGGCTTCCACTGCTGGTACCGATTTTGACAGTTGCGTTTCTAGAAGATCGAGAAATCGGGGAAATATCCAATTGTTTCGGGAAATTGACGACGCGCGGGGAAATTGGTGTCCTGCATTTCTCCGGCTATCAGATAGGGTGGGGCATGCTTAGGCCCATTTTGGCGCTGATCGTACACAGCTTTTCCTTTGAATCCATCAAGTTTCCCAACTGCCCAGTTATTTGCCTTTCTTTGGGCTTGGAATTCCCCGCCATGACCATCGACCCATCATTCTATACATGACTTGCTGAGCTTAGTGTCCGCTAGCCCCGTTGCACTGACAATCGGCAACATTCCCACGAGGGCACGCAATGCTACCAAGCTCCTCAAAACTCCTAAGCCTCCCGTCCCGTGTCGATATGGTCCCACTTGACCCCGCATATATGTTTCTCAGAGTCTATACATCTGGATGGTTGCGGGGAAATAGTGACATTCTGCTGGCACGACTGGGACGGTTAAATGTCGGGGCTTGCAAATACGGCGTATAAATAGCCATGAAGAGTTCTGCATTCCTGTGAAGTCTCTAGCCCCATTCCTCCCATTCGATCTGGGAATTACAGCCATGCGGTTCGAAATTGTGCCTGTTGCGGCCATCGCTGCCGTGTGCGCACCGCTAGTCAGCGCTGCCCCGCCAGCCCAAGCTGATTATGCTGTGAAGCCACGAGCCTCCAAGCCCAATCGCAGCAGCTATAGCTTCTCCTCCATGACATCGACACGCTATGCGACTCCTCTGCCAACCTCGTCGCCAGTGACGACGTACATGCCAACGGCCTCGATGAAAGCCATCATGCCGTCCGGTGTCAAGACCACCACGTGGAACAAGAACGAAGCGAGTGCTTCGGACTGGGATAATCCTTACGGCCAAGCCGAATGGAACCGTCGCTGGGCCACTTTCATGCCGAATGTATCCATTTCAACTTTCAGCGTTACGACCACCGTGCAGGCCACTCCGGTGCCGTCTTCCTCTCTCGTCCTGCCCCCGCCAGCCGGATTCAGCTACAGTGATGCGCGCAATGCGAGAAATTATAAATTCCCAAAGGATTTCATCGTTGGTGTGGCTTCATCAGCCGGTCAAATTGAGGGCGCTATCCAGGATGAGGGTCGCACACCTAGTGTTCTGGATTACTTCAACTTCAATGCGGGCCAGGCACCGGACTATATCACGGACTGGAACTACTATCTCTACAAGCAGGATATTGCACGCATTGCTGCTATGGGTGTCCCATACTACTCCTTTTCTATCTCGTGGACTCGCATCCTTCCATTTGCTGGCGCTGGCACCCCTGTCAACAAGGAGGGCATTGACCACTACAACGACGTGATCAACACTTGTCTCGAATACGGTGTGAAACCCATGGTCACTATCGTGCATGCCGACGAGCCGTATGAGTTTGTGATGGACGGAGGAAATGTGACGAGATCCTATCTCTCCACAAATTCTGGGGCTGCCAATGGCACATTCGTCGACTCCTTTGTCTACTACTCCAGTATCTTGTTCGCCGAATTCGGTGATCGCGTACCTATCTGGATTACCATTAACGAGCCCTACTATGAATCGGGTAATCTCGAGGGCATGTACAACTTTCTGGAGGCACACACCCAGGTCTACGACTTGTACAAGTCAATGGGCGGCAAGGGAATGATGTCGTATAAGAACGCCGATAACTTCGGCGTTCCGCTGGATCCTAGCAGCCAAGAAGATATCAAGGCTACCAACAGATACCAGGATTATCTTCTCGGGATCATGTCTAACCCAACATGGCTGGGTAAGGATGTTCCCGAGAGCGTGGCATCGACCTGCACCAACGAGTCTCGTGCACTTTCTCCCGAGACCCTCGCCCGGTACAAGGGCAAGTCCGACTTCTACGCCGTTGACCCCTACACCGCAACCTTTGTTTTCCCACCAGATGATGGTATCGACGCCTGCGCCAAGGACCCGAACCATTCCCTATGGCCAAACTGTGTCAACACTACATCAGTCAGCTCTAACGGATGGGAAATTGGCTTTTATTCCAATTCTTACCCCTACCTGACCCCGAAGTACTTCCGCGCTTTCATGAACTATATTTGGGACACATACCAGCCGCAAGCGATCATGGTCAGCGAATTTGGATTCCCTGTCTTCGCTGAAGCTGAGGCAGACCTGGCGTCGCAGTTGAATGACCTTCCCCGCTCCTTGTACTATGAAGCATTCCTTACAGAGATCTTGAACTGTATTCATGAGGACGGTATTAACATTATCGGTGCGGTTGGGTGGAGTATGCTTGATAACTGGGAGTTTGGCTCATTTGACCAGCACTTTGGCATGCAGGTTGTGAATCAAACCACCCAGGAGCGATATTTCAAGCGCTCTTTCTTTGACTTTATAGACTTCTTCCACTCACACGGTCTCTAATACTGGCGATTTAGGGTTGCTTTGGGGTAAATGTTTGAAATATTGCATTGTGCTAACCCCACTCCAATTATCTACCAAAGATTTAGAGATAATCAGCCAGAATATACCTCTTTCTTTTCTTAATTTGCTCCGCAAAAATCACTTCCGGAGCTACAGCACACCTGATTCTGAATCAGGTTAACCTCCGCAATGTTACATCGAATGATGCAGCCGGAGAGGGGCGTAATTCAGGCACTAAATCCATGGGTGACTTGTATGGTATAGCGCAAACCCGAGAGATAACCCGACTGCTGCCCAGGACAATCATTGCCTTTGTGGGTCCAGAATAGACTTAATATTGATTAGAGTCTCAAATTATACCTTGCAAGGCCAAAGTAGTAGAACAAATCTTCAGAAAAAATTCCGGGGGAATTCACGCCCGATACTTCTCCGGAAAGTTGATCACAATCAACCGACGATCCCCCGCACTTCCCACGAGGCACCTCGACACTCCGGTGGAGGCGCGAGACAAAAGGCTAGCCCGTAGTTTCCCTGACGAATGTATGACTCCGCCAGACTACTTGAGCGACATTCAGGGGAATTCTCCGTTACATGAGAGGCATGGGGTCGCCAGCTGAGATATACCATGTCGATTTGCGGGGAAGGCAGGCATCATGTATGGTGTTAATCCAACAAGGGTTTTGACCAACGTCGGTAGTGTGTGTCTTTATCCCGAACCTATTTAAATGGAGATCCAATTCTTCGGAAAAATTCTTCTTTCAATCGAATGACAGTCCATTTGGTGCATCAAATATGTTTTCAATGAAGAATCTGGTCGTCGCTGGCTTGGCGTTGGTACAGGGAAGCCTTGCTTCACTGCAAATTGTGCGCCCCTCCTTATGATAAAATAATGCTAGAGCCAATCTAACTTTGCTCATATCGTCAGGTACCTGCTGCAACATGGACAGCATCTGGTACAAACCAACACGTGCAGGCTCATGGTGGTGGTATGTACATAGAACGAACAATGCTTTTTGCCCACAGTATTACAGAGCTGACATCACCTTGCTAGGCATAATCGAAGTCGACTCTGTCTACTACTGGATCGGCGAGAATAAGCTAAATGGAAGTGCTTTCCAATCCGTCAATTGTTATTCCAGCACCAACTTGGTGGAATGGACCTTTGTTGGAGAGCTGCTCTCTCTTCAAAGCAGCGGAGACCTTGGCCCGAGTCGAATCGTCGAGCGTCCTAAGGTCATTTATAACGATGCAACCTCGAAGTACGTGATGTGGATGCACATTGACAGCAGCAGTTATGGCGAAGCAAAAACTGGCGTTGCAACAGGTTCCAGTGTTTGTGGCAAGTATAACTATTTGTAAGTCCTGCGCAAGTTGTCCCACACTCATCAAAAACCACAGGACTAAATTTGTTACCTCCAGAGGTTCATTCCAGCCCTTGGGCTTCCAGTCACGCGATATGGGACTTTTCAAAGATGATGACGGATCTGCCTATCTGTTATCAGAGGATGTAAGTGTGTTGATTGGCTGTGCCTTCGCCGTACACTATTCTAGGTAGTTCTGATAAGTCTTTGGCAGCGTCCGAACGGATTGAGAATTGACCGATTGACTGATGACTACACCAACGTCACTTCCAACACATACCTTTGGTCTGAGCACATTGAAGCTCCCGCTGTGTTCAAGAAGGATGGCGTGTATTTCATGTTTGGATCCCAGTTAACAGGTCAGTGCTTCTCCGTCCTACCACGATTTGAGCTAACCATGACTTGATCCTAGGGTGGTGTATGCTTATTGTCTTGCATAGAAATATTTTAGCTCGATGGAGTACTAATGTTTTCCTGTAGCTACAAACGATAACAAGTACAGTACTGCTACAAGTTTGAGTGGGCCCTGGAGTTCTTGGGCCAATTTCGCTCCTACCGGCACGAACACCTATAACTCCCAAACTACATTTATTCTGGGAGTAGGTAGCAATGTCATGTATGTTTCGGAGGAAAACCCTCAAAAGAAACATGTTTGATTTGATTTATTGGCTGATTTTATTAGGTATATGGGTGATCGATGGCTCTCCACCAACCTCATGGCGTCGACTTACATCTGGCTTCCACTGACTCTGTCCGGAACGAACGCCTCTCTCGTACGTCTTTCTCACACTCTGTGCAACTCCCCTGATTTTACTTGAGTCAAATTCTAATCAGACTAAAACGTTCCAAACCCCACAGACAAACGAAGACAGTTGGATCATCTCCACCCAGCAGTCCTGGTCAACTTCTCCTGCAGAAACCACCCCCGAAGCTGAATCTTCCTCTAACACGCTGTCCAACGGTGCTGTAACACTCACATGCAGTGGCTGTTCAGGCAGTAAATCAGTAGGATACCTCGGAGGTTCCAGTGGTGGAACCCTCAAGTTCAACGGGGTCTCTAGCAATGCTACCACCAAGACTACTATTCAAGTGAGATACGAGAATGGGGATTCAAGCCAGCGGTACGCTACAGTGACGGTGAATGGAAACTCTCAGGTCCTGGCATTTATTCCTTCGACGAATGGAAATACGCCTTTCTCGTCGACGCTGAATGTTGAGCTGAACGCTGGGAGTTCGAATGTTATCGCTATCGCCGGGTATGGGTCGGGATGGGGTAAGTGATGCCGATCGTCTTTAATCCTGCGACATGGATTGAGTACGAATAGACAACTAATTGGAATGCATCTTCCAGGTCCGGATATAGATCGCTTGGTGGTTCCAGAGCTGTAGTCGGGCTAATGAGACAGCATGCCACTGGCTCGCGTGGACAATATTCGGTGATGCACCGTCCATCGGAACTACAGATGATGAGAGAGAGTAGAATGATGCCATTTAAAGATTTTGCACACGCGTAAAACATGTGAACGGGCGATTCTATCCCCCATTCTATCCATTGCAAGTGTAAAAAGAGTAAAAAGAGTAGAAAACTCCAGACAAAGTTGGGGTGCCTTGTGCCCGTCCGAAAACGGCTTAGGGCCACGAGCTCCGCCCGCCAACCTCCGTATCTTCGATCACTTGCTCCTCCATCATCATCACTTCTATCCTTCGCCCTGCCCTCGAGATTCAGTACTTTCCAGTCGAGCTGAGACAAATCTCCTCATTCAGCGCTATCCCATTTACTCCAGTCCGAATACTTTCCCCCGTGCCGACGCCAAGATGAAGCCCGTTGTGTCGGCGTTGAACGCCTGGTCTTGGTAGGCTTTCTCCCCATTCCAGAGGATGCTCATGCTCTGGTATACTCATAGCGTCTAACAATTGTCTCTTGTGATAGTGTCGTTATTTCAGTCTTCGCAATCGTCATTCTCTCCGTCCTCGGCTCGCTATTCGGCGTACGTTCCTTAGCCCCCTCCCCGTCCATGCTGGCCCCAACTTGCGCCCGGGCATCCACAACTCTTGGGATTGCTTAACATGAATTACTGACACCTTTGTTTCCTCCTCAGAGCAATAACCACTCTTTTACTGGTTCCGAAGGTAGCCCCGAAGATGGTCCTGCAGTTGCTGCCTCCATCTATGTCGCGGTGATAGTCTATGCTGTACGTCATTTAGCACCGAAATGCTGCTTGGAGTTCGAGATACACCACGAGAGAGAATGATTGCTAATGTCTCTTCCTTTACTCTTCATAGGGTTTCTTCGTCTTCTGTGGTTTCCAAGCCTACCTCCACCTTCGAGACAGCCGGGGCGGTGCCATATCACTTCGTTAAATCCCACAGCTTGAAAAAGAAAACCAATTACAACAACTACAATAACATATCTTCTCATTCGGTGTCGGAACGGTCCTTTTGTCATTTTTGCAATCATCGAGGGGTCTGATATAATTCGGTCTGTCTTTAGGGGAATCATGCGTGACCACGGTGCGAGAGGGCGGGGAAGTTCTGAAACGCATCAGCAGGTTGTAATCAACCAGGCGTTTTTCGATTACTCGCTGTCCTCCGCTTACCCTTCGCCCGCGTGGTTACCGGAGTCCGTCGGTATGCAGCGATAAAGTCTGCAGTTGCTCTCTTATGGAGGAAGACATTTGCTGGGCAGGTCTCCCGGTCTTCTCTTTGCTCGAGTATGCATACACAAGCAGCCTTTTTCTGCGCGATATGTACATAGCGGCTCGGAATCTATTATTACTAGTTCTTATCTCTTGATCTTAGCAGGGATAATTTGCTATGTGTCGCAATCAAGTATAGACATTTCATCATTGTTCATCATTATGCCACAAGAAACCACTTTTGGAACGTGCTCCCCTAACGCCTGGTATATGCAGAATCGACCGATATGACCTTTCCCTCTGAGTTGCGTTGATTTATTCTTCATCCTCGTACGGGTCCAGCATCTTGGACATGTAAGGACCATCTAGGGTGTATCCCAAGCGCGCGTAGTAGCTACGCACGCCGACACCTGAAATGACACTAATCTTGGTGCTTCCGTGCTCCTCACGGGCGATGCGCTCGGCCTCTTCCATGAGCAAGGTTCCGAAACCACGATGTTGGAACTTGCGAGCATCACGTCCGTGAAGAGGCACGGCAGAACCATAGACATGCAGCTCGCGAACAATACTAGTCTGCTGACCAGTGAACTCAGGGCGGAAAGTGTGAGTGTCACTGCACTTGCGCAGACGAAGCAAGCCAATAAGAATATCCTGCTTGGGATCTTCATAGGCCAGGAAGGTTTCCCAGCCACCGTTCGCGGCATAGTCACGACGAATAAGCTCCACCTGCGAAGGACGAATCTTGTTCTTAACCTCATTGATGCCGACCTCTCGTGTACGGACATCCCGGCAAGTCGTTCCGAAGTCTTTCATCCGGGCCAGAGCCAACTCGCGCAAGTTACCGTTCTCGACACCGGAAGTGACGAGGGGCATGGGGATATCACGTTGGACACGGTAGATTCGAGTCCATGGAGGGACCAATGCCAGGATACGGGCAACGAGATCAATCAAGGCATTGGGCGTGTAGTTCTTGTAGCGACCAGTCCGCCACAGCTCGTAGAGACCGGTTCCACGGATGACGAGAGTGGGATAGATCTTGAGGCCGTCCGTGCGGAAGGCAGGGTTCTCGAAATATTCCTGGAATTGGAACAGGTCGCGCTCCATTCCGACGTTGGGCAAATCAGGCATCATGTGGCTGACAACCTTGAAACCCGCATCCTTGGCGAGCTTGAAAGTCTCGGCGACAGCCGCAACGGTATGACCACGATTCGTGTCCCGCGCAACATCCTCGTACAGACTCTGCACACCGATCTCCAGTCGGGTGCAGCCGTAGCGAAGCATGCTGCTCAAATGGGTGTCCAGGCAGTAATCCGGGCGGGTCTCGATTGTGATACCAACGCACTTCGTGTTACTCATTTCACCTGCCAGCACGGCCTCGTCCACGTTGTCCGTTTGATATCCACTTAGAGCGTTGTGAAGCTGAGAAATGAAGGTATCCCGATAATCCTCCGGCAGTGACATGAAAGTTCCACCCATGATGATGTATTCCACTTTATCCACACTGTGGCCCAGAGACTTGATCTGGTCCACTCGTCCTCTCGCTTGCTCGAACGGATCGTAGCGAGCGCGGATCGCACGCATCGACGTCGGCTCGTATCCGGTGTAGGATTGTGTAGAGTACTCAAAGTCGGAATCGGGGCCACCGGGACAGTAGACGCAAATGTTACCGGTATACGCGATATGAGGGCATCGGTGAGGCTTGCACATCACAGCGACAACGGCAATACCAGAGGAGGTCCCTGTGTGGCGGGATTAGCTTCAGGACCTGGACGACTTGGAACGAATCCGACTTACGGATTGGCTTCGCAATCAACTTCGGCAAGATATATTTCTTATAGTGTTCCGGCACGGCGGCAATGATAGCTGTCAGTGGCGGTTGGGTTGCGAGGGAGTGCTTTTTCGCGATCATGCCCCGCAGCTTGTTGAGATTGATGTCCTTCCGCGGCGCCGAGATGTCTCTCTGCGACTCATATTCTTGAATGAGTGCATTTGCAATGTCGGAGCATGCTCGCATGTATCGCTCGTTCTCGGGGATCAGCTTGTTGTTCTTCTTCGCCGTCTTCTTATTGACCGTCGCGGTCATGGTCATGGTGGCCATGGTGCAGAAGTTTCACCGCGCAGCGGCGACGGGGTTACCACGAGAGACAAGAAAAGAAACACGCGAATATGTCGAAGCGATCGAAATAGATGCCGCAGGTACTAGTAGTAGAAGAAGTGGTGGGGTTGTTGAAGCGATTAGATAGAAAAAAAGTTGGTGGCCGAGGCAGCGATCCGAACTCGAATCGGGTCCGCTTAAGTAAAGATTTGTCCCGAACGAAAACTCCCGGGCGCGCATCCCGAATCCTTTACTAACATCCTTTCCCCGAAACAACCTCTTCTCTCTCAACCTCTCCTCTCTCCTCTCCCCTCCCACCCCCTTCAATTACCTTCTTGCCGTCATGCAGGCCTTCCGCCGTAACACCTTTGCGGCCGTCCGCAATGTCGCTGGTCAGCAGCGTCGGAGCTACCTTAAGGCCACCTCTGCCTACGCCGACACTGTGAACAACCTGAAGATTAACAAGGACACCAAGGTTCTCTTCCAGGGCTTCACTGGAAAGCAGGGAACGTGAGTACCCATCTTCTGCGTTATACTCGATTTCATGCGCCGGGTGCTGACGGGCGAGTTCTTGAATAGTTTCCACGCCGAGCAGGCCATTGCCTACGGTATCTATCCTCTCGTCGCGATCGCGAAAAAGACCACTCGAACTCATACGTAACAGGCACGAATGTCGTCGGTGGTACCAACCCCAAGAAGGCCGGCACCACTCACCTCGACCGTCCCGTCTTCGCCAACGTTGCCGATGCTCGCAAGGAGACCGGTGCTACCGCTTCCGCCATTTTCGTTCCGTATGATATACACTATGCCCCAGTTGATCGCAAGAACTCAATAACTGATTACTATCAGCCCTCCTCTTGCTGCTGCCGGTATTGAGGAGGCCATCGCTGCTGAGATGCCCCTTGTTGTTTGGTAAGTGACTCCGGTCCCCGAGTTCCCTAAAAGCTCCCCTTAAAAGCATTCGCTATTGTTATTTTTTTTTCTTTGACAGCCCGAGCTAACCGTCTTGTTTGCACGACAGCATTACTGAGGGTATTCCCCAGCACGGTACGAAACGAGTTTGTCGCCTCCGAGTGGAACCCGATCTAACATATACCGCATAGACATGGTCCGCATCACCGACATGCTCAAGACTCAGAACAAGACCCGCCTGGTCGGCCCCAACTGCCCCGGCATCATCGCTCCCGTAAGTTTCGATCATCGCCGACAGCTAAACGTCATATCCTCATACATTTCGCTTCTCTAGGGTCAATGCAAGATCGGTATCATGCCGGGTTTCATCCACAAGCGCGGCCGTGTCGGTATCGTCTCTCGTTCCGGTACTCTGACCTACGAGGCCGTCAACCAGACCACTCAGGCTGGTCTTGGCCAGTCTCTCGTCGTTGGTATCGGTGGTGACCCCTTCTCCGGCACCAACTTCATCGACTGCTTGAAGATCTTCCTCGAGGACCCCGAGACCGACGGTATTATCATGATCGGCGAGATTGGTGGTTCCGCCGAGGAGGATGCCGCCGAGTTCTTCAAGGCCAACAACATCCACAACAAGCCCGCTGTTTCCTTCATTGCTGGTATCAGCGCTCCCCCCGGCCGCCGCATGGGTCACGCCGGTGCCATCGTCAGCGGTGGTAAGGGTGGTGCCGACTCCAAGATTGCTGCTCTCCAGGATGCTGGTGTCATCGTCGAGCGCAGCCCTGCCTCCCTGGGCAAGGCCCTGCTTGCCGAGTTCGTCAAGCGTGACCTTGTCTAAATTCCCTGTCTGAAGCTCTGCTTTTGACGTTTTGTGCTCCCTTGGTGTCCTGGTTCTTTGTTGGAAGAATAGGGGTTCGGAGGTATATTTTACCATTTGTTCAAATGGCCATCTGCGGTTCATCTCATTAAGCCGCACCTGTATTCTTTTTCTCATCTGTGTTAGAGACCCTTGAAGTAATTAGTTTCGTGTAACTTTTACTTTGTTGACGTTCCAGTATGCTAGATGTGTCTATAAGGGTGGCTCGATAAACGTACTGCAACGGCTGGCAGTACTTCAAAGGCCACACCCTTACTAGCCCTCTTACGCTTGGTTGGCCCACAGGATTGAGCTTTCTCAATTAGATGGCTGCCATTTTAGATGAAGTGAGGTCCTCTGGGCTTCCTCTCGAGGGTCTGAAATCCAGCAAGCATTGCTGTATAGAGCCTGCTATGTCTCCTTCACAGCGGACCGATGATTTTCAGGGAATATAAAATCGTTTGTATGGAGCCATGGCTCTTCTCTAGAGGCCCAGCCGAGGCTGGAAATACAACGTATATATAACAACCGAATTCTCCCAATATCGAGTGCCTTTGACAAACTAGGTAGCTAGCATAACTCAGGGCTTCTTGGTATCCTTTAGAGCCCTCACCACCTCCTCCGTTTCAAGCACATCAGCAAACTCGCCATCAAGACTGGCAACGGAGACTTTATGCACGGTTTCAGCATCAAAATCGCCTTTGCTGAACGTCGCAGTCGCATCAGAGACGAGAATAATACGTCCCTTCTCCACGCGAACCTCATTCTCACGAGAACCATCAGACCTAAACCGAATAGGACCCTCGTCCAAAAAGCGATCGACAACGCCCAAGTTCGCCGCCATACGAACCGTTGTCGAGACGCAGTGATCAGTCGTCAGGCCAGCACAGATAATCTGCCTGATGCTTTTCTGTCGCAAGTGCGACTCAAGGCCCGTCCCGATAAAAGAGGAGTTGACATTCTTCCAGAAGATAGGCTCCGACCCGTCCGCTGCCGGGACAGCAAAGTCCAGCGGTCGGATTCCACCCGCCGGGTGTGACGGGTGGAGCGGCGAAGAAGGCGAGTCAGAGGAGTGAAAGACGTGAATCACTTCCAGTGGAGTCGAAGACGTTGCTCGTGCATCACGAAAACCGGAGAGAAGCGATTGGAGATTAGCTTCGTAGACAGGATTGGAGCGTGAGGCGCCCCATTGAGAAACGGTAGCCGGGTGGGTAAAGGCCGATTGATTGTCAATGAGAATTAGAGCCGTTGGAAGACTCAGGTCGATTGGTGATGCCATTTTGGAGAGACTGAATCAAGAGTCGTTTTGTGATTCATCGAGGTTAGAAAAATAGAGGGGCATTTTCACTTTTATGGCGGTTGATACGATCCGTGAGTCACCTCCCCCCAAGAGTGCTTCGGTCAACTTAACTATGTCGTATAGCTCTTACAAATCAACTTGATACTCACCAATTCTCGAGACTCATTTACAAAGTCATCAAGAATTCGTTTTCGAGCTATGATCTCGAGTGAAAATGATCGTGTTCCTGAGATACGTCAAGCCGATAGTTCCATCCCGCCAAGACATGACCATTTGCCTTCTTAGCTCTTGCTAAAGCTGAGCGCTTAAAATTCGAGACCAAGAATTTTCTTTATGCACAAGCTAGTGTTTCAAGATTTGAATAAAGTCGATCATTCTCATTGGATCCCTCGTGCGTGCGACTGTTCGTAGATACATTTGCTTTTCTCGCCAATTGATCAGCCAGGGACCATTCCCGCCAGGCTCGTCATCTATCCGATTTTTTTTTCTAGGGAAATCTGATGGTATAGGATGAATATATACATCGAAGAATGCAAGTATGGACAGATTTTAGATCTCTAACCCTGTCAAATAAAAGAAATCCTGAAACCGGCGCTAACAATTTAATGGTTCAGCCAATGCAAATACGTAGCGCCCGTGATGATTTTCCCAAAAAAGCGCTTAACCAGCGCTTGACGGCAGGCTGCAAATCTATTCTCAGGCAGGAGGTAGAGAGGTACTTAAAAAGCAGCCCCGTTTGATGTATTTCCGGTCTCTTTCTCTATTTCCATTGTCCAGTTCTCAATATTGCACAGCATTCATCCAAGTACCACCAATATCACAAACCAGACCCGCTCGAGGTACACAACATGGGCCTTCATCTGTCTCAGCTTTGCCGAAAGCCGTCTGGAAAGAATCAAGAAGTGAAGCAAGTGACCTCGAATATAGAGCAAACGCAAGAGAAAGCGTTCGCGGTGCTGAAGGATTACTTGGGTCCTGAAAGTCCATTACCACTCGATCTGGCTGTAGAGTCCCTCTTGAAGCTCTTGCCTACGGATGCTCCCGACTCTGAGGAGATCTGTCGCTTCGGAGAAGACTGCTTTGAGCTCGCCGAAATGGCTTCTTATAGGAATTCGTCACATTCAAGATTGGCCCAATTGCTCGAGGCACTCGGTCTTTCGAGTCACTTCACATTCCTTGCTAAAGAGGTAATTATCCCCAAATCCCGCCTCTGGACATCGTTAACAGGACACTTGAACTGTATAGAATGGTAGGGTTTGGCGTTTCAACCTCCTCAAACATTCTATGGAAGACTTCTGCGAAGGTAATCAAACAAACACATCCCTCATATTTACTCAACCATGCTGATCACTTGCCTTCAGGCCCGGATAGCGACAATCCCGAAAGATACGTGAACTATAATTCATTTTTAGCTCATTTATACGAACATCGTATTTTCCCAACGGATCCCACATATGCTCTGTGGGCTATGCGTGCTGCCTTTGAAGATGACAGAAGCCATGAAGCGAAGGAAGTTCGCAGCTCCTGGATTCTGGGAGCAGCACAGTGGATCTTGTGGAATGGACAAAGTATATTTAACCTCATCCTGGAGCCGGCTCTGTATGATGTCACATATGAGACTTGGCCAGATCGAGGAGCCTGGGACGCTGGTTGTCTTTACAATGGCACACCTGGTCTTTCACTCGAAAGATGGCAGTTCTGGAAGCGGCGCTTCGGGGATTTTTCGCAGGATTCTAACGTTACTGATGAGTGTAAGGCGGTTTCCGCTAGAGCTATGGCGATGATGGATCTATTTGAAAAGCACATGACGTTTTAGAAGAGGATTTGTTTGATAGTTTGATTTTTGAACAGGCGATCGGTGTTTTCCTTATTCTGTGTACACTCTTAGTTCCAGATAGAAGTTTCATGTACTTGTGCCCGGCCTCGTGATAGCCCAATATTTAGAATGAGATTTCTACGTATTTGTCGGGTCACGATCAGTGTTGATAACCAAGTCTCTCCTGCTCCTCCTTCTTGGCTGCCACTAGCGAGTCCCTCGAAGTATCCATGCTAGTTCCGTCATCTTTCACGTTTGAAGTCACTACTTGCCCATAATTACTCGGTGCAGCGCGATTACAGGGAACCCCCAAACTGTCCACCAAATTTGTACACTGGTACACCTCATCTTGTAAGGTCGTGTCGGACATGGGCAACCCCAGGGTATGGTTGACCGATTGAATCTCGATATTCTCAAACTTGATACCCGGGCAAGGGTGCACGTCCGAGCAATACAGCGAAGCAGCGATGTTATACCGCGACGTGCCTTTGATATTGGACCATGTGATATCCTGAATCGCCATCTTTGACGTGTTGCAGTTTTGCCCGTTCTCAGTATAAATACACTGAGATATCTGAATAGGCAAGGCAACATTGGTCAATTCAAAGTTGCGAAACACCACGTTCTTGACAAGCCCGCTGCCACCTCCTCCACCATCGCCGTTCGAGCTGTTGTCCTCGGGAACTCCTTGCCATGTTTTGATGAAAGCTGCTTCCATGCAATTGTAGCATTTGACATCTTCAAATGTGATGTTTTCCACATAGTCCGGCATTGTAGCATACTGTCCCACGGACCCGATTGCCATCCCGAAGCCCCAGTGGCAGGTGACGTTCCTGACGACAAGATTCGTGGTGTTTCCTTTAACCGCGATACAGTCATCACTGTTCGTGACGACGGCATTCTCGACAAGCAAGTTGTCGCTATTCCACGAATCATAGCCATCGGTGTTCACGGTACCCCACTCATCATCGCTGGTAGCATTGACGAAAAAGTTCGTAATTGAGACGTTCTTGCTTTGCCAGACGAATGTTGCCCAGAATTGTGGTTGAATGATCGTGAGTCCGTCCACTAGTAGGTTTGTCGAATTATAGAAGGTGATGCTGATAGGTCGACCGGGTTGGTTGCTTTGGTTACGGTTCTGAGTATACCAAGCCTGACCCTGGCCATTATACCAGCCACCCTCTTCGCCTCGAAATGTAACATTTGTACCGCCAAATAGCCACGCGGTAGATTGGTTTTGGAAAACAACGGAGTAGGAGTGTGAGAGCCAATACGGAATGTCTGTCGAGAAGCGGAGCTCACCCCGTAGAGACACGTCACAATTCAACAAGTTGGTCGTGTTCATAACAGAATTGACATTGAAAGTATGGTTCGCAGCAAAAATGACTTTGCCATCGGTCCCGCAAAGCTCGAAGGCCTTCTGAATTGAAGGTGCATCGTCTACTGACTGGCCATCGTTTTTCAGTGATTCCGGGTATAGTGTGCAGGTTTTATCTTCATTGACAAAATAGCCTGCTGCCAAAGTGGCCAATGATAGTGGAAGCCACGGGAGCATTATGAGCTGAAGGCTTTTTCGCCGTCAAATCCAGATTTTTGCAGTCGTAATGCACTGAGGACAAGAGAAAAGGCTCGCGAGGTCGCGATTCAAGGGGTGCGGTCTTTATATGTGCGGCATGTATCCAACGTCTCCTATCACCTGTGCCTTGTCATCGGATTTATCCCTTGTGATTGCTTTAGTCGACCGCATCACAATATCAGAGGTTACAGTTTTCCCCGCATTTATTTATCAATCCTAGTGTGACCGGAGTCGGGTGATAGCGATCCAATCAGTGCGAGATCTTGGCTCGTCCCACGCGGTCTAAGCGTCTAAGGTACGGTGAGATCATCGGATATGCGAGGCCTCCACGCTTTCTTATGTAGGAATTTTATCCAAAGTTCGACACTCTTGCTTGCTTGGTCCCCACCTTCTTTCAGGTTTCTGCCACACCGTTGATGTTCAGATCTACCGCATATAATATGTCATCAATTGGAGGAAGCTCCGCATTAGCCTCCGCGATGCATTTGCAATTGGTGCTACGCCCATGGCAATATCCTCAAATGTGTCGAATTTAGTAGCTCGAGAGAAATTTTCCTTTTCTTTCTTTAATCTCAAAACCAGTGCCATTTCTGAACCTGGAGAGTTCCGTCGGTTCTTCAATTTCCCCCGACCTATATCAGCCGAAGAATGCGATTTGTGACAGATAAAGCAACATATTCTGTTGAGCACTGCTGGTTAGTCCACTCACCTGACAGGTACAACAAATAGTACCTATGATACATGGATTTCTGAAGATGCCGGCCCGTCCCGTGGTCGGTGGTCTAGTTCTACGAAGATCTCCTACTATCTAAGTTTCCAGAGCATCGTCGTGTGAACAGTCCTCCATGAAGCGGAAACGAAGGTTGAAAATATCCTAAGAATCGACCCCATCATCTAAAAACCTTGAGGCACCGGACCTATGACTTTGCTGATTGGTCGGTGGTGCACGAATGACTGAATCGAGATCATATTGTTTCCTATTTGCCACGAATCATGTTGTTTCTATAGCCGCCATCATGCTTCAGCCCCAGCGGGACTGAGCAATGACCAAATAATTTCATCGCCGTGACTGCTCTTTACAGCTGCACTGTCCTCCTCCGATCGCATCGTGAAAATGGTCCTCGATCCGTTTACCTCACTCTCTTTGGCTAGTGCGGTATGCCAGTTCATCGACTTTTCTGGCAACTTGTTCTCCCAGTCGCGCAAGATTTACAAGAGCTCTACGGGATACGACGATGGTACCGACTTGTTATTGGCAATAACCAATGACCTGCGCTCTCTGCTGGAGAACTTGAAGCCGCCCATCGATCTAAATTCCTTATCTCTCGAAGAATTGGAGCTTGTCAACCTTGGCAATAGGTGCAAACGAATAGCTAACGAGCTTCTTTTGGTTCTGAATGATCTGCAGGACGGTAAAACGTCGCGATGGAGCAGTTTTCGCGCCGCGCTGAAATCACTGTGGGCACAAGATCGCATCGATGACATGACCAAGAAACTCGAGTCCTACCGATCGCAGCTTATCCTCCGCTTGACAATTATGCAGAGGTAAGCCTTATATGGAGTGACCGAGGTGTCCCAAGATGTTGACATGGCTACAGCTCTAGTGGTTAAAACATGCGTATCATGGACAAATTACTTGAAACCAACCACCTGCTCCGAGCTGGGTTGGCACCCTCGATCGAAGAGTTGAGAAAGACCGTGATGCAATCTATGGAGACACTGAGAGCGGACTTTGAGCAGCAAAGCGAAATGTTCTTGCTTGCTCAGCAGAAGGAAACCACCGAGAATCCCCGGCCCAAGGAGCAGATAAAATGGCAACAAGAAATGCGACAACTGGAAGCCCTTCCGCCTGTCGATATCACCGCCATCACGGAGAAGGTGAACACCACAGCCATTGCCAGTAATGAAATAGCTACAAAATTGTTCATCCTGCGAAGTCTTCGTTTTGATGGCATGGAGTTACGGCGCTCTCAAGTATCAGAGGCCCACAAGCACACGTACAGCTGGGCTTACATGTCGGCTTTCTCCGAATGGATGGTTTCTGAGGACCCTGTCTTCTGGATAAGCGGGAAACCCGGTTCGGGAAAAAGCACTCTGATGAAGTACCTAGTCAACAGCCCTGATACATGTGATCATCTACGCAAATGGGCAGGCACAAGGAAGTTAGTCATCATTGATCACTTCTTTTGGATCAATGGTTCCAGTCTCCATCGCTCGCAGGAGGGTCTACTTCGATCTTTATTGTTTGACGTCTTCCGGAAATGTCCTGAACTCATTGAAACAGCATTTCCAGAGCAATGGAATGATTCTATGAATCTGAGTTACGACTTCGACGATCTCTCATTATCGTGGGATCGCCAGGAACTGCTAAGCGGTTTACAACAGATCACCCTACAGACGGCTTCGTCCAATACGTTCTGTATCTTTATCGATGGTCTTGATGAATATGAGGGCGAGCATGAGGATTTGGTCAACATACTCTCCAATATGGCGCATACATCCCCGATCAAGCTCTGCGTCGCAAGTAGACCTTGGAATATATTTGAAAAAGCCCTGGGAAAAAGCTTGACTCGCAAGCTCTACCTGGAGAACCTGAACAAGCCCGACATCGAGCTCTATGTGAAGATCCCACTGCAAGACCGCGCTGATTTTAGAGCTTTGGCACTCGCTAGTCCAGATGCCGCAGAACTGGCTTCAGATATCGTTCAACGTTCAAATGGAGTTTTTCTCTGGGTCTATCTCGTCGTTCTGTTGGTCAAATAAGGCCTGGTCAATGAGGTCCGACTCGTAAACCTGAAGCGTCGTGTCAGTGCTTATCCAGTCGACCTCGACAAATTCTTCAAACATATCATGGACTCCTTGGACCCAATTTATCAGGCGCAGATTGCTCGTGGATTTTCTGTTGCGCTGGCTGCAAGAGATCCGCTCTCAGTTGTCAGCTTCTGGTACCTTGATGAATTGGAGCAGGATGCTAGTGTTGCCATCACCAAGCATGTTGACAACCTGTCTGAGAAGAGGAAGAGACTTGAGCATTTCTGGAAAGAAGAGGTCCGCAAGATGACGGTACGTCTTAATGGGCGCTTCAAAGGGCTTCTGGAGATTGTGGTGCCGCACCCGCAAGCTCAAGATATAGTGCCTTCGGAACTTACGGTCGATTTTCTCCATCGTACGGTGCGAGACTTCCTTGTCACAGAAGACTGTCAAAGAGTGTTAAAAGAATGGATACCATCCGATTTTGATGTCCATTTCGCACTTTGCAATATCCAACTCGCTGAGGCAAAAGAGCTACCTCTACAAATGAAAAATATGCCGAGTATGATATGTCCAACGAGTGCTATATTTCATTCTGCGCGTCAATTCGAGATATGTCATCAAAGGTCGCTCAACCAAGTGCTCGAACAACTTGGCAGTACACTTGAGGTCTATGGGCGTGGGTTGTCTCCTTGGCTCGGCGAGGAGATTACGCCTTGGCTCCACATAGAGGTTAAGAGCTTCGTCGTGTACGCCGTCATGACCAATCAGACCCGTTTCATCTCCAATCTCTTTTAGACGAACCTCATCAGCGAGCAAGAGAGGCTTGATTGTCTTCAAGAGATCTTCATGGTAGCTGAAGGAACCAGTGTGGATGGATTGCACAACCTACCAGTTATGAAAGACGTGCTTGGCAACTCCTCCGAGATGATTCTCCTTCTGGTGGAAACTCGCCCCCTTTCGGGTTATATCCCGTTCAGCATAGTGTTGAACGCCCTGGAGTTGTATGACACCACAACTATCCTTGTTATCTTACGATCTCTCTGCAAGAATGGGCTTGTGGACCCTGGAGAATTCCGAGATGCTGCTACACATGTAAGAAGACTAACTACTCTGTGGGATGCGAAGGAATTGGAGGAATTGACTCGCACGGCCAGGAAGGTAATCAAAGGGCCACTCCTACATGCTCAATTGAAAAGGGCCGAATGCCGTCATGCTCGTTCAGCTGAAAAGACAAGATTAAACAAAAAGAAGGGAATATTTTACAGGTGGCTTGAAACCTTCAAATTTGGCTGATTGATAACTCAATCTTCAGTGTGCGTTCTGAACTTTGCTCAGAATCTTTGTTATAGGAAAATATGGCATGCGTAGCGTGCTTTTTACAGAAGTAAAAGCCTAGTAGGAGTTGTGGTATCTATTTGGTACAGTCTATCAATTAATTTTCATCGAAAACGAAATCCGCTTCAGCACCTCCACCCAAGAGAAATTTGAAGGTCAACAATCTCAGAGATTTTTCTTGGTATCGGGATGCGGGAACCGCCGAGTCCTGCTGCGCAGCATTTCTGCTCGTTGCTCCAAAGTCATGTTGACCTGATCACCAATCGGAATCAGGCACTTTGCAAGGTGAGTATAGTCTTTGCGCAATAAATAGACAGTAATGAAGATGTAATCCACGTTCCGGAAGACCAAGGCCCTTTCCTCGGCGTAGCGATCTTTGCCTTTGACGAATGCCAGAGGGTGATCTCTCCAGTGGCGACGCGGGTTCAAGTGGTGAGAAGTGTGGTACCCATCGTTGAACGAGTATCGATTGCTCTGAGCTTAGTTTAGCACGCGAATCTGTGAAGGGCTCTGTCAAAACTTACCGGAACATCAATCAACGTAATGCTCGAGCGGTAATCCGAGTCTGGATCGATAGGGTCCACGAAAGCGTGCTGGCCCCAATTTCCTACCATCAGGCCAAAACGCATAACCGTGAGAGGGAGGATGAGCACGAAGACGGTCGCGCGGGCGTTGACGTAGTTGTAGAGCAGGTAGATGGCCGCATAGTTGCCGAGTTCCCAGAATGCACACTTGAAAGCATATTTAAACTGGCCTTTCCTCCAGAAGTAGAGGGGAAGCTCCATCCAGACGAAGAAGATGAATCGCCCAACGTAGCAGGCAAAGTCAAATCCACTATCTCGGTCGTAGAACATGGTCGTACTCAGATCCTGTTCGCCATTGCCCTCGACGTGATGGTGCTTGATGTGGTGGTAGTAATAGGAATTCCACGTATGTCCGTGCATCGGGTCCAACACGTAGGGGAACAGGTTGTCAAAGAGCCAGTATTGAGGGGCTAGGACACCGTTCATGTGAATGTGTTGGTGCTTCATCAAGGTGAATGCTCCACAGTACCATAATTGCATGACCCAATGTATGACACCATGCATCCAGGAAAAGCGATAATACAAGAATATGGCACTGGGTACAATGGTAGTGAAATACAGTAAAAGATGTGTCAACATGACCACATCGGTGGGAAAGCGCACAACTCCCTGGGCCCATTTCTGGTAGGGCTGCAGGACATGGCGCTGGAGAGCTGCAGGCAGTTTAGCCCGGAGCACAGGGGTATCCCAAAACTGGAAGATGGTAGGATCGAAATCAGGATGCGATGCATCGTTCATATCCTGGAGCTTCTGGATGACATCTTCATCACTGGGCTTTTGTTGTGTAGATGATGTCTCTGTTTCCCCTTGTTTGTTGTCAGTGAGCTGTCAAAAGGCCAACTAAGAGACTGAGACACGCACCTTTTGAGCCTGGTTTATCAACGAGTGTGTCGAGTACCAGATGATCTGCGATGGTAAGCTCAGGATCCACGTATGTGGCGGGATCCATGCCGGGCGACTGAAACGATGGGATCTTAGTATTGTTTGGATCGCGACTGCAGTTTATTGACACACACTCACAATGATGAGCGGAAGCCTCGGAAACACGCTATTCCATCGATGTCACCGTAATTTGAGAAAAGTTATGTAGATCTGAAAGAATTGAAGTGATAAATAGGCAGACCAATTTAACTTCCGAGTCGTCGTCTCCGTAAGGACAACGCGTAGTCAGGGGTGGGAAGAGTTTTCCCGTGCTCTGAATGTGGGTCCGAATGAGCTGACACTTTAACAAACCAAGTAAACTTAGAGGGGTTGTGGGGGGACTAGGTGGTGTATATTGATTCATATTTATTTTATTTCTAAAGCGATTGCTAATGCAGGAATTTAGGTTGGATTTTGTTGCTTGATAGCCGCTACTACAAGCAGCTACAGTATGTAGTAGCCGTCTATAGTCTGCAGTCAACTGCCGTAGAGCGACTTCCATTTAGGAAGTCTGCGGGCTGCTCCACGGTCGGAATGGGAGCTAAAGCTCGATGAAAACACAGTCCCCCTAAACATCCCTAGGCTCCCACCATAACTAGTAAGCAACGTGAAAGTCACCCCAAGACAAATAAAAGATATTTAATCAATCATGTTTTTATATACTCATACTTTTTGAAACGAATTGGCTCTCTTAATTGCAAAATTATGATTCTGCGCTTGTACAACATCCCTGTCATTAAATCTGTCCTAAAAATACGCGCGGAACAGCAGGGGCCTCTTAGCTAGCCCGAATACAGCAATCAGCTCACCGATCGGCATGTTGCGCGTCCGCTTTATTGCTCCATTAGCCTTAGCCATGAGGCCCTTTGTGAAGTTGAATTTCCGACAAGATTAAAGCATAAGGCATGATAATGTTCAAGCTAGAACAATATCCTGGGGGACACAAATATATCTAAGACTTATTAGCACGGCATAAAGTTTCAATGCAGCAAATGATGTTTACATATCATGGCAATCCGTCTCTTCCTGAGGATATACTCAACAATATACAGCATGAAATCAAGGCAGCAAACTCCCTGTAAAGCTACAGAATTGATTGACGCAAGCATATTTATATCTGATCGTTTCAAATGATAGGCTCGACCAATAAGAGTGGGAATTAGGGTCCTCTCTTGAGGACCATGAGCCGCTTTTTCGGCGATTAAATACCATGGCAAACACCTCTCAGGCTACCCTATGACAATTCTGGGCATTCGTCTTTGAATGTTCCACGAGGTTCAAATCCAAAGGCTAAGTAGATCCTCGCACAGTTTGATATACCTTTTTGACCTCAAACCTACGAAACAAGATAAACGTACATCGACTCCGAAAGATTTGCTTCCAACCCCCAGAATGAGCACCGACGGTACTCAAAGAGAGCATACACATACAGGGTAAATTAAAGGAGATGCTACGCTTGATATGCTTGAGTAATGTTCATCATCTCGACCTCGTTCGCGGTATAGATATGGAATGACATTTGACTCTATCCAAGACTTCGGAAACACAGAAACGCATTCTGTTTACATTGAGAAGGCTTGGACTGCTTGGGAGAGAGATATTGATTAGTTTTTTTGTCAGCTTACATTAGTTTCTCGTCGGGCGTAAGCTGATAACGAGACTACCTCCGGTCAGGGCTATGGATCCCGAGAAGCAAATCTTATTGGACAAACCTCAATGGCAGACAGGAAGATGATCGCGAGCCTTCCAAGCCTGGTAGGTATATACTTAATCAGCTCCAAGACAGTTCATGCCCAAAACCTCTATCTAATACATGAGATCATGATGATGAGCAGTGCGGAACCAGCCGCCGTCTCCTATACCTGCTACAGTACCAGCTATGAGGGCCACCATCAAGGTCTATAGACGAACCACGATATGCTGAAGTATCATGTACGCATCAAATCAGAATCTGATCAATCGAGTATTCATCGGTACTTTTTTCCTGTTTGCCAGTCACCGCTACCAGCAGTTCTCGGTGTTTGAATGATCTCATCTCGGGACTCGGCACAGGCGCGGAGATAAAGCCGGCCTTAGAGCGATATCCATTCGCCGGGTGCGGGGGCCCCAAGGTTTGAGGTACGGCGCAATATTATTAATTCTCCCAGTGCACGTTTGTCCTGTCATAAGGATAACGGTGATGATTGCATGTGTATTCTAAGTTCCTGGCCCCTTCATATTTCCCCCCGCACCGATATTGCGGGCATGAAGTTTTTCATTCTTTCACAGTATTCGCGATGACACCCATCTCGCGCCTATTGTCCCGTGCGGTCAATAAACCCTACCGAACGAAAGATATATCGGACGAGATTCCGCCTACACTCGATGAAGATGGATTTGTGAGCTTTGGCCCGGGGGACATTGAGAACCCTCGGAATTGGTCGATGCGCCGCCGAGCTGGTGTGACCATGTCTGCGGTGCTTTTAGTTGTGAATGCCACTTTTGCCTCGAGCTCGCCGAGTGGATGTTTCCCATCAATCTCCAAACATTTCGGTGTTTCCACTGAAGTTGCCGGATTGACGATTACCCTGTTCCTGCTAGGGTACTGTGCTGGGCCTTTAATTTTCGCTCCGCTGAGCGAGTTCTACGGTCGCCGATGGATCTTCTACATTACCTTTCTGCTTTATCTGGCCTTCAACTTTCTTTGTGCATTCCCGCCGAATTTTGGAAGCTTGCTGGTTGGAAGATTTCTGACGGGGACCTTTGTGTCTGCTCCATTGAGTAACTGCCCTGGTGTTTTGGCCGATGTATGGAATCCGCTCGAGCGCGCCAATGCTATGGCTGGGTTCTCGGCAATGGTCTGGATTGGGCCAGCACTCGGACCTGTGGTTGCAGGTTTCCTGCAGTTGAAAGAAGATTGGAGATGGAGCTTCTATGTGCTTCTCTGGCTCGGTGGAGCATCAGCCGTCATCATGTTGACAATACCCGAGACTTACGCGCCGATTGTTCTGTATAACAAAGCACGACGGATCCGCGAGGCACAGATTCCCGGATATGAAACCGTGAAAGCCCCTGTCGAGGACGGTGACCGGACTCTCGTGGGCATCTATAAGGTTGCTCTGACTCGGCCGTGGATCATTCTGTTCGACCCGATCTCCTTGCTGTGTGCAATTTACATGGCGTTCGTCTATACACTGCTCTACATGTTGTTTACCATATACCCCATTGTGTTTCAGGAAAAACGGGGCTGGAACTCTGGTGTTGGGGAGCTGCCGTTGCTGGGAACCGTCGTAGGTGCCCTCTTTGGTGGTGTTATCGTTGTAGCAGACACCCGGATGCGCCAGAAAAGGATTGACAACGGTACAACAAAGATGGAAGATGCTGTGCCGGAAGACCGTCTCCCGCTAGCGATGGGTGGAGGCATCGGCTTTGCCGTGACGATGTTCTGGTTCGCCTGGTCGGCTGAGTTCAAGTTAGTCACTCGAAAAACAAACTGGTGATGAATACTGACTGTAACATAGCTCTGTCCATTGGATTGTCCCAACTCTGGCAGGAGTGTTCCTCTCCAGTGCCCTGCTACTCATCTTCGTTGGTTTTCTCAACTACCTCGTGGATGTTTATCAGATGTACGCTGCATCCGCCATTGCTGCGAACACGATCGCTCGTTCTGCTTGTGGAGCGGCAGCACCACTATTCACATCCCAGATGTTCGCGGCCTTGGGTGTGGGAGGAGGAGGCAGCTTGATCGCGGGTGTGGCCACCCTCCTTGCCGCTATTCCCTTTCTGTTCTATAAATATGGGAAGCAAATTAGAATGCGCAGCAAATTTGCCCCGACTACCAAAGAAGAACGGCCCGCCGAAGAGAATAAAGATGAAGAGCGTGGACTGGGAGACGGTGCTGTCAGCAGTAGTATCTTGGGGTCGCAATAAAACATGGGGTTCAAGCCATAGACGAGGATATGAAACCCGCCAGAGGGTTGGAGAAGAGCACACATGGGATCAAGAGCTGCTTGGACTTGGATCATGTGAATTGTTTTAGAATTCATCAGCCACGCCGTTCATCTCGGCAAATCAACCTTCGAGAAGCAGAAGCTTCACATATCCACTCTTAAGAATTTCCCCGGTCTGACATCATCTCGTAGCTCGCGGCCTTCTGCCTGCATGACCAGCACACAATATCGAAGCCATAACCCGGAGGTGGGTGAATACTAAAGTCATGTAAACCTGACGAAGGGGATATACACTCTGTATTTTGATAATTCGCATCGATAAATGTCTCACATCCCCTCAGTCCACACCGGTTCCCGTAGGTTCCACTTCCATTTATACCCGAAGTGGGGAGATCGGCGTCAACATCTCACACGAGTGGCGGGCGACGCACCGCGCACATTCCCCATTGCCACCAAGTAGCTGCACGAAGAACATTGCTTCTGTCGCTTATGTCTCACTACTGAGTCCTGATTTACAGTCTACCACTGTACTTTTTTCCATATCACACCCGGTCGTGTTCTAGGTGGAACAATATCGCATGGAACGTCTGAGCGACTGCTGCTCATGACTGGATTCTGAGAATCGCACGATCCCACCCTACGCTGTGCTAGTGAGATCCATATAAGATCATCCTGTTCCGAGGCGATCCCTTAAAGCAGATCTTCCATCCCACACAGAGACCAACATTTCCTCATTCCCAAATCACTCAAATCCACGACCATGAAGTTCCTAGCAACCCTCGCTGTACTGGCCACAACAGCCGTGGCCAACCCCGTTGCCAGGGACACGAAAGAGTTCCATTTGAAAACTTTCGGTGCTCAAAACTCCCACCACAATAACCTCTACGTCTACGCTTACCACACCGGCGCGGGGTTCAATGATGCTGTGCTGGACAAGAACGGCACCATCGCCTCATCGTTTTATCTCAATGGCACCACGGCTTTGGCGGATCTGGGGACTGATTTTCCATGGGGTGTGATCGCTACTGGAGACACGAACTATGCTTGTAAGTGTGTATAGATATTGTCATTCATCCCTACCCTAGGACCGATCTACCCATCTTGAAAAGAATGTTGGCTAATCATGGTTTCCATACTGATAGCGTGGGAGCCGATTGAGATCAACGCTGGCAGTGGCTCGGAGGGATTCTCTATCGAGAACGGCAACTTCGTGTGGTCTGAGGCTAACGGCTTCGGGGGTTGGCTCGGTAAGTGCAGTGAACGAATCATTGATTCAGATACTTATTGAAAGGAAGAGCGTCGTTGAACTAACATGCACGCACCTCAGTTTGTGATTGGTACCATAATGCCCCTCAGCTATTCTATTTGAACCGCTACTACAAGCCTACTATTCCATCAAGCTGCAGCAAGGCTCAACTCAAAGTCGTCTACACCAAGTAGACAGGTTTCACTAGCGATGATTGAATTCCTATTCGGGACTTAGCCCCGGTGACTTGGTCACATAGTTTGAATGATGGTTCGCTTCATACATAATTCATGAATATAATATGATATCTTCAATGCTTTTCATACATCATCAAAGGAAGCAGGCCTCGTCATGAAGCTGCAACCGGAGTCGGACTAGTTCCGTAGTAACGACGATCCATGCCTGCCTGCAAGCGAGCCTCGTCATTGAACGGTCCCTGAATACTTCCACGGAAATGTTTTGACACGTTATTGCGGAAGACTTGTACCGGATCCGTGCCTTCCTGGGCACAGATCCAAGTCAGCCATCGGTGACCAGTGGTAACGTGTGTAATTTCATCATTGTGAATAACCTCCAGCGCCTCGACGCTCCCATTATCCTGGGCATTGCGGAACTTTTGAATCGTCATGGGGTTGACATCAAGACCGCGAGCTTCGTGAACCAGCGCAATGATACTGATTCTAGAACGGAGATCGTGTGCCGTTTCCGTCGCAGACTGCCATAGACCGTGGTGTACGGGAAGTGCGCCAAAGTGAGAGCCCATCTCTTCGAGTCTGGTGCGCAGGAGAGAAAAGTGCTTAGCCTCGTCCCTTGCAACCTTCAGCCAGTCGTGGAAATATGCCCGAGGTAGCTCTTGAGGCGTATCTTGGACTGTCTTGAAAGTGGAAAAGCGAACGCAAATATCGATTGCGAGATCGATAGCCCACAGCTCGATGTTGGCTAGTGCATGAAGCATGGCGATCCTACTTTTCAGAGATCCTCCCTTTCCGGTCTTTGGCATCGCTCCCGGTTTCACTTCGACCATGTTCTCACGCGGGGGTTGATCTGGGGCAGTTACGGTGCCCCTTCCAATTTCCATGGGTGAGGAAGTGCCTTCCCTGGAAGTGAAAATGTGGTACAAATGAGTAGTCAGTTCAATTTTGTGCTCTGGGTTAGCAGTGCTCAAAATATGAACCGCCCAGTCACATAATGTCGCTTCGTCGCCAAGATAACGTGCCATGCCAGGATCTTCTTGTTTGGGTGCTGGCTTGTTGGAGGGTGGCGCATGTTTAAGCTTCACTTTCTCACTGACTGGCTCGATTTTACCCAGGCCAACAGAAGTACCTTCCTCGATAGGAAAGTCTATCGTCACAGATCCGTCTCGAACATCAACAAGGAACGTGCAGGCTTTGATGCCTACACTCGACTCTCCCGTCTCGACGTTGAAATCGTACGCGTGCCAGGGACAGGATACAATGTATGCAGAGTCTTCAATGTCTACCTGTGAGTCGGCCATCGGTCCACCAGCATGAGGACATTCGGCCTCCATGGCGTAGTATGACCATCCTTGTGTCTCGTTCGGTTTTGAACCGGATGGGTCGATGGACGGTAAGCGGAATAAGACCAGTCGCTTTCCTGTGGATAGATGGATCACATATCTTGTCTGAGTAAAGTCAGACAGGAGGCCACAGTTGATAAGCATCTTGATATCTGTAGCATGAGATAGTGGAGTTGTTTGATTGCAAAGTCGCCGTTTGATGCGCTTTGGGAATAATTTTTGAAGATCACGTGCTGATAAGGAGAAGATTCCCACCAAGGGGTCAAAGCGCAAAGTGAGGGATCACGTGTGCCCACTGTCGACCCATGGCTGAAAAGAGTCTGAAATTGAGATCAAGTATATTGATGAATTTAGAGTAGGATTTGCCTCGAGCATAAATGGTGGTATTCGACACTCTCGATACCGCTTGATGTAGTCTTTACACAAGAGTTTGCAATTATCATAATCTTCCTTAGGGTCAACCAACTTGTACAAGTTTCATAACCTCAAGTGTCAATCCTTTGTCAAGCATGCTCTATGTTTGGAGAACAGGTTGCTAGTATGCTATCTTGCAGTCGCAGCGGTTTATTACCAGCCACCGTGGCCGAGAGAAGGCAAATATTATAGGCGTGCATGGCCAGCTTAGCTTTTTAAGTATTATGGACAGGGATGTTATGATTAGGTGCCTATGCGGATGGGAACACTTGTGAAAGTATCTATGTAGTGACAAGTGTCTAACCAGTTTAGGTATGTGCATTAACCTAGCTTGTTTTGTGGCTAATAGTATTAGAAAAAGGCTGTTTAATCTTAAAACGTAGTCAGCAGGCTCAGCTGACACCGAAGTATATACTAGAACAGGTAGACTGAGTCTGCAAATGGAACCTGCTGCCGATGCTGTTTGACGTGGCCACCAAGACTGCGCCTTTCGTTACTAACTTGCCAGGGTTTTAGTATGTGAACTTGAAGCAACTAACAAGCAAGAACAAGGGTTGCGATTCCATGATGCAAAGGATCAGTCTCAGCTGCTTGAAAGTACTCCGTAGATGGGTGTGAATTCTTGATTGTGGGCCGTTGTTGTCAATGGTTCCACCACGAAGTTTGGATCCACGTCCAATAATCAGAGCCTCGTGCGACGATCGGAGGACGCCGAATTTGAAACGCGCACACCGAGAACAAAAAGCTTAGCCAGTTAAGTGTTTCCAACCTTCTCTAGGTGGGAGGCCTGACTATGCATTATGCAGCTCGCGTACGGCCGTATGTAATGTGTATATAGCATTAAAATGGTACACCATACTCATGACAAGATGGTCGGGCGAAGCGAATGGGTAGCCGAGGGATAGTAAGAGCCTTTCAGCCGGCACCCCTTTTTAAGTCGCAGCGGAGCCTTGGGTTTGCGGGGGAAACCGAGAGCGGCAGACTGCCGAAGATCCCAGAGCTGGGGGGGTTTTAAACCCTCCCCGGGCAACCTAATACAGTATATCTATTGACGCGTATACTGACAAAATACGTCGGGAACTATATTGCGACAAGCCACGATCATCCTCAGCTCGGAGATCAACAGAAGCAGTAGTTGGACTGACATAGCGAACTGGGCGGCTGGTCGATCTGCTCCTTCTACTGGCCGAGATCGGGCCCTTGGCCGTACAAGTGGATCTACCGAAGTAGAGTCGCAGCGCAGTCAAGTGCTGGAGCTAGCAATGGCCGAGGGTGACTCAAAGGATTACTTATTTTTTCTGCGCCGGCTCCCTTGGCCTCGCTAACTTGCTTTTTCATTTTTCTCTCTTCTTTGTTTCCCCTCAAGTCAGCTCGGTGTTTTCTCCGGTCTGCGCATTGACTTCTGTGCCATATATAATCGGTGCGGCCCAGAACTTCGGATAGTACAGTAGCGTTGCAGCAGCCCATCCCTGCGATCCGAGCTGATCTGCACTCGCGAGTACGCCAGTCCGAATATTAATAAGTCGCTCTGCATTTCCCCCTCCTTGTTAGATTCTCGACATTCCTCAGTTCGCACCCCCGCACAGTCGGCCATTGCATACAGGATGGATTTGCTCGGTGAGTTGCCTCTGATCGCAAGGCACGCGCGCGCTGTCATTAGCCGTGTGGTGATCGCCCGCTAACAGCTCTCGTGGTTCGATTTTGCAGACTCGAAATCGGAGAAGCTCGGCACAGAGCCATTGGGTCCTGCACAGATCTTTGATCCTCCGTCGGAGGATGATTCAGATCTGCCGCCGCTGACGAAAACCACCGAGCGCAAGTTGATGGCCAAGATTGATTGGCACATCCTGCCATGCTTGTGTGTTTTGTATTTGCTTGCCTTTTTGGACCGGTATGATTGATGCGCTCCTGATTCTAGGGTTTGAGACGCGCGCCGCTGACCCTTGGCACTTTTCCGTTCGAATAGTGTTAATATCAGTAATGCCGCCATTCTTGGACTCAAGTCCGAGTTGGGCCTGACGACCGGAACGAAATATAATGCCGCATTGACGATTTTCTTCGTGCCGTATATTCTTCTCGAAATTCCTTCTAACATTCTGCTCAAGAAGTTGAAGCCCCATGTTTGGTGTACGTTGTCGAAACTCAGCGCGTTCGGTGCCTACATCGGTCGGATAATTGACTTGCTTTGAATTAGTATCGCTTTGTATGTTTGGATTTGGTCTCGTGATGATCTGCCAAGGTCTGATCTCGAGCTGGGGTGGATTGATGACCACTCGATTCTTTTTGGGAGTATTCGAGACGGGCATGTTCCCAGGCTGTGAGTTCCCTTCTTGGTTGAAAATGAGACGTGATGGGCAGGAGTACTGATGCAGATTGGATAGGCTTCTATCTGATGGGAATGTGGTATAAGCGAAGTGAAGCCCAGAAGCGTTTCAGTTTCTTCTTCAGCTCCACCACCCTCGCAGGCGCTTTCGGTGGTCTTTTGGCATACGGACTCGGACAGATGGACGGTGTTCGTGGCTACATGGGTTGGCGCTGGGTGTTTATCATCGAGGGTCTGATCACTTGCGTGTTCGCAATCGTCTGGTTCTTCGTCTTGCCCGACTTCCCCGAAGATGTCAAGTGGCTGACCGAGGAGGAACGCGAGTTTGTGAAGGCGAAGCTGGCCAAAGATGTCGGCAAGTCGGCTCACCACATCAAAATGGGCTGGCGTGAGGTCTTTGGAGTTCTCAAGGATTGTAAGGTGGAAACTTGCCCCGTAGGAATGGTGTGAGATGCTGACAGTTGATATAGACAAGGTTATCATTGGAGGCTTCATGTACTTTGGTCTCATCGTCCCCGCATACGGTTGGTGATCCTTTACGCCGATTATCTATTAATGATTCTCAGTGCTAACTATCGGGTCCAGGCTATGCTTACTTTGCGCCCTCGATCATTCAAAGTTACGGATATTCCTGTAAGTGCATGATAACCTGACAGTATCCTATCGATTGTCTCGACTGACCATCCTCCAGCGGTCAAAACCCAATTGTACTCTATTCCCCCTTGGGCGGCGGCATTTGGATTTTCCTTGATCATTGCCTGGTTCTCCGATCGTCTGAGGTTCCGTTTTGCATTCACCGTTATCCCAATCTGCGTTGCAATTGCTGGCTTTGCCATGCTGTTCTGCATCCACGGCAAGGAGCACCGCGCAGCCCAGTACGGTGCGCTATTTCTGGTTACTTCCGGCGCTTACAGTGCTATGCCCGTCATTGTCTGTTGGTTCGCGATGAACCTGGGTGGTCACCACCGCCGCAGTGTGGGCTCAGCCTGGCAGATTGGCTTTGGTAACATCGGTGGTATTATTGCTACTTTCTCCTTCCTGAGCAAGGATGCGCCAAACTACAAGCCCGGATACAGCATTTGCATCTCCTTCTGTTGCCTGTCTATTCTGGCCTGCATTGCCTATGCTCTTGCTTTGATGCATGAGAACCGGAAGCGTCAGAACACGCCTGTCGAGGCGCGGCCTTCCTCTGCGGAAGAGGAGTACCTCGGAGACTTGGCCCCAAGCTATCGGTACCAGCTCTAGTCGATGTCATTGAGTCGGAATCTAGAAATTTGGTCCACGGGCTTTCCCACGGTCGATGTAAACCTTCCGGTTTCCGCGGCAAAGACTGGGCATTGATTGCCTTTCATGATATATGAGTTACGAAGCTTTCAATTCCGGATGCTTTGAACATACATGATATGAGATATAGGACTGACATATATAAATCACAATGATTTCCTGTCATTGTGTCTAAATAATGCATGATTTGATTCCCGTAATCTGTTTCGCCTTAAAAAAAGTGCCATTCTTGCCAATTCCATGACAGTCCATGCTCAGTGCGGAAACCCTATTTCCACTTTATTTCCACTCTCCCAGGGTTAGCAAACAATTCGAACCGCCAAATCCCACTGTGTGATGTAACGGGTCACGTGGACAGCTGTCGTACAGTGCTCAATTCGGCTAGCGGCTCGCTTAGCTGAGTAAGCTGCCCACTACACAAATGCGTCGCGGGATCGCCTCACATTTGTCTTTCTTCATCTATCTCTCCTCATTTTCGCATAATCGTGAGTCGCCTCCTCCTTTCCCAAAATGTCTTCGGCCCTGAAGAAGCAGTCTCTAACCTCGCCACCATCATCAGTACGAAGATGAGAGCTAAGTGGAGAAAGAAGCGCGTCCGTCGTCTCAAGCGCAAGCGCAGAAAGATGCGCGCCAGATCGTGAGTTTCCCCCGCATCACAACTCAGTGTTCATCGGAGCTTACTCCGATGATGCTGAGCAATTGAATCTGCAATTTTTGATACTAATATCTCCGCCAGGAAATAAACTACTCGCTCCCTCCATCTCAGCTCCTCAGATTGAAGCTCACGTTTGAACGCTGAACACGACAATTGATGAATCGATATCACGACTTGCTTATCGTTACACGCCTTTCACTCAACAAGCTGCCTACCCGGATACGATCTCCGTCCTATCCCTTTGAAGAGATCAACATTCGACTGATGGAATCCGCCGTTCAAACACCTTCCGTTCTCCCATATTCCAATTCATCGGACTCGTCAACGTCGGTCGAATGCATGCCGGGTGTGGTTTCTTAAGTGGTCTCCGCTTGATATTTTTGCTTGGAGAGGCTCCTGTGTTTAGTCGAGGGTTGGAGGACCGGTGATCATTTATCTGGTCTACTGAGCTCGATACTGGGGTTCTGGTCAAGATCCTGCTCATGTGTTCCCCACACGGCACTCGGAACTCGTTCCAAGTGTCGGGAGCTATGGAGAGGTTTTTACCGAGAGTTTAAAAATTTACTGAACGATCGGTTCAATAGCCACACCAGTTATGAATCGATGACTTGAAAAAGTACCCAACATACCTTATTCTGAGTAGCTCTGTTTTCTGTAACTATCGTAGCCAATTCTCTTGGGTAAACCTGCTTTATGCTTGTTCAATTGCATCTTAATTCCAGCAATTCCCGGGGCCAATTTTCATTTGTGCGGATCACACCTCACCGCCTTCCTCATATAGACCACTAGGAATTTTTTCTGCCACCGATCTGGACATTTATTTCATCGGCATTTACCAGCTGATCATTCGAGCTGCGCGACGGAGATTTCTCAGTAAACTCTGCCGTGATATTCTCAGACACAATGCCGTCAGACAAAATTGACAAGAAGCGCAAGCGCGCATCCGATCGCCATGAGCGTCCAACCAAAAAGACTGCTTTGCAGAGCCTCCCGACACTCGCAGCTAGCGTTGTCGAGGACAAGAGCGAGCTGGCGCCGGTCATTGGTATGTGCAAACTTATTCACAGGTCATACATTCAATTGCTAATGTGTATCGCGTTCAACAGCTACTACCCCGGGTGTCATGAACTCGAAAGGCTTCCGCTTCAACCCATACATCAAGACCCGCCAGGATGTCGAGCGTACAGCTAGCCGGAACCCTGGTATCGTCTCTAGCGAGATGCTGTTGCAGTCATCTGAACACCAGAAGATGGACTTTGTTGGTCGTGAAGGAACCGGTGAAGATGCGGACTCCCACTTGAAGCACTACGTCGCTGTCGTAGACCCGGAGCGCAAGACATGGCAAATTATCGAAGCGCGCCGAGTTACTGTTCGCGGCGCTGTCCGGAGCAGGAAGCCCGAGGAGGAGGAGCAAGAGTCTGACGAGGAGATGGTATGCGCCCCATTGATCGACATGTGCAGTGGCAGAATGGCATTCACTAACTATACTATAGAGCACCATGCGCGCCCAACGCACCAACCTTACCAACACCTTCGGTACCAAGCAATCCCGCAAGGCTGTTCAGTCGATGGCCGAGAACGCCCAGCTTTCCAGCGCTCCTGCCGGCACACTCAACCAAGCCGGTGCTGCTCTTATTTCCTCACTCCCCGCAAATGTGGCTTCCGGATTGGCCAAGGCTACCAACGTTCAAGCCGAGGTGCAAGCAGCCAAGCCCTTGCCCACACCCGATCTCACGGCTGTTCACCCGTCGGATGTCTACTCGCTCGAGACCCTGGTTCCTGGCGGCCACTCTACCCTCCGCCAATTGACTGGCATCGACGAGTGGACGCAGCAAGTCGAGGCTGGTCTGGGCGTTGTCACTGGTTCGCGATATGTCTCCAACCGTGTCGTCGCCGTTGCACAGTCCGGCAACCCCACGCAAATTCAAGTCCTTCGCTTTATTCAGTTGTTGCTCGAGTTTACCCGCTCTCTCAAGGGTATGGGCCGTGACAAGGGCGCCGGTCCCGGCAGCAAGAAGCTTCCTCCTCGCGAAGATCTCCGCAAGATCCTCTCCAGCACCTCCGGTGCATCCAAGGCCGGCAAGGAAGAGGAGGAAACCAACACCGAGCTCCTCCCCGATTCAGTGGTCGATGCCGTGCGCCGCCGCTTTGCTCCCCAGGGTGGTTTCCTCTCCAAACACGACCTGACTCTCCTCCACACCACCATCTGCGCTCTCACCTTCCACATCCCCCCGCAGCCCGCCAAGGACGGCGGATCCAGCTCTCTTGGTGGCAACTCGCCTAACGAGCTGGCCACCGACCCCTCGGATCTGCGTGACGATCTGCGTCTCGACTCGAACACTATCCAGCAGTACTTCCGCGAGCTGGGTTGCCGTATTGACAAGCCCCGTGAGTCGGAGTTCAGCAAGTGGAACATCAAGGGTGGAAAGGCCGAGGCTGCTGCACGTCGTGTGGCTCGTCTGCGTATTCCGCTCGAGTTCCCCAAGGTTAGCCGGGGTGGTCGCAAGTAGATGTTTCGCCAGGAGGTCTTTGGTTTGTTCGTTGCAGCGGTTCACCTCGAATTGTTCGGTGGTTAAAATTCTCATGTCGTTGTGTGGTATATCCGGCGTTTTTTTTTACTTCGAAATGTGTCATATTTTTGAAACCTTTTCATATGAATGCATCTTGTTGCATATTGCAGCTATGTCATGACGATAGTCTCCGTCTTTTTCTCGCTAGGTCATTTCTAGCATAGGAAGCTGAAAGACAACATCGTAAGAGAGAGACGCATGTCATCTTGTCATTGCTTATGTTGTGTAACATCTGAATCTATATATGCAAACTAGATCTTATAAACAACGGTTGCCCAAGCATACGGATCCCCATCACCGATAATCATGTACGGCATATCGAGCTATAGTCTACCTCTGATTGTACCATAAAAGGTGAAGGGTTACTCAATAAACCCATCAGAAGTTCAAAAGAGTACAGAACAATCAGACACTCAGAAGGAACCACTTTAGCACAGACAGGTACAAATCGTTTGCTAGAAAGATGTTCGATCTTTTCTAGTAAAAACCGACTCAAGTTAACAAACCAACCTTACCACCCAACTACTCAGTCGACTCATCCAAAAACTCCCCAATAGCAACCAAAGACTTCTCCATAACCCCAGGATCAACGGTAATATGCACTCTCACATACCCCCGGAAATCCTCTGCCCCGCGCGTCCCAAAGCAAAGACTGCCCGGCGCCAGCAAAACCCCCTTCTTCTCTTGTAATGCCCTACAAAACACGACGTCGTCCACCGGTCTTCGATCTCCACCCAAAAACCTAATAAACGCCGTGCCTCCGGCAGCTGGCCGCACCCACTCACAAAGACCCTTACGACTCTCCACAAAGGCATCAAGCAGTGCGATATTGCGCTGCGCAATGTCTAAATGCCGGGCCAGAATTTGCGGTCTGCACCGGTCACTGAGTGCTTCCGTGGCAATGACGGAGTCAATGGAACTCAAGGCCATTGTGGTGTAGAGGCCGCGGTCGGAGCATTGGGTTAGGATAGAGGTGTTTAGGGTGGCCAGCCAGCCGATTCGGGTCCCGGATAGACCCCATGCTTTGCTCATAGAGCTTGTGACTATTATTTTGTCGGCAGGCGTCGACAGGGATATGAAGGAGGGCGGAGTGACTTCGGTGTGGAAGAGGGGGCGGAAGATTTCATCGACTAGGATAGTGAGGCCGTGTGTCCGGGATAGGTTGACGATTTCGTATGCCGTGGTGAGTGGTAAGATTGAGCCGAGTGGATTGTTCGGGTTATTCAGGATGATCATCTTGGTGTTCGGCCTGATCAGCTCTTGTAGTTGTTGGATGTTGGCTTGTGCTTCATCTTGCAGACCGAGCGTCCAATATGAAACCTCCACCCCCGGAACGGATTTGGGTAGGGAAATCAACTGCGTGTAGCAGGGGTACATGGCGATGACGTGATCTCCTGGCTTTAGCAGACTCTGAAGCAGAAGAGCGTTGGCACCCGTTGTACCGTGAGTCGGAAAGATATGCTCTGCAGTGACGGAGTCATCGTATAGAGCTGCGATTTGCTGGCGCAGTGGTTTACTGCCGTCGAATGGGCCAAGGGAGAGCTTCAGGGACTGGAAGGAAAGATTGGCAGAGGTTGTCTCCTTGTCGGTAGATAGATCGATTAGATCTTGGATGGATAGAGATGGTGCGGCGCTGCCGGCTAATGCCAATGTCGCGTTGTCTTTGTTGGAGTCGATCCACTAGCGAGCATGTCAGTATATTAGCGGGAAGGAGTTGTAGGGCTCTCTAGTCAATGTACCTTTGGAAGCGCAAAGGAGGCTAGTTCACCCATTTTGAATTGAGACTTGTGATCGAGCAGGGCAGAGAAATGGATTCACTCTCTTTAAATACTTGTTTACGGGACAGTGACTCATAGAGCGATGTCCGCCGAAGGGCGTGAGATGATTTTCTCGTCCCCGCAGTTGATGACAATCTTTATTTCAGCCAATACGAACAGCACACATCGTCATCAATGCCATGCAACGAGATTGTATCCTGAGGTAGCCCGTGAGCTCACCTCCATCAAAGAAAGCTACCATGACTACATTTCTACAAAAGGCCAAAGAAAAGTTCTCCCCAAGAACCCAGTTATATTGCCATCGCTCCGTCACCGTCCCAGTGACATCCGATCTGTGTACATAAACACAAAATGATCCCCTAAAAATAAAGGGCATAATGCCACATGAACAAGTATTCAAAATGCAAGACTGGATGGAAATGCCGATGCAGTACCAGCCAAGCCGAACAGAAAGAACCAAAGACAAGAGTATAAACAATGGTGATCATGGGGGCAAAAAGAAAAAGAAAAAAAAAAAATAAAAAAATTTGTTTATTTTAGCAGATGCAAAAGCCATCTCCTGCAGGATATGTTGTTATGATATTATTCAAAAGAGTGGATAGGCAACCGCAACAAGTCGATCGCCACAAAGACCCGAAAAGAAGACTCAAAAGAGAGAGCTTAAGCGGCAACGCCGACGGGAGTAGAGGCGATCGCAGGGTGCACATTGCTGCCCAAGGGGGTAGCGGCCTTCATGGCAGGGAAAGCAGCCTTCTCGGCGGCCTCCGCAGTCAATTCGCGAGCGATAGCAGACTCAAGAGGCTCCGAGGCATCCACACCAAGCTGAGAGTTTTCCCAGATGGGCTGGTTAGCGGCCTCGGCGCCTTCAACACCGACGCCGACAAAACCACCGATACTCTGCCAGTCGCTGGCACGCTTGATGCCAAGATCGTTCCAGACGGCTTGCACAGCCTGGACGAGGTGATCGCGCAGGGGCTTGACGTGGCCGGGGGTCGGGGTAATACGCAGGCGTTCCTCACCGCGGGGGACAGTGGGGTAGTTGATGGCCTGAACGTAGATACCGTGCTCCTCGAGAAGCTTGTCCGAGGCGCGCTTGGCCAGCTCGGCATCACCGACTAGGAGAGGGACGATATGCGAGGGGTTGGGGATGACGGGGATATCAAGCTCCTTCAGAGCAGACTTGACAGCACGAGTGTGCAGCTGCTGAAGGACCCGGTCACGGGGCTGCTCCGCCTGATACTGAATGGCGGTGTCGGCACCAGCCATGGTCGCAGGAGGCAGCGAAGTGGTGAAAATGAATCCCGGAGCGAGCGAACGGACAGTGTCCACCAATTTGGCAGAGCCGGCAATGTAACCACCAACACAGCCATACGCCTTGCCCAGGGTACCAGTAATGATATCAATGCGGTCCATGACGGTGCCCTTGGTGCTCTTAGGGTTGGCGGTGTCTTGCGAGGCATAGACATCGTAGTCAAGGTGCTCGGCCACACCAGCACCGTGGGGGCCATACATTCCGACGGCGTGGACTTCGTCCAGGAAGGTAATCGCACCGTACTTGTCGGCAAGATCACAGATCGCTTCGATGGGGGCGATGGATCCGCACATGCTATAAACAGACTCGAACGCGATGATCTTGGGAACATTGAGAGGAAGGGATGCCAATTTGGCTTCCAGGTCCTCCAGGTCATTATGCTTGAAGACCATCTTCTTCGCACCGGAGTGACGAATACCCTGAATCATAGAAGCGTGGTTCAGGCTGTCCGATAGAATCACACAGTCGGGCATCTTGCTTCCAAGAGTCGCCAGCGTAGCGTCATTGGCAACGAAGCACGAACTGAAGACCAATGCACCCTCCTTTCCGTGCAACTTGGCTAGAGTGTCCTCCAGCGCGACGGCATGCTTGTTGTGGCCGGAGATGTTACGAGTACCACCAGCACCGGCACCATAGGTGTCGAGAGTGCGGTGCATCGATTCCAGAACCTGTGGGTTGCGACCCATACCGAGGTAGTCATTGGAGCACCAGACGGTCACGCGCTCCTCAGCCGAGGCAGTGTGAGCACGGGGGAACTCCTTAGCCAGACGGTTGATGTTGTTGAAGTAGCGGTACGACTTGTCCTTGTGCTTCTTCTCCAACTCGCCATTATAGAAAGCATCATAGTCGAAACGGGAGGTGATCGGAGCGGCAGGGCGAGGACCGCGGACCGCGGCTTCGGTGGCGGGAGTGGGCCGCAGGCCGTTGGCAATGTTGGGATGAACTGCCGACAAGCCCCATCAGTATACGATCAAATTATGGCTATTTCCAAATGCCGATCTTGTGTTACCTTGTTCGTTCTTCTCGTAGGTGCCGGGGGCAAGGCTAGCGGGATGGCCCCCGGTCGTGTGCAACGCACGCTTGCCGGTAGGAGGGCGCAAAGGCTTCACGGCAGGAATGCCGGCGGCACTCGAGGTGAAGCGCTTGGTACCACACATACGGGCGGACTGCACAGCCAGAGCTTTGCTCATGACGGGGCAGCGACGAGCCAGAACCTGGAGGTTGGACATGGTACCTCCGCCGGTGCTGGGACGAGTGGCGGTCGAGAGAGTGCGCAGGGTAGTGGGAGCGGTGCGCTTGAGGAAGGGGCACATGGCCCGCGACTGCTGAAGCATTGCCTCCATGGTGATGTGAATTGATACCCCAACAAGACAACTGTAGTTGGAGGGAAGGTGGAAAATAGGGAGAGAGATGGATGAATTGAAGATTAGTAGAAGATAAATGGGCCCGTCGGGGGGACCGGTGAAAATCAATCGAGGCGGGGAGCCCTGGCTGACTCATCCTGGGCTGACAAAGAACGGGCTCCGATTGGTGGGCACGGGCCGCGGCCGGATGATTTCGCCCAATGGAGAAAGTCCAGAGGCGTTGGATGCTTTAGTCATCGGATTTTATCGCAGCTCGCGGTGTGAAGTCGGCCCAAAGTCGGTAGGTGCGGAATGAAATCCTCATGGCTGAAACTCTGTCCAGAGGAGGCGGAGGAAATTGCAACATTAGGAATGCGGGGTGAACATTCGAGAAACTATTTCTCTTCTAGGTATGACTATCTTGTATTACCTAGTACATACGGGCGTCCTCAATGGACTTCCCAGTATATTCTATAGAAGCTATACTCTGAGAAGACTCCGTATGTAATAGATAGTAGAAGTGGATGCCGGGCTCTGCCCAAATCCCGGGGTCCAGCCAGCATGAGAAAACACTGAGACTGACACGTGCGGCCACTCGGAAATCTCGGCCCACCACACCTTCAAAATCCGGGATTCCTGCCTTGGAGCCTTGGGCTGGGCAAGATCGCCCTTTTTGAGTTTCGTTATCGTTCCCCCTCGTTTAGATTCGCTAAGACGTATCCTAAATGGAAACAAAGTTCTGGCATTACAGAATTTTTTCTAAAGCTCTCAGTGACAAGTGGTCGATCTCTAAAGAAAGAATTTACCATGCGGGATTGATCATGTAGTTAGTGTATTGCCACAGTTAGGTAGCGTGAAGCATTGGCGATGTTCCGTGTCGTGGCCACCGACTAATTGGCAAACTGCTGCACTAATACTAAGACAAAGTCTTTCCTAAGCCGTGAACATGTCTACCTATTTTATAAATTACAAGATGGCCAAATCATTCTAGTAAGCTGACATGTACCCCTCAAGTAGAAAACTAGTACAAAGAGCCCACCGGCTAGAAAGAAGCACATTTCATGAACAAGAACTCAAAATTTTTAAATCTATCACCAAGCTTCCTTTACCACCTCCCCCATTAGCTTGGATGGCGAGGAGTCAAATTGACAGGACTATACTTACATACGAAATGAGATCGCGCTTAGAATCTATGATAAATCCGCAATGGCTTGGAGGGCTGGATGAACGGATTGAAAGCGGATAATATGGATATTACGTCTAGTGATATTTATCTCAATGATTTCATCTAGAATTGTGATGTGTACTCGACGCTTCTAGCTAAACATTGCTACAGCCGTGTGACTAATCTAGTAACTAAGCTATTATTCCGATCTATCAAAGGGATACGATCGTTTACTACGGTGTGTGATTGGTGCACTAGATCACCAAATTAGGTTAGCTCGAAGGGTTTAGACTTCTCAGCTAAGGACCATGCGCTACGCCAGTGAACGGATCAGCGGGCACACGTACAACACTCACTGAACAGATCACTCGCTTAGGGGCATACTCAATGCCAATCGGGGATTCTAAAAGCAGAGGTAAGCACAACGGTGGACAAGGACAGCTAAGAAATGGTCTAGGAAATCAAGTAGGTAGGTGCCTTCCAAATTACTTGTATAAACACGGATGTCTCAAGACATCCACCGGTCGACTCCGGTGTCTGTCTGTCTGTCCCGCTCTTTGAAGAAGAATCCCAGAGCATGAGTAGGAAAAGGAAAATTCAAGGGCAAGAGTTCAAGTGGATCAAGTAGTCGTATGATAATACATAACAGAAGTGTGAGAGAGGAAACAGGCAAAAAAATATAGGAATATAAAATGAGTGCGCGGAAAGTTATCCACACTAGCACCTTGGGAGAAAGTAGAAGAAGAATCATTATAACGCCATCGCCCATTTGCAATTATTGCAAGTATTTGAAACCAAGTTATCCCGAATGTTTTTTTTAAGCAAGTCCGCCATCGCCGTCAATTAAACGAAGCCGTTCCTTCACGGTCTTTGCACGTTTGGATGAACCGGCTTTGCCGCCACCACGACCCCGCCCACGCTTCGCCGGGGTGGCGGCAGCAGTAGGGGGAGTGTCGAGATTGTCCGACATGGGGGTTGCAGCGCCTGATGGCTTGGCGCTGGCATCGTCAAAGTTGCCCTCGCCTGTAGAAAGAGTGTGTCAGTCAATCATCCCAAGTTGAAACAAAGTCGAACGTGGGTGGACGTGGGAATGGGTTGCTTACCTTCATGGTACATATCATCCATCGTGAGCTCACGCTTCCGCTTCTGCGTAGCCTTCTTGCCGCCCTTGGTGGCACCAAAGGCTTCTCCTCGCTCAAGCGCCTCCTTCTCCTTCTGCTCAATGAGCTCCGCCTCATCATCATCGGCAAGCCACATGGCAATATCCTTGGTGCGGTTCTCGCGGGCACGAGTGTTGAAATCGACACCGCCAGCAGCACCGCCGGAAATGACCACACGCTGCACCTCCTCCTTCTGCAGGGCACGCTTGCGAATCCGCTCTTCGATTGTACCGCGAGTGATAAGTCGGTAAACGGTAACCTGGCGGGTCTGACCGAGACGATGGGCTCGATCCATGGCTTGGGAATCGATAGTCGGGTTCCAATCGGAATCGTAAAAGATGACGGTATCGGCGGCAGTCAAATTGATACCAAGACCACCAGCACGCGTAGACAGCAAGAATACAAAGATTTCGGGGTTGGACTGGAAGTCGGCGACGGTATCGCGACGATCCTCCAACTTTGTACTTCCGTCCAATCGGCAGTACTTGTAATTTCTGTAGGTCAAGTACTCTTCCATCAAGTCGATCATACGAGTCATCTGGAAGTAAAGCAGAACACGATGGCCACCAGGCTTCAGCTCCCGGAGAAGCTCGTCGAGTTTGGCAAGCTTGCCCGAATCCGTAACGAAGCGACGCATGGACGGAACTTCGATGTGAGTGTAGCGAGTCTTGAGTGACGTTGGCGCTGGGAGCATTGGCGCCTTCGAATAAGGCGTGGGATCGAGCTTGTGTGACAAGATCAGTTCCTCAACTTGTCGGGAACGGTTGCCGTACAATGCCGACCGGACAACTGGATTGAACAGGGTTCTTTGGGTCTCGCGAACGGCCTCTTGACCCGAGCAGGAGAGCGTGATCGGAGGCGCTTGGGCAGCAGGAGATGCGCATGGTTCAATCAGGTTAAGACCTTGGTCCTCGAAAGTCGAACGAGAAACATTCATCAAATTACGCATGCGGCCCTCGGGGGTGATCTCATTAAGCGCTTCGCGGTTGTTGCGATCCACGACGTTAAGCATAGACTGAACCCACACCGACTTGCCGACGGACTCGTTCTCCTTGTCGTCGTAGACAACGTTCAGACGGGAAAGTCGATTTTGCCTGTCGCCACGTCGGGTTGCGCGCTCAAAAACACCAAGACGGGAATATTCACTAGCTTCTCCAGCGGATATATCGACAAATCGTAGGAATGAGAAGGCCCCATTTTCACGGGAGCTCTTATGAATGTTCTCCGTATTCCAAATGTTCATCAAGTTTGACAAGTATTTCCCTTGGAACCCAGCCCGATCATTGCCGGGACCAGGCATATCCAAACGGGCCTCGGAGCTGCACAGCAGTCGAGGCACCTGGTACTCGATCCGGTTCCTGGTGGAATATCGGACGTCGACAAAGTATCCTTCACGAACGAAAGAGGCACACTCCGCAAAGGCACCAACAGAGAATGGTGATCGGGTTTCAGCACGTTCAAACAGATCGGGATGGTTGCAGACCTTACGGAACTGCATGACCAAGTTCATCAAAGTCGTGCTATCAGTGTCATCACCAACGGCCGCCTTCTCAATGAGATCGATAATGCTGACACGGTTCCGCAGGTTGGCATACAAGGCACGCTGGCGGTAGGTGAGATCGCAGAAAATGTCCTTCTCAACCTTGTCGCCCAGTTCTTGCTGCACGTGCTTCTTGACACGACGAAGCATGAACGGCTTCAGAATCATATGCAGACGCTTGAGCTGATCCTCGTTCAGTTTCGTGTTACTCTGAGCATGGGACTCAATATCTTTCGAGAACCATTCGCTGAACTCGTCATGGGAATCGAACAAGGTAGGCATAATGAAATGCAGCAAGGCCCAAAGCTCTTGCATGTTGTTTTGAATGGGCGTACCAGTCAGCAAGAGACGGTTACGACAGGAGAAGCCTAACAGATTCTTCCAACGCGAACTTTGAGAGGACTTGATAGCTTGCGCCTCGTCCAGAATCATGTACTGCCACTTGACTTTTTGGAAGTACTGGGCATCCAGAACGACCAGCTGATAAGAGGTCACCAGGACATGGAACTCGGAGTCGCGAGTATAGGTGATATGCTTGCGATCCCAGAACTTGCGGAGAATCTTACGATCCTTGGCATTACCCCAGTACGGCAAGACCTTGATATTCGGAACGAACTTTGCGATTTCTTGTTGCCAATTGTGCAGTGTCGATGCTGGCGCAATGACCAAGAACGGACCCCAGATGTTGTGGAACTCTGCCAAATAGGCCATCACGGAAATTGACTGAATGGTCTTGCCGAGACCCATCTCGTCTGCAAGAATACCGTTGATACCCTGTTCGTACAAGTTGACAAGCCAGTTCAAACCCTTTAGCTGGTACTCCTTCAATTTGGCGGTCAACATAGTCGGCTGAGAGATCTCAATGTCACCCAAACTGGTGGGGTTCTGGAAGTTCATCTCGCCTTCATCAAAGGCTGCCATCTGATCTTCCCCACCTTGCTGGTTGAAGGCGCGCGCCCGGTCCTGAGCTTGCTGCACGGCGTTTTGAGCGTTGGCCATGGCGGCTTGCTGCAAAACACTCTCGTCCTCAGCATCAAAGTCCAGATCCTCAAAGGCAGTGACCTTGGCATTGGGATTGGCGACGCTGTCAGGGAGGTTGACTGTGTGTTGCGCCTTGCCAGGCTGGATAGTCTCGTTGCTGCCAGCAACGGTTCCATCGCCAATAGCTTCCGCCTCGGCGGTTTTGATCTTGCGACCAATGAAGTGAGAGTACAGCTCAGTCTGGGAGATCAAGAAATTCAGCTTGCGCTTCTGGCGGTTGGCTTCACGTTCCGCCTCGGCCTTCTTAGCAGACTCCAGCTCCTGCTTCTCCGCCAAGCGGCGCAAGTCACGCTCCTCACGCTCGTTGCGCTTCCAGAAGGACATCATCTCACGCATGGTACGCTTGGCACGAGCCTGGGTATCCTTGGTGCTCTTGTTCGTCCGTTCTTGCCACTTCCGCGACTGCTTGCTCGCCAACTGGGCCGTCTTGCGCAAGTTTTCTTGGCGGGTAGAGAGCGAGGTGGTCTTGATGCGATAGACCTTGGGAATGTCCTTACGGGCAATGTCACGCCAGATTTGCTCGTAAATCTGGTTGTAACCCTTGCTGTCGTAGTGCAGATGAAGGATCGGAGTGCCCTCCTTGGACCTGCCGTCTTTCTTTGTGTCACGGGGAGTGAGGTAGATGGATTCATCGTCGAGACCAGCCAAGTAGGCGTTCTCGGCAGCATCCTTTTCGGCCTGCTTCTGTTCCTTAGACTTCTTGGGCCGAGTGACGGGACCAGCACGCCCAGAGCGGCGACGCGAGGGTGAACCGCGACCGATGTGGAATGAGCTGGTGGTGCCGCCCTCGAGGTTAGGTGCCAATGGAGTGACTTCGCCAAGTTCGTCCTGGGCACTTCCACCCTCAAGAGCCCGCTTAGTGGACCGGATCTTCTTCTGAGCGCGTTCCGCCTCGCGCAGGAACTTGGCCTTCTCTGCAGAGTCCTGGGCCTTGTCGGCCTTGCGTTCGGCCTCCAGCTTCTTCTGCATCTCCAAGCGTACAGTGTTCTCACGGCGACGTTTCCGTTGCATGTCCTTCTTTCGCTCCTTCTCGTCCTGGATCTCTTTTTGCTGGACTTCGGCGATGACAGAACCTTCGTTACCGACCCGGAACCGTTCTGTACCTAGAATTGCGTGCTTCTCAAACGACCGCGCCAATTCGTTCAGAGTGTAGTTGCGACGACGCTATTTCATATTTAGTATGGTTGCGCAACTGTGAGCAGAGACAAAACCTGGGGGTTTACCTTGCGAGAAATTTGCTCCGCCCGATAGCTTTCCATCAATCGTTTCCGACCTTTTTCAAGGTAGACTTGCAGATCTGCCTCAAAGTCAGGGCCCTCAAGGTCACTCTTCTCGCCGTTATCAATGTCGATCATGGCACGGTTCACTTGCTCGGCATCAACACCAGGCGGGAATGGCTTCCTTTGTGGCGCGCGTGGCACAAGGCTCGCCAATTCTGGAGCCGGCTTGGACACTCCATTGGGAGTAAAAACACCCTTTGGCGGCTCCGTATGGGGCTTTTCCGTGCTCGGTGCTTGGTCCGATTTATGGTAGAAGGTGCCCGGGACTGGGCCGGTTTCAGACGGACGGCTCTCCGACTTTGGTTGAACCTGAGGGGTGGGCGTTGCAGTGGAGGGCGGAGGAGTTGATTTCCTGGCAGGCTGTTCGTCCGTGGGTCCGGAGAGGATGCTCGCAAAGGACATGGGATCGGCTGCGCGAGTAGGCTTCTATTATCGGATCAAACATGGTTAGTGGTGTGTTGGCCGTTGCTTTGCAACCAAGCTTTCCGGACTCAAGACATACCGATTCCCGGGGAGGGGATGCTGCTTGTGGCGCCGAAGCTCCGTATCCAACGCCATTGCCTCTCACCCGGTATGGAGATTCCAATTCGCGAGTTGGAGACTGCGAGTGGTTATCTGGCCGGCTCGAAGGATGTCCATGCGGCGTTGAAGGGCCGTAAGGGGAAGTACCGTTACCCGACATCACGGAGCTCGAGAAGGGACGCGGAAGCGGCAGTCCCGTATTCGAACTCCCCGAGGGCCCGGGATACTGGGATGGATTCTCCGTGTGAGATGAATGTGGAGGCGGTGCAGTACCATTCAAGGACGGTGGCAGGGTGGATGGCAATGGTGACGACGCGTGCGAAAAGCGCGGGCTCCGCGACACGGAGGATGGGCCGAAAGCCGGCGGTGTTTGGGGAGGATGTTGGGAGAAATGTGGTTGTTGTTGCTGCTGCTGCTGTTGTCCCTGTGGCTGATCATTGTTGGGAAAGAAAGGGCGGTTCTTAGTCGGGGACTCGTACGCAGCGAACCGGTGCTGCTGAGTCGGGGATTGGGCGTTGTAAGGCGGAGCGCCCGTCATGATGGGCGCGTCCCCGGCGCTGAGCAAGCCTAGCTAGGAATACTAAATGGAATGGAGAGATGGAATGGGATGAATTGGGCGAGGAGGGAGTCAGACACCAAGGGTGTTGCTCATGAAAGAGGTGTCAAGGGGGGGGGGTGGTCCGTTTTCGCGGAGATCTGGCACGGACGCGACGTCAGCTGAGAGGGTTTAGCGATAGGATAAGAAGACCGAAGTCGCAGAGGGTGGATGGGGAGGATGGATGGAAAAACAAGGAGATGGAAGGGGGTCGATGATACCTGGGAATGACGGCTTCGTTTGGTGGTGGGAAGATGCAGGAAGGAAGGATCGTTGTGGCCGCGACCCAAGCAGAGAATGCGCGGGCTGGGGCTAGGCGAGAGAGAGAGAGAGAGAGGATGCAGGGTCGGTGACCCGGACCGACGGTGATGTCGGGAGTTTACAGTGGACGGGATGAGGTGGAAAGGAAGGGTTGAATGGGGAGGAGGAGGAGGAGGATGAAAGAGAGAGGAGTGGATGATTGGACGGGAGGGGGAAAGAGGATTGAAGGTGACGATTCCCAAGGTAAAAGGGTAAAGGGGGGGCAATTCGGTTTAGGATTTGGTTCCCTTCGAGGCCGTGAATAGTCTCTTTGCTCCCGATCTGCAGCGGTTATGCTTCATCCACCAGTCTCGGGATGGGCATCGGATCTTGTGGATTGGAGAGTATATCTCTGCTGGAGAAGCCGTATTTAATTTAATTATTCTTAAGTCGACTTTTGCACTTGTGCGCAGCCTCCGACGTCGCGATGGAGGCCAGCTATGGATGGGTGCCCGCGGTGCAAGGCGCATCCCATACAAACGTGGAGAAAGCGAGAAGATGGCGGATTTGAGGTGATCGGCTATAGAGTGGGAGGAATGGCATGGATCATACCAGATAGTCTGCTGAGTATAGACATGATAGTATACACCTAGTTTTAGATCCTACCGTTCTTCACTATCTATTCTCTACTTCTGGTCCGACCGGCTCAAGTTCCTGTCCATCCGAAAGATTTCCTCGCGGCCGATCCCGTCTGTTTTCCACCGCGAAAGGACCCGACGATTTCTACCATCTAGATGCTCGTACACACTATCGATCATATGTTGGTGGTGATTCCAACTCCAGTTGTTTCCACATGATCCGGGTAGAATGATTCTCCTATACCATCTGCGCTCGAACGCCACCAGTTCCTGGCTAGCGACCTGGTCATTTCTGTCAGTCGCCTTGCCCAACAAGCGATTGCGGGCCGCCAAGCCCGATCCATGCGCTCCGTTTAACTGGATACGACTGGATTTGGGGCTGGACGAATCTTCTCAACGCCAACCAGTCGCTAATGTTCAAGAATCTGGTACTGGAGTACCCCCCGAACTCTGAGAGCAGGCTAACACTCTTCGGATTCATCGTTTCCGATATCATGTCTCAGCCGAATATAAACTTGTCGGTTACCCTTGGATTGATGACCGCGCGGCACCCCTACCGAACAGCCCCAACATTGATCAAATAAAACGGCAGATGGGTAAGATGATATTCTGACTACGAATTTAATATCCAGGGCACAACGTCAAGCTGCCAAGCTTATCTTCCAGCCCACTTTGAAGCTCGGCTTGCGGATACTGGGTTACTGGAGCGGCGATCACGTACACAGCCAGCATCAGACTGAAAGACATCATCCGAGGATCTTTCGGCCCTGTATAGCTCGGCGGAGGAGAGTGTCTGTTTCTTCAAATCGTTGCTGATTGTAGGGAGATAGAGCAAAAAGGTGTAAACAGTGATGTGTTCGTTCATGATCAGGGCCCAGCACTTTCTCGTTCACCTGCAGAGCTTGGCTACGTAAAGTCTCAGCCTGTGTGTGGTGTTCACGTATATAACCACGCTAGCCTGGTAGCACTGTCTCGCGTGGCAAACCCCCAGATTTCGGGACCAACGTATCTTGGAGTGCCCTTGATCGTTGTGACTGCGGCCTTCCTCGATACCTTTGGCGATACCAAAGTCTGCGAGTTTATCCGCCACAGAATTTGGGGCATCTACCGCTAGACTACAAATGCTCCATGGTCAACATTCTTAGTCTATATGGGCTTCTATTTGCTCTGACATATACGAATGAGTCAGGCACGAACTTCTCAATCCAGGCTTCTGGGATCCCTGGTATATCACGTGATTATCCATCAATCTACCAGTACAAGGGATTGCCCACGAAATAACAGCCTAAATGTGATACGGATGCTGGGCGCAGTACAAAATCTGGCGAACTTATGAGGAGCTTTACAGTTTTGACTACAAAATTGTAGCGGCGATATCCCACATTTAGTTAACTAGTTATCTGTTACGATTGACTCATTGCTGACGGCCCTGGATTCCCAACACAACATAACTGCTTTGTTGATACTGATTCAATTAAACATGCTGTAAGAGCTGTAAAGGCTGTCTGAATGATTCGAATTGAACCTTGCCAGAATGAAGAAAAAGACGGGGATTGACTAGTTGCAGTTTCCCGGAGCTGGTGTCTGGCCTGTACATAATGTCTTGTTCAGAATAGCGAAGGCTGTATACTCAAGAAATCGAGTATTAGATTGACACATGAGTCGACAATACTTGGACTGTAGTCATCTGAAACAAACCAATTGATTGTCATCGACCGAGCACTGGATTGCGGTGGTGACGAAAAGGTACAAAAGTTCGAGGTATGGCATACGCGCCATGTATTATTATACGAAAGAAGCGATTCTCCCAAGGTGCGCAGTACGAAAAGAAATCCCCACAAGTCACGTATTTGAACTTTGAACACTTCTTTCTGTTCAATTATTATCCAGAATCGGTGAAGATACTTCTGGTGGATTGATCATGAGAGTTGAAAGATATAATCCTGCTTTTCATGAATCCAAGCGATCCACGCTATTCGGAGAAGCCGGCGATGGTGACGTCCTCCACCCGAGTCCTCCATCATACTCTACTATGGATTTCAACTTTGCCAGGACTCTGCCGCAATAGTACCCTGAATTTTCCCCAACGACGAGTCAGTCTCTGACGTATGACGATCTGACCATGATTTTGACACAGAGCCCTAGATCTTTTCGGAGACATTCCCTACGGTCGGAAGGCGCACGGAGATATCTCTAGCTTCGGCCGAAACAGCTACAAGGATATGAAATGATAGAGGTATCCAAGGCAAATGCTTTACAGGAGCAGATAATGAAAGAAATTATGCCGAAATTATTAGCTGGTCTGTTTTGTTTACTCTGGAATTATGCGACCGTATGACGAGCAGGGTCTTGTGTTACGGAAGCGGCAGCTTCGATCGTGAGATGCTATCGTCTTACCGTTCTTCACCTTCTTCACCCACGGATCAGGAACCATCGGACAGACCGGATCGATCGGTAGATATGAAAGAACAATTCAGTGGCTCGTTGGATTGCCAAGATGCCATCGTGTCAATCATAGACAACTATCCCCCGGAGCAAATCCCGCCGAGCAGGTTTGCTTGTCTGTTGTCATCATCATCGCCTCGCCGCATGTGGCACCACCTGCGACGCGGTCTTTGTACTTTTTGTTTGAACCCTTGATATTTCAGGGATTCCTCTTGGACTATCCCTCTAGTTTGTTCCATCTTCTCCTCCTCCACACTTTCCCCCACTCTCCACCTCCCCAACTTCTCCCATCCCCTTCTGCCCAGCGGTCTGTCCAATAATACACCTCTACACACCGAATCTTATCCTCAACATCACCATGGCTCCTCAAATTCCTAAGAAGCAGTGGGCACAGGTTGTCGAGAAAAAAGGTGGGCCACCGGTCTACAAGGAAATTCCCGTCCCCAAGCCCGGCCCCGATGAAGTCCTGCTGAAGATCAAGTACTCCGGCGTCTGCCACACCGATCTGCACGCCATGAACGGCGACTGGCCTCTCCCTGTCAAGATGCCTCTGGTTGGTGGCCACGAGGGTGCCGGTATCGTTGTCGCCAAGGGCGAACTGGCTGAGGGCGTCGAGATCGGCGACCACGCAGGTATCAAGTGGCTGAACGGATCGTGCCTGGCGTGCGAATACTGCAAGACCTCGGACGAACCACTTTGCGCCACCCCTCAGCTCTCGGGTTACACCGTCGACGGCACATTCCAGCAGTATGCGATTGGCAAGGCTGCCCACGTCACTATTCTACCAAAGGACATTCCTCTGGATGGGATTGCGCCAATTCTTTGTGCCGGACTTACCGTGTACAAGGGTCTGAAGGAGTCTAATGCTCGTCCTGGTCAGACCGTTGCGATCGTTGGTGCCGGTGGTGGTCTCGGTGTGATGGCTCAGCAATATGCCAAGGCCATGGGACTGCGCGTCATTTCCATTGATGGTGGTGACGAGAAGCGTCAGGTCTGCGAGAAGCTTGACTCGGAGGTAAATTCCCCCCCATATAATTTCTCGTATATTTGACTCAATCTTTCTTTAGGCCTACATCGACTTCACCAAATCCAAGGATCTCGTCTCTGACGTGAAGGCTGCCACCCCCGAGGGCCTAGGTGCACACGCTGTGATCCTGCTCGCCGTCTCCGAGAAGCCCTTCCAGCAGGCGGTTGAATACTCCCGTCCCCGAGGTACAATCGTCGCCATCGGTATGCCAGCCAACGCATTCCTCAAGGCCTCAGTCTTCGAGACCGTTGTCAAGATGATTACTATCAAAGGTAGCTACGTGGGCAACCGCCAGGATGCTGCAGAGGCGGTTGATTTCTATGCTCGTGGTTTGATCAAGGCACCATTCAAGACGGTTCCCCTTGAGGAGCTTCCCAAGGTGTTCGAGTTGATGGGTAAGTTACCGAATTCGAGTTTACTGTTACACAAGTTGCTAATATGCTTTTTTCACAGAGCAAGGCAAGATTGCCGGTCGTTATGTTCTCCAGATGCCAGAGTAAATGCATCAATCGACGGGCGGTGCATAACCGACAACATCGTATGAGCATATCTTAGTGATAGCACCTGTTACAGTTTACAATGGCTCGCGACTAGGAGCTGGTGTTGCCTGGACAGCGTTCCGTTTAGCCTAGTAGTACCTACACATTATGAGAAACGAAACATTTCAATCAACATTTCTTTCGAACATGCCTTGAAGCTCTACATTTTATGCATCCATGCCGGACAAAGCCCGGCAAACATTAAAATATCTTGTAAGAGTTGGTTTCGCGACTCCTATCCATACATGTCCAGCCCTTTATAACGTCTTCATTTTTCATCACAATCAGGAAATATATCGGGAAAGGGCCTATATCAATATGGCCCAATAAAGACCTGGTCAACAAAGACCTGATCCTGGAAACAGTCGTGTCAGACGTCACTACATGGACCCTCGTGCATAATGTCCGAGTGATGTAAAAAGGGCCGTTGAAGCAGCTTCAAACTGTAGAATTGCACTGTACCTTGAAGGTATGTTGGATGAGCAGGGCAACTCTTGTACCTGGTCTGGATAGGCTGTTATTGCTTTGTCGGCTTTATTTCATCATCGTCTGGGGCTCCAACCGATTAACCTAGCTTACGCATCTCCCCAAGAATACACTATAATCATAAAGCGCTCGGAGATATATCCATCTCTTCGTCATTTTTATGTACAAAAAATCACTGATGACTATGACACTCAACCTGACGATATCAAGAATTTCGATGAGACCGGCTTTGCAATGGGTCTGATAGCTACTGAAAGAGTAGTTACGCAGACAAGACATACGATCAAGCAACTAGGAGAAGAAGCTTCTTCAATCAAGATGCTTCTATGACAGCGCCCGAAAAGTCCCAATAGTCTTTATAATTGTGCGTTGGATCAACTTATCAAGGGGTGCCGTCTAGCGATCCATAGCGGTTTACTTCTCGCGAACGAAGATAGCGAACTAGGCAAGTTCAACGAGAAGAAACAGCAGAAGCACAGACGGTCAAATAGACAGATTACTAGAGAAGAGATTCTGATTGACGGTTAACTGTTAAGAAAATTAACGATCAACTCTTCTCCGAGTCTCCTGCAGCAGCTATCGCCTCCAGGTGTTTGCCCTCTTCTTCAGGCGAAACAGTAGTCTGCGGCCCCTTGAACGTCTTCTTTGCATGGATACAGTAATACAACAAAGAACCCAACCAAAGTGCCCCGTTGATTACAACGGTGTAATTCATATTCTCAACTGCAGTCACCTCTTGTCAGCACACAACCATGTTCATCAAGACATGCAGCCACTTACCAGACGGATTCGGCCCTCCAGTCGGAAACATGCATAACAAAATAGCAAAAGTCATGTATATAACAGCCGTCCACGCAATGGGTTTACTCAAATACTTTCCCGTATAAAACTCTCCCGGCACAAACTTATCCTGTCCCCAAAGTAGCCGTGCCAGGATCGGTGTTAACCAAGCGAGGTCATTTGCAGCCACGGCGAGAGAAAACAATGCGTTTGCGGCAGCGTTGTCGATGAGGGAGAGCAGGCCGATGATAGCTGAGGCACCAATGATGCCGCAGACCATGCGGACGGGTTGGTAGCGGGTCAGCGGGCGTAAGCTGACTTTGCGGAAGAAAGAGGAGAAAGGAAGGGCGCCGTCGCGGGAAAAGGCCCAACTTTGACGGGATGCGGCGAGGACCTAGGATTGAAGTTAGAGGAGCCCTGGTATACCTTAAAAAGAGAGGACTCACGATGCTCAGTCCCATGAAGAACTGAACGGTCATGACTACAGCCATAAAGCCGAGAGCACCGTTCTTGCCGAGGGCATCGTAGTAAATCTAGTGGCACTATTAGCATTCCGCAGCGAAGCCAAACGACATGTTTTTGAGTAAACAGACCTGAGCCATGGGCTGGCCAAAGTTTGAACCCAAAATACCCTCAATATCCTGCTTCATCCCAGCTGCAATAACAGCCATCGACAAAAATCCCAGAATCCCACATAACCCTGTCGACGCAATAATACCCAAGGGCACTGCACGAGCCGCATGAGTAGCCTCTTCACTCATATGCACGCACGAATCAAACGCGCCAATCGTCCAAATCGGCGACAGCCACGCCAACATAAACGCCCAACCCGTCGGCCAGGTAGTCAAGTTCTCGACATCACCGAAGACGTAGGAAGCCGAGTTAATCGGAGGGTCGTTGTGGGCTTTGCCCACGGGCAGGGCAATGGCTGTTGCTACAACGAGGCCGACATTGAGGAAGATGCAGATTGATTGTATTCTTGGCATGATTCTACCGCCGAATATGGCCATCACGCCGTGGGCGAATACGGTTGCTACGTATGTGCCGTAGATAACAGGACGTGTTGCGGTCCAGGTGCCGTCGCGGGCGATCGAGACCATTGAGAGGAGCATATTGGCGAATCCGTCTGGAAAAAATCGCATGTCATCGTTAATGGAGTTTGTAATTGAGGGCGATGAGAGGCCCAGGACATACAATCAATTGAACAGATACCACCAATGAGACCGATCGTGTTGCTATATCCGACAACGAAGCTCAGCGGGTTCTTCCATTTCTCAGCGGCGAAGTGGTGGGTCCAAAAGTATAGACCACCGGCAGTGGGCATGGCAGATGCAATATCAGCCTGTAGATGAGTTACATGAATCAGTTGTTGCTTTCCATGGCGGATAGAAGGTCGTATAAGGGTGATTCCACTTACCATAGCCAGACTGACAATGAAAATGAAGACACTCGCAACCAGCCAACCTATCTTTTGTTAATAACTGTGGTAAATGCTACGGGAGTAGAATCGTTGCGTACCCTGGAGGGAGAGACGTGTCAGCAATCAGTTCCAATCCATACTTCAATTCAAGAATAGACTTACCCAAACCATGCCCACTGGTCCTGCGGGCATTGAAAAGGCCAATGTTGATGCAATAGATGGCAAAAGACCCATGATACTAAAGGCAACAGCGAAAATTTGGACCGTGGAATAATGACGGCGCAGTTCCTGCTTGTAACCCAGCGTCGCTATCTCATGGTGAGCACATAAGCTTCCAGGCAATTCAAATATACTTGTCTTGTTTGGATCAGGGCGCGACAGGACACAACGTACCCAGGAGCTCCATATCCCCAACCTCGGCGGGGGCGTCATTGTCAGCTGTATGTTGTGATTTCGCATCGCGCGAGAGCGCTCGCTTAATGGAGTCCGCCATGGTGACTGTAATAACACACTGTGCTATGAGGATGTTTGATCAAGATGATAAAGATTCAAAGGAGATAGATGTATGGCATTCCAGACAAAGTCAAAGGATCACAATAACCACTGTGTTACAGTCGTCAGCGAGAATTGCACAAAAGCAAGGAGTCCTATGCAGCATGCACACAAGGCCGCTAGCCGAGAAAGTCAGAGGATTGCATCGCAATTGACGATGGGAGATCAACCCCCCTTTAAAAATAACCAACGGGAGAATTGTCCGCCGACTATCTTTCCTAAAAGCATAGACCCTCACAACATTCTGCGCCCACACTTGCCATCAGCGCCCCCTCACCTCCGCCAGGCCAGATATACCCGTAACCTAGGTAAGGACAGGAGCAGGTGGAATCGCGTATCATAGGAAAAGCCGAGCGGGGACACGAGGGGGGCCGAGTAGGGTTTGAGTGGCTGAGCAAAACGTCGCAATGAGGGTAATCATGTCTGCATTGAGTTTGGCGTCGTTAGAACCATGCTAGATTGTTGCGATCACTGCTCTGCCTATCTAGAGATAACAGCCCGCGTGTCTTCCGGTTGGTGAGTTGGTTCGGAACTGCGATAAGATGTGTGGTTGTTCCGAATGATGGTTTCTACGTTGCGATTAGTGATATATAGGCTGGTCTGTAATTTTCTCACCTTTCTAACCTAATGTGGAGATTTCTTGGAATGCTTATCCTTTTACTCGTGAGGCTTTTCTTATCAGTCCGTCTGACGGCTGGACTTTACCCCAGACAATCTAGTGCTTCTTTAAGAGTTCAAGTGGGGTCGAGAGCGGGCCCGAGTCTGCTTTACTTTGAATCTATGGCGCTGGTTATCTGACGCATTTAGAGCGCATGAAGATCTATTACTGGCTGGGCAGCTTCAGGATAACCTAGGCAGTGAGGTGCTCGAGGCATAGAAGGTGACTTCGTGTTCATTACATTATCGCTTGTGTCATATTATCATAAATAGTGCCAACACAAGCTAAGCATCGCTACTAAGAACCGCACTAGCCAATTGTAGACCAAGCTTGGAAAATAGGCATGCTCTTCTGCGAAGCATAGCACCTCCTCGTCCCTGTCAAGCCATCAAACAGGAATGAGGATTGAATAATTGATAGTATTATCAAATACAATGGAGATTCTCCTCCTATTGGCGAAGCTTCCTGTAGAGATCCAACTGACAAAGATAATCTAAAGATGTCTAGAAAAACGGTCAAAAGACATGGTGAAACAGCGTCTTTGTCTAAGTAGAGGTCATCCGAAAACACAATGCGCCTTTATTACCAAGAGCTTCGGCCAGGATTCCAAAGTCATAACAGCAAACAGTAAAACGGACCGATAAAAACGCGGCCACCAGGGCTACGCCAAACCCAGCCCAGCCATCAGAAGGAGAAAAGAACTATACTCAAGCAAAATCAAAAAATTCTTGTTACGAAAATGCAAATCCCAGCACAAAACCAACAGGCTAAATATACATTCATATTGTAGGCACACAGACAGCCAATGCAACGAGAATAAAAAGTGACCGGCCTAGCTGTGTAATCCGCCCACTCTTCCCAAGGTATCAAACTCATCCAAAAAACTAAATCCAAAACAAAAAGTAAGTAATCCCCATCAGACCGCACCGGGTCCCTTGTGATTTGACTGATCAAGTAGTAGCTTCGGCTTGATATAGTCTTCGTCGAGTTGTCGGAACCACGCGGCGTGATCGCCCGAGGCACCACCCTGCCAAAGGTCACGCAGGGCTTCACGAGCGCTAAGACCTGGCGGTTGCCGGGCCGGTGAGACGCTGGCTGATATGGCGTTTGGTGATGGCGTGGCCCCAGGTGAGGGGTGAGATGATGCGCGGCGGAGGCGCGATGCGCTTGCTGCGGCGGGTGGGAGGTCGTCGTCTGATAGGCCGTCAAGGTCGAGGTCGAACTCGTCGGGGTGGGCGACTTTGGTAGCGGTCTTGCCTGTGGGTGGAAGGCCGAATTCGTCATCACTCCCACCGCTGCTGATGCTTCGGCTACTTGGGCCGGGTCCGCCGTTAAGGAGGGTTGCAGCTGATGAGCGATCACGTCGGGACTGCGCGTCCTTGGGGCTGTAAGCCGCCGAGTACATCCGAGTATGGCCGTGGGCAGGGCTAGGGCGACGGTTGCTGCCGGTGGAGTAGCTGTCTACTCGATCAAGACCAGCGCGCGGTGGTTGACTGACTCCATCGAGAGGGATTCCGGACTCGGTGCGCCGGGGCGTGTATCCCAGAGCAGTGTCGGAGCGTTTGTAGTAGGTACCACCGTGGGTGACCTCAATGTCGAACTCGTCGTCTGAATCGATCTCCTCGACGACTCCAGTGCGAATACCCAAGATTTCCAACATGCGTGCAGTGGTGCCTCCGAAGATAATCACGGTCAACACGACAACGACGAGAACAGTGGCCCGCAGAGTTGGCGCATTGACGCCAGAAAGACCAGCTGCCAACGCGACACCAACAGCACCACGCAGGCCGGCCCAGAAAAGCATCGCCTGATAGGCGAAGGGCAATTCATCGGCGACCTCTATACCCCGGCGGCGAGCCCGATAGCGAATGAACCAATTGATCGCCTTTGAAAGAGGGAACACAGCAAGGTAGCGGGCAAGACAGATTCCAAAGACCGACACGAGGATGAAAAGCGGGTTGAAATGCAGGTTCGACTCGACAAACAGGTCCAGTCCGAGGTAGATAAAGATAAAGTTCTCGGACAACTGGGCCATCACCTGGAACAGGTATTTTGTGGTCAACTGTGTTCGGCGAGACATATTATAGTAGGCGTAGTGCTTCAAAGTGATACCACAGAACAAGAGGGACACAATGCCTATAAGAGAATTGAGTTAGCTTTGCGTGTTGCAGGCCAAGCCATAGTCGAGTGCATGCCATCAGCCCCGGAACTTACCAGACAAATGCACGCCGTTAGAGAAGAAGTAACTTGCGTAGGCAATCAGGACGATCAGACAACTCTCGATCTTCGGCATTCGCCGAACCAAAGTGTACTTGAGTCCCAGTGCAGTGGCAATACCAACCATAATACCAACCAACATGCTGCCAAAGAAGACAAGCAAGAAGAGACCGCCGGCCTCAAAGAGGTTCAAGAAAGTCAACGAGCTAGAATCACTATCCGCATACTTCTGCGCAGTCTCGAAAAGCACAATAGCAATAGCATCATTCAAAAGCGCCTCGCCAAAGATGATAGTGTAAAGCTTCGGCTCGACCTTGTAAAGGTTGAAGATGGCGAGGATAGTAACGGGGTCCGTAGCGGATAGCGTCGCGCCGACGGAGATCGCCTCGACAAAGGAAATATTGAGCCCGTCCAGCGGGATCCGTGTCCAGAGGAACAATACGAGTCCGAGAACGATGGCCGAGATGAAAGTACCGGCGAACGCAAAGGTAAGGATCGTACCAATATGCCGGAAGAAGTTCGCTTGATGGAGCTCGTAACCGGAAGCGAGGATAATAGGGGGCAAGAGGAGGTTAAAGAAGAATTGGTAGTCAAAGGCGACGCTGTCCTGGAGATTGGACTTGGAGGAGAGGCGGATGATTAGCCCAACAAACATGCCTGTCAGCTTGTCAGCAAACCCGGCCTGGCAATTCCTGCGATCCTTTTATCGCAGATGTGAAAGAAGCTTTCGCATCATTTTAAAATCGACATACCCGCAAAAATCGATAGTACTGTTTCGTGGACAGCTTGGATCTTCCTCTGTTGGAGGATGTAACTCGTGAATAGGGCGAACATCAACAGCATAATCATAATAAATAGCGCCCAGGAGCTGGTAATCTCCTTGGAGCCCGCTTCGGGGGCATCTGCAATCCAAAACACATCGTCAGATCATTGTATTCCATTCCAGAGTTATCGGCGTCAATCGAGGGAGAGGGGCTCGGGAGCTTTGTGCAAGCGTACCATCGGGGTCTGTGTCTTCCGCCGCTCGCCCTGCAATAAGAAACGAATAAACAATCAGCAAAAGTCCGGAAGAGCGCAAGAACGGAAAAAAAGACCGAAGGAATTAGGATCACGTACGAAGCAGCGCGTGGAGGGCTTCGCCCATTACTTGAGTGGCCATTGCGACTCAATCACGAAGCTGTGAGGGTCCGGCGCGGATAACACTTGGCAGTAAGGAACTCCCGCGCGGCGAGTCAGATAGGGCAAGACTGGTCGCGCATAATCCGCAGGCCTAAAGGTGCTGGATAAGGGAGCGAGTGACAGGCGGCGCGATTCGAGACAGGTAGAACTTTGGAATTCAAGGTGGCCGGGCTTGAAGTTCAGAGTTGAGTTGCATCCGCCGAGCGGAGGGACAGATCGGTCGGGGTCCGACGGGGTATGGTATATGAAGTACAATACTTGTTACGAGGGTGGGCATTCCACCGTGCAAAACGGATAAGGGATGGGGCAAGCAGAGTTGTTTCCGTATTGTACTGTTCCCGTTTTACTTGAAATCTGACACGTGGGCCTCTTCGGAGTTGCCGCGCAACTGCCAAGAAACGGCCGATGCGGGTATCAACCGGCGCCGCGCAACATCTCCGAATCAACAAAGGGGTCTAGCTTCTATCTCAAGTATATCGTTGCTAACAAGTCTACGTCAACACTTGGAAAAAACGAGGACGTGACCGTGTTATAAATATCATTGGCCCCTACGTTCTGGCGATGACTGCATCGTCCAGGGCTGACCCACTTGCCTCCCGTTAGTAAATACATCATCGGCATGCTCTTGCAGAATTGAGGAAAAGGTCGGATGCAAGTGATCTTGGAGTCAACAGATGGTTCAATATACAATCTGATCCAAGGGCTTCATTTCGAGCCCTCGGCCAACCTCTTGGTAAGCCACGCCGCAACCAATGCAGCACATCCACCAAATCGAAGCACCCATCCCACACTATCATCCCATGGCTCGCCGCGCGGCTTCTGCGCAACCTTGAAAATGGCGCTGCAGATCAGACTGGAAAATATCTGGGGGAATGAAACTGCCACATTATGTAGACCCAAAACAATTCCCGCTTGCGCAACGTTCTCTTCCTCACTGATAGGAACGGGCTTTGAACCACTATTGTCAAAGTCATGGTCTCTGGCATCGTCGTGATCTTCGTCTTCATCATCATCCTCGCTAGAAACGTGTGCATAAGATCCGGAGGTAGTAGTATGCCTCCTTCCAGACTCTGTCGCCGAAGCAGCCCCCCCTGTTTCGTGACGATGTGGGCGCCGTGTGATATCGTTACGGGCTACCTCGGCGGAGATCAGGGCAAATGGTGCCCATAGTGTCAAGGCCCAGGATATTCCGACGAAAGCAATGACCACCGAGCCGGCGGGGTAGGATGAGATGAAAAAAGTGCTGAACATGCATAGTGCAAAAATTATATGTGAAATGAGCCAGGCTCGGCGAAGTGTCAAACCGGGGATCTGCAGTCGAGAGAACCAAGTCGGCTCTTCCTCAACAATCTTATGAGGCGTTCCATCAAGGAGTGGCTCATAAGAATCTCCGGTGGCACCTCCGTCCTCGCTCTCCGGATATACAACTCGTTCATGATGGGCCGTCGTCTCGGACACTTGTCCAGATGTGGGGATCACAAAGAGCGGGAGGGCAATGTTAGCAACGAAGGAGATAATGGCATAAGCAAGAAGTGCGGATGTGCCAATCCGAGTGGCATCCTCCCATGTGCGATCAATCTGATCATCCGACATATCAGGATGATCCGCAAAGATGGGGTTAGCATAAAGCTGGCCAACGTAGGTAGTCGCATAGTACAAGAATGGGAACCATCCGGCCCACGCAGCGAGCTGCACCTCACAGACCCGCGTAATCTGCGGTGGAAGATTGCGAATAGATTTGAAGACCTGGCGGAAGAAAGAAATGAGGCCTAGACCATCGGAAGGCGGCGGTCCATCCTGTCTGGGATCACGCTCTTTGATGTAGAGGCAACTAGCGAGCAGGGTGACGGTGAGAGATATGGAAGCCAGTGCGCAGAGAACTTGGAATTGCGTCTTTCCAAGGAATGGAAAGATGTTTGGCAAATCAAGATACCCAAAGATAAAGCCGCAAATATTGCCGACGCCTGTCAGCCGACTAGCCCAGGCGTTAGCAATTTCCTGCTGATGAGCAGGACAGTTATCCACAATAAACGCTCGAATCGCAGCTTGCACTACAATCAGACTAGTTAGCTCGAACATTCCCACAATCGTTGGTCCCTGAACATACCAGTATTAATCGCAAAATCCAGACAATACATCAAAAAAGTGGCGACCACGATATTCGTGATCTTCGCACCGCCGGACTGTCGATCGACGCCGAAGATCGATAAAAATCCACCCATGATCTCCTGCACCCAAGACAGGGCAAGCAAAGATATGATGAGTGCCACGGCACCACCAACCATAAACGGCTTCCGCTTGCCCCATGGATGTCGGCAATTGTCGCTTCGAATACCGATATACGGTTGCACCAGGGTACCAGTCACGGGTCCTGCTATCCACACGAATGCGAGAAGAGCCTTACTCATTCCCAGTGAGAGCAGGTAGGGCTATAGGTGGTTCCAGTCAGTGATATGTTCGGTAGATCCTCCTCGTTCATCCGCCATACAACCTCCACCTCCACCACTCGATCCTTGCATAGGAATATGAGAACTTACCGAACCATTGGACAACTCCACAGACCAAACAACCTGTAGCCTATTGCACAGCCATGATCAGAACCAATATTTATCGCATTCAAACCGTGCCAAACTCACCCTCCAATGGAAATCGTCAACAAAAACAAATACCATCCACTCTTCGACGAATCATCCAAATCCTTGCCCTCGAACTCAACATGACCCCCCTCAAACTGTACATCGGAGTCATTCCCATGCCGCGACTCCATGAGGGGCGAAGTTTCGTGGACGGGTTGCGCAGTCGATTGTATTTGTACCATGGGGGTGTTGGCGTAGCGCGATGGCCGATAAGCGGTGACCCACAGTAATTGTTATACCCCACGAACGATTCAGGGAGAGCGGAGGGGAAGCATAGGCGCTATTCGTGAATGAGTGGGAGAAAAAAGGAGTTGGATGAAATGCCTCGGGTCTGTAGTTGTCACGCTGTTGTCCTTTTCGGAGTTAACGAATCATTGGCGGTTTATTGCGTAGTGAGGCATCCAGTCTTGGGGTTGTGAGTGGGCAGAAGGTGTTCTGATAGTCAGGCAGTGGGGTGGTGTCCTAGGCTTGGAGAATTTCAAGGGTAGCAGCCTGGCCGGTTAGTCGAATGGAGTATTGAAGTCAGGGATAGCTAGCTATATAGCTCAAGACGACGATGTTCATGTGCGGCCGTATGTCAGCTGCGCGCTCGGGGTGTCAGCTGCGCGACCGGGGAGAAGACGTCAGTGCACGTGATATTCAATATCTTGGCTCTAGATTCGAATCGACGATTCCGTGAAAAGAACAATCAGATTGTTCCCCTCCCATTGAAACATATTAAAGGTGCTGGCAGTTGGTAAGAGATATTAACAAGTGAAAGTATGTCTTTTTTGCCAATTTTTGTCAAGTCAATTCGTTAAAAGTCTATAGTATAAACCAGCCGCAGCAAAAACGGCACTAATCCACAACCACAATCACAATCACACACAATAGAGACAAGAAACAAATATTTCCACTTTCCCTAGAAGATACCCGATATTCCAGAAAACCCTTAACAAAACGTCCCTTGAATCCACCAAAAGTCCTTTCCTAATAAAAGAGTGCACACCCACAAGTCACCCGTGCCCGTACCTGCCAGGCCAGGTTCCAATGTTCTGTGCCGTGAGGCAGGCTAAAATTCGCAAGGCGATAATACAAGCGCAGGAAGTTGCAAAACCAGAGCATAGCGCAGTCAGCCATAAACCCCATATGGATAAATCACACACACACACACACACAGAGAGAGAGAGAGAGAGAGCAACAAAGAAAAATAACAAGCATGTCATGCAAATGGGATGAGCATATGGAGATGAGTATCGAACAACATCATCAACCACAAATCACAACAAATTGAACATAGATGAGGAGCTAGAATATCCCGGGTGGAATAGTCGCGGTGCCGAAAAAAAAATAAGGCCGTGAAGGAATTAAAATACTGGAGTCAAGACGCCTAGATGCGTATGCAGACCAGATCGACGAAGCCACACCGGGGAGACTCAAAACCTAAACCCGGCTTACATTTGTTGCTGGAGAAGCTGCGGGGCAATCATCTGATGCGGGGCAGGGACCATAGTGGGCATGCTCATGGATGTCGCCATCGAGGTCATCGTGGGCATCTGAACCATGGTGTGCGGGGCGTGGTGTGCAGGCGGCGGCGAGTCCTCTCCGGCAGATTCGAACTCTTGACCATCATTCTCCAAGTCATCCTCATTGGTAATAGGTGCGTGACCATCTTGTTGGGCCTCGTGGATGCGACGATGCCTAGAAGCGAGATTAGCATATGAGGTCATCAGGGTCATCGTGCAGTATCATCTTACTGTGCAAGGTTGTCGGAGCGAGAGAAAGCTTTGCTGCAGTATGGACAGGGGTAAGGTCGCTCTTGCGTGTGGGTACGCACATGCCTAAGCGCCCAAGTTAGTCGGCGGCTATCGAAACCATCACACCGGGTCATTGTGCAGATGTCAGCCCCACCGGTAACGGCAGGGTGTGCAAAAATAGAAATGAATCTTACCTCTTCAGGTGCTCTAATCTCTTGAAGAGTCGCCCACAGGACGGGATTGGGCACGAGTGAGATTTCTGGGGGTACGGTCCAAGCTCCATCATGGTCGCACTCCTGGCACGACGTGCAGGACCGGGACCCGCACGGTCTGACCGGCCAGTGCTGTTTTGAACCGTTGTTTCAATAGCTGCACTAGTAGGGAGCGCTGTCAGATCATCTGGGGGGTTGCTGATTGGCACTGCGTGTTGATCAACGGACTCCTCTACATGCTGGAGCGGGGTTCCATGACGTGAGATTTCCTGCAACAAGTCCTTCCGAGGAAGCATGGCGCTTGGGTATGTTCGAGATAGATCATGTCCAGACTCCTCGCTCTCCGCAACTGGGGCCACGGAGCTAGACACGGATCGTCGAAGATCGCTGGGGCGGTGTGCGGCATAAGGCGGAGGTTGGGAGGGGGCAACTTGAGACCCATTAGCAGCCCCAGGGGTACCAATGGCAGGGCCTGGGGTGATAGAAGGTCGCCGCCTTCGCTGCTTGTAAGTCGGAGAGCCCTCGATGACGGAGTAGGCATTGGACGAAAAGGATCGAGAAGCGCCAGGGTAGTGACCGGCGGCGAAATTCGATGGCGGAAGCTGCATCATGGGATTATACGGCGCGGCGTTGGAGAGATCCGGAATCGCAGTGTACAGACCCGTATCCTCATTAGCGATATACGCGGGCTCAGCACCCAAGCCGACCGAATGTTGCGGTGGGGTCACCGGTTCAAAGGACAGACCACGGTTGCTGTAATCCTCATATTGGGAAGAGACGAAAGACGGGGCGGGTGAGTACTCGTAAAAGGTAGGCATGGACGAATGGCGCTGGTGGATGCGGGCGAGGGGCATTCCATTACGATCATATTGGATGTGCCCGTAATCTTGTTCGCGCTTAATGATGCTCTGGACTAGATTGTTCGAAAGTGGCATCTGGGGATTGCCGTACATCGTCGGATTGCCATGGTCGTCCTGCAGGAGTGGGATCGCTGGGGGAGCCATCTGGGGAGGAGGCATTGCGTCAACGGTCCGAACCACGGGGGAACTGGGCTGGCCATATGTCGTACTTGCGTGGGCGTGAGCAGCGGCAGCAAACGAGGATGTATTCGCTTGTTGCGCCTTGGTCAACTGCTCATACAAGGACTGGGACGAGTCAAACTCGAAAGACAAGGCCGGCTCGCTCACGGCGACCGTGGTAGCCTCCTGGTTCATCTTCTCGCGTTTGAGATCTCGCTCGAGCGCGTCGAGGAACAATCGGTCGTGGGGAACGCTGTACCAGTAGAAAACCTTCTGCTTCTTCTGAGTACGGATGCAGTTGTTCTTGTACAGGAAATCCAGGAATGCGCTCTTGGGCTCCTCTAGAGTTGCATCGGTTCCGGCCTTAAGATTTCGCAGATCGGAAAAAATACCCTCCTCGAATTTCTTGGAGTTCTTCACAGGTCGACCAAAGGCTTGGAATCGGAAGGCAAGGCATCGTACGATATCGGTTCCCGAGATGTGGAAGAGGTTGCTCCTAAAGGGTGACAGTTTGTTAGCGGTCGGTCTCGCGCTCGGAGGGGCACGGTGTCGTCGGCACTGGGCACTAACCAGAGAACGCAGGATACATAATCGCCGGTCGGCAGAAGGAAGCGGCGAATCAGCTGGTCGGGCTGCCAGTCGACTGGCGCCGAGAGGAGGAAGTATTTTACTAGTCACTGGTGAGCAGGACAGGCCATGTGTTTTGCAAATCCCGCCAACAACGTACGATTATCCACTTGCTGCAGGGCGACTTGCGCATCGTGCGGGAGGCTTTGTTGAGCTTCAGTTGATAGCATGAACGTCTCGGGCTTCTGGGGAGGAGGTGCCATTGGGGCACCGTGTTGAGGATACATGGTGCATGTACTCTGCAAGAAAACCATCAGCGCCGACCGAGGGAGGAGCAGCAGCTATAGATAAAAGATGATCGCGAACAAAGAAAGACACCAGCACGGGACTAGACCGCAGTACTGAGGACCTTTATTCCGTATTTTAAGACTTTGATCCAATTTCAAAGACTCACCGTTGAAAATGATTCGATAGGGCGGGTCGGATCAGCCAGGCGCAATGAGGGGGGAGGGATCAACGTCGAGGCGATCAGCAGATAACGGGCGCGATTGCGATGCTGTGAATTGAAGATCCAAATGATAGTATATAGATCGATATGTCGGTAGATGGAGATCTTTTCGGACAGCCGACGGCAATAAGCACACGCGATTACCGGGTGGTAGTGGTGGAATAAGAGGAGCCGGCCTCTTGTTATTTTTGGGGGGGGAAACTTGTCAGGAACGACAAAGAGAAAGACAGTAAAGAAAGATGACAGAGACCACTGGACCAGCCGGTACTGAAACTCTGAGGGTATTCCTCGCACAGCGGAAGAAAAGAAACGAAGGTGAAGGTGAGAGTGGGAGGAGAGATGGAGATCGAGTAGAAGATGAGAGGAGGAAGATGAGAGGAAGGGGGAAGATACCGAACGTCAGTGACGACGGAGTACGGGCGTCTGTACAGTACTAATAATAAGAATCGGGAGGTACGGGTAGGACCAGAGAAGTATCGAAAAGCAGGAGAACGAGGGAAAGACTGCGAAGCGCCAGAACCCTGGTGGATAACCGGTTCTGACGGGTATGGTATGAGAGCGAGACCGTAACTAATGATGTGGGTAGAGCATCAATCTCTATAAATGTCCAATCTTACCTCGTACGGTACGGTTCACCATACCTCAGATACGCGTGACCCAACTAGGCCCACTTTGTCCCTTTTGCTGGTGGAATTCCAGGGCTCCATTCGCATCTCTCGATTGGTGATTGTTCTCCATCAACAAAAATCCAGTCTTTTAGTCCGCCTTTTCTCGTTCAACTAACTCACCTCCCGATCGAGTCTCTGCGCTCTTTGTGTCGGACAAGAAAAGAGGTCAACAATACGAGGCTATTTTTACGACTCCCCTTCCTCCTCCTTTCGCTTCCGTTTCCACCGTTCTCCCCGGTTTTCCCGTCCATCCTGACCACTAATCGTGCCTTGCAGAGAATGGACCGATCGGCACTTCAATGGTGATTCGACGCATCCCTCGTCCGCTGAGTGACTGGACTGCAGAATGTCCGTGCATCCGGTACTCCATTGAAAAGGCCAAGGGATCATTTTCTGCTTGGAGAGGTCCATCGCGACAGGGGATCGAGGCTGGCTAGAGCCAACGAGAATCCACAAGTGGACCCTCCCATCTGGACCATGCCAAGAGCTGCGAGGTCAAACTGGCGCTGGGACCTGACTGGAGAACCTGAAGCACCCGCCCTCGGGTTGTTTCAGAGTCAGTGGGCGCTTACATGCAGCCACTGAAACGAATCCTCCCACCCCTCTCTCCTCTCTCTCCGTCTCCCATTGATCCCATTTATCCCGAGTCGAGTCGACTCTGCCAGGTTGCTCAACACGCTAGCCCTACTGGGCCCTGTCCACCACCGGGTCTCCGTCCCGGCTTGACTGTGCCAATCTCCAGTACTCCTCCCCGTTTCTGATATTTCTCCGATCCTCCTTCGACTCTTCGAGCCCGTGGCCATACGGCTGTGGCTGGAACTGATCGCTTTCTTCCGGGCCTCCCGACCAGAACGTCCGTCCCTAGTCTTGGTTTTGCGCATGACACATCAAAACGAACGAGTCCAAAATAGCGTCAAGATCGGCCGGAACGAATCATGCATGTCGATTGAGCAATGACATAACATGGCATGAGCCATGTCAAGTTGTCAACTGACTGTACTCCCTTCCTTAGTGTGGTCTACGCTTCTCTTTCCCACCCCCCTCTCCCTCCTTCCCTGGGCAAACCGGCTTTGGCAACTTAGGACCCATGCTCCATATTGTACTCTTGTTAAAACTCCCGTAATAAATCCCATAGTCTATACGAGCTGGCCCCGAAGTTCCCCCGTTGGAGCCAACGCTCTGCGACCTTGCCGTCTGGAGTGCATGCATTAGGGCCCCGGGTCAATTTCCAGCTCTCTTCTGACTTGTCGAATTCTCTCTATCCATTTCGCCACGGCCTACCCATGGATCATACTGCCGGGTACCTGATCCACGTTTATGTCATATAAAAATCAACTTGCCGTACTCCGTACATAATCTGACGACTACTACTGCACTCCGTCCTGTCTAGTCTTTCAGACTAGTTGACCATAGAGCCTTTCAGGCGTAAGGCGTGCAACTTTACAAGGCCCTTCCAACATCGCGCGGCCGAGAACGAGTCAAACCCCAAAAAGCTTGGCACCGCCCCTGGACGCGAGCAATAACCCGTCCCAAAGTCCAAGGTCCAAAACCAAAAGAAAAAAAAAACATATGGAATAGAAGAGAGACAAAGAACACATGGCGACCCCATCAAAGCTCTCGGAGAAAGGTTTTTCGGGTATGACCCCATCGTAACCAGACTTCAGCTATCGCTTAGCCAACGATCCATCTCTTAACGAACTACGGAGTGAAAAAAAACAATCCCAAAAAGGAGTCTACGCCCGACAGCCCCAACAATGAGTCTTCACGGAACTTTCTAAGTTCCCCTTCCTAATACTGTTTGATCTCCCTGCATCGTGATGCTATGAAAAAAAACCCGCTATTTAAAGTTGCCGACTGTAACCTCGTGTCTTACCCTCGAACATGCGGTGCTGATCCGGGCATCACTGTCGTGATGGTCTGTGACGATCAACGCGCAAGAAGAGCAAGCATTCTAGCCCAAGAAATGTCTTACTTTTGGGTTCATCCACAACGACGCCGACTCGCTAACTAGTTGATAAAGAGCATGCTATTACTAAATCAAGAAAGAGTCCCCAGCGAGGCTGGCAAGAGGGGGGTCTACTAGCCTGATAGACCATGGACTACGGCGTGTACTTTCTATCAGTCCACAACGACGACTTTTGAACAGCGCAGGGGCAGGAGCATGTGCTGGCTCAACGATAGACTCTCAATGGAGGTTTCAGCTTCTGCGGGCTGTCGGGGTTTGTTTTCCCCCTGGACTAGACCGGACCTGATTCTCGGCCAGGTGTATGTACCGCACAGGGCACATGGTGAGGCGTGTCTGTTTGATCGTCCAAGCATGAAACGATCTAGAAGGTCTAGCATTCTAACCCCGTCGGTGGTCGTGGGGCCTTGAATTTATCCGTATCATGTTGCGTGGCTGGGAATATTCAACACCCTGCTGCAGCATGTCCTACTGCAACATACAAGGGTGGTAAATTCGAGATCACGGCATACGTAGTAAAGGATGCCATGGCTGGGTCCGTTGAACTCAACTATGTTTAGTTTGTATAGTTGCTTCTCGGGACGCGCTATGTGGGAAACCCCCTTGTCGAGAATTGATCTTCTAGTACAGTACTCCGAACGCTGCACACGTTCAGACTCTTCACCATGACGACTGCTATGGACAGGAACTTGAATAGCGAAAGTCTGATGAACCGTGGCTCTATGGAGTCCACGCTTTCGCTGGCCGACGGGTTCCGAGTGAGAAAGGGGGTATGATCGACCACCTAGATCGACAATGGGGTAGTATTTCACAACAACCATCGCTTAACAAACTTCACGAACCAACAAGCTGTAAATCATCTTTCTGAACGTTATTTGCCTGCAGAGTTCATCAGGATGCCCGATAACAGCGCGATTTTGGTTTATCCAGGAACAATTTTCAAGTCGGTGTCAGGGGCTAGCGGATGCCAGCCCGTTCTAAGCCCTATTCTGGAAAACCTCCGACTGCCTCGTGCATGCCCTGCCAGCCAGAAAAGTATATTCAATATTGGTTCTTACCCAATGTCCCACCACGTTTCTTGCCCCTCTTTCGCGAGGACCATGAGGTCAACGGTGCCGACAATTGAATTTGTAGTCTTGAACCGACCACACGAGTCATGCGCCGCCCCCCGTTCGTGGGTTATGAAGCTTTCGTCCCGCGTGTTTTTTTTCTTGGTAGTGTCTTAGTTTCAGGAACGGGCTCCAGTGCAACAACAAGCCTAGTACGGAGTACACACTACATTTTTTACACTACTATTGGATACTGCAGTACAGTTACTCTATAGTATCCACATTGTATGACCAAACTCAAATTCTTTTTCGGGAGCCTCAATTGAGGGCCTACTTTTGGGGCGTGGTCCACTCTCGCAACGCCCGGTGACCGCGTCGGCTGGTCTTTCTACTTATCGAGAACTTTGCGAGTACTTTGCAATCTATCGGATTCAAAGGTGGGAATAGGAGTCAAGAGAGTGGGGGACATCTGAGAAACCTGACCAGTCCGGAAGAATCATTCAAAGAATCTGAAGCAGGTCAGCCGTATCGCAGGACGGAGTAGTTTGTTCGGCATTTCAATTAAGCGGATTGCAGCAGTGTGTACGGAGTACGGAGTATGTATGTACAAGCTAGAACAAAAATAGGCACAGAGGACGAAGTATGTACAGTCAATGTTGGTCAAACGGAGGAGTCAAAGCTCTTCCTCCTCTTCTCAAGCATGGCTTCTTTCATGAACGGACTCCGTTCTCGGATCTGCTTTCCATAAACGACGAACAAGATGGGCGCAAATGATAACGCTAGCGAGATAAAAGCAAGTAACGTACTTGCCCACTGAAACCCGAGCGTGCTGTACATGCTCATAGCGGCCAGTGGCAAAAAAGCCGAAAAGGTGTTCTCGCCAGTGACGATGATTCCCACTGCGCTTGCGGCATACTTGGCGTAGGCATCTACGACGTAATCGGAGATCCCGGTCACGACGATCACACTACCTGCCCCAACCATGGCGAGACCGACCGCCGGTGCGATCCATGGAAAGTTAGGATACGAGGTCCACGCATAGGTGAACATGCCTCCGGAAATGCCGAGGATGCCACCTACGATGGCGAGATAGAGTCTTGCTTCGGGGATAGGAGTGCCAGGCACCTCGGTGTTGCGTGCAGCAGAGTCGAAGTAGATTTTGCCTGAGAAAAGGGTTCCTACCCAGCCTAGGATTTCGCCGACAACGATGGCGGCTTGGATGTATCCGGCCTGGGACGGGGTCCAGTCATACAGACCGACGAAGACTTGTTCAACGGATTGTGTGAAAAGGTACAAGGTTCCAACGGTGAACGCAGACCACATGAATGAGACGAAGACGACTGACTCGGTAAAAAATAGGACGAGAGGTCGTGTTGCACTGCGAGCCACGATCATCATCATCGATGTTCCCTCACTGTCGATCTCGTGCTGGGTATATGCCAGCTTGCCCTCCTTTCGTAATACCTTTGCTCGTTGGCCCAGAATGGCAATACCTCGACACTCTTTAAAGAGGAAGAAATACACTGGGAAGAGTGCACAAAGCCAGATCAGTTGGAGATAACTGATCCACCTCCACGAGAGGAACTCGAAGATAGGCGCACCGATGACGGGCCCGATGCTTGCTCCCACCAGATATGTCACGATATAGAGACTAACGGGGATATTCCGTGCCTTCTCCGTATCCCAGACATTCCCAATCACCGTGGCAGAGGTATTCGCCAGGATAGAGACACACCCACCAGCGAAGAACCTCGTCACAATCAACGTGGCAAAGTTTTGCGCTAAAGCTTGAGGGATCACAAAACAGACGAAGGCTACATAAGCCAGCAAGAACACCCACCTCACACCAAACTCTTCCATGAGGGGCAAGATGAGGAGGGAAAAGCAGCCGCCGCCGACGGCCCAGGACGTCACTGGCCAGTACGAGTGAGGAAAGTTGGCATCAGAGATGCCAAACTCCTCGTTGATCGCGACATGAGCCACTGTGATGATAGTGCCGTTCATCATGGTAATGAATGTGGCGAAGGCCGCTAGGAGTGTCAATGTCCATTTTTGACGGAGCGGCCAGTTGTACGGGTTCTCGGGATCTTTCGGTCCATTCCAGGACACGATCTCGATGTTGCTGCCCGGGGCATTATGGTCTAGATACGAGTGTCAGTGATTTTGGGATTGACAGACATGCCCGATGTCGTCCAATGTTGATCCATGACTTACCGATGGCTTGATCATCATGGCCGGAGACATCGCCACGCGCGAAGACCATCGCCGTCGTTTCAGACTATCGCAGAGACAGCCTGGATACTCCCGCGAAAGTCAATCACAATCAGATGGCTCAACGTTTCCAGGACTGCCCACAACTTTCCCTATGCGAAGGGTGCTTGAAGATGACCTCACTTCTCCGGTTCCGTCGGGGAGCAATGATCTCACGGCGTATAGATCGAACGAACGTCCACAGCGAGTATCAGCGCAAGAACCACCACCCAAGGCTAAAACCATGTGATGCCACACTTATATGTCCAGGCAAGAGGCCTGAAAGAAGAGAAAAATTTCTCCCCGATCATATTGTCGTAAGAGCCGTGACCCTCAATGGCCGCAAGAATCGTCGGTTTTTTTGTGGTTCTAGAATCCACATCCGCCTTCGCCTCTCCGGATAGTGACTGTTTTGGGACTAGCGCGGATGGACCCTGGAAGAGAAGACCGTCGCATCAAGATCTGGTTCGTCGGTGGCACGGTCATTTGTTGATAATGTACATTATTCTTAGAAGAGTTGATTTGCTAAATGTTTTGCTTGCTGCACCCCGCTACTCCGCATTTTGTGGCTTTGGAACATGGGTTGTCAAAATCTTCTCCAACGCTTAATGTACATGGTGCAGCCGTGGTATGCACGGCGGTGGGTAAACTATAAAAGGTATATTGGTCATGTCCAGTTTGGGTCTCGGCCTGGAGTTGGGGTAAACAGCTAGACAGTTCTGTCTCAAAACTAAATGTCGACTCATTTGCGTGGTGGTCGCATTCATTCGCAGCAGGAGGCTCCAGGCATAGTGGCAAGATTTGTGGGGTGTCGGGATTTGCCGCAATTCCCGAACAGAATATATACTTCTAGGACCCTCAGCACCGAAGCGGCTGATGTACTAAGTTAGCACGAATAATTGTTGATTACATTGTACATCATGGACAATAGTCTTTTAACAACCAATGTGGGGCCTACCTATTAGAGTCCATGGTCCTGCTCTATAAGCTCTAGGTGAATACACCTGCTCGAGCACCTAATTCCATGAATTGTTGCCATATGCTCGGGGACCATTTATTAAAATCCTCCATGATCCACAATAATATCAACGTAAGGCACTGAAGATGCGGCGTGTAGACTTTGAGATAATGCAGCAATGCCTCAATCACTCCTATAATGACATGATCCTCCCACTCTCACCGACCTGTCAAAGTTTCCCGAGCATGAGATGTCGCAGCGACAACTCGACGAGACCAAAAATAGGCATTGGCATATCATGTTGGCAAGACATAATACTCGGAATTCGGCAGATGATAATAGCTTGAATACCAAGTACAAGATGTCCGCCGGGTAACTATCGAAACTGGCTGCCGCTTGTTTCTGCATTATAAAATTAACAATAATTTTGAACATCACTTCGAATACATACAGGTCTCATTACCAGTGAGACTTTTTTTTATCAGCACAGTACTCTTTTATATTTCCTATGAAAGTCGAGACCTCCAAGCTCCATCTTCTTAGAACAGGGATATATGTGGCTTGTGTGTTGGGATTGACGCACAAAAGGGGAAAAACAGAACAGCAGGACATGATTCGCAAAAGTCCCAAATATAGTAACAGTCAGTTACTAAAACGCTAGTCAACTCTCAGCTGGAGACTAGAGAGGTTTCTAGTCAGCTTAGTTATTGGTATCGCTGACTCATAGCGATATCCGTAGAAGGATAACTAACTAGTTATCTCTATTTATAAGTCAGAGTGATATCTCCCATCAGCACCTCGTTACCAATCCGCAAACCTCAACCTGAGTCGTGAGTTTTCGCAGTGGAAATCGAGCTTCACCGCTATTTGACATACTAGAGCTTCGAGAACTTGCATCTATAGTGGACCCTTTGGTGCGTCATGTGACTGATTCGTGAATACTGCCGTCTTGGGTATCATGATGACTGGCCTGACTCATCCCTATTAGCCCTGCTTCTTCCAATCAACTCCGACCTGCTTAAGTTGGAAAGCCACACAGCTTGTTTGTCTCTGCGGATATAATTATTTGGCACATAAAATACCTTCCATCAGCGAATCTCGTCACCTATGTATGTGCATGTTCAATCGTCTCTCCGACGGCCAAACTCTAAGGAGTGCTACAAGCCGTTATAGAGATTCACATGTGCTCATGAAACGGCTAATCTCTAACTTTGATCCAACTCCAGCTATTTGGCGCTGGCAGGATGTCGAATGAAGCCACGACTGTGACTTCTCAGGTAACATGGGTGCCGTCAGTCAGAGTCTCACTCTTTTCATACGGTCATGCCAATGGACCCATTGTTCCACAGCAACAGCCAAGCCAATCGCATATTCTCAGAGCTTTGGCTTACAATATTCGTCACTTGCCGAATCCGCCGCGCAATATTCGTGCTAATACAACTGGTCTGTCTCGGCGCCTTCAAAAGGAATTCCTGCAAAATGATAGCGTCCAGGCATTCCTGGGGAGGGTCCAAAATGAACTCCTCAATGCAATCAAAGAATGTGATCAACTTTCACACTCACATGAGCGGACTGCATATCAACCTGAAGACGTCGACGATTGCTCTGATCTCGGTCAAAAGACCACTTTGACAGACCCAGACATTGATATGGTGGTGACAATATGCTGCGAAGAGGGCCGTCACCGCAGCGTTGCGTTTGTCGAGGAACTTGCCCGAAGGCTTGCTTTGTTCAAACATGGGGATGGCTCATCTCAATGCTGGCATTTATGTGTCAACGTCACACACCGTGATATCGGACATCCACAGGAAAACCTGGAGCAATCATCGGGCCAGCAGAAACGCCCGAACAAGGCTCAGGCAAAGTCCAGACAGAGGGAACGACGTGAGAAAGGGGAGATTCTCAGATCACGCCCTGAATATGATGACGGAGAAGTCTAGTCATTTATTTCTGAACACATTATCAATAGAGATACCGAATCACCGATGTTTGTGTCACAAATTTGGCCGACTGGGCATCGAGGACTGTCCAGGATATATTCTCAAGTCTGTGAAAATCCTTCGCGATGAGGATCTCATGTACGACCAGGTCTTAGCAGATAATGAGGTGGGCACGAAGCTGGACCTTAATCCAGACATGCCTCATATCTTCTGAAGTGCCTTCCCAACTCTCACACGAAGCAGAAAGGCTGCTTTGAATTTCATCAACGGGATCAGATGGCTTGATGAATATACCAAGAGCTGGAGCTTGGCTATACGTGGAAGCGGGTCTAAACCTTCGGAGCAGACAAGTCTTAACAAACAAAAATCCCGGCTGATTCACAGCAACATCTAGTCAAAAATGGCAGATGCTTAGCCAAGGTCCTTCATTTACTCTCAATAAAGCATATTTAGAAGATACTATAATAATTTTAGTTGTGTCTGATCTGGCACATACGACCATAGGGTGTGGAGAACAGGGCTTCCCGTCCGCTCAGCCGTACTTAAGCCACACGCCGGCCAGTTAGTAGTATGGTGGGTGACCACATGCGAATCCTGGCTGTTGTATGTTCTTTTGTTTTTTTTGCATTGATCTTATGACCAGATTACGGCATGTTTCTAGATATCGACTGTGAACCCGCAGTTTCTAACTTGATATCTCAGATATTGTGTCTTTACTTAGCACACTTGAGTCCTTCGACCGTAAAGACTATCTTCATAGCCTTGATAAATTTTTAAACGTCCTCGAAGTCCAGTCATAAAGGTGAGAGAGTAGACCAAAAAGGCTATATTAGCATTCAAATCCGCCCATATGGACGGTGTGAGAAAGTGTGATCAACGAACGTTTAATCATCTGGTAATCCGAGTATAGGATGTAATGATCTGCCGCAAAGCTCAAATTAGTGACTAATCCAGACTACTTGGTGGCACAAAATAGTCTTTATATCATAGGTTTGCCACATGGGGTATGATGTCCCGGCGAACCTCCCCGCACTTCCATAAATTCAAGCCTACGACCTTCCCGCTGCTACCTTGCGAGGTCTTCAACTTGAGAAAGTCTTCATGAACCACCTCTCGCAGTATCCAGTCACACGAGAAAGTTCAAAATGGTCTCGACTATTGACAACAATCCTTTGGTCCCCAACACGATGCAGACTCGAAAGTCGCTAGACGACAGTGGGCTACCAGCAAGTCAGGCTCATAGACTCAACGATTTGCAGATGATAATTGACCGAAATGTCGCACCGTGAGTTGAACGATCTCTCTTGATACGTGCTGCTTCTTACACTTACATTTTAAGCTCTCCTCAATCGATGTGTGCTGAGCTCGCACATGACCATGCGCTGGAAGACCTTCATAAGATTACTGAGCATACATCGGATCCAAGTGATCCGGTGAGGGGTATGTGATTGAGAGAACGTCCTTTTTTATCATGAATGACTGACTGGTTGAGTAGACAAAGATCCATTCTTCACCGTAAACTACGCCGATCATGTCACTCCGTCCGAGCCTCGCAAGCCCGATGAGTGAATCATGGAGATATCGGCGAGCCTCAATGTCCTTCTGTCGGACAAGAGACAAGCTCTGGGCGATTTCTGCAGGATTTAGTGTAATAAATTATTTAACCATCAGTCAAATAATAATCCGCAAATGAATTACTATGGTTCACTGTGCAGTCGTTTCTGAGGCGGTGCTGAGAGCGTACTGGTGATGTCATGGTGATGGTTAGCCCCCAACCTTATTTAACGCTGGTTCGACTCGATCCCGCTTATCCATGAGATATCAAAGTGACAGGCAATATAGTCTTTTGTCTTTAGTAAGCTCAAAATACATCAACGCGATTCTTGATGGGGCAAGCTTGTGAGCAGATCGCTTAACTTCGGGCATCATGCAAAGACTAAGGCCAACGTTCTCAATTCGTTATTCAATATGATACATTTAAATACTCAAGTCTATCAACAGTGGTAAATCAGGCATCACTGTATTGCTAACCCCTCTAAGCCTGGGCTGAGTCATATACCCTTTTTCCCCGATACCAAGTCTGGCACACCTTTGCCTCAAGAAGTTTTACGGGGGTCCATTGTGCATCAACGACCAAAAAATCGGCAGACAGCCCTTGTCGCAAACTGCCTGTCCAAGATTCTGCAAAACGCGCATATGCTGCGCCCGTAGTCGCAGCAGTCGCGGCTTCAGCCAAAGAAATACCAAAGTGGGCGTTGACGGTGGCAGTAGACTCAGGCTCGAGTGCCGATCGCCTGGTCGTCGCATTGTAGAGGTTAGGGAATGGTAGATTACGCGCGGTCGGCGCATCAGTTCCGATAGCAATAGGTGCACCGCCATCCATAAAATCTTTGTAGGCAAAGGCGCGTTTGCATCGATCGGGCCCGACAAGACTAGGCCAGGCTTTGAAGAGTGCTGGATCAGAGTGAACAGGTTGAACCGAGGCCGTGATTCCTAGTTCGCCAAGTCTCTTCGCGTCCTCGGAAGTCGTCAACTCCAGATGTTCAATTCTGTGCCTCCGACCGGGAGTGCCGACTTGTGAGAGAACATTGATAGCTTGGCGAACAGCGCGATCGCCAATAGCATGGATTGCACACTGCAGCTCAGCGGAATCAGCTCGCTGAACAACTTCGCGTAGCTCATGCTCCGGCCAAATGGGCTCAACTGGATCGGATTTTCCAGTGTATGGTTGAAGCAGAGCGGCAGTGCATCCATCGACTACACCGTCACAGATTAGCTTGATTCCAACGACACAGAAATCTGGCTCCTTGAACTGCTTCCGCATTTCGATCGCGCGATCAACGTAGGTGAAATTGACTTCCTGGTCAGCCGTATATGGCACGAGCCAGTGGGCCGCAATGTGGAATGGAATATGCTTATCGCGGCGATACTCGTTCAGAATCTCCCAGGTTCCCTCATCCATAGCCATGTCCACAACACCAGTGTAGCCAGCAACGGTGTAGGCACGAACAGCTTTGTCCAACGCGGCTAGATTGTCTTCCTTCGAGTAAAGGCTGTCCACATAGGGCCAAGCCATGTTCACCACGGCAGACTCGTCTAAAAGGCCAGAAGCTCTGCCGTTCTCATCACGATGAATACAGCCACCGGGAAAATCGGGGGCGGTATGGGCACCCATTGCATCAAGAGCAGCTGAGTTGCACCACATGGAGTGTAAATCAAACGAATCGATGAAAATTGGTCGCGGGTCAAGATCATCAAGCATGCTTGCAAGCGCAATGCCTTTCGTCGATAATTGAATCCATCCTCTGCAGAGAATTTGCGGTACGGATGGGTTAGCCTCGGCGTAGGCTTTGATAGTTGCGCGAATCTGCTCAAGGGATTTGCATTCGATAAGATCGACTTTTTGCAAGGAATGTCCGAAATGCAGGATGTGTACATGAGCATCAATGAATCCCGGAATCACAAGGCGGTTGTCCAAATCAACCACATTTGCGTCCGCGGGGATTTGCGCATCGTCAAGGGAGCCAACGTAAGAGATGCGATCATCTGTGATGATCATACCCTCGGCGAACTCATTGGCACCCTTACTTGAAGTTGACGAGGGCACAAGAATGCGACCATTGCGGAAGACGGAAGTCATGGTTGAATGGTCCAAAAAAGTGAACTGATTTGATCGCAATGATGCAAGGATAATACCGGTGCTTCCAGAAGCTATTTAATGAAAGGTGCGGGGTAATCAGGAGGAACTCCAAAGACCCTGAATCTCTAGGACTTTCCTATCGTAGGATGAGAACGCTGATAGTGCGTCAAGGAGGTGACCTCTGATAAGTCAAGCGGAAAAATGTCCCGCCCTTGCAGTGTCGGATGCGAGCGCTTGAGCAGGAGAATCAGATCAGCGATAGTCGGTCCTGCACCGCGGCAAATGCTTACGGAAAGGTTTCGGGTCGACTGGCTAGAAAAAGCTAGTCAAAGTTGTATTTTCCGCTGTTCGCGCAAATTGACGCAATTGGTCAATCTGTCGTGGGGATTCTGGGAGAAGTGGATCCCTTTGAATAAGATAAAGAAGGTGGCGCAGATTGACAAACTTATACAAGAAAGCTGATTCGAGATATGAAACCACGAGTTGCCTTCGAGTTGAGGAAGATCGGATGATACCTTTAGTCAGGGATTTAGTGATTTCCGTTATCTAGGCATCTCAATCGTGCCTATCTTTGCGTGTATCTCAGCATCTTGGTGTCTCTCGTTCTACACCACTTCGCCAGGGAGCGGATCTGGCCGGTCGCGGTCCATGGGCCGTTGAGTCTTAAATCGATTTCTACTGAAGGCACAAAAGTCCGACTTTCTAGCATTCGCGTGATTCATCCTCATGGTCCGTGCAGAGTTTAATAGCCGACGATAGGTTATATACGCGAGATCCGATCCCCCGCCTCCTGGACGATTATAAGGCTAATTCCCCGCATAAAGGTCTGACGGAGTAGATTGCAAGCTTTCTTCGGATCCTTCATCTAATTGGCTATTGCTCCAACCTTCCCTTTTAGGAAAAGTCACTTTTGATTAGGCGACCGAGTCCTGCGTTGTGAATGGCTCATGAACATCCGCGTCGACAACCGATGATGATAAGCCAAATGGCAGTACAGTATCGATTTTGATAATTGAGCAGGGCAAAAATCATAAAAGGTCCCTGTAATCCTTCGGTGGTATTGCATACACCTTGTGCTTCATCGGACTCTCTATATCAGACCTTCCGCTAGCCCTGACGCCCTGCTTTAATATCTCACGGTTATGTCTGTGGACAATAACGATGTCGACCCGGCATGGCCCCCTGGGACCGTGAGGCTTGAGGGTAGGACAACATTCCCTCATCTTGTGCCGGAACAAGGAACTGTCACTGGCAGATTTCTAACTTCTACGGTAGACATTTCTCCTTCGACGGAAGGAGCGGCAGTGATCTTCGAGCCAAAACCATCCAGCGATCCAAATGATCCGTTGGTCAGTAAATTGACTCACCAGCCTTCTCTATCACTGACTGTGCTGACATTTCTCTGTTCTCAGAACTGGCCACAATGGAGGAAATATGTGAACTTCGGTTTTGTTTCTTACTATGTTATGATGGTACTTGCGCTGTGAGTCCATCCTTTTCGCGTGCTCTCGCCCTTGAACATAGTTCAGAAACTGATTCCCGCTCTCTTCAGCATCGATGTCGCGACCGTCACATGGAGTCCAGTGAATGCCGAGTTGGGCTTCAGCTTTGTTTTGCTAAACGACAGTTATGCTGCCGGGTGTGGAGCGCTTTGCATCGGGGCTGTAATTCTCGTCCCTTTCGCTCTCAAGTTCGGAAGACGACCCATATACGTGCTCAGCACTGCTGCCCAATGTGGTATCAGTATTTGGTCTGCCCGTATGCAAAATGTGGCAGACCTGATGCTGGTCAACATATTGAGTTGTATCGTCGGCGCTCTAGCAGAAGTCCTGGTGCAGATGACGGTGGCGGATATGTTCTTCGTGCATGAGAGGGGACTTATGAATACGTTGTATTATTGGGTGACGACTGTAGGAGTCACGCTGGCGCCACTGGCCGGTGGGTATATTACTCTTTCTCAGGGCTGGCGCTGGGTGTGGTGGTGGATGGCCATTCTATTTGGAGTCGGGCTCATCGCCTTTGTCTTTTTCTACGAAGAGACGATGTTTTTGGCGCCGTCTATCGATGGAATCCCTGTCGCTGACAAGTTGGCGCCTCCGCCAGCTTCCGTGAAAGGGGAACACGAAGCCTCTGACTCAAAGGGAGATCAGCATGGCCCGCTTCCACAGATTGTACAAGTGGAGCCTGTGCAAATTGACTACTCGATCCCAAAGAAGTCATACTGGAAGAAATTGGAATTATGGACCAATTCCCCCATGTCCTTCGTTGACCTGTTGAAGCACAGCTATCAACCCTTTTTAATCATGTTTAGCATTCCGGCAGTCTTCTTTATGGCCTTGGAGTACGGAATCATGACCGCTTGCACAACAGTACCGGTGACTACGCTCTCCTCAGTCATGACTCTCCCACCCTACAATTTTGGTTCGGCTCAGATAGGCCTGATGGGACTTCCACCATTTATTGGCACAAGTCTGGCGGCCATAATATGTGGCCCATTGAGCGATAAAATTGCGCTTCGACTTGCGAAGAGAAATGGGGGCGTGTTTGAGCCCGAGATGCGCCTCTGGCTTTGCTTGATATTCTTGCCTCTTGTCCCAGCAGGCCTCTTCATGTTTGGAATCGGCCTGAACAATGGATCTCATTGGCTGCTTCCAGCATTTGGGTTGGGGATCAATGCATTCGGTGTGGTTCCTGCCAGCAGTGCTGCGCTTACTTACCTGACCGATGCATATACAGATGTAAGTCACATTGAGGTTGCAAAGATCATATGGCTTCTAACCCCTTATCTTAGATCATCGCTGATTCAATTGTCGGCGTCACTTTCATTCGTAACTTGATCTCTACGATATTTGTCTTCGCCTTGGCACCATGGGTCGACCGGGTTGGACTGACGTGGTTCTACGTGACCTTTGGCTTGATCGTCACTTTCATTATGCTTGGGAATATTGTCTTTATTTACTTTGGGAAGTCCTTCAGGGTTCGTGCTGCAGGGAGATATCGCCATTTCAGCGCACTCAAACTTGGAGCAGCGTGACAGGTCAAATCCAGATCTATATATACATACATTATAGCTAGTTTAATCACGAATCTTCTCAAGAGTTCGGTTCATGACCAAGGCATGAATATCTTTGTCTAAATGATATTCAGTCTGTCGATTGAATAATGAGCCCAAATGTCTTTGATAATTATTCCAGAATAAAATTATAATCATGAGATATAGTAGAGCAGTCGAGATAGGGATGTACATCCGAATGAGGGGGTTCCAACTGCGCATGAGAGATCCAAGATTGCCAGCCACAATTCTGTTTTGTACACGAGATCTCGGCACGACGAACCAAACAAAAGAGTAGCCTGGTCGAGGTTACAATCTGGATTGCCGAGGTGAGGTTTATGACAGCGAATGAAACAGCCCAATTTATCGGATGCGGGGAATCGTTGATAGGAGAGTACTTGAGGTCCGAGGTTCCGCACTATAAAATCTACTAGTTTGTCTCCTATCTTTGGCTGCATGTCCAGAGCCGCTCAGAGCTTAAGATTCCGTACGCCTTCATTCGATATCTCCAAAGATGACAGTCCACAAGGTTGCTGTTATTCAGTTGAGCCCGAAGGTAAGCTCGGAATGCCCACTCCACCGGACCATGACGGACCGCACGTACTGATTTCCAGCATCCAGGCTCCCAATGAGATTGAGTCCAATCACCAACGAGCCGTATCATTTATCAAGGATGCAGCCAGCTCCGGGGCAGACTTAGCGGTCCTACCGGAATACCATCTAGCCGATTTTGCTCCAGGCCACGACCCGGAGATTCGCAAGCAATGTGCCAACTGGAAAACATACCTGGACGCATATTGCGCTCTAGCTAAAGAGTGCAACATCTGTATCGTTCCGGGATCGCTCGGAGAACTGCACGCTGATGGTACGATTGTCAACGCGGCGTATTTCATCGACAATACAGGCGCCATCAAAGGAAGATACGAGAAGAAGAATCTCTGGCACCCCGAGAGACCTTTTGTCAAAGGCTCCGGAAATGATAGCCGCCATGTCGCCTTTGACACCCCGCTTGGAAAGGTCGGGTTGCTGATCTGCTGGGACTTGGCGTTCCCGGAAGCGTTTCGAGAACTGATCATGCAGGGCGCAAAGATGATTATCGTGCCGGCCTTTTGGAGATATACCGATGCGGGAGATGTTGGCATCAAGCGTAATCCCAAATCAGAGGGGGATTTCCTGGATGCTGCCGTTGTCAGCCGAGCTTTTGAGAACACCTGCGCGATGGTATTTTGCAATGTTGGTGGGCCCTCGGAAGACGGATTCGCCGGTCTCTCTCAAGTGGCAATGCCGTTCCTCGGTCGGGTTGAGAGGTTTGATACCAGTGACGAAGGCATGAGAATTGTCGAGCTCGATATGGATGTTCTGGAGGAGGCCGAGGGCGAATACAAAGTGCGACAGGATCTTGCTACCCCGGGTTGGCACTACGGCTATCGCCAATGATAGTGCATCCTATACGTGGCCAAATGATACAGGACACAGGAAGTGGAAAGAATCGCAAGCAATAATTACTCGACATTACCGTAGCCACGAGGATTTCACTACCATCCAATCAAGTCGTATAGCAGTTCCACGTCATCCAAAATGGGTGTAGGTAGATGGCAAGACGCATTCTCCGATGATTGCATAAAGCTTATTATGCCAATATTTCTTCGTTGTATCTCCTACATGACAAATATAGCATGCAGCAGTCAATTTTCCGCGACAGCGAGCAGCAAAAGCTGCCGAGTCACCATCTCAGGCGGTCGGTCGCTGACAGGCGACGCAAGCAAAGCCAACAAATCTGACCAAGACCGTATAGACCAGCCAGTCAAATCAAAGGGCCCGTGAATATCAGCGAATCGCCTTGGATCGACGATTTTGGGGCCATCACCCCCGAAGCTGACAACAATCCTTTCGTACAAAAGGCAACAGCGAAAACTTAGAGCATGTAGATCATCACCTTGGCCCGTGATGTCATAGGAAAACAACAAGATCCCAAGTCCAATAACATTGAAAGTCATGAAAAAGGTGTACGTAATCCAGACCGTGAGGACGAAGAAGGCGCGAAATGGCGAGAGTGTGGCGAAACCAAAGAACCCGTCGCCTGTCTTACCCTCTGAAAGAAGATCGGAACTCCTACTAAGAGCCGTGCCCGATATTATTTCACGGCGGAACAAAACAATCGACCCCTTGAGAAGTTTCAAGCCTTAGGCCTGAGACCTATCGGTCCGCTCGAAGAAAATTGTGGATCAGGGCGGTCTTGGTGGTGGAGAGTCTCAGCCTCTTCCAAAGTGCGGGTTTCCGGGCGCAGGCAACAGAGACCAGTATCGCCGCACCGCCATGACACCTTCAGAGGGGCGGGTTCGTGCTGAGTATCATTGGCTAGTCTGTTGGGGGCGGGTGGATGGCGATTGGATGCCAAGCAGAGTTAACAACCATAGCGGTGCATCGGGCTGAGCTTAGGCTCCACAGGTGCGACCCTGGTGAGCAAAAAAAGATGAAGATCAGTAAATTCGGATGAGCCTCAAGGCTGCTGCGACTTATTTTGGGCGACAGAGGATTGTTTCAATCAGGTCAAGAATACGGGGCGGATTAAAAAGCCTTGTTTGTCCCTGGGTATACTTCGCCTCTTACTCTCCCACTCTCTGTTTTTGACGCCTTCTTTATTGTGCTCAGGAACCAATTTAACAAACAGCTCTTGGGATACATTCTTTCTTCGAATATTGTCAATCTTCTCATAGAGAAAATCCATCATCATGCAGCACAAGGTCCTTGCCACTCTGCTCTTCGCCACGGCAGCCCTCGCTGTCCCGGCTTCTGATGCCACCATCACCCCCGACGACTTGCTGGATTACGTCGACCTGCCTATCGAGACTGAAACAATCCCCAGCGACATCCTTTCCGTCATCGAGACCGCTATTCCCAGCACCTGGTACCAGGCTCTCGAAACCGACTCGGCCTTCCAGTCCTCCGTGCTCAACGACCTCCTCCACAGCACCTACCCGGCCTGGTATAACAGTCTGCCCGACAGCGTCAAGTCATGGGCCACTGCTGAGGGTGAGGCCGAAGTCTCGGCCCTTTCCAGCTACTTCAGTGCCGTCCCTACCGTTACACCCACTTCGGGCTCCAACTCTGCTGGAAGCAGATCTCATTCCTCCTCTACTCCTCTCTCTACCAGCGCCAGCTCGACTACTGCCTCGACCCCTCTGACTTTGACCTCCACTGCTACCCAGACCAAGTCTGCCACCAGCAGCGGCTCTTCTTCAACCTCTGCATCGGGCTCTGGAACTTCTTCCTCCACTGGTGGTGCCCCCGCTGCTACCGGTGGCCTTGCTATCAGCCTGGCTGGCGCTGCTGGTGTTCTGGGTCTTGCGCTTGCTCTGTAAGATGGATTTGGGTGGAAATAGACAAACTGGGCCTGGATAAAGGATGACGGACTTGTTTGCTTGGCCACTTTTCTCACGATATGACCTATTCTTATCTGATGAATGCTTTCTTACTGCAAGATAACTACTCCTACCTAATAACGATCTTTCATACTCGATCTAAAATTGAACAGATTTCTAATGTTTGTTCCGAATCATGGCCGTCGTTGTAATTAAGGAACTTTGGTGGCAGCCAGCTCGTGTAGAAAATTTTCCAAAGTAAACAGTTAGGCCATCACGTTGGAACGGCGATACGTCTGAAGATCCTCGGAGGCTTTAGATAGATAGATCGATCGATCGAATCGGTTAGATTGGCTCCAGAGCGATGCAATCTCCTTATTTAGGCTAGCTAGCTAATTAGATGATTTTTGGGCGAGTGAAAGGAATGTGAGGAGACTTTCAGATTGACGGGGATTTTCAGACGCACCCGTATGCGTAAGCGGGTCCAGATAACTAAGTTAACTACCCTGTCTGACCGACGCTCAATCGATGGGTCTTCTTGCATTAGCCTAGCCACCTTTGCTTCTTGTATGTTATAACAATTCGGATGTCCACCTGGTTTTTAACGCACCTGCTGGCTGCAACCTATATAGTGGCCATTTAACCGGGTAGACGGAATCGGAATAGATGGTTATAAAATTGACTCATCCACCTGATAAACGGCTCTACCCCGTCGTCAAATACGCTTCCAGTCCCTCGTTCGGTCCGAGTCCTTCCTTCTTATCCCGACAGCCAGATCAGAGGTAGCCGCCGCTACAATATGTTTTATTCGGACCGTTCTGTCGTTGTAGGTACAGCTTTTCTACCTCATAAGCTCAGGACTCATTCAACTCGGTACATCAGGAGGCATATGTTCCAGTATCAATGAATACCAACGAGACTGACTTTATAGAGCAACTGTTCCTGGATTTCTCAAAGTAAAAAATACCTCAATGGGGCGAACGGTCTTCCAATAGTCGAGCCATAGGCTGGCGAACAAGTCAATACTATACGAGACGGAATGTACGGCGACGCCGTAGGGGCACGTTATCATATTACATGCGATGTGCACGGTGGTATCATTGAAGGTACAGACAAATCTGTACTCGAGATGATTGAAGATACATTGAAACATAGCAAGTACAATCCTGGCAAGAATGATCTACGGGATCTGTTCCAGTCACAAATGCGCCGTGGCAAAGGTAGTGCGCTTAATAGTGGCGGGCGAGTTGAAGGGCCCTTAAAATGAGCCCCGGACAATGGAGGTAAAATCCACCTGGAACGCCAAAATCACTTTATGTACGATAATTCTATTGGTCTAGCTGGGTGGAGAGATCACCCTGTCCCGGGTATCATACTCATGTCTCGGTCTCAGAAGCTACGTCAAAACCATGAGAGGGTTCCATCCACATCCCGAAGGAACTGCGTGGAAATCTCTTGATAGGCGGTTTGTTAAAAGTTGTCCACAATTATATAAAAATCTCCTGATAAAAGTCAAATCCTATCAAGTGTGATGAACCTAAGTGGCCGTGTCTTCGGTTTCAAGGATAGGGATAGACCGCGTACACACTTTAAGATTATTGGGGAAAATTTGAGCCGATGAAATCTAGTCATCCGTCGAATTAAGCACCGGTTCGTTTAAAATAGAACTAGACCGGGGATGGTTGTTTGTGCCACAAGAATGGCTACTACCTATGGAATTTGCCAGCGACTCAAGCCTACCAATCGTATTCGGCCTCCTGCTCACGCCTCATTCTACCACCCCATTCCAGTGCAATGAGCTCTTCTGATTTTATTTGCAGGCACAACTCGACCAAACGCATCTGCAGAGGATGGTTATTTCCTATGTCAAGGAGCTCAGTGCAGCTAAGATCAGCCAGTGCCAGTGAAGCACACTGGATCTGTGCAGGCAGGACTATTTTATGTTGATTACAGGTGAGCAGGAGAGCCCAGAGAACACTCATTTCTCGGCCGTCGAGAAGCACTTCAACGAGATGAGGATCCCACTCAACTTCTGGCGCCTTGGCGAAGTTTTTGACGTCGCGCGATAGTCGTGGTTCACTCTGACGACCGAGGGCTCCCGCTTCGACCTGATCAGTATATTATGATCAAAATTTCAGGCCTGACAGAAAGCAATGAAATTTTCATTGCTCGACAGCCCTCTGTGCAGACAAAAGAGTACAAACAGATTATTTGTTTGGGAAGCCGTTAGGGTCACAGCGATTCGACATCGAGCACGACAGCATCTACGAATATCACAAGGTTACCCTCTGGGTTTAAACGAGGTTTGTATGACACATGAGATGCTGGGCATATTATCGGAGAGACGGTCAAATGAACGCTTTGCGCCTGTTATTCGCCGACGTCGCGATCAAATCCCTAAAAAGCCCCCACTGTTCTTGCAGCACCCCCACTCAGAAAGTCAGGGTCAGCATTAAGAATCGGCAAAATGCCAAACAGACGCGGGATAAACCGAATGCTAAAATCGCCAAGACGAATCAATTGAAGGCCGGCGTAACTTAGTTCCTTTTCGATGACAGGACTGGTTGGTCTGATCGCTATTTTGTGGGTCGTTTGTGGAGTGACCCGGTTTCTGGTGACAAGAGTCGGCACACCAGCTTCGCGTGTCTGCTAGCACGTTAGCACGCCATCGATGGCATTGATCACCTTATGTAAAATACCGCAGGATGTGAGAGTATCTATTCAAGGTGAGTCCGCTCGTCACTTTGCTTCTTCTGTGTCGATTGCATTGGAACGGAACGAAGTCAAAGAATTGGATAATTCGGACAAGGCAAGATGACCGCCTCAATTCCTACATCGCCCTCCGCCGAGGAGGTTGCGGCTTTTCCCGAGAAAAGAGTTTGGCACCGAAGCACACTTTTCAATGCCTTCATTATCGGAGGTGTTGGATTCCTAGCTCCCGGACTGTGGAATGCGATGAACTCTTTGGGAGCAGGCGGTGCCGAATCACCATACCTGATCAACGCGGCCAATGCCTTGGTTTTCGGACTGAGTATGTTATCAAGTGCTCTTGAACCACTTTTCAAGATTGATACTAATAGTACTTGTGCGATTTCAGTGGGATTTTTGTGCGTCTTTGGTGGTCCAATTGCGAACCGTATTGGTTTGAATTGGACCTTACTGTTGGGCGCGGTAGGCTACCCAATTTACTCGTGAGTAAACGTGAATAATCTACAAGGATCGAGATACTAATTGAGAATAAAGAGCCTCATTGTATACAAACAACCGCTATGTAAGTACTTGTTGTTTACGACCCTTTTCGACCTGCTAATCACTATCTGTAGGGAAATGAATGGTTTGTGCTACTTGGAGCAGTGGCCTGTGGATTATCGTAAGTTGAAGAAACCTCTTTCAGTTCTAGGCTTGTTGTCTCGAAAAACCCTAACCATAACAGAGCTGGTCTTTTCTGGGCTTCCGAAGGTGCAGTGGCTCTTGGGTATCCCGAGCCAGCAAAGAGGGGCCAATATATGAAGTAGGTGATGAAACCGAATGAAATGCATATCTTGTCAGAGGCGAGAATGATACTTACTGATCGACAGCATCTGGCTTTGGTTCCGGACAGGTGGACCTTTACTCGGAAGTGCTATTGTCCTTGGATTGAACCAGTAAGACAACCCTAAACAGGTGTTGGACATTCGCTGACGACGATTTAGCTCTGCCGGTGCCAAGAAGAAGGGGAAAATCGGATCCGGTATGTATCGCACAGACTCTATGTATCGAATGGCTACTAAGAGATATTCCAGAGACATATCTCATTTTCGTCGCATTACAATGCTTGGCTGTCCCGCTGGCATACTTTCTGACCCGTCCGGAGAAGGTCCAACGCAGCGACGGAAGCAAGGTCAAAGTAATTGCACAGGATTCGTGGCGAGCTGAATTCGTAGAGCTTTGGCGAGTTTCTGCCCGTAAGGAGGTGCGTGATCGAGTCACTCCAATGGCTCTGAATAAAAGCTTATCTAAACTAATCTTCAGATTCTACTGCTGCTGCCCGTGTTCTGGGCGGCTTACTTCAATCAGTATCTTGGGAGTAAGTCCTGACGAAATTTCTCCATTATAGTGTCTCATTCTAACATGTTTTCTCTAGACTTTGAAGTGTATTATTTCGGAGTTCGTGCCCGAGCCCTGATTGGCCTTGTCGGTAAGTATTACAATTTATGTGCAATTCTGCTTAGGCTCAAGTTCTAATTAAGTATTTTCTAGCATATCTCGCTGCTCTTCTCTCATCTTGGCTTATTAGTCGCTTCCTAGACTACAAAGGACTGAGCATCAAACTTCGCATAACCTACAGGTACAGACCTCGAGCTTCACATTTACGATGAACCGTGGCTGATCTAATTCCCAGCTTCTTCTACGTCATCGCTCTCCACATCCTTGCCTGGGTTTATGGCTGGGTGGTTCAGGAGCAGTATACTGCTAATCCTCCATCCTATGACTGGTCAGACAAAGGCTTTGTCAAAGGAATGTTTGTGATCATTCTATGGCGTAAGAAATCTTTCTCTTCCCATGGCATTGGTATATTTGCTAACAATGAATACAGAATTCTCCCAGCAAGCTCTGCAAAACTGGCTCTACTATCTCCTTTCAACTATGACCGACAACATCTCTGAGCTTTGTACGTTTCATCTTTATATACTATACAACGTAGCGTCCTTTTGCTTACAAGTGATAGCTCGTTTGGCTGGTGTCCTGCGTGGACAGGAAAGCTTTGCCCAGGCAGTTTCATATGGCCTCAACACTCGCGAGTGGTATGGCGGCAGAGTTCCGTTGGCTGTTAACACAATCCTGCTTGGTAAGCAAAAATGAAGCCTTGGGCCAGCTCTATGTTGCAAAGTACCTAATAAATTTACTCGGATAGGTCTTGCCGTGCTACCTACGTGGATTGTTGTGAAGAATCATAGCCCCATTGAACATGCCAAGAGTGAGGGCACTTGGACCTCGTCTCAAGATGAAGAGCAAGCCCTTCCTCGGGAAAGTGATCGCGATATTCAGAAGACCGATATTGTTATCGATTCAAATGAGGTCAACAAGTAAAGCATCAAGGCTATATTGCGACTCTTCTCAAGGCGAAAATGAACATGGTGATCGAGCATCGACTTTTTACGAATAATGTTGGATGAACAGGTGGTAATAGCAAGCCGGAGTAGCTCTGCACCTCAGCTGTGATTAAGGAAGAGAAGATGATGTGTCAGATCTATTGAAAGGCTATTGAAACATATATCTCCGTCATGAGAGATTTACAATCACCGCCTCCGTATCCCAAACGTTGACCGAGATTTTTCCGTTCTTGTTCTCATCCTTAGTTATAATCAAATGCTCCTCCTCGTATCCTGCGACCTTATGACCAATGCCCTTATCAGCCTTCCAGCTCCACTGCTCACCATTCCAAGTCACATTTTGCTCTGGGCCACCGAGATCGAACCCAATAGCAGCCGCGCCATATTCGGACTGCATGCGTTGAACAACGGCTGATTTCACATCCTTATCAACAGCAATCTGAGCAACATATCTTGGACGAACGGCCGGGCCAGACTCCCATTGGCGCAAATTTATCACTGCGATGCGAGACAACTTGCCAGTCTTCTGATCAAACATTGCATAAGCGCTGAGGAAATCGTTCTGGAGGTCAATCTCCTTAATCTTCCCCAAATTACCCTTGCCAATAAAGTCAGTAATGAAGGGGGCTGCTGGGAAGATACCCTGGACAGCGGGAGTCTTCGCGTGCTCGCTCGTATCATCAGGTAGCCACCAAGCGTGTGTTGCATTGGGTCCATGCGTATTGCACACTCTTTGGATGCCACGCGACATGGCAGCTAGATGGAAGTCGACTGCCCAAATGGCTGCACCAAAGCCGCCTGCGAACTCGACTTTGGTATGGCCGATGGCGGATCCTGCTTCAGAAATAACCAGGGGCACAGACTTGTCGATGGCACTCAGGGATTTGACATCTTGCGCATAAGGCGCAAGCTTATCAGTGATGGCTTTATGATTCATCAAAGTGGCTGAAGATAATCTAGCTTAGCGGGAGACTTCCGAGCAGCCATTTCGAGCCACTCACTTTTCAGGTCTTCGGTACCATATTCATGGTCCTTGTTGTTTCCGCCAATCACCTGGTAGTAGTGCTCAGCAGCATACTTGATTTCTTTCTGCTGAGTAGACTTTGCCTTGAAAAGAGGCGTGATGAGTTTCAAGCTTCACAATCCGTCAGCGTATTGTTAACAAACGTCGTAAGCAAAGAACAACTTACAGCGTAAACTTGCTGGGCGATTCGGCTTTCCCTGCCACTTCGGCCGCAATCTCTCCGGTCTGGAAAATTCGAGTCTCGTCTCCCTTCAATTTGAAATCCTTAACGACTCGTTCTTCAATCGTTTGCGATCGCTGGATATAGCCGTCGACATCATATTTCTTGTACCAGTTTGGCTCGTTACCAAGCGCAATGGCAGCCACTCTCTCCTTGTTCGCTCCTTTGTTGGTGGCGGCATCCCAAGCCTGCTGCAGGAAAGCCATTGTGTCTTCGATCTTCATATCATCTCCCATGGGAGCCTGGAGAGTCCAGTGAGAACCTTGGAAGAGTTTTAAAGTGTCAAAGTAGCCCGGTCCAACAGTATAATTGTTCAGACTGGTGCAGATATCATTCTTTGAATGACAATCAGAGGCAACTTTGGTTTGCTCTTTCTCAAAAGTAATATGATCACCGCTTGTACCGCCAACACGAATGACCAGCGGCTTGCTCATGCGTGATTGAATAGAGTGGACCATGTTATTTGAGAATGTATTATCATAATGATGGAGAAGTCCAGATTCGAACCCAAAGCCAAAGAAGTCAGCTGGCACGGCGACAGCGCTCGTCGATGCGGGGATAGGAATCACGACGTCTGTACATCCCATACACATCGAAGGTACAGGTTTAGCAAATGTGATTCCCATGGTGAAAAATATGCCATTCAGCAGGGTAATCATGGCAGATTATTCGGTGTCTTGATCTGGTAGGGACTCAGTGCACGAGAGAATCCGAAGATTCTTTTATATGCTGATGGCTCCTTTTGGCCCCGGCCCCAAGGGTCTGAGCCTTGTTATTTGCAAAGATCCTTCGCGGCTCCACAAACTCCCTAGCGCTATACGAAAGACTTCCACGACTGAATCTGTCCAGCTCGAGCGAGTGATTTGATACTTCCTTCAGGTAAAGGTCATCCGACACTATCCGATCATATTCGATCAAAGGATGCTGGCTTAGCTTTGATATTCAACATAAGAAAACCAACAAGCTGTTTGGTTTTGCAGGGGTCTTTTATGCACTGAAGATCTATCTTTCCAATCTTCCAGTGTTTTCAGGGTTCGGCCCCAGAACCCTGAAGCCAAGCCCTGGGGGATTCATTGTATGCAGGGACTACGAGAAAATTGGGGCTTTGTTGGTAAGAAAGAAACAAGCCGGGGCTAAAATGAGGGTTTCATGACACCACGTAATCTTCCGATAACAAAGCGCCTGTGGTTGCAAGCAGTAGGCCAAGCTTTACCCCGTGTTGAGTGGCTCTAGGATTCGTCGTCGGTATCATCCAGGGTCCACGAGAGATATGCTGGAACCTGACGGGCAGATAGCCTCGTCTGTCGAGCCAATGGATAGGCCAGGATGGATCATACCTTGGTTTCCCATCAATGAGGCTTCGTCACAATGGAAAACACGATAATATCTATTTTTGACTCGGCCCGAAGGACTAGTGGGGGCGGCCAATGAGGGGGCCAGGGGCTGTACTACGACCCGGCAAAGAGCCAACCCCTGTGAAAATGAAAGGACCCTCGTTTAGAAAAAAACATGCGTAGGCTCTCGCAGCCTTATGGTTGATTTTCACAAGGCCTTGCGCCAATGTACTCTCACCCTCGTTGAAGGTACATGGGCGTGGAAACCCCTAGGCAGAGCTTCAAATCGAGGTAATACTCTGGATGTTTCTTCGAAATATGCACAGGATATTTGATGAGTCCTAATTTCCAGTGGACTTTAGGGCATCCAGTACCTCTACTAGAGAACTGAGTTATGTTTAGCCCCTCTTTGCTTAAAGCATAACCTGCTGAGTGGAGGCAGAGTACGATAAACAATCGTCAGTCTACCATAGACCATAAGGTCACCGAGATTCAGCGCCAAGGCACAGTGATTTATGGTACTCTGCGGTGGTAATTTGCATGCAAAGTACCTGCACAACTGAGATTGCCTGAAAGCAACACAGGTCTTTTGGATTTCTCGTCTTTGCGCTTTCGGCCCCGGCCCCATAAGAACGGTACAGATCCGAGGCCCAGAATTAATGATTATTTCTCTTGCATTAATTGAATTTCAGCGTAAATTTCCATTATTTAGCGGGTACCATTGTCGGGTGTAGTGCTGGGTTTCCCCAAGCAAAGTAGGATCATATTAGTCCTGTTCGCTGATGGGAGTAAACCCACGTTCGAGGAGGAACCGCGATGATTGTTCTTAGTATAACCAATCTAAAACTAGTGGTAAAATCCTTACTTGCAATGATTTGGCTTTTCAGAGTATTTGGGTAGCAGAAAGCATTACTGTATTATAATCGAATATTGACAACCTGATCATTCCCTATACCAAGGCTAAAGTCCCTTCCAGAAATTCTCAATCAGACTCGCAACCTCTGGTACCCTTTCTCTCACAACGCCATGTCCAACCTGCGGCACGACAGCAACATTGCTCATGCCAACACGCTCCAGCGTCTCCACGCTGCATACCCCATCAAGCTCTCCCAAAATAGTCAGGTTCGGGATTCCACTCTTCGCCGCTTGAGCAAATTCAGCATCTTTGTCCAAAGCTCCACCGTCCCTAAAGACGGCTATCACGCTGGCCGCATGACCTTCATGCTCCTCCATTTCCCATTGTTTAACTGCCTCGGCGACCATCTCGCCTCTCGCGACTCTCTCCTTCCAATCCGGGGGAACGACTAGCTGGCCTCCCTCGAGGAACTCGAAAATCCATGCTCGCGCTTTCTCTTCCAATCCTTCGCCGCCACGTAGGTAACTATTTTGCACTTCGTCAAAGTCACTGGCATGCAGTAGACCCGCGGGTGCGACTAGAACCATAGATGCAACACGTTCGGGATGCGCGACTGCAAAAGTTGCGGTCGTTGATCCACCAAACGAATATCCAATAAAATGGGCGTCATCCCATCCAAGATGCACCATCAGCGTTTCCAGCAATTCATGGAAGAGTGCAGGTTCGTGAGGGACAATGGGGGTGTCTGTTAGCCCGTGGCCCCACAGGTCAACGAGGACACACTGAGCGTGCGGGAAACGCGAAGATAACGCGCTCGCTAGTGGTTGTAGTCCGATCGCGCAGGTCTGGACCCCGTGCACGAATAGCACGCGCGAGACGATGTTTGTATTGCCTGAGGGTGCTGGAGATGAGGCTGGTATTTCGTAATAGGCAGCTCTGCCATGAGTTGTCTGCAAATATGACGCTTGTGGTAGTAGCTGGCCAAATGTCGCGACAAAGGCGGCTTCGGATGGTGCTCGGATGGGCTGTAGTGCGTCACTGAGGCGAGCCATCCCAGGACGAGGAAGCACAATCATGGTGTTGGACATTTCAAAGATCAGATTTAGACTGCTGGTGTTTGGATTATCCACTGAGAAGGGGTATGGTCTATTGAACAATCAGATCCGAATGATATGGGCTTGATGTATTTTATTCGATCACAGTATGGTATCGATTCAGGATGGGTGCACACTCACGTTTTGTATCGATAGGAGTAAGCTCGCTGCCTTTGCTTGCCTTCAACAGTGATTCTTAGTTAACTTAGTTAGTTAACGGCTTTGACCCCGATTATTAATTGAAAATGATCTTTCTGTCTACAATAGATAACAGCCGATCAGAAGATCGGTAAGCAGGGGTGTTTGATCACTAAACCGTATTCGGCTTAGGGCGATTGATCGGGAAACAAGCATAACAAGCACAGATAACCGAGCCTCCATTTGGAACGATTGTCGGATCTTATTCAATTTGCTCTTGACGGCATGCAGATGTGATACCTTACATCCCAGCTCCAGAGGCTCAAGTGTTTGTGCGTATGCATATGCCCTGGTTGTTTTGTGCTACCTCAATAGCTGGACTTGAAATCCGCCTGAGATTGTGTACCTCGGCTTTAATATTACCTCGTCAACTTCCAGAAATGCTCTCTTCGTCCTTGAATTTTGAATTCTGAAACTAAATATTTCTTCCATGACCCTAGTAATAGAAGATAATCTAAATCCCCTTGGCTCTGTGATATATTGTGGTCACCTCGTACCTGGACGCATCTTTTGCGCTAGGCTGCTTGCAGCACCCTCTAACTCCCTAGTCCTCGATGATCGGGTTCGCCGAAGTCACAGCAAAGTGCCCCAAAATTGACGACCAATAAATGTTACCCTGCAATTCCTCTCACGCAGTTGCAAAAAGCCTCAAGGTCCCCCTGATCATCAAGTCCCCACAAATACCTCTCGGCGTGCCGGATGTCCGTTGGGCTCCGCAGTCTTCACCCGTTGTTGAATCTACTGAGCCTCCGGACAGAGATCGGGGAGTAAAAACGGACACTCGTATCAAAATGGCAGCCTAGTCATAATTGCTGGTAGAGACGGTGATTCGAGCACTGCGATGCATCACGATGCTTTGTGGTTCCCATCGGGGCGCCATTTCCCCACTTTTTCTCGCCTTTCTATCGTTGCATCCGCGCCCTCGACCGCCGATCTCGCCAAGTGCATGAGTAAAGAAGTCGCTTTGTTGCTCCACTTGATAAGCACTCGGTGTTTGACCATCATTGATTCATAAAGTTGCGATATCCCCGGTTGAAAGGGCGGTACCTCGTGCTTCTAATCACTATCTTTCCTTTTCCCCGCCATCCGCGATGGTCCCTACGACTTGGCTGGCGGCCGTCTCGCTGGCTGGTGCCGCTGCAGCACAGTATTTCCCACCTACGCCCGAAGGGTTGACAGTGGTAGACTCAAAGCATGAGAAAGGAGTCAAGATTTCATACAAGCAGGTATGTGGTGGTCACCGTTCCTTAAAGCAATCTGTGAAATATACCAATGGCCGCACGAACATGTGCTAAAATCCCGATCACAGCCGGGGATCTGCGAAACCACACCAGGAGTCAGATCATACTCGGGCTATGTTCACTTGCCCCCAGGCACCCTGAATGACGTGGGTGTATCTCAAAAGTATCCCATCAACACCTTCTTTTGGTTTTTCGAAGCACGGCATGACCCAAAGAACGCCCCCTTATCCATCTGGATGAACGGTGGGCCCGGCAGTTCGTCCATGATCGGTCTTATGCAGGAGAACGGCCCTTGCATTGTGAATGCAGATAGTAACTCGACCGAGCTGAATCCTTGGTCATGGAATAACTACGTCAACATGCTGTACATCGATCAGCCTAATCAGGTCGGGTTTAGCTACGATGTGGCTACCAATGGTACCTTCGACCAGATCGCTTCAGCATGGAACGTATCCAAGTGGGAGCACGACGTGCCAGAGCAGAACAATACATTCTATGTCGGCACGACTACCAGCGGGAAACCATCTGCGGCTGCAAATGGTACAGAGAATGCTGCGCGCTCACTGTGGCACTTTGCGCAGACCTGGTTCACCGAGTTCCCCGAATACAAGCCCAATGATGATCGCGTGAGCATTTGGACGGAGTCGTATGGCGGCCGCTACGGACCATCTTTCACTGCGTTCTTTCAAGAGCAGAACGAGAAGATCAAGAATGGATCGCTCACCACAGCGGGGGAGTCGCACTACATCCACCTTGACACACTGGGCATCATCAACGGCTGTGTTGATCTCCTCGTCCAAGCCCCCTCGTACCCCATCATGGCCTACAACAACACCTACGATCTGCAAACGATCAACAAGACCGTCTACACAGAAGCCATGCACGCCTGGAGCCGACCAGGGGGCTGCAAAGACCAAATCAAGCACTGCAGGGCCCTAGCCGCCGAAGGCGACCCCCAGATGCACGGGAATAACAAGACCGTCAACAAAGTGTGCAAAAAGGCCGGCGATTTCTGCAGCAACAACGTCGAGGGCGCGTACGTCAATTACGCAGACCGAGGCTACTACGATATCACCCATAAGAACCCGGATCCGTTCCCGCCAAACTATTTCCTGGGTTTCCTGAACCAGCACTGGGTACAGGGCGCCCTGGGCGTACCCATCAACTTCACCGAGTCCATCGACAGTGTCTACCAAGGCTTCCAGTCCACGGGAGACTATGCCCGTGCTGATGTCCGCGGATACCTAGACGACATAGCCTACGTGCTAGACTCGGGCATCAAGGTGGCCATGGTCTACGGAGACCGTGACTACGCCTGCGACTGGATCGGCGGCGAAGACGTCAGTCTGAGTATCCAGCATGCGGAGGCCGATGCCTTCCGGGCTGCTGGATATGCGCCCCTGCGCACGAATGCGAGCTACGTGGGTGGTCAGGTTCGCCAGCATGGCAACTTCTCGTTCACACGAGTGTACGAGGCAGGCCATGAAGTACCGGCTTATCAACTACAGACGGCGTACGAGATTTTCCATCGGGCTTTGTTCAATCGTGATTTGGCAACGGGTAAGATTAATACCGCTAAGAATGGTTCATATTCGACCAAGGGGCCGGCTTCGACATGGCAATTTAAGAATCAGGTGCCCGAGAGTCCTGAGCCGGAGTGTTATATCTTGGCGCTGGAGGCGACGTGTACGGAGGATCAGATTGCCAGTGTGGTAAATGGGACGGCCGTGATTAAGGATTATGTCCTTGTGGAGGGTTGAGAGTGAGGAAGGAGGGTCATGCCTAGTCTATAGAGTTCAAATCTTTTTATCTCCCTGCACATTGTATTCATGGAATATAATCAATTAGAGGCCCTTTCTAGAAAACTACTCCCTTAAATGTTCTTGCACTTCAGTTAGCATCTGCCCGTCCAAAATGGCAAACATACACCTCGCTTAACAGCTTCATTAGAACGATGCTAGTGGAGGCCTTCCGTATGGGGACATCCAGACTCCCGTTTCTCTGCCTACCCGTAGTTGTTTTCTTCAACCCTCTTCGTATTTATCACATACTTTTAATCTGTCATTTGGGCATTGCCCGTATCCCAGTTGTCTCTTTTGATACTATATTGGGTTGAATTTGAACACGCTTGGATCTATCCCTGTCATCTCGTAGTTCAAAAATCTTGCGAGTAATAATATCTCAATGAAATACGGGCCCATTTGTCAAGCCCACTCCACCGCCCCTGTAGTTCAAGCATAAGTCAACCACACACCCACCTTCCACCCTGATCTTCGCCAAGTTTATCATATTAAAGTCGCCCATTAGAGTTGTGGATATAGATCTGCCCGGGCCCAGCCAAAAATGCCACTGACATAATGCCTGACTAATCATGTGGGGCCGGGCCGTCGATGATGTTATGGATCGTGAGGGCTGCTGGCGATAAGTATGTGTAGTTGATTGATGGAACGAGTAAAACAGACAGCACGAATGAATTCTAATGAGCCAATATATTATTTTAAACATCATACGATCATTGAATGACCACCGAAAAAGTGGGAGCGCCTGAGGAGCCCATCGAACCTTCTCGAAGCTTCGGTCCTACGACGTCACACGTCATTCATTTGGAGACCGGCACGAGCATCTCGGATTCCACTTGCAATCATTCAAGTTCTCAGCTTATCCCCGCAGTCTCATCCACTTTCGTCACAGCGCCAGCTCACTTCATCTGTCGATTCTTTAGTTGAACTTGGACTACTCAAACCCCAGCAGCAAACATATCTCGTTGTGCTCCGCACTAGAGCCGCTTGATCCAGGCGGAAGCTTCCTTCTCATTCGAGAAGCACCCAGTACATTCTCTCCCCATCGAGAAATCTAACAACCCAGTTCCCTCCCGGGGATCCTCTGGTTTCTTAAACTCGCCTTATCCGCTACGCCCGCGTCGACTCATTTTCGCCTCTCGATAGAAACTCAATTCAACCCGGCACAACCATGGTGGCCGAAACAAAGCTCTATGATGCTTTGGGCATCAAACCCGATGCCTCCCAAGATGAGATCAAGAAGGCCTATCGCAAGGCCGCCTTGAAACACCATCCAGACAAGAACAAAGATGACCCCAAGTCAGCCGAGAAATTCAAAGGTACGTGTGCACACCGACTCTTACCAATTGAGGTTACCCCGCTATCCTGCATTACAACAAGATTCTCGATTCTAATGGTTTTCTTTACAGAGGTATCTCAAGCCTACGAAGTCCTCTCCGATCCCGAAAAACGCAAAGTCTACGATCAATTTGGCCTCGAATATTTGCTTCGTGGCGGTCCCGCGCCGTCGCCCGGCGGTGGAGGAGGAGGAGGAGGTGCCGGTCCGGGAGGCATGCCCGGAGGATTCAACTTTGGCGGCATGCCCAGCGGCGGTGGCACACGCACATTCCACTTTAAAACCGGTACCGGCGGTACTGGCTTCAGCTTCAGCAATGCAGACGACATCTTCCGGGAATTCGCTAAGTCCGGTGGCGGAGGAGCTGGTCGTGGAATGGGGGGACTTGACGATGACATTTTCTCCATGCTCGGCGGCATGGGCGGCGGGGGCGGAGGTAGCTTCCGCAGTCGTCCAAGCGCAGGAGCAAGCTTCCCATCGGCAAAGGCGAACCGAGCACCGACGCCGGAGCCAACTATCATTGAAAAGGATCTGCCGCTGTCACTAGATGAGATCTTCAAAGGAACGACCAAAACTGTGGTTGCTAAGAGCAAGTCGTTCGATGCCAATGGGAAGCGCACTGTCAAAGATGTGCCGCTTGAAGCTGTCATCAAGCCTGGTATGCGTGCCGGTACTAAGATCAAGTACCGGAATATTGGAGACGGAGAAGAAGGTGGCAGACAGGATATGCATCTAATTGTGAAATATGTATGTGAAGATTCCCCCAAGCCCAGTTACAGTGTTTATGAGCAATAGCTAACAATCCGCACAGCTTGATCACCCAGACTTCAAGGTCGAACGCGACAATCTCGTTACCACCGTCGAGCTAAGTCTCAAGGAAGCTTTGACTGGCTGGGAACGCATTGTCCGTACCATCGACGGCAAATCCATCCGCGTTTCCAAGCCAGGTCCCACCCAACCCGGCCACGAGGAGCACTTCCCAGGCTTGGGCATGCCGAACTACAGGAAACCCAGTGAACGGGGTGACCTTGTCGTCCGTGTGAAGGTCACATTCCCAAAGACTTTGAGCGCCGAGACAAAAACGATCCTCAAGGATATTCTGCCTTGAATGTGTTACGTATCTATTAGCATTGGTCTCGGCGTTGGTGTGAGCGATTTTTCTTTTCAAATCATCGGGTGGTAATATAATGACCAACGACGAAACACCTGATTGTTTACCTTTCGTGTGCGTGAAATGGATTTAAATGTACTTTCCATTCCCTTTCAGTTTATCGCATGCTATGCTACTCTAGAGTGTGGACTCCTCCAGGCTGGAGTAGAACACACGGGAGCATACACCATTTGTACATAGTCTAAGCTAAACCCAATCGGGGAATGCGGAGAAGCACCCCCGACTCGGAGAAATCAACATCCTAATCGTCCTTATCTCCATTTCCATTCTGTTAAACCCCCCTCCTCTTCACCAGATAGGTAAACAACATCAATCATGAAGCGCAGGATCACTTACGTCCAGCATCCGGAAACCCCCTTCAAACCACATCAGGCCTCCCTAAGCTCCTCCGCCGTATCGGTCCGGGACCTAGACGCCGCACGCGAGGACCGCATTACGTTCAGTCTGGAGGATCTCCCCGAGGAGGTATGAAAGACCCTTCACCGGATATTTACAGGTCTAGGCGTGTGGAACTAAACGAAATCTCGTTCTTGTCCAGCTTCGCGTGGTTCTCGAACAGTCACATGAACTCCGTCTCCGATGGGCGACAGAGCGCTCTTACGATGCCATTGCACCCTTTGCGAGCAGGATCTCGCCTGGCTTGCATGTGCATTACACTCCGCTAGCGGATGATAAGTCATCGTGAGTGGTTTTCTTGGGTTGCCACTGAATGCGTTGCGGAAGATCTGACTGGGAACTTGGCAGGGAGGTGCTTTGCTCATTGCTACGCACGGTATTCGGGAATCGCGAGGATGGAGAAGCTGTGGTGGAGTGCACAACGCCCGAGGTAAAGTGACCCTCGTTTTCATTGAATTTGATGGGAGATTTCATTATCTCAGCTGTGTCATGCTGGAATTCGTCTTGTCTAACTCGCGTATCGTGTACAGGACTGCTTCATTACGCCCCCGCTCCTATCCACCAGATTCGCGGCCTCGGCCTCCCTCCAATACTACACGCAGCTTTCCAGCCTACAATCACTAGTCGCATTTATCCGGCGTACGACATGTCACCAACGCCAGATCGGCGGTACAGAGTGCCATGATCGCGCGGATTCCCTGTTGACGGCTGATACGGTCGACATTGACTACGACAGCATCTCTCACGCCTTGACTATCTCGGGTGTTTGGACCAGTCCGCCCAGCAGTGGGTGGACTGAAGATATCGCCAAGCCTTCTTCCAAAGCAGACCAAGTCGAATTTGGTCTCCTGGGTGCGGAGCACGGCATCGAGCCCGAGGAGATCAAGATGGGAGGGTTGTTGGCTGTAGTCGGGGAGGACAAGAAGATGAGTACGTTCTTGCAATCGATTCTCCTGTACAAAGCACAATTCACAGTATGGCCATTCTAACTACTTACAGAACCAACAATGTTCTCCTTCCCGTCGCGACACCATCCTCTCCCTTCAGAGGCCAGTTACTCCGTCTCCTTTACCAAACCAACCGGCCTCCACCCAACAATGTCCATAACCCTGCAACGCCCCTCTCTCGAACGCCCACCAGCCCCCGAAGACGCAACCTGCGCCCTCCACACATATCTCACACTCCCATCTTCCGTCTTCGGAGACCAATACCAACTCGGCACGACGGACCCGCTCTTCCTCGAATCGCATAACCTCGCTGCACTCCGCGCACACGCCGGTGAAATGGACCTCGAAGCACCAGACTGGGCCGTACAGCATTGGGGCTCAACCTGGCTCTTCGAGCTAGCCACTCCAGATGTGGATGAATCTGACAAGATATCGAATTGGACCGCCACTATCCCGCTGCACCTGCGGTACCTTCCCCCCTCTGAATCGGGGTACAGGACTGCAGAGGTACCCTGGCCCGTTGTGTTCTGGGCCTGCACGGCCGAAGACGGGACAAAGATGGGGGTTAATCCCTTTGACCGCACAAATCTAGGCTGGGATGGGCTGTTCGGTCCAAGGACGATGTTTTATCAGCTTCATCCCGCGTCTGGTCGGCTTGTGGAGGAGATTGACGTTCCCGTGCTAAAGCTCAAGGAGGGCCAGGGCTTGTTCCGGGCGCAGAATATTGAGTTGGGAACGTCGGTCGTTATTCTGCTTGGGTTCCTATGGGTGCTTTGGCGGTTGGTTCAGGTCGCTTTGTCTGGGCAGGGCGGGGAGCCGCGACATGAGAAGAAGGAATGAGGGTGGAGAGTGCAAGGTAAATTGCAGGGTATAGAATAATTATTATGTCTCCATTGGCGTTCCAGGTATTTCAGTATTCGATCTCGTTGCATGCATAGTTACGACATGGCGTTTGGGGTCTTTCATTTCCACCATTCCATAGACAGTGAGAATCAACCAGTGACCTCCTATTCCATCGACTTCAATGCTATTCCCAAGCCATAGCCTATCCAATTTCAGTCAGGTCTTCTCAAATCCCCATCTCCGGCAGCGGCCACGGCACGTCCGTCATGAGAAACTGATCAAGATCAAAGTTCTGCAAGCTGGGCATATCAATCATCAAATCGCCCAACCAGGACAGCTCCGCATCAGACACGGGACCCAACACATCGTGCACCCGAGCCTGCGTCTGCATGGGCATTTGGGCGGTAGCTAGCACTTCCCCTCCATTCCCTAACCCACGCGCATCCTCTTTAGACTGGTGCACTTGCGGCGCCGGTACAGAAACCGGCGGCACCGCAGCAGCCGCATTAGCCCTCAACACGTCACCCAACGCTCTCGTATCATCCTCCTTCCGCCTCTGATGCAAAGCAATAAGCAAATAAGCCGTTGAATAGGCCTCCCGCATAACCCCGGTGTCATACGCAGCCAACACCTCCCTCAACGTAGTCATGGCATCTGGCAACAACGCCAACGCCGCACGATTATCAATCGCCAACAGCGTACAAACAACTTGAAACGGCACGTTTGCAACCTGATGCCACGGACAGGTCGCGGCTACCATAGCACGGGCTGCACGAAGACCTCGACCCGCTAGTGCGAGGACGCGATCTAGCGCGCGCCCGGGGAGGGGGGCGTGGGGGTTTATCGCGCGGACGCGGCGGTAGATGCAGAGCATGAGGTTGCATTGGACGAGGATTAGGGAGGGTTCGGTGTATACCAGGTCTAGGACGGCTGTGAGTGCCGTTTCGAGGTCTGGGAGGTCCTGGGGCGTTGGGCCTGTTGGGTCGAGGCTTTCGGAGAGAGGGAGGAGGTGATATAGATCTGCGTTTGTGGCGGGCGTTGATGGGGAGTGGGATGATGTGCAGTGGAGGACGACGCGTGATCGACCGAGGTCAAAGGAGATCCAGGTGTTGAGGTGTCGGGCCATGCCGAAAAGGCGTCGGCGCAAATTTGTGTCGTTGGATGGTTGTGTGATGGTGTTCGTTCCGTTGGGGACTTGGGGTTCTGATGTGGCCGCTTGGATGAGACCGGTGGCTTCAGGGTCTTCAATCTCTAGGTGCAGGCCGGCAGCCTCCACGAGGTGCATCAGTGTACAGCTAGCCATCCATGCGGCGTGTGGCGATGCTGTCATGCGTAGGTAGGCTGCGCGGAGGACCCAGCCGGTCACCGTGTCGATCGTCGGCGTATCTGCGCCGAGGACGCTCTTTTCTAGAAGTATTCGCGCTGCATCGACAATGCGGATTTCTACTGGCAACATCTCCCGCCGCGAGAATAGATGTCCGAAAGCTGCAATGCCGAGAAGTACGACGTCGTATGGTTGCTCTGCTGTTTCGGCAGATATAGATGTCGCTGACCAGCGTTGAGCTATATGTGCAAGTACCGTCTGTCGATCTAAGAAAGCATAGCATGGATGGACCTTTTCGAAGTAAATCCCCGCGAGTCGGCGCATCTCATCCTCCGATATCATTGTAGAGATTGGGCCAGCTCCCGACACGGCGGGATACACCGAGACCTCCGTCGCGACACGTCTTTCGCCAACATTCCAAGCAAAAAGATGCAATCGTGGCGCACGCGCAGGATCGATCCTAAGGCCAAGCTTACGCACAAAAGCCGCGCCCGAATTTGCCTCGAGCGAATGGCTCATGGGACGCGCAGAATCATTGACACGAGTATACGACCCCGGCGAAGCAGCACTGCCCGCAGCGCTACTAGCCGGCTTAGCTGCAGGGACTGGATGAGTCCGTCCATCTGAAGGAGGAGGAAGACGCTGTCGCTCGTCCAATCCTGACAAAGATGCCCGGTACATACTACCGGATCGGGCGCGCTTCTTGCGCGGCAAGTCGCTGAACACGCAGGCGATACCGGCCTGGGCGCAGGTGCTGCAGGGCTGTTCGCCCGAGCATTTGCGTTTGCGCGATTGGCATGATAGACAGGCCGCGCGGGAGCGCTTGCGCGGTGTGGACTCGGTCATCGGGGTGGAACTTTAAGACCTTGAGAGAGGGGACGTGGAGTCATCATGGAGGAATTCAAAGTAACTGCCGTCGCGTGTTGGGGCATTTAGGGTTGGGGGGTTTGGGGGTGCCAAGCGCGGAGCCCGCATTTTTACTTGTGATTTTACCTTCAGTACGAGAACATATGCTTTTTGAATTATTCCCCAGGATATCTCTTGAATTTTTAATCCGATCATAGGCTTGTTTCAGCTACACTACCATTCAATCCTCGTACTTCCGTCCATCTGGGTATCCCATCAGACCCTCCAGTTGCCTTAAGTCGGGCATTCCCGCTGGCCCCGGCATGTACTGCAGGTTGTCACGGAAAGTAGTACCGTTCCACCACAGCTCGTTGGTGTGTAATGCATCCATAATGCGTGGTGCATCGATGTAGGTTCGGATCTCGACCATTTGCTTCGACTGGGCATGCCAGCGAGTCACCCAGACATTGACAATATCGAATGCTTCTCCTGTCACTTTGTTAGGTCGAGGTCTCGCTTTGCCTATGCAGTCAAAGAGATATGGAATAGAGAATTCGTCTAGTTCAACCAATGCATTACTTCTCGGTCTTTTTTTGTGATCTTACCAGAATTCATGATGCCCTTGAAATTGATCTCCTGCACCGACCACCGACTATTGCATCCTCCATGAATGGCCTGGGGATGAATCTCAAATTTATCGGCGTGGTCCAGGAACAACACGCTCACACGGCGCAGGGCATTGACAAAGAAATGGAGTAGATCGTGATAATGTCCGGCGATTGGATGGTGGCCGACGACGGTGAAATCGACATCCTTGTTGATCAGCCTGAACAACTTGCTCATGTCCTTCTCTAGATCTTTGAACGAGTCCCAAATATGCATCTGGGACACATATTCACAATTGGTCGAGGGATTCTCGAAGCGGAATCCTTCACGCCCACGCGGACTCGGGTCGCGAATGACGCCGTCGCCATTGCAGTTTCCATCAGGGTCTGCTAGGCCTGTTCCTCCACATCTGGGGTCTTCGAGGGGAACTGGCTTTTGGAGGCCTTCGCTAATGACGCTACCAAGAGTGGTAGGGATCCATTTGATCGTCAGGGCGGCTGTAAGATATTGCAGGACGATCATGATGTCGATGCGTCCAACGAATTACGAAAATGCCAACGGTTGAAAGCGAATAGATTCGGTAGCCACTGATGATGTGCATCTACACCTTCCACCATCGCTTCTTCTAGGTTATATACCATTGAGTGCGTTGCCATCGCTCAACGTGTATTCACCTGCCAAAATGATCCGAACGTGCTACTGAGTTGGGGATACATGCTACCCTAGGCATGGTTCTCGTCGGTCAATTGAGTGACACAGAGAAAATGCACCGAGAAACTGCAGCTATCGCCTGTACCAGACCAGCCCCACAGAATTTGACCTGTCTTGACGCCACCCCAACAACGAGTCCACTCACGCACTCTGGCATTTTGTCGTTGGTAGCGGTGTGCAAAATGGTTCCTCACAGGGCGTCGCGATAAGCCAGGCCACTTGACCAATCATAATCCCTCAATTCCTGAAAGATGAGTAAGCAATAGACAGCCCACACAGCCGATGTCGGCCCGGACTCTTGATTGGCCATGCCGGTGGTCGGTGAGGCCCGAAACACGTGCCCACCGTGACTCAACGAAAACCTCTTCCTCTTTCCTTTCCTCTCCTCCTTCTCCAGCTTTCCCACCTCAGCTACATCTCCACATTCAACCGCTTTACCTATGTCGTGCTAAAAGCATTTCTCTTCTTCTTTTTACCTTGACTGCTAAATCTTCAGTCGCGCTTATGTGTTTGGCACCCTCTATCTTCACCTCCCAGGTACGCTACCCCGTCTCTCTTCGCCTCGAGTCCAAAGGGATCTCCAATTCGATGACTCGAGTAGTACAAAACCACTTGCTAACACCTTTCTTTTCTTAGGACTATATCTCGGGTATGCTTCGAACAACACCAATGGCCTTGCATGGGCCCATTGCATTATCCAAGATACTAACTATCCCTTGCAGACCATCTTTGGAAAGCCCGTATTAACTGAATCGACCTACCCATTTCTCATTCAGTACTTTAACAATCCCTCAAATCAAAATGATCATGAATCTGTTCAAGGCCATGCCCGCCCGGGCTCAGGCCTTCGCCACCGTGAAGCCCCAAGCTCGCTTCATGGCCACCGTTCGTCAGCGTGCCGCGATGGAGCCCGCCACCTTCACCATCCGTGACGGCCCCATGTTCACCGGCAAGTCCTTTGGCGCTCGCTCCAACATCTCTGGTGAGGCGGTCTTCACCACCTCCCTGGTCGGGTACCCCGAGTCCTTGACCGATCCATCCTACCGCGGCCAGATCCTGGTTTTCACTCAGCCTCTGATCGGCAACTATGGCGTGCCGTCTGCCGAGAAGGACCCTAACGGACTTCTCAAGTACTTCGAGTCCCCCCACTTGCAGGCGGCCGGTGTAGTCGTCGCTGATGTTGCTGAGCAGTACAGCCACTGGACTGCCGTTGAGAGCTTGGGTGAGTGGTGTGCGCGGGAAGGTGTTCCGGCCATCTCTGGGGTTGACACTCGTGCTATCGTCACCTTCCTCCGTGAGCGGGGTTCGTCCCTGGCTAAGATCACGGTCGGCGAGGAGTACGATGCCAACGAGGACGAGGCCTTCACCGACCCGGAACAGATTCACTTGGTCCGTCAGGTCAGCACCAAGCAGCCTTTCCACATTAGCGCTGCTGACCCTCACTCGCACGTTGCCGTCCTCGACTGCGGTGTGAAGGAGAACATCCTGCGTAGTCTGGTGAACCGTGGCGCTAGCGTCACTGTCTTCCCCTTTGATTACCCCATCCACAAGGTCGCCCACCACTTCGATGGTGTCTTCATCTCCAACGGCCCCGGTGACCCCACTCACTGCCAGGACACCGTCTTCCACCTGAAGGCTCTGATGGAGACTTCCCAGGTCCCCATCTTCGGTATCTGCTTGGGTCACCAGCTGCTCGCTCTCGCCGCCGGTGCTCGCACCATCAAGCTCAAGTACGGTAACCGGGCCCACAACATCCCGGCTTTGGATCTGAGCACTGGTCGCTGCCACATCACCAGCCAGAACCACGGTTACGCCGTTGATGCCTCCACCCTGCCCTCTGAGTGGAAGCCTTACTTCGTGAACCTGAATGACCAAAGCAACGAGGGTATGATCCACAAGTCTCGCCCCATTTTCAGCACCCAGTTCCACCCCGAGGCCAAGGGCGGTCCCCTTGACTCGTCCTACCTGTTCGATATCTACCTGGACAGCGTCCAAAAGTACAAGCAGAGCCAGGCCGGTCTGCACCCCCACCGTGATAGCCGCCCCAGCCCCCTGCTGATTGACCTTCTGGGCAACGAGCGCGTGGGTGTGCAGCCCACCATTGGCATGCAGAACATTGCTGCCGCTGCCGCTGCCGCCGCTGCGGCATAAACGCTCATATGTCTGGTGGGAGTTCGGCTTGGTTTTTATCGGTTCTGTCTGGAAATATGGTCTTCTTTGTTTGGGTCTCATAGTCTTGTCTTGTTCATAGTATTTCTTTACATGGTACATTCGATCTGAATTACATCCATCAAAACATACACATATCATAGCGTCTTCATTCTAACCGTAAAAGTAAGCACCTTGCGAAGGTGTGACATGCCTCGTCCTTCCGTTTTTTTTTCTATTTCGCGACTATAGACACCACGTCCTCATCTGCAACCATGTGGCCCAGTCCTACACGCTGCGGTACATGTCTCGCGCTCGCACCCCAGACCATAGCATACTTGAACGTCTCCTTGAGTGTGCGGTGAATCTGGTCGCACACATCCTCAATAGACGAGTCCTGGCGCACGATGAGCGCCTCACTGAAATCGGGCTCTTCTCCCTTTCTGAAAGTCACAACGTTAGAATTTTAAATTCACCCCCAAATCTTACGAGTAGTGTGTGGCTCTTACCGCTTGGTGTAAAGCCGCATCAAGCGCAACTCCTTCCAAATTCGTTCCACCACCTCCTGCACTCCGAGATCGAGCTCGCAAGACATGACAGCCGTGTGAGGCTCGCGGGCTAGTTGGTCCAAGAATTCGAGGCTGACGCTGTCGATCTTGTTGTAGACGTACAAGCTAAGTGGATGTCAGTGTGATGAGTCTGATGTAGACGGCCAAGGCGACGAGGGTGACTTACCAGGGGATATACTTGCGGTGGTCTTTCATGATCACGTCAATGAAGTCATCGATCGTTGCTAGAACGGGAAAGTCAAGTCAGAGGGCCTTGTTCAAGGAGTGGGTTGGGTAATTATAAGGGACATACCGTTCTCATCTCGCACCAATACTTCACAGTTGAGAATCTTGTAGTCGCGAAGGACGTTGTAAATAATCTTCTCATCCAGGTTCTTGGGCGGTGTCTGGAAAGTGATCTTCATGCCACCAGCCTTCTTGGCCTTGAGGTAGATGTTTCTTTTATGCTCGGTTAGTATATACATCAAACAGCTGGACTCAAGATCACTCACGGGGGCTGCTTGTTCAATCGAATACCCACAGCATCCAACTCAGCTTCCAGCAAAGCACGCTGCTCAGCACGCTTCGTGGCATCAAGCACCATGAGAATCAAATCGCTAGTCTATGCACCAAGTTAATCTTTTTCGTCCCATCAATTCCAACCGAACAACAAGCATGGGTATAGCACACCTTCGCCGCAGAAATGACCTGACGACCACGACCCTTGCCCTCCGAGGCACCCTCGATAATACCAGGCAAATCAAGAATCTGAATTTCGGCACCGCCATACTCCAGAACACCGGGAATAGCCGTCAGCGTGGTGAAGCTGTATGCGGCAGCCTCACTCTTGGTCTTCGTGATCTTTGAGAGAAAAGTAGACTTTCCGACGGACGGGAATCCGACGAGTGCTACACGAGCATCTCCGCTCTTGCTAACGTCAAAACCGGCGCCACCACCGGAGCCGGCACCGCCTACTGGCTCGAGGAGTTGGGCTCGTAGACGAGCGAGTTTTCTGTGGAGAGATGTCAGCCGGTCATCCTCTGAGTGGGCTTGGGGGGCCGGGAGACTGTGTACCCTTTCAATAGACCCAAGTGATATTCTGCAAGTGAACTGTAAGTTCAATACTGTGTCTTTTTAAGGGAGCTTAGCGAAACCAACCTGTCGCCTTGTTCTCTGCGGGGCATGTTAGCGGGGTGATTGATAGAGAAATTTTTGGGGGTAAAGCAACTTACTCTGCGTCCGGCGCATCTCATCCTCGATCCTATAGAAAACGGAATCAGTTTTCATACATCCATATCTCTGTTTCAAGGGAGTTCATACTCCTTGATCTTTTCCGTGATGTTCACCATCTTGTCGGTTGTTGAGGCTGCACGCCTAAACGACTCCGAAGTTCAATTTTGTCTCTTTTTCTCCCTATTTCAGGTGAGCTCGACACAGCTGTGACTGTGAATAATGTTTGATCAGCTTGCAAGGCCCCGAATCGCACGAGTCTTGCGAATATCAATGCCAGCGAGAAAGTTGTTCGCCCGCCAAATCCCTTATGTAAGCCAAAAATAGCGGGCGGTCGATTCCCCGAAGCGGGGCAATATTGTTTCACCGCTCGCCTCACCGCCTCTGATCATTTCACCTCTTTCCTTCTATCGGGACCTCATCGCGATCGGCCCTTTGCCATACAATTCACACTCAACAATGGACGCAACGACCGAGCCCAGCGATGCGGTTACCGACCTCGAGCCTACACACATGCACACCGAAGCAGGTGAACAAGCTCTCCAACCCGTGAAAAAGACCAAAAAAATCATCCGGCGTCGCAAAAGGCCCGCGCGCGTGCAAGTTGATCCCTCCACCGTGAAGAGTGAGCCTCCCGCTCAAACGGGCGAGCTCTGGAATATCTGGTACAGCAAATGGAGTGGAGGTGACTCAAAGGATAAACATGGGTTGGATCAACCTGCGCCATCCCGATGCAACGTCGCGCGCGATTCGGGGTACACCAAGGCCGATCAAGTGCCGGGATCATACTTTTGTCTTTATTTCAGCAAGGGTCAATGTTGGAAGGGACCGGCTTGCGAATATCTACACCGCATTCCGACAATTCATGATCATTTCAATCCTAGTGTTGATGCGTTTGGTCGTGACAAGCACCAGGATTATCGGTAAGCTCTCTCCTCGAAGATCTTTGCTCGTTCTCGTCCATTCGGATTCTGATTGTCATTCTCTAGAGATGATATGAGCGGTATTGGAGCGTTTACGCGAGGTTCGTATATGATCACCGGATTCCAATTGCTCTCCACCCAGCTATAGCTGATGGCTAGACTCGGCGACGGCCTGCTAACTCTATTTCTTCTTCAGTTAATCGTACTCTTTACGTCGGACGCATCCACGTTACAGATGATATTGAAGTGAGTCAATCAATTTGTTATGGGTACCGAAGCGGTCACTAACTCGTGCGCAGGAAGTAGTTGCTCGCCACTTTGCGGAATGGGGGCAAATTGAGCGAATCCGCGTTCTCACAGTAAGATTGATATATAGCTTGATGATTTCATATGACAAAAAGCTAACAAAGTCAACAGGGCAAAGGTGTGGCTTTCGTTACGTATTCCAACGAGGCCAATGCGCAATTCGCCGTGAGTATACCATACTCTAGCTCGTTCCAAAAAATTAACGCTGACCCAACCACAGATGCAAGCGATGTCACATCAAAGCCTGGACCACGATGAAATTCTAAACGTTAGATGGGCCACCGTCGACCCGAACCCTCTGTCACAAAAGCGTGAGGCACGAAGACTGGAAGAGCAAGCTGCGGAAGCAGTCCGGAGAGCCCTCCCGGCCGCATTCGTAGCGGAGATCGAAGGCCGCGACCCCGAGGCTAAGAAGAGGAAGAAGATCGAAGGCACATTTGGATTGGAAGGCTACGATGTGCCGGATGACGTGTGGCATGCACGCACGCGGCAGCTCGAGGATACACCAGCAAATGGTCAGCTGGAGGCACCCGAGCAGTCACTTCTGCTGGAAGGGGGATCGGCGGGCACAGAGACTCAGCCCGGGCCCGAGCCGGAAGCGCAGGGCGGCATCTTCTCGAGTGCAACGCTGGCGGCTCTTCGGGGGATGGCTGGAAGTAATGTGACGACGCAGGCTGCACCGAAAGGCTCTGGTGGGCCGCTGGTGGCTTATGGAAGCGATGACGAGAGCGATTAGGCTTTGCGAGTGAAGTCAGGTCGTATTTGTGGCTCTTGGCCTGACTCTGACATTCGCGATCTCTTCATGTATAATAGCATCGATACCTCTGGAGTCTACAAGGGAAGATTTCTTCTGTCTACGACATACACCTACATACAATTATTCTTGGAAGCAAAGAAATTGATGGAATTGATTCTACTCCATAAACTCATGGGACACGAGATGATCTATCAATGTGATTCATCACAGGGTATAGTTCTTAACATTTCGCTAAAAACAGGGCAAGTAGCAGATATAGCTGTTGAGAGGGGTTTCATAGACAAGAGTTGATTAAAAAAAACAAACAATAAAAAGTACACCAGATGATGTCACGATGTAATGATGCAAATGCAATGAAGTTGACCCCTATCCATGCAAGCCAGGCCATTAAGCAAGAAACATAGATTGACATGAAAAAAAAACGCCCCAGACCCCCTCCACTGCACAAGTCATATCCTAAATCATTCATTCGTTCACCTGTCACAAGGACCAAGATCATAATACACACACGACCCCGTTCGATAATTGTAGATAAACGCATTCGTGTAGCCTCCGCTGCTATCATCAAGGCGATTCTCCGAGGCCAAGTCGCTCAGTAATTCGTACACTTGGCTGAGATATTTGCGTTCGGTTAAAGGCGCGTTTTGGATGACTGTGCGCCAGCTGTCAGGGTCAGAGAGGCGGGTGTTGCGGATGGAGTCGAGGACGTCGTCACGGGTGTCGATTGCGGCGACAGGGCCGTTGCGTGCGTTCTCGGCGACTTCGCGGGAGCGTAGGAGAGCTAGGTAAGACATGTTAGTTCAAAGACCCTAATTGCTGCTGACAAGGGTGCAATATTCAAAGACATACCCGACTCGATGATATTCCTGCGGTTCGTCTTTTTGCTCCGATGTTGAGGAACAAGGATGCGAACATCATTCGCCTTCTCATTCGATTGAAGTGCATCCTGCTGACCAGGCTGACGAGCCTGGCGCGGATCAGAAGTGCCCTCACGCTGATGGCGGGCGAGCACCTCTGCCCGAAGCCACGGGACAAGTTCGGAGCTGCGAATATCGAATTCCTCTTTGCGGACGAGATTCCGCACTTTGTAGCCTCGCTCTTTGCTATCTTGCTTGGCGATCACAATCCAGCGATGATTGTGTTCTCGGTATCTGGCCATCAACTCTTCGAGAGATACAGCATCCACTGCAAGTTCAGCGCTGATTCCATTGGCCCAAAGGTCTTCGACTAATTTGACACCCATTGTGCGGAGGACGGTTGCGTCGAAACTGGCCACGAGGACGTCGCACTGTTTCGTGTTAGTTCAAGTTGGCAAGTATGCAATTTGGGGGATAGTGGAATGTTTTGACTTACTCTTCGAGCTGTCCAGTACAGCTCAGATCCAGACTCAACATCCTTCGACGGTGCCCTGGACTTCACATATTCGACCATGGACGAGCCCAGTCTGTCTGAGCTGAGATTAAATCCGACTGCATGAGCCTGTGGCCGATTAGAAAGAACCTTTGGCGCAAATTCCTGAATCAAGCGATCATAACGCCCACCCGCAGCAAAGACGTCACGTCTCTTGCTATCAAAAACGCACTGGAACAGTATGCTACCTCGGTAGAATTTGTCATGCAAACTGCTGAGTGGGTTGATGTAGACCTTGCGCTTGACCCCAAAACTCTGCAGATATGTCATGAGGACATTTAAGCGAGCGAATATGGGGGGAATTCGCTCGGCGAACTCGGTGCCCTCCATGATGGTTTGCAGCCTGCGACGGGTCTCTTTTAGAGAGTCTCTAAAGTCGAACCGTGCAAGATCATCCAATGAGGTCGACGCGACTCCGATCGACGGAGACCGGAGCTCGCTTCGGATCTTTTGCATAGTCCACTTCCCGACATTCAGCTTGCTGATGACATCTTTCACTAATGGTATTTGTGAAGGAGTGATACGGCAGAACTCCATGACGAGCTGCAGGAGATCGGAATGATTGACCAGGAAACACATTTTTGCAGACCGAAGGGGTGGGAACTCGTCAATAATCTCGTCCAGGACTTTGATCACTTCTGCTTCCTTCAACGCCAGGTCCAGGGTGTTGTAGGAGACAATATCAAAGTCAACTTCTCGATGAGTCCGAGGCTCACTACCGTGAGTAGACTCTCGGTAAACTGTTCCAAAGGCAAATGTCTTCTCCAGGGAAGGGTCCTGCCGAGGAATTGCTCGTGCATTGGGGACCGTCAGATCAAAAGGCAACTGCAACAGATTGCCAGAAGCATCCAACAAGCGCACGGCGCCAGAAGAATAGTGCTGAGACCGTGGAAACAACATTTGTCTTGGCGACTCTACAGCGCCGTGTCTGCGGAAAATAGAAGTCAGGCGCTTCTTGACAAGTCCCTGGACGAGAAGCTCGTTGGCTGCTGGCGTTGTTTGCGATTCCATATCCCACGCAATATCCTCGAATTTCTTTGGAGACTGTGAGAATATCGCAGATAGGATCTTCTTGTAGTCTGGAGAATCTGGATCGGACAACAAATGGACAATAGCCCGTCTGAATGTCTCCTCTTCGACTTGCAGAGGGATGCGACCACTCGAAAGGAGCTCCGAAGCCGTGGGACGCTCAGCCGGATTATGGCTCAATAGGGATTCGATGATCTGCCCTTGAACGGCCTTTTCGGACTGTCGGAATGTAGATGGCAGAGTATGATACTTTTCTCTGATCGCCCTGAGGGTTTGATCGCGCTCCATACCAGTCGATAATGGATGGCACATCTCGAAGAAGATCACGCCGAGGGAGAACATCTAGGCGAGATCAGCATGCGAAAAGTTTAGCTATGGCAAGTAGTACTCACATCGACTTTCTCGTTGTAGTGCACTGATAATCCTGACTTCATTTCAGGAGCAACATAGTAGGTCGTGCCCAGACTGCGAGTGAAGTCACCCTCAAAGTCTGCTGCTGCGGACGAGCGTACAGCAGTCATAAACTGGCCGCTGGTAGCAAGACCAAAGTCTCCGATGCGAGGGTTGTTAGCGACATCAATGAAGATATTATCGGGCTTCAAGTCCCTGTGAATAATGCCATGGCTGTGAATATGGCTCAGGCCATCGAGAATCTGTCGGAAAAGGCGCCAAGAGCGATCTATATCATCGTACAGTCCGTTTTTGATCAGATCACGCAAAGTCTGTATTTAGTCAGCATCTTAATCTCGATCTATAGGGTTTGCCAACTCACATGTTTCTCGCAATACTCCATCTGAATGTACAGGGTGGTCAGGATAGGTCGACCGTATGAGCCAGACCGTGCGTGGCTGAGTTCACCGCTGTGTTCGGTGCCAGTGCCAGTTCCAAAGGTCTCGGGGGTATCATGATTTGCTCTATCCGAGATTGTTCCCTCGTTTTCGTCTTCGCTGTCTGAAGCGGCGAATTCGATCTTTGGATACCCGCTAGAGCTGATGAAGTCCAGCCCACCAGTGCTGAATCCACGGTGGTCTTGACTGGCGAATGGGTCACCCTCGGTAGACGAAATGGCTTCCTCTTCGATGTGGTTAAAGTCTTCTTCCAGCCATGCAGTATAGTACCGCACGACGTAAGGATGATTCAGCCGCGATAGAAGCATGATTTCAGAGAGTGTATCCTTCAGTGCAGCTGCAGAAGTCTGAGAAATCTTCTTGACGGCATAGAAACGGCCGTCCAATTTGTTCCTGGCTTTGACAACTTGCCCAAATCCGCCACGACCCAAGTGACCAGCCTCATCAAAGTCTTGATGATATCGAGAGAAGGCCGGCATGGCCCCGAAGGAGTCGAGTCGCGGCCGTCGCTGCAATGATACTGAAATCGAGGACCGATCGCCCATCGTCAAAGGCGCGTCAACTCGGAAAAACTCCGAAGGCTGTAGTTGAAAGGCGGTCGGACGCTTCCTGGGGTCGGGTCGGAAGAATTCTCGAAGCAGATCTTGCAGCGGAGGGGAAAGGCCCAGAGAGATCATCAATTGATTGGCCGAGGTATACCGCAGAAGGACATCTTTTCCAAAAGCCATCTGTAACAGGATGATGCCAAGGTCCCAGACATCAGTCTTCATGGTCGGGGCGGCACCCTCGTGTGTCAACTCTGGAGGCAACCACAACGGGGACTTGGATGTAGTGAGAGACCGCTTTCCGCCAGGAGAATCTGGGAGAGCCTCTTCAACGCTGGCTTCGAGCTTAACGACGGTCCCGCCAGAAGGGTTCCTGCATAACATAATTCGACCACAGTGGATATTTCCATGCACGAATCCGCTCCGATGGTAAAATTCCAACGCCTCGAGCAGTTGTATCATCCAGCCCCGAAGAGCTTCAACAGCGACGGTCCCAACAATGTCAAGAAGTTCCGAAAGTGAACCCTTGTTTGCATATTCCAGAAGAGCAAGTACAGTCCAGGCATTATCGGGCGAGTCAAAGTGACCGAGAGGGCGAATGATCTTGAAGCCCACAAAATCAACCAGATTCGGATGTCGAAGTCGTTTTAAACCCTCCAATCTATCCTCACTGGACCGCATCTGCTCTCGAAATGTGAGTGTGTCGGAACCTTTCTCATTGACGAGGATCTCTTTCAGAACGAGAAGAGGCACGTGGCACCTACCCTCAGACACGACGGGTCTGACGGTGAACGTTTTCTTGCCCTGCTTGGATTGCAGTAAAGTCTTGCCATGAACAGCACGGCATAACAACGGTTGTTCATTAGTGTCATTGACCGAGATAGGCGGGTCGAAGGAGATTGCGCCCGGGGTATTCTCCACAAGGTCTTCAACATCATTCGAATCGACTCCACCGGTCCGACTCTTGCGCCGCAGGATCTGAGCTTTGTTTCGCTGTCGAGCTCTGTCCTCAAGCATCAATTGCAGCGCACGCGCTTCTTCCACATGCGCGGCCTCTTGTTTCCGCAATTCTTCTTGCTTTTCGAGTTCTGCGCGGTGGATTTCAGCAGCCTTTTGTTCCATGCGCTCTTCCTCCAGGCTAGGTAGATCTTTATCCTGTTCTCGAGCTTGAGCGACATCTTCCAAAACGTCTTGAATAGAGACGGCTAGCTCATAGATCATTTCACTGCCGAGAAGGGTCTTCGGTTTCTCCCAAATAATCTTCTGAATGCGAGAGCGGGCATTTTCGCGAAGGTCATCGAGTTTCTGCAGCGATAAATTTGGGACGGTTTTTGGGTATGTGGCCGGTAGCTCGACGAGAAGCACAAGATACACGTCTGGATTTGAGGAGGCTCGGAGGTGGAGCTTAAAAGTTACGTTCGAGGATTGCTAAGGGAATAACAGATCAGATTGGGCCTCGAGCGCTAAGATCAAGGCAATAATTCCACCCACCTGCCATGCTGATCGTCGATTCTCGATCTCTTCATAATCATCGCCATAAATTGAACGGAGGGCCTCGACCTCGTTGAGGTGTATTTCACGGTAATTGGTTGTTGCTATTACGGGGGACGTCACGGAAGAGGAATCAGAGGCAGAAGATGTTTGCTTTTTCACGCGGGGAGCTTTCTTCCTTTGTTTGGGAGACATCGCGGGGCGTGGCGCGAAGTCGCCCTACATCCGGGATTGGAGGTACGACATAGAGAGACCGGATTCTAGCGTAATAAAGTAAAATAAAGGTCAAGGAGGGAATTCGGAGACCAAGTCGAGGAGGGGGAGGGTCTTTTTTCGCGGGCGAACTAAAAACAGGCGGTCAGCACCAAAGGGCGTGGGTGAGGGTGCCTTATCGGCCTTATCGATATGGCGATAAGCGGAGAACACCTGAGTTTGTCTGATTTGCACTTGGTATACTTCGTGGTCTACCCTCGTGGTAGAACTGGACTTCACTGTTTGATTTACAGAGAGAATGCTGGGCAATAAATATGTTAAAATTTGCTTGGAAGTCAGTCAATATTCTTACAGCTCACCATATGTAATATCCAAGAGAAGCAAGAAATGTACAGCAAACAGACAAATTACATAAACACATGCCCAAGAGTGGGCCGTCTGCGTCGTCCTTCCAGCTAAACTCGACTCGATTGACACTGCAGCAATCGTGCCACCGTAAATCCACCTCCACTCGGATTTCTTATTTCTGCCCCGTCAGAAAAGTCCAGGGCCCATCAAAGACCCTCAGAATTACACTTCCCAGCAAGGTGAATATGGGTGCATACTGCCAGTGTCCCCATTGGCCGTGTCCATGCGTCCAGCAAATGGCCCCGTCCCCAAATGCCACGGCGCTAGCAGCGATCAACGTCCAGCCCAAGGAGCGAGAGGTGCCCAAGAATGAAGCTGCATAGATGGCGAACCCGATGAAAATATTTCGAATCCCATACACCGCCATCAGGCTGTCTACCAGGATCCGGTCTGCCGGTGGAGACGGGAGCTCGAAGATGGCTAAAGCACCGTCGGGGTTGTAGATTGCATTGATCCCGAAGCCGATGAATGGAGTGGCCAAGGCAGTAGCGATCATGCGAACGATTGAAGATTGTGAGAGAGACATACTGCAATAATGGCCGTAATAGGTATAGCAAGCATAGAGAGGGTTATGTTTGTGAATTATGTCTGTAGGTCACGTTGCAGACTGGTGGTCACAATGGTCACAGTGAGAAGCAGCAATGTGGAAGAGGGATGCATGATCTGGTCATGTCCTCCACCCCCAGCTTTTGTATGACTTTCGACCTCTTTTCCTTTCCATTTCTTCTGCCTCACTTATTTGGCCCCCGAATGAAAGCAACACGGCCATCTCCTCCTTGGCTAGGCTCCCACGGGGCTTTTGGCATCATTCGAGGGTCCTTTGCCTCGTGTTGGTGGTGTCCGGGCGGGTCGTTATCGATAAGCGCTAACCTCAGCCTTTTAGTTCTCCCGCGTCAGTAAACAAACCTCCACATCCCTATTGGATCTCAGCACCCAACAATGTTGGACTGGATGAAGGGGAACGAGGCTGGGGCAACAGGTAGGCGATGTACTGTGATCATTTCTACATCTTGGATACTAATCAGGTTTCTTCCTTTGTTCAGACACCTCCAAGGTGCTGGAGCCCCCCGAGACGCCAGCTCCCGTGTTCGCGATGCGCGCCTTCAAGAGCGCTTTGTTCGGCACGCCCGGTGCTGAGGAGGAAGAAAAGGAGAACGCGGGGGAGAAGGAACACGCCTCTCAACCGAAGCCGTCGGTTCATCAGCGCAGCAAGAGCGACACCACCAAGCCCGTCACTATCGAGAAGGAGCTCGCGAAAACAGATATCGACTCTACCTTCAACCCCACGGGTTCGCCCACCAAGAGCATACTCGTCACGCCCGGTACCATTGCCAACCGTCGTAAAACAGTCTCCTTTGGTGAGGGTGTCGTTGACAATGAAGGAAAACGCGAGAGTCAGTCCAGTCGGGCCCCCAAAACACCACCAAATCCAAATGGAATTACGGCACAATGGATGTCGGGATCGGCCAATGGCAAGCCACCAAGCAAACTTACCCAGACTCTGCTCGACGCTCGTGAGAACGCGTCGAAGAATGCCGAATCCGCCAAACCTCCTTCAGATGATTCGTCCGAGTCCAAACCCGATGCGCGCCCTACATCGAAGGACGAATTGGGCATGGAGGATATTACCATCAATCTAGACGAGCCACGATCGGAGTCTGGTAAATATTGGAAGACGGAATTTGACAACTATCGCGTGCGAACCAATCGTGAGATCAAAAAGCTGATTCATTACCGATCAATCGCCAAGTCCTATGCTCGGAAGAAGGATTCAGAGGCGTTACGCCTGGCTGATAAACTTCGAGAAGAGGAAGAAAAGGTGGCAGATATGGAGCGTCAAGTGTCACGCCTGGCTGCCATGATTGTTGGAGAAGGATCCAAGGCAGACAAGGAGCAATTGATCCAAGACTTGACCAAGCAAACTACCCTGGCACTGCAATACAAGCAGCAAGTTACCTCTCTGCGTAACACGCTGGAGCAACAAGGCGTGATTAAGGATGGCGTGGTGAAAACCACAGACTCGACCAAGGAAGAGCCATCGGCCCAAGGCTCGTCAAACTCTTCAGAAGAGCTACGCAAAGCCCAGGAAGAGTTGAAACAAGCGAATGTCAAGATTGAAGAGCTGAAATGCCAGAACCCAGATCTCAGTAAGCTCCAGAGTCTCGCGCAAAGTTCCGAAAAGAAAGCGCAGGAGCTCGAAAAGGAGAATAATACTCTCAAACAAACATTGGCGCGTGTGAAGCAAGAAATGTCACGATACGAGGGCCGACGCAAGGAGAAGGAGACGAAGCTCAAGCAAAGAGAGGCCAAGCTTGAGGCCCGTATACAAGAGTATCGGGATCGGCTCAAAACGACTACCCAAGAGCACCGGGAATCAGAAGAGAAGCTGCGGGCCAGCTTCGACGAGGAGCGCCGCCGCATGCAAAGTCAAATCGATCTATTGAAGATCAGGGCATCTGCATCTGACCGCAGCATCCCAGCCCTGCGACCCCAGCAGCGGCAATCCCTCAGTCCGCGTAAAGCATACGACGGTGTTCGTGTGCACGATTTCGCCATGCAGGATCACCCATTACCAGACGAAGAGGCCACAGAAGACCTAGACGCACCTCCAAGTCCCAGCCCACGCTCCAAGGCCCGAGAACAACGCCACCACACTCGCAACGCTACAACGGGTACCATCGACGTCAAACGCACCGCACGAAATATCACAGCCGACGACGACGAAGTCACACACTATCTAAACGAGATCCTTCCCAAACCACACACCACACACCGCACCAATCAAATCACAGTTCCCCCATCCTCGCCACCCGACATTTCAGCCCTGAGAACCCTCGACCGCAATCATCAAAAGTACCTCAACACGGGCGAAAAGCAGCGCAGCTACCGCTCTCTTTACCGACGTGAAACTACAGATACTGCCCTTGAGAATCGCTATGAAAACCTCACCCACCGTCCCCGCACTCACATTAAATCTGCGCTAGACTCGATGTCCGCAGTCCCGGTCCCGTCCGCCCGCCCTGTCTACGCCGGGTACACTATTAGTGCCGGGGAGCGCGGTCTTCGACGGACGGGTCTAGCAGATATGAGAGGCGAGGCTCTGTCGCCGGAGCGTGTGGCTGCGGCCAAGTCGAGGTTGAAGTTGAAGCAGGATAGTCGGAAGGTCAAGGCATTGGGGAAAGAGAATGGTGGTGGAGAGTTATTGGGGTGATTGATTGATTTCATTTTCTTTGAGATACATACATACATACTGTGCAGGTTGCGATTTGCTTTTTCTGATTTGGTTTACATTGGGATGCGAGATAGGTGTGGACGGTGTTGGATTTTCCTTTAACCGATTCTTATTTTTACTTGGAGAGCGACTATGGAGACTGAGTAAAGGAGTCACATAACTTGGACTTTCGTTTGTTACTCGGACATTATTTCCATCTTTTTTTTTCACAAACTTGGAGATAGACCGCAGTGCTATGAACGATGCTGCTATTGTACCTACAAGTAAGCTATATTCTATGACCACTTTCCGATCTATTACATCTAGGATGAGAGGTATCGCCATACACAATGGACGTCCAATTCTATCGTCCAAGCCAAATTCAAGAAAACCCGTCATATCTCCATTCAAACCACTTCCATTAAAATCCTTTTCATATCTCTTTTCTTTTCTTTTCTTTAGATGGGACCTCACACCTTACCGTCGGAGAAGGACACGACGGCCCATTTTCCAGTCCACGCCCACTTGCGCGACTCACTGCCACCGCCACCAGGAAGCTGGCGGAGCTTCTCGTCCTCGCCAGCGGGGAGACCAACGACCACATCGGCCTTGCAGGTGCGGAAGGCCAGAACGCGGATTCCGGACTTGGGCCCCAGGGGGCCGATAGCGGTTGTGAAGGGGGTTGTGGGGTCCCATTGGGCCTGGGTAGGTACAAGTCAGTAAGAGATGTTCACATAGTAGCCAGTGGTGATGTTTATCAAATACGTACGTCGTTGACGAGCTTACGGTAGTTCAAGTCACCCTTGAACAGCACGAGCTCACTCTCCTTCAAGTCCTCGAATAGGTCCGGCGCAACGTGCGGCATGCGCCAGTAGCAGCCCTGGGTGGTCCAGAACGAGTGCGGGCGCACGATAAGCTTACCATCTTGGTGGAACTCGCTCCACTGCTGGAACAGGAATTGCACATCCTCGACTTCCTTGTCCGAGAGTCGGGGGTATGTCTTGCCCGAGTCATCGGGTGCAGTGTAGAATGCCTGCGGGTCAACCATCGAGTTGAGCAGGTCCGAGAAGTCCTTCGGCGTAACGTCGGACACAAACCAGGGCAGACGCTTTGGGTGCAAGACGACCGTCGTTGCCAGACCCGCTGAGAGCAGGTATCCGGCCAAAATAAGATCAACGAAGAGCTCAAAGCCGGAGTTGTCGAGGACGATGTCGACGCGGCGCTCGCCGTTCTTCTTCTCAACACGGGCCGTTTGCATGGCGTTGAACGCGGCCTCGAGATCATTGACAAGGATGTTCTTCTGTGATGCTTGGCGCGCCTGCGAGCCCTGCAGCTTCTGGATATCCTCGTAGGTGAGGGAGGTTAGGAGGGAGAGATCGGTGGCGTTTCCCCACAGACAAATCTCGCACATTTCCGAGAAGAGCAGCTTCTCGGCCTGTTCAACTTGTTCCGGTGACTTTCCATCTACACCCTTGTCGGTCTCGGCTTCATGGGCCAGTTCGCGATACCGCGCGGCGAGCTCCAGCACGGCCGGCCGGGAAGACTTGAAGGTGGACATCTTCTGGCGCGCAAAGACATCATAGCCCTTCCAGTGCTTTGATAGGGAGAAGAAGGTCTCAATGCGGCGGTCTATTCAGCAACACTCATGTTAGAGCCATTTTATATTCAGGACCAGAGACGTGCGGGGGGATATGATAGGCATACAGAGGTAGCACTCGGAGTAGAGCCACGGCGCATCGTGCCATTTGGGATTACCGCGCTGCTTGAGCTCCTCGTTATACGAAGCAATATCGGACGCGCCATCATCATCGAGGGGACTATCAAGTCATCTTAGGTATCAGCAACTATTTTTCTGTTTTAAATCCCAAGCTCCAATCCAGGTATTACTTACGTCAATTGCCGGTCGTGCTGCAACTCATACTTCAACGTCCCAAGCTTCTCAATGATGCTCTTCCCCTCCTTAGCCTTTTCCTCATCAGATACCGTGTTCACCGTGCGGGCTAGGTCATCAATGGCGCCGGTCTACAGTGGTCAGCATTAGATATTGCTTAGGAGTAAAAGACGCTCACAATAATGACGGGCCATCGGTCATCGGCCGAGACCGAGGCGAAGCTCGACGGGTCCGAGGTGAGGAATTGAGCTGTGACGAGTCAGATTTGGGTTTATGCTGCGGTTTATGTTGAGCTTACGCGTCTTTGGGTCGAATTCCATCTTGTCTGGTTGGATTTGCTGAAAGTTGGGGAAGCCGACGTGGTCAAGGAGGGGGATCGCGGGGCTGCGAAAGCGGTGAGTCTGTTGTATAAATCTGGACCATTGGTGTCGCTGGAATGGATACAGTAATCTATTGATTTAATGATTGAATACTAGAAACCAAAATTGTATGCTTCTTAATTACACCATAGCGCCTGGTTGCAATCCGGGACTTGATGTCTCGAGTATACAGGCTAGAAGTGACGAACAGAGGCATTTAAGGAAGGTGGAACGGAAACTATCAGGCCCGAGAAGCTCGACAAGTTGAGATGGAATTTTGTCATTTGTATTGAGGTTCACCTGTTGTAGTCTCAAAATTTGCCTCTCCCGGCTTGATTCATCTGTGAAAAGATACAATACATGCTAATCTGCTCTACCATAACTTAGAGCCAAATCTTGTCTGTCTACTCATTTTCTGAGGGACATGCCGCGCTGAAGACTCTGGCTTGTCGATAGCCCTGCTCTACTAAATACTAAACGACTGAACGAGACGAAGCCAGATGTCGTCGAGTGGATCGAAATAGCTCTTGCCGATGCAAAGAGGGCCAGACCATTAATCACAATGTTTATTCAGCCTGACAATGGAGCAAACCAGCCCATCGAATCCTCTGAAACAGCTGGACTTGATCCGTACTGAACCCAATACTACCTGGCGAGAATTGATCGAGCACCGACCTCTCATTAATGAGCTCTTGAAGCACTTGGAGAAGATGATCACCCCCAATGCGGACGAAACATTTACAAACCACTCGGAAAATCGACCGTTTGAAGGATGAGAATCACGATTGAAGGAGTAAGTCACTCGCTAGATTCCATTTTCTCCTGACTAGGGTACAGAGAACGCCCTAATTGGCTTCAAGGTGAGCGCTCATTCATGCCCAAAGTTTGAAGGCAAGCGGAGCTCTAAGCTTCGAAGCGCCACTGGTAGCTGTAGATGACCTGGTAGCGGCGGTTGTCGTCGTTGCTGCGGTCTGTGAGGTAGCCGTAGAGATTGCTTCCGTGGAGCTAATTGTGCTGGTCGACGGCGAGGCCTCTACGGTATCGGTCTTTGTCGAACTTGCCCCCGTGCTGACGGAGCTAACATCGTTTCCACCCTCACCACATGAGACCACGGTCTCCCAACCACCGGCAAAGGTTTCCTCCCAGTACGACGACTGGTTCCCAAGAGCAAAGTAGTCGAACCAATATGCCGAGCCAGGTTGCTTGTGTGCGTTTTGGTAAAACTGGATTGCACACCCATCGCTACAGGGAAAGTCGGTTCTGGCCCAATCCTCGCTGTTGGGATAGGTCAAGAAGCAGTAATCAGATCTGTGAAAGGAACGTAAGCACATAAACACACTACACGAACCACGATGTACCAATGTACTGAACTTACCCGTTCTTCGCACAAGCTTGACCATATTTGTACTGGAAAACCTCGCCCACCGTAGCCACTGACGCTTGATAAACATACTTATTTCCCTTAGCAACACCGGCAAGATCGCCCTCTTTGTCGCAAGCAGCTTTGACATTCCTGACGTACTGGGACAATGAATCGCTGCATGTCGTAGTACACATCGCTTGTAAGTCCGACGATTGCGGGTCAAAGTCGGGATCCATGGACGCGACGAGTTTGAGGAGGGTTTCATCGCAGTCGATGCTGGCGCTGTAGGCGTCCTTGCATGCCTGTGAGGTCGTATCTGCTAGATCCTTGGTCGTATAGTCCCAGCTCGGACCGGAAACGTTGAGTCCGAAGCTAGCAGTCGCCTGGCCCAGAACTGCAGACAGCGCGAAGAGGCGGAAGATTGTGGTGACGGAGGCCATTGTGCTGAAAATTTAACGAGTGACAAGCACGATTTAATTAGAATGACTGCAAGAGAGAAGAAAAAGAATGACGAAACGAAAGGTAAGCCGAATAGGGGCTATCTGGCTAGGAGGCTCGGGAAAATAAAGCTAGCCTGGGATCTCTGCTAAACCGGGGAAATAAGTCGCTACAGTATAAGCGAGCGGTTGCAAAGGGTCTATTTCAAGGGTTCGGGCGTCGACCCACTACTTGCGCTAGTACGTGCGGAGCAGTAAGACCGTATCGGTGATTCGGCCCCCTACACAAAGTGCCGATAATCCGATCAGCCTAAGCATTGGGAAAAGCGACCAGGATGCTCAGGGACCTGTGCACTTGCGCAGGGTCCCAGGCCCACCGACAGGGGCCACTTGCCCTGGGCTTCGAGTCGCTTCCCGTGGCGGCAGTTCTCTCCATCACCTAGACTACATTGTTATTACACTAGCAAAGGACCAACAATATCATAAATCCATCAATTCATTGTATATCTTAGTTTAGCCCGCCCACTGTATTTCAAAAGACCAGACTGTAAACGGACAACAATGAGCCACCAGGGTTCGTAAGCCAAGTAAAAGTAGAAGTCAGATGCTCGTTAGTACAACAATATATCGTTCTAAGCTCTTTGTAGGACAACGCCCGCTCTGCAAATCATCTGGGTTCTGGGTTCATCACATCATCGACAAGATCGAGTTATTCGCATAGGCCTGCGTACAATTGTTAGTTTGAGACTTTTTTTCTCTCGAAAGACGGTGACACTAAAAGACTCTTCAAACTTACCATAGGCTTAATATCAGGGTGGGGCACGGCCTCGAAGACTTCATAATTGAGCTTGAGGTCAGGGCCAATGTTGATATAAGCGCCCTTGTTCTCCGTAGAATCGCAGTACTTGGGCGCCGAGAAGACGGTGATACAGCGGCCATCATGCTCAACTTCGTAGCCCTCCATACGGACTTCGTGTGACCGAATGATAGCGTCGAGGCCGTTGTTCTCGCAGAAGCGCTTGGTGATATCGGGGCCGAACTGCAGGCCGACGCCACGCTTACTGGGTCCGCGGCCAGGCTGGGTCTGGGGGTCGGTCCAGAGCATCTCCATCATCAAGCCCTGTTGGCCGGGCTGCCGTTGATTGTGACGGTTCAGTTTGCGGATATCGTTCAATGTGATCTTGTCGTCTGAGAACAGGCCACCGTGCAGGACGAGATACTTCTCGCCAATCAGGGTAGCCAGAGGCAGAGCTGAGAAGGACTCGGAGAACACCTTGAAGACACGCTCGGAATACTTCGCCTTGCACTCGCCCTCGAAACCGTAGACCTTATTCATGTCATCCGTCTCGTGGTTACCACGGTTGAGGAACAGTCCGTTTGGTCGCAGCCACTTGTAGGCGTAGAGAAGCAGGGCAATCTCACAAGACCACGAGCCTCGGTCGACAAAGTCACCGTTGAAGAGGTAGGCGTGGGAATCGGATGGGCTGCCGTTTCGGCGGAAGATCTCCAACAGATCAAAGAATTGGCCTATACTTCGTTAAGATTTTGTTCATGGGAGTAGAGACGTTCCGGAGACAAGCATACCATGAGTATCACCACAGACTGTCAACTTCTTGCCTGCGTCGACACCAATCTCCACCATAGTCGGCTCATTGTAGGTGATATCCTTCACAGCCTTGACGATCTGGAAGACATACTTGCGGTGAATCTTCTTGCCATCCTTAAACCGTTGAATCATATCATCAATGAACTCCTGCGTCATCTCATTCTCAATGCGCACACCATCATAGTCATCCTCCACCTTAATAGCATCAATATCCAAGCCCTCGAATGCCGAGGGTGGGTCTGAGACCTCGATGGCCTTTTCAAATTCTTTACGACGAACAAGCTTCTCGCATTCGGCCAATTTTATCTTCGCATTTTGGTTGCTGGGTTCACGCTTGACCACGGCCTTGAAGTCCCGGAGGGCTCCCTTATAATCGAGGATGGCGGTTTTGGCGAGGGCGCGTCTCCAGTATGCCTAAAGACAGGGTGAATGTCAATATTGACCTCGCAAAGACGTCAAGCCCATTCAGTGTGCATGTTTGGTGTTACCGCCATGCCCACGAATCCAGGGCTTTCTCCTTGTTCTCAACGGCAACTAACCTTGACGTAGTTCGGGTCCAATTCCAAAGCCGCAGTAGCGTCGGCGATAGCGAATCCAAATGCCTCGAGTTTGATTTGAGCCTATGAAGAAGAGACAAAAGCCTCCATGTTAGCTTCAGTCCACTAAGTCTTCAAACTCGCCATAGCATTTCGCGTCAACCCTTGTCGGAGTCCGACGTACCTGAGCCCGGTTTGAGAAGAACGAAGGTTCCTTGTCGTACTTCTCGATGGCCTGGTTGTAGAAATCGACTGCGGTAGGCCAGTCATGCTGGGCAAAGGCCTTATTACCCTGCACCTTGAGGGCGTTGGCCTCTTCTTGTGCCGAAGCCATGGGGGGCGGAGAAGTTATCGAGGGGCACGAGACCGCGATGATCGGAGAAGTTCCTAGAAAGCGCGGGGGCGAAAAGAACCGCGAGAACGGGGATCTAAGCAAGTAGAAAGGAAAGAAGACCCAATTCTTCAAATGAAAGACAAAATGTAGGGGGAAAACGCAAGCGCGCGGGGAAAACAAGACGGAGGCGAAGAAACAGGAAAAAAACGGCACCGGGAGTCTGGTGGTTCCTGGTGATGTCCGTTTCGCTCTCTCTTTTTTCTCCGATCGTAACGGGTCTTGGCATCTTTCCAGAACCCTCGACTGCGGACCCCGAGACTCCCTCCGCTTCTCCTCCTTCAATACTCTTCCTTTCGCCACACCCAAATGTCCTTCTACACCCCTCCAAACCAGCAACGCTCCTTGCGGGCTTGTATGGTCTGCTCCGTCGTTCAGCTGCACACTGTAAGATCTTACCTTGGACCAACTCCCCCCGCTACCTGCAAACCAGGCGCCTTATACCGAGGCTGAGGCTGACCACTCGGTGACTTACCGCAGAAATTCATGCGCGACGGCTGTCCCAATTGCGAAAATGTTCTTCAGCTCCGTGGGAACAACGATGCCATCCAAGAATGTACCTCGCAGGTCTTTGAGGGCCTAATTTCGGTTCGCGACCCGGCAGCGAGCTGGGTGGCTCGGTGGCAGCGGTTGGACAACTATGTGGCAGGAACATATGCGACCAAGGTGACGGGATCAGTGAGTACACTCGTTTATATTTTCTACGGGGGATGATCTTTGGCTGATCGGCGCGATTGTGTCTACAGCTTCCGGAGTACATTATCAGCAGCTTGGAGGATTCCGGCATCAAATACGTCCCGTACGTTTTCAACTTTCTTGCGCGGACAGAGCTTGTCCATCTACCCTCCTCAATCAATATACTAACCTTTGCGGTATTCTAGTCGCGACGGAAGCACTGGCGAAGAAGAATCCTAGGGCTATAGACTACCGACACCTTCCCATCCCGCCCCAGCCTCGCCGATACACATCATCATGCCTGTTTCATATCGGCCTTGATTTCAAATACCCCTTACAAATTCATGGCAGAGGTTTGCGGTGTGGATGATTACAACAATATTTGCTGGTTATTAGGAGTTACGGGCTGGAAGCATTGCGCTGCTTTTATTTTCTCATTTCTGTCGAGCATTTAGTAACGGAACGGAGAAAGCAGGGAGTTGGAACCCCTAGCTTGTAGATTTACAACATAAATCGATACGGATACTTCAAGATCAAGGAGAAAGTTTGTGAAATGAAGTCATTCAAATGACAATGACATAATAAAAGTGTCTATGGATGTACAGTCCCAAATTTGTGCAAATCTGTTTTGGAGGCATGACTCGTAGCAAGGAAAGAAAAATATCAAAAAACAGGGGAAAAGTCGCTCATATAATCCAAGTGAAAAAGCAATGGAAAGGACCCAGACAAATTCCGTTGGGTATCAATAGCCCCGGTGCTTCGCCTCTTCGGTCAAAAATCAATGATCTAAAGCAGCTTGATGATCTTCTCGAGGCTCTCGAGGAGAATGTCAGCGTGGTGCTTCTGGAAGACCAGCATGGGGCGCAGGCGGACAGCCTGAGCACCGCTGCCGCCGATGTTCACGCCAACGGACTTGGCCTTGACAAGGAACTGGTCACGCTTGGGGGTGTCCCAGGCAATGAAGGTACCCTGGTTCTTGCCACGCAGGTTCTGGAAGTGCTCGGGGTACTTCTGAGCCAGACGCTCGAGACCGGCGTACAGGTAATCACCGGTGGTACGGGTGTTCTCAACAAGGTTGAGACGCTCGACCTCACCGAGGATACCACGGAAGATCAGAGCACGGGAAGGGTCACCCATCCAGGTGTTGAACTGACGGTATGGCTTGTTGGGGCGGAGAGCCGGGTTGCCGTAGTAGTAACCAGCAGTCTGGGCCTTCTTGGAGAAGGTCACCATGTCGGGGGGGGTAGACAGGTTCCAGTGGTCGTGGGCCCAGAACTTGCCGGTAGCACCGACACCGGTCTGCACCTCATCGACGATGAAGAGAACCTTGTTGCGCTTAGTGATGTCACGCAGGCCCTGGAAGAAGGCGGGCGAGGCGTGGTTGTCGCCACCCTCGGACTGGATGGGCTCGACCACGACGGCGGCCACGGGGTTGTGGAACTCCTTGATGAGACGCTCAACCTCCTCGAGGCAGCGCTTCTCCTCGGCGGCGTTCTCCTGGACGTGCTCCTCCAGGGGGTACTTCAGCTGAGGGAAGGTAGCCTGGGGCCAGTCAAAGGCGGGGATGTCCAACTTGTGGATGGGCTTGGAGCGGGTGGTGGACAGGGAACCGAACAGACGGCCGTGGAAGCCAGACTTGAAGGACAGGATGGAGAGCTGGGGGGAGCCGGGGCCCTTGTTGTTCATGGTCGACTCGATTTCCTCAGCGGTGAACTCGACCTCGGGACCACCACGCTGGAGCTGGCGGTAGTACATGAAGGCAGCCTTGTAGGCGGTCTCGTTGGCATCGGAACCGGCCATGGCAGTGAAGACCTGGTTCAGGCCCTTGGGGGCAGCACGAAGGATACCGGTCTTCAGGATGTGGGACCAGTCCGCAGAGGGGAAGTTACCCAGAGCGGGACGGTTGATCAGAGAGGTGATCATCTCCTGGGACTGGGCCACCTCCTTGAGGTGGGGGTTGTTGTAGCCAACCGGGATGGAGGCAATCTGAGCGTAGCTATGCATGAATGTTAGGATTGAGGGTTTCCATATACTCGAAAATATAATCAACTGATCGATTGACTTACACATCGAGGAGCTTGTTGCCGTCGAGATCAGCAATGCTGTAAGATAGAAAGCGGGTTAGCTATCGTTCTTCGGCCCATGCTACACGGGAAGCGGGTCAGTCGTACTAGTTACCAACGGAGGCGTTATAGTCAGCGAGCATGTTCAGAGAGCGAACATCGAAGACCTCGTCGAGCTCGGCAGCCGCGGCCTTGTTCTTGGGGCCGGGGATAGCGGTGGCGACAGTGGGAGCAGTGGGCTCATTGGGGAAGAAGGGCTTCTCAGCCGCACTGAGACGAGCAGTGGTCGAGAGAGCACGAGCAGCGGGCATACGAGCCACAGTGCGCAGCTTGGAGCTGCTGCGAAGGACGGAGGCCATTGTCAATTTTTTTTTTGGGGTAGCCGACCGACACCAGTTGGAGATTGATTGACAAGGGTAGATGCGGGGAAGAACAGCGACGAGGCTATTCGGGGCACAGGTGAGTCCGGACCTGATTCAATGGATCTCGGTTTTGGAATAGGGAGCTGGAGCAGGACAAGAGGTTTGAGAGAAGAATTGAAAGAAGTTCCGGGGCAAGTGATTTATATCAGAGGCAGGGCGACACGCTTCGTTATCGGCCGTGGAGCTCTCGAGAGCTTCTTTCCCCGCGTCGATACCATTGGATCTCGGCGGCGTGGACCAATCAGAATGCCGAATGGGGCCTGGAACGCCGAGGCATCCCGAAAGGGAAGTCGACGAATTAAGAAAGTCTACGCAGGGTGGATTACGGTCGATTGGCAAACTTGGAGGGGTCACTCCAGTAACTATGTGTCAGGTGGCCATTTGGACATTTTCATTAGTCTTCTCTCGGGTCTTTGGATGATATTTACGGGAATCAATTGGTAAATGTTCAAAACTTGGCTGAGTTAGAGTACAATTCAAGCCTGATCATAATTTTGTCATTGCACACTCACGTGGGGTAACCATATCGGCGGTCTGGCCTTGTCGCTGATAAGCGATAAGCTTACCACCACTGCCGGTAAGTTGTGCGGCTCTCTCCCGAAATCCCGACTCCTTCGCCTTCTATGTACTTACTCCGTTCTGTAAAAGGATTGTTCTCAATCTGGAATAAATGTAATATTCTACTCGCTGTTGTATTATCCTCGTGCCCCGATGTATATTAGGACCACATGGATTATCTTGTATATCTAAATCTATCAAATTGGACAGACACCTCGGCTTCGATTGTCCAAAGTTGACCTGGATATATATCTCAACCGCAGCGATCCATGTGCGATACCGCTTTTCCTACAAACTTCATCAATCGCTCTGGCAAATCCGAGATATCATTGTAAATTAGTCAAATCCATACACCACGTATACCTAGGAGTTTCTCAAAATGCAAAACGAATAACACTACAAAGTACAAAGCGATAAGAGTCGATGACTAGAACACTGCGTGATCAGTAGAATACTCTTGCAGGAGGTCCACTACTATACTTCCATGGTCGAGACCAACTAGACGGGTACTACACCCATTTTCTTCCTTCGATTCTCTCCGTACCTATGAGAGTACAAACGGAAATTCATCCCAAATCAAGCTAATGGCAATCCACTCCGTCGGAACGGCCTTCCTAAATGCCCAACCTTGCTCGCAGCCGAGTCCCGGCCGCCGAGTGGGTCCCCGAAGGTATCCGCACACACCAATAATCCAGTATCAAGTAGCCATAGTTGAAGTCCATAATCACACAAGCGGGCTTGTGGTTTAGTGGTATAATACTCCCTTAGCATGGGAGTGGTCCGGGGTTCGATTCCCCGCGAGTCCAGCTCTTTTTGTACTCCTTTTTTGGGTACCCTTCGTGGTGGTGAAGGGGAGTGGGTGTTGTGATGATATAAGAAGATTTTTTTTTGGCGGGATCGAATGGCAGAATGTGAAAAGAATTGGTGTTGGTCTATAGGTTAAAATTGTGCGCTTCTCTACAACGAGAAACGGTTCCATAACTCAGTTGGTTAGAGTGTGGTGCTAATAACGCCAAAGTCGAGGGTTCGACCCCCTCTGGGACCACTTCTTTTTGCTTTTATTTTTGGCTGCTATATCACCTCCGGTGTGTCTTAATCCTGAATTATTAAATTGATATTCCTATGAATTGCTCAACACGCTGCTTCATTTCAGAAGAGACGATCCATTGGAATATCCCTGGGCAATCTCACATCTTGTTCACCCGTCCCGTCCCAACGCACCTTTGACTGGTCATGCCGGCTTACTAGGCCTTGCACTACTAGTTAGTTAGTTAGTTAACAATTTCGCACTGACCAATCCGAGCTGCGCACATTGGTCTTCGAGCACTTTAAACATCGACTCAGCTGAAAATGTTTCACTAAACCACACCCTAGTTCTCTGAAATCCCGTCTGCCGATCCTACTCCACAAGGCGTGCCCTTCTACTGCAATTGGAAGTTGCATGGCTTGCTGACCCGAAGCTGATGCGTCAGACGAGCCCAGAACCTCCATCGATTGGCTCCAGTGGAATGATTATTCCGAATTAAAGATGAAGGACTGGAAGGGACAAACGAGATCAGTGTACAGAGTACATGCTGGAAAAGGAAGAAGGACTAGCATAAGGTTTCATGCGTGTCAAAGCCGTAGAGCAGGTTATCGAGAACATTTGGTATACAAGGCGCTTTTCGCCATGAGACAATCCGACTCCAGCCAGACCAAACCACCAAGCCGGAAAAGCGGGAAAATATAGCGCAAAACATATATACACATTCGGATAACTATACAGCCAATGTATGATTCATATGTAGACAGACATAAAGGAAATTATTATAAGTGGACGTCTTCAATCATCGCCGTCCATAGAAAGCTTCATCCCTCGTCAACGAGCTAGACGACTTCTCACTAGCTGCAGATGAGAAAACCGCACCACCGTGCTTCATCTCAATGCTTTCAGGCGTGGAAGCTCGATTATGAGTACCAATGTCGAACGTATGACCGATTGCATCATGGTGTGCGAGCCGGGACTCGGTCCACGTCTCCATTTCGACGGTGCGCATGATTTCGAAGCGGTCGCTTTCGAAGTCACCCTTTCGAGAGTTTTGTGTTCCGGGCATGTGGGTGTGTCGCGAGCGGCCGGTTGAGGAGAATAGTTTTTGGGATCGACTGCGTTGGTTGTAGGAGGAGGCTTTGTTACGGGTGGAGTTGAGGAGACGGGGGAGGAATGTTGCGATTAGCGGGCGGAGGGCTGGAGCGGAGGAGCAGATCTGGTGGGTTCCCGTCAGTTTATCCGCCTTTGAATCTTGTTCTGTTTCCCCTGCTGTTTGATCGTTTCATGACGTACCAGACCGAGGTTGATTTCCACCGAGGCGGCAATGAGAACCGGCCAGCCGAGCCAGGTTGTATCGTAGGCGACGACCATGCTCTTCCAGACGTAAACAGTGCGAACGGAGCCGGCGACGTTGACGATAATTCCCAGACCGAAGATAGAGATGACGGCAAGACGCTGGCGGGCGGGCAGCTTGAGCCTCCAGATCAGAGGCATTGGCAGGGCCGTGACCAGGAAATCGGTGAAGATGTTGATGACACTGGCGGAGAAGACGATGCTTCCTCCGTCCAGGCATTTGTATGGATACGTAGGGCTGACATCCCAGTACGCCTTGATGGGGCTGTACATACCAGTTAGCTTGAGTCGGCTCACGATAACGTCTGGTAGACTCACGAGCACTGGAAGACACTGATAAATGTGAACATGATGCAAGAAAATCCGACAACGATTATCGAACCAATAAATGACCAATTAAACCACCTGAAATTTCCCTTTCCAGCACCCAGAAGCCGTCGACAGAACCACAACAGCGAGATTTTCGTGAGACTCGACGACCAGGAGAACATAATTTGGAAGACGATGTTGAGTTTCTGCAGAGTCGATAGCCACGTTACTGGGACGTCCCAAATGTGACGATTCCAGCCCCAATTCTCCGTGGCCAGCGACGTGACAACCACCATCGCAATGGCAAAAGCAAGACCGATTACAATGAGAACGTCGTCGACACCGGCACTGCATGTGATTCGCAATCGAGTATATAGACGGAGCATGACGACCAAGAATGCCAAAGAGATACAGACCACATTCACGATGAGAGCGCCGTGGCCGCGAGTTGGAGGGTCGACGTAGTTTGGCGTCGGCCAGGTCGCCATCACGGCGAGCGATGGAAGTTGCATGATGGCGAGGTGTCGTTAGCAAATGTAGTTAAGTATAGTGATGGTTATTGATGGACAATCTGGAAATATCCGAGTAGTGATGGAGATCGTAGTGATCGAGTCATGGATCGTCAATGATACATATAGTGCAAGAGTTTTAAATTTCGAGCTTAGACAAGGGAACACTCCATGTCCTTGTCAAGCCAAGTGGCGAATGTAGATGTTGAGGGAGAAATAAGTCTTTGAAAAGGAATGTAGGATTCGAGAAGCTTATTTCAAAGTCTCATTTTCTTGGTCACCAAGAAAGAAGGGTCAAAGTAGATGTAAAGAAGAGTAGGATCTAGGACAGAAAAAGGGAAAGGAAACAAAAGCCGGACAAAGTAGCCACGCTTTCACGAGCAATCCGGGGAATGGGTTCTTTTAATCTGATTGCACCAGCGGCGCTGGGGGCAAAGATGGTCCACGCGAACCGGAGCGGACAGCTGGGCGCCGTACTACCGTGGCAAGCGAAGCGACCCAGTAATCGAATATATTCTTAAAAGTAATGAAGCAGTCCAAGACGGGCCGAGTCCAGGGGCCAAGGCGACAGTAGGACATAGATTAAACTTCAAGCCAGCCAGGGACAGGCGATGATTCGTGCTTCACACATTTCGCGGTGGCCAGTGCCGACAATTTACCGTGGACAACGAGACGACTCCATTAAGCGCACCATGGTTTCTCCAATAAATGCGGCGGCGATGAGCCCTGGGCCTTCATCGCGGAGTATATCCACTTGTCTACCATCGCTGGATGCGAGTATCCAAAAAGAGTATCAACGCCGAAGGCTAGCGGGGACGAGGAGGCAACTGGTGGACCGCGATAGGCAGATCCAGAGCCCCACAGTTCAACTTGGACGAGGAGTGAGATCGTCTAAGAGCGAAACTGATCTGAGGCGACGTGCTGGGACAGACTATGAGAGGCCGATGCTCGTGCGAGAGAAAAAAAAATGAAGTGAAGTAAAAGCTAGCAAATGAGGCCACTCAATACCCCTGGTTCCAGTTACCCTCTGGCTTCCTGCAGGGACGGTCTATGTTCACGCTAGTTGGTTGAACGGACGCAGTGCCACGGACAGTTGCCTCAAGACCCCTGTCGTTGCATTTTTTTCAAACTTTTAGTTGTTCGACCCCTACTGAATATCTGTTTTAGACGAATGAAACGAGCTAATATGATCGTGGCGGAGAATGATCATTCCCGAAGAGAGGGCTGGCGGCAGGAGCCGAGGCAGCACTTCAGAGTCACAGTATGACTCGTGCTCGGTGCACTTGTTAGTGCGAACACTTCGTATTTAGAAAGACTAAAGTACGAAGACTTGTCTATGCGTGGCACGCCACGCTAGCCCTGCATTGAATTCAGTTCTAACAAGTACGACAAAAACCCGTTCTACAGACTACTGTACCAAAAATCGAGACTTGCAGAGTTCTCGATCAAATTCAAGCACAAACACCCAATAATCGTCTAAATCCTCATAGGGAAGCCAGTGGTCGGGAGCATCGGGTCTCGTGCTCCACTCCACCCCGCCTGGACCATTCCGAGGCCTGGCGTCGTGTGCTTCGCGGGTCAGCCCTGCCCACCCACCCCTTGGAGTAATCCCAGCCTCTGCGTATTATTTAATTCCCCCTCTCGACAACACAAAAAGTCATAATATGGAGGAAAACTTGGTGGATTGGGATATTGGACGGGCACAGACCCAGTGACATGGGTCAATATCCTCGGCAATTACAAAGTGCATTGAGCTGCCAATAAGAATATGCATCAAAGATGCTCCTGTAGACCATAGCTATTGAGAAAATCCCATGAATTTCCTGATAGAAGTTCATACGGAGTTTTCATCAATGACGCTCTCTGCTAGTTTGATCTTCATTCACTTAGCCTCTTCCTTTCCAGCCTTTTTGTCCACCCGTGTCATAGTCCACTTTTGTTGAGTAACCAAGCGGAGTCGACGGTGGGAACAGCATGATAACTACAATATTGTCCCATCTATCCACCGGCCGCTAAGCCTTGTGTCCAAGTGCTTGTAATGTTAGTGCGATATCCGACTACGCAAGTCTGGCAGGTCTGTATGTGCTTGCCCGATGCCTGTCCGGACAACGGAACTCCCTTGGAAGCACTTCCTAGGCCACGATCTTCTCCTACGCTTCACACTGAGACCGTTCAAAACCCTGCACAAATGAATCCGATCTCGGAGCCCGAACCCAAGTAACTTCCACAGTCGACCGAGTCGCACGGAAATGTCGATCTCAAGCGGGGCCGATCGGCGATCTTGGTTTCCTTTCATGATCTGGACGCGTTGGCAAGAACGCGGATCGACCGACAGAAGGCGGTTATCTGGCAGATTCTGATAAATTGCGCAGAACGTTCAGAATCAGGACAGAGCCAGGTATATCGTATGATTATTCTGTAGGTACACCGTGGTCAGTGCATGAATAGTGTCTGGAAATAGGGCCCGGTGATCTGCACGCGCTATCGATGGACTCTCCCCACTCGTTAGGACTGGTTCGATCCAGAAAGCAAGATCTTGATTGAAGGATTGACTCGCTGCGAGTAAGTCTTTGACTTGAATACCAGATCATGTTCACCGCCGTTACAGATGACTTTGCTGGGCTTGACATGCCCCCAGAGTGCAGGTGTCGAGACTCGTATGGCAATCGCCAATCAACTGGTATTAAGTGAGCGCGTAGAAGCTATTTCGTCCAGCTTGACAGTGTCAAAAAATTGCTTTAGGCTGGGCTAACCTTTGCTATGGGGCGGCAGTGGGGCAGGTTATATATAGGCTTATCAGATATGTGCTTGTTCCTGCCCTGATTATTCAGACATGGCTATCACGGCACGCCGTTGGAGGGTGGTATGTCCTGAAGCCTCAATTTGACTGCCATTCATGGCATTCTTTGAATCCCTAACCTTAATCGATTGAACAAATTTGAGACGCCTTGGAACCGTGGGTCAAACCGTTCCAGCTAAATAAGCTCACTCAAATTTGAGAAATGCCGAGGATCCAGTTATCACTTGTGGTTTGCTGGTGACATCACGTGGCGAATCCGAGAATTTTGGGAATTATCATTTGCTGATAACAAATATCTCGTCAATAAGATTGCTATTGAAAGGTCATGAATGAAACCATCTCAGCTTTCTTACTATCCTAATCGTTGATAATGTTTGTCTTTGGCCAGATGGTCCAAAAGACTGTTGAAAGTTATCTGTCAGAATGACTATGGAGTTACCACTGTGCTATGACTGCTCAGTAAAAGACAAATTAGCGCCGCTAATCCCCTATATTTTACTACACAGACAATTTATTGTTCTAGAAAATTGACGATGTGGGCTGACGGATACCTGTAGGACACATCACTTGTACCCCTGTCGTAACCCTGGTCAAGACATCCCAACACGATAGCGCATCCGAGGCGGCCTTGTTGCCGAATGTCAACCGTTCAGGGCCAGGAGGAATAAAACTCATCCGCGTACTGTGGCAGTCTTCAGACGAACATGATCGCCGAGATTCTGCCACAGTAGCCCCCCTGGTTTCAGCATCAACATCAGCTTCGGTTTGATCCCAAAACATACCCCATCTGCCCTGACAAAACCGATCGTGGAGGAGTCGACTTATAAAAAATGATCAGTAGCATACTCTGCAGGAAAACTATAAAACAGGGGCAATCGCCAAGGCAAAACGCTCACGAGTCACTGTTGTTTCAGGTAATGTCGCCTAACAGTGTCTTGGATTAGCGTAGCCGAGTAAACTGCCTGATCGCACTTCTTTCTGTTTGTCGATCCTTCAAGAAAGTAGATCATTGCAATTTTTTAGGTATAGCTCACACTAATACTGAAATATGATCTATACATCAGGACCCTTTGAATAACCACCCTAGCTAGCGTTTTGAGACATACTACCAGAACGCCCCCTGCATGAAACGAAAGAGTTCGAGACAACAATTACTGATCGTGGGAGCTCATCCTTGCCGAAGAGAGTCTGTGAGTTCTATTTAAGGCGTGTACAAGAGTCAAGATAGTGGACACACTTGCAGATTTATTGTTGTAAAGTTATTACCGGGGAATAATACCGAATCCCGGGTTTCCAACTCCATAAACAATTGCAGATGGCCCACTAGCTATGTCATAGATGGAGCTCATGATCCATTAAGCGTCAAAGGTGTGAACACAAGATAGACGTACACATGGCATACAGCTGCTCCCTCTTCAATCAATGCGAGGACGCCAGTTACTGGTATCGTAATTTCTTATCATGTTCTCTCCCAGTGGTTACCTCGATTGTACCAACATCATGAAAATACTACTACCTAGCTACAACTTGGCGGGTTGTGAGTGTCGCGGCATCGAGGTGGTCAGTGTCAACGAAATTGCCCGGATGGTCTAGTGGGTTAGTAGCACTTCGTCCGAACTAAGTCAGGGGTCCACTAACATAAAGCAGTATGATTCTCGCTTGTAAGGACGCCTTTACTCCACATCACACTGCAACATTCACTAACCCCAACAAAAGTGGGATAAAACTCATCTGCGAGAGGCCCCGCGTTCGAATCGCGGTTCGGGCCGCACATTTCTTTTTTGGAGATCCGCTTTTTGCTTTGGTAGACGTTTGGGCTTGTACTCCGCACACAGAAGTATTGTCAGGGACAGGCTCATCGGTGGGATATCCGCTTAAGGTCACTTTTCATTCTGTGGAAATCTCCTCCGTACGTTTCTAGTTATCACTCGATTTTGGCAACGAACGACGAGCATTATTCTTTGATGCTTAATTGAATCTTCCTGGTCCCACGAACTAAGCACTGGATTCCAATCCTACTAAACAAGACAACCGACCTATGATATATCGCATCTTGGCACAGCTACTGAAACAAAATCTTCTCTTCACTCCTCGAATGCTCTCTCTCCAGATCACCACCCACAATAATATAACCATTAACACCCTGCGTCTCAGCAAACCCAATCTCATCACGAGCCCGCGCGCAAGTCTCGACAGCACATCATCTTTGCTTGCGGTACAATGACTTCTCAACCACCCACCAAGAGCCTCAAGACCAGGCGGCCGGATAAAAATATAGCGCGCATCGATAGTAGAATTCTGTGGGATCTCCTGCACGCCATCAGTCTCGATACCCAACAGCAATTAATGCCCTGCCTACTATGCCGGCGATAGCTGCCTTGCTAGTGCTGTAGTGGTGGCCATTGAATTGAGATCAACACAGGCATCGGTCTTCGATCGACAGGTCCTGTAGGGGTAGTGGCTTAGCGTATGGCTTTTGATGACATGGCTAAAAGACACCCTCGAGAGATAGCATAAAGAGCTGTGGTTAAAATCGAGGAGTCTCCATACTCATCACGATCACTTCGGTGTAACTGTTGAGAGACTCGAGAGGAGCCGGGTAAATTGATCCTCTTCATTCCGAAATTTAATCTCAATGAATTTAGGCATATCACACTAGCTAGTTATCAGATACCGATCGTGTCATAACCCACGATAACATTTTATGCTGGCTATGCATTAATCTTGCGGCACCTTGACTAAGAAACATCGCTTCCGCCTCCCTGTTGCACCACAAATCGAAACAAACACCGAAAACTATCTCACTCATGATGTGTGTTCTCGGTTTCTTGCCACAGTCATGCAATAGGGCTGGGCGACCTTCACATGGCATTTGGAAGGCGAACAAAGGTGGCGCGATGTGTACCCGCGTGAACCAAAAATTCATGACAACCATCCCACCTAATCCATGACTGCGTCTTCCCACTCTCTCGAAATACATACATGCACCAAATTCGTTTTCGCATTTTATCTAAGAGTCTTGCGAATAACACGTCGTGCATGGTCTGCACTTAGGACCCACCACTTATCCAGCATAGCATAACTTGTACCTACAACTCTACACCCAGCGGCGGGTAACTTTATGACTAGGTTATGGACATGTTATGGTCCGTTATGCCCGGAGCTTATGCAAAATCACCCATGTTATGTATCATTTCTCAACAACAGTTTACGCCCTCGCGCTAAGATGACCGGTAAAGATGGCGTTAATTGTATTTGGCTTGTTGTTATGTGAGAAGTGTCATATTTTATCCCATTCGTCATTAAAATCGGTTTGACTTTAACGGTGTCGCTCCTTTCTGTTTTTCCATTTCTTTTCAATTCTCGTCTCTCGTTAATTCTTCTTTCTCGAAAGACAGTATTGCGCTCCATTGAATTGTAGGGCGGCAAAGGCTAGCATTTCAAGAACCCGGGTCCTTGCATTACCGTTTCTTGATTCGACTATGGCATCCGCCGATCAAGCCCCCTCGGAAAAGACTATTACAGAGTCCGTCGCTTCGGCCAACTTGAATGACAGACCCAAGGAGATGATCGATGAGCCATCAAGCGCATCGTCAATTGAAGCCAACCACGACGCCCCTATTGATGCAGACGATGTCGAAGCAAACGTCCAGCGAACGATCACAAGGAAGCTCTTCCCCGTCACGGACCTAGATCGCGGAATCGTGGGCTGGGATGGCCAAGATGACCCCGAGAACCCCCAGAATTTCGCCATGGGTCGGAAATGGGGTCTTTTGGCGTTGATGAGTGCCATTACGTTCGTTTCGCCGCTGGCATCGAGTATGTTCTCGCCAGCTGTAAGTTACGTTGCCATCGATCTGGATGTGACCAATGAGACTATTCTGGCCTTGAGTGTCAGTATCTTTTTGATCGGATATACGGTAAGTTGATTGATAAAACCCTTTCCCGTTTTCATTATTGTTTGGTATTTGTCTCCAGGGGTGACTAACCCATGGAAATGATATGGCAATATAGGTCGGGCCGCTCGTCATCGCCCCTATGAGCGAGATCTACGGCCGCCGGATCGTGCTTAGCTGCGCAAACTGGTTCTTCGTGGTGTGGCAGATTGGCTGTGCTCTGGCCCCGAATATCCAAACTCTGATCATCAGCCGCTTGTTCGCTGGCATGGGCGGCGCAGGATGTCTAACCCTCGGTGCGGGTCTGATTGCCGACCTGTTCCCCGTCGAGCAACGAGGTATGGCCACCGCCTTGTGGAGTTGCGGTCCCTTGATCGGCCCCGTTGCTGGTCCCATTGCGGGTGGTTTCATCGGCGAGACGATCGGCTGGCGTTGGGTCTTTTGGGTGGTCATGATCGCGGCGGGGGTGGTCTCGTTTGGCATTGAGATCTTGAACCGGGAGACTTATGCTGCCGTTTTGATTCGCCGCAAGACCGAACGTCTGTCGAAGGAGCTGGGTCGCAGCGATCTCCGTAGCGCTTATGAGCCCAATCGGGAGCGGGTGTCCGTCGCATCTGCCATGAAAGTGGGCTTGAAGCGTCCGATTCTTCTTCTTGTCAAATCGCCCATCGTGCTGCTTCTCTCCCTCTATATGGCCGTGGTCTACGGTCTGCTCTACCTCTTCTTCACCACTATCCCCAGTGTCTTTAAGAACCAATATGGTTTCTCCACGGGCCTCAGTGGATTGGCCTACCTGGGCATCGGCTTCGGCTTTGTTATTGGTCTGGTCCTATACGGAGTGACCAACGACCGTGTCGTCTTGAAGCTCACACAACGCAACGGCGGCAAATATGAGCCGGAGATGCGTCTGCCGGCGATGATCGTCTTCGCCTGTTTCCTGCCAATCAGTTTCTTCTGGTACGGGTGGACGGTCGATCAAGACGTGCACTGGATCGCGCCCATCATCGGTATGATGCCGTTTGGCGTGGGGATGATGGGGGTATATCTCCCGATCCAGACGTACGTCATTGACAGCTACCAGGCGTATGCGGCGTCGGCCAACGCGAGTCTCACCACCATTCGCTCTCTGGTGGGCGCCGTGCTTCCATTGGCTGGACCCAAACTGTTCGCGACTCTCGGTCTGGGCTGGGGCAATTCACTGCTGGGGTTTATTGCGCTTGCGTTCGTACCCGTGCCGATCATTTTCTCACGGTATGGGCAGCGAATTCGTGAGAAATTCCCCGTGAATCTGGATTGAACGGCAGGTAGTGCGATCAGCCAGCCAGTCCTGGGGCCAAGCATCAGCAGTGCAAAGAGGAAGGAGCATGGAGTCATCATGGACTGCGGCTGACGATGCCAAACAGTGCTCAAAGTCAAAATTGGGTGGCAGCGGGTCGAGCCGGGCCTACGGAGTCGAACTGAAGTGTTCCATCCAATCGGAGCCGAGGAAGGTCCCTGGACTTTGCGCGTTTTGCATCCTGCCCGTTTCCCCTTTTTTGCCGACCTTCTTGTTCTTGACGGGATGTACCGTATACTTCCAGTTGAAAAGACTCTATAGATCACCGATTACAACATATAGAGATTGCATCATCGTGCTTCTCTTGACCAATTGCTTTCGTTGGGCTGGCCCCTCCCCGGACATGAAAAAAGTAGACTTTTTTCTAATTATACTCGCCCCCTTTCACGTACGAATCCCGACCTGCAGGAGGATCCACAATCATCGTGGCTTTGCAGAAATGCTCCACTTCGGGTGACAGCGCATCCTCCCATTGAAGCCCATTCGAGCCCATTCGAGCCCGTCCAAGCCCATCCAAGCCCGGTCACGCCCAGTCAAGCCCAGTCAAGCCCAGTCAAGCCCATCCAAACCCCCTAAAATGCGCATTCTAGACCATCGCATTCGTGGTGAAACGGCGCCCAGGGGCCCGGGTTTCAGATTTTCGTCGTGCTGACGCCCCCTCAGACTTTGACGTCTTTCTCCAGGTTTTATTTCTCTCTTCTCTTCTTTTCTTCCTTGCTGTCTCTATTTTTTTCTATTCTTCTTTCTTTTCATAATCCTCTTCGACTCTCGCTTCTTTTCCTTTTTCATTCTTTCTAGTCATATTGGTGATTACCTTTCTACGCTCGTTGAAAACTGAACCCGGCCAACCTGCATCCATCCGTTTTACATCCCGCTTTCTTCCTCTCTACATATTTGCTTCTTTCTTTCATTGTTTCACCATGACCGAAGGCCACGCTGCCCCCGTTGTCGACGCACCGGCTGCTGCTGCGGGCGACAGCACCGGTGTTGCCCCCGTCGCCGTCGGTACTCGCCACCATGCCGACAACCATCAAGCCCAGCCCCAGCCGCAGGTTCTCAAGGAGCAGGACTCCGCAGAGAGACTCACGCCTCGGCCGACGTTCATGGAGAATCTCGCGAGTTCGCGAGATGCCCAATTCCATCTCGGCCGGCGCGATTCGAGTGAGCTGGAGCGCTACTTTGTAGGTGGACAGCCAGAGATGATACCAAACTATGAAGTGTGCTTGCGGACTAACATGTTGACTTCATCGCTTATTAGCACGGTCCCCGTGATATGGACAAGCACTCGAAATGGCCCATCTTCATGCGTATGCATGGCAGCATTACCCCGAAGATGATCCTGCCCCTGGCCCTCGTGGGCGGTTGGGCCACTGCCATTACTTGCATTTGCGAGTTTGGTCATAATAGTGAGTCTCTCTCTTCTTACTGATTATATTGGAGAGCAACGCTGACAAACGCCCGATTGGGCTAAGCAGTTAGTGTCAACAACATCCTGCTCACTGTGCTGGGTTTCGTGGTGGGTTTGGCATTGTCGTTCCGCAGTTCGACTGCGTATGAAAGGTAGGAACCCTTTTCTATATCATTCCAGAATTGCAGGAAACAAAAAAAGCTAACGGACTCGACTCGAATGCAGATGGGCAGATGGTCGCAAGTACTGGGCTCAACTCATCCAGACCTCTCGCAACCTTGCCCGCACAATCTGGGTCAATACCGGTGAGCGTGAAGGTGAAGATGGCAAGGTGGATCTTCTCCGTAAGGTGTATGTGAATCCAGTTCCTTGATTGACACCCAATGCATCAATTGACTGACCTTGGAATCAGTACTGCCATGAACCTCATCCTCGCATATGCCGTCGCTCTCAAGCACAAGCTCCGCTTCGAGCCGGATGTCGCTTACGAGGACATTGCTGGTCTCGTCGGCCACCTTGACACCTTTGCTCGCGAAGCACACGACCGTGAGGTCCTCAACCCTCGCCCCAAGTCTCTCTGGAAATCGGCTGGAGAGTATCTGGGCGTTTCCTTCGCCGAGTCCAACCCCCGCAAGCTGATCAAGCGGTCCAAGAAGCCCCTGGGTCACCTTCCCCTTGAGATTCTGAACCACTTGTCCGCATACATTGATTCGATCGTGGCCAACGGCACTCTGACCTCCGGCCTACACCAAAGTCAAGCCAGTAAGTCATGCCAAAGACCCAAATCTCGCCACGAGTCAAGCCTGCTAACAAGCGTTTCTAGTCGCCATGTTGGCCACCCTGAACGAAGTCCTGACCGGAACGGAGCGGGTGCTGGACACTCCCCTGCCCGCCGCATACAGCATCGCCATCTCCCAAATTGCCTGGATCTACGTCCTAGTCCTCCCCTTTCAACTCTGGAAGTCCCTGGAATGGGTCACCATCCCCGCCTCCATGGTCGCCGCCTACATTATCATCGGACTTGCCACCATCGGCAGCGAAATCGAGAACCCCTTCGGCCACGACGTCAACGATCTCCCCCTCGACACCTACTGTCGTCAAATCGCCGTGGAGATGGACATCATCACCGCCACGCCTCCCCCCAACGTTGACGACTTCATGGGTCGCCCGGAGAACCTGGTTCTCTTCCCTCTGAGCCAGAACAGCTATGGCGAGTGGAAGGCCCGCAGCAAGGAGGATATCCGCGCCGCGCTTCGTGCCAAGGTGACCGCCAATCAGAGCTTCAATCCCTCCCTGGACGGATGCGATGATTCCACCACGGTGACGAGTATCACCGCCGAGACTAAGCAGTCTGTTTAAGCATTGGTGTAACCATCGAAACCTTGCCCACATTATGTGGCAGGTTTTAACAAAATAGCGTGTAGGGCAATAGGGGCATTTTGTGCAAGCGATTGAGCGAAACCAGATTGTTTTGGGATTTGGACCTTGGTCCTCCGCAGCGTGAGAGTTACGGCGTTTTTTTCTTTGCATTTGGGCTGCCTTGCTGAAAACAAGAAACCCCGATTATTTCTAAAGAAAAGCTTTGAGATTTGAGATTTGTGGGTTGCATTGGAGATTGAATTTTTAGTTTCGAGTTTGTGAATATCATTGCATTTCTCTTGAGAGATTGAGACTGTTTTGGCACGGGTAGTTGGTAGTGTCGTACATGGTAAATACCTTACCACGAGAACATATCTCATAGAGAGCAAATTTATGCTCATTTTTAGGTTGAGGTCAGTGTTTAATGACCCTGGTATGCCACTATTCGGTGTGCTTATGCGTGTTGTCACGATGGTCACCGTTGGTAAATGGAGGTGGCCACCAAGGCCACCAAGGCCGTATAATGATTCGCATCCAACCATTGCCGGTCGACCTGCGAATTTGATTCGGTCTCCAGGATTGTCCCAAACTCAACTAGAGAGGCACAGCATTGCAGCTCGAGTCCGCACCCAGCCACTTAGGCTAGCCTTGCAGACAACCCGCCTAGCCAAGGACGATCTCAGACTGAGATTCTCGTTCCCAGCAAAGGATAGATCATAAAAAACCCAGCAACATCAAGCCCCCAAATCAAGGAACAAACAAGTCACTCCCAGACCCGGACACCAACGCGCCTAGGTAATTCCCCTTTGCGCAGATTCTCCACGCAGCACCAGACCCGCCCCCAGTACCCCCAATCCACGAACTGATCGCAGCGACGACCGCAGCCCCGTCATCGCGTGGGACACGCACCCAGACACAATCGTACTTGGTAACACCGTGTGCATTGCTCCCCTTATTTTCAATCTTGAGGATATCGATTGGAATCGCGGTCCCCGTCAATCCGAGGAATTGCGATAGTGCGGAGGAGAGGTATGTGCGGGCGGTGAGGGCGTCGAGGGGCTGTAAAGATGGATTGTCTGGTTGGGGGATACTGTTTGAAGAAGAGGGTGGTTAGAACATTGTAGTTGGTGGTTGGATTGTCGGGGGAGGAGCTTCTTACAGCTGGAGTTTGAGGTAGGTCCAGGGCGGGTTGCGCGATGTGAAGTTGATAGTGCTGGGGGTAGACTCTGGTGCTTTGCGCTTCGGCGCGGTTGAAGAGGGGTCCTCCGTTGTGACGGGGGCTGTCTGCTGTACGTCGGCCATTTTGAAGATTCAGGCTAGTCGAGGTAGAGAGTATAGAGGAGAAGGTTGTTGGGCTGTCGGAGCTGCCGAAGAGCGGAATTTTACGTCACGGGATGCGGAGCTTGACATGTTAATCGCCAACATAGCGACGTGAAGCGACACTTACCTCTGTGGTTAGTTTTGTTTCCTCCTCTATTTACTTTCAGCCGCACCGATAAGTTTCTGCATTGCTCGCTGAAGAAATACATCATCGGTCTCATCGCCAATGACTAGATCTGCAATGCACAACGTCTTTTCGCGGGCCTTGGCCCCGCGGATCACCGCAACAGTGGATTTGGGGACTTTAAAGACCTAGGAAGAAAAAAAGATTAGACATGTTAGCCACTCAAAGAGTGGCGATTCGAGGATCATGGACGGTTCAACAGAAGAGTAACTCAAATACCTCTGCAATGACCTGTGAAACGGCCAAATTAGCAGCTCCGTCGCGGGGAACCGCGGCCACCGACACGTCAACTCTGGTAGTCCCCACTGCTGTGATTCCTGCTCGCTGGGCAGATGCGTTTGGTTTCACATAGCAGGGGATGTGGAGATTGTATGTCCCTTTTCCAGATGCCTTGGAATTATTCGCGACCAAACGTAGAAGGGAGGAGTGGCGGCTCATTGTCCTGGGGTGGTTGTAAAGGGAAAGCATATCGTGAGGCAAGGAAGAATGGCAAGAGAAGATCTACAGTATAAAAGCCAACCTAATCAAGAAAAATCTACCGGAAAAGTTTAACAAGCATGAATGTCGTATCATTAGGCATAAAGGTGCTACAGCCAAGTATCCTCAAAAATCAGCAAAAAATTAAAGTCGGCTTCATATCCTCATTCAGATAGAGGCCTAGAAGATGACGTGGTAAAGGTATCGCAGCACGCGAAACGCGAATTGGGCGGCTTGGAAGAACTCGAAAAGGCCCGACCGCACTGCATCTCATTCTTGCGTCTCAAGCAGCGTCATCGTTCTTTTCTTTGGCCCCAGTGACACTCAGGACCTCGCCAACATCCTGTCCTTCGTCCGACTGTGGTTCGGTAGCCTCGCTGATCCTGTACAGCTCGGGACAAGTAGCACCCTTTCGACCAAAGATGTATCGTCTGATCCACCATGGCAGAACTTGAGTGAGTTGGTATCTGGCGTGGGTGCGAGTAGGGACGCCAAACACATAATCGAGCTCTTCCAGGGATCGCTGCTTTGTCTCCGGGAGGAACAGGAAGATCAAAACAAAAGCTACGAGGTTCAAGCCAGCATAGAACCCAAAGGCACCCTGAGCAGTGAAAGCTCGTAGCATGTATGGGAATGTCAAGGACAAAATCGATGCCCAGAAGTTATTGGTAGCAACGGCCCACGCCATGCCGACCTCACGGTGCGAGAGTGGGAAGACCTCGGCTGAATAGGTGAAAGGAACGGGTCCTTCACCAGGCGAATAGAAGGCATCAAAAAGATAGATAAAGAAGGCAATCGAGCCCAGATGGCCAGTCTTTCCGGGAACCCAGAAGCAGAAGCCTGCGCAGAGGAGTGTCCAACACATATTTGGGAAAGTGAAGAGGAGGAGGGTCCGTCGTCCATAGGTATCGATGGTCCACACAGCGGGCCAAGCAAAGACGAAATTGATGAGCCCAAATCCAAATGATGCCAAAAGTGCATGAATATTGTCTGCGCCGGCCAAAGAGAAGATTGTCGACGAGTAGAATGCGATAATGTTGACTGTGTAGAGGCGGCGGTTAGCAGCTTATATATAAGCCGATGGCCAATGCAGGGAGGGCCAACTTACTTCCACACATCTGCTGGGCAATCATTACAATACCAGAAGCCTGAGTCGCACGGCGGAGACGAGGCACAGTAAAAAGCTCAAAGAAACGAACAAACATGTTGTTCGTCTTTGCGAACCCAGCGGCCTCGAGCAAACTCTTCTCCTCAACCAGTGTAGCATGGATCATGTAAAGATCACGAGCAGCCTGTAGGGGGCTATTACGCAAGCGAAGAAGAGACTCATACGCCTTACGGTGCTTGCCCTTGGTGATCAGCCAGCGTGGAGACTCGGGACAGAAGTAAACTCCAAGAAGCAACGGAACAGCTGGGATAAAGGCCGACCCAAGCTGCAGACGCCAAGCAATATCACCGACATTGGCCACGATCAGGTTGGCACAAGTCCCGAGGAAGATTCCAAAAGCCGTCCAGACTTGCCAGCTCATGACCAAGCCGCCACGGATGTTCGTAGGCGCATTTTCCGCGGAAAAGACAGGAACAGTGACCTCTTTGAGGCCCATTCCGATGCCTAGTAAAACACGGCAAGCGACGAGCTGGCCCCAGGTTTGGGTCAAAGCAGATCCAATGGGTGCGAGAAGACTGAAGATGGCCGCAATGAAGATAGTACCTTTGCGGCCAATCAAGTGGTTGATCGGGTCCGACAGCCAGCCAGCGCTGTTGTACCAAAATAAATCAGTTTAAAATGAATTTGGACAGAGAGAAGTATTTCTTACAAGAGACAGATGGTGATGTAAGGCGTAGCATTCACAAATCCCACGATCCACTGGTTACGATCGCAGGTAGCCTTGTCGGGACACTCGGGAGAATTGTTAGGAATACCGAACTGCTTCTCAAAGGTCAAGTTGGCACCATTCGAGCCTGTAAGCGGATGCCGTCAGCTTATTGAGCATACGGTATTTCATATAAAGCATACCTGTCTGATCCCAGCCCTGAATCGCAGCAGCAATCGAGTTCAGGATGATCGTGTAATACAAGGCCCAAGGATGATGCCAGCGGCGAGTGATCTCCTCACGAAGGACGTGGCGATCCTGTTCGTCAAGCTCGGGGATAGAGCCCGCCTCTGCTGGCCTCTGTCCAGCAAGAGCGCCCTTCTTCAACAGAGGAAGGATGTCGGTCAAGTCATGATCGGTGGCGTAGCTCTCGACATTGGCCATGAGCTCATCGTGGGACAGTCCCTCGAGGGGATTCTTAATTCTGTGACAAAGGTCAGCTTCGTTCATGGATGTCGATGGTGTTCTACGAACTCCCCAGTAAGGTTTTCGGTCATTCTGTGTTTGGCCATCTTCTGTTAGCCTTAGTTCAAGTTGGATGATTGGATTTCAAAACCTTACCCTCCAACCACATCGCGGTCAGCCCGTGAAGCCATGACGGCAAGAGGAGTGTCCAGATTGGATGTGAAAGTTGTCTTTCTCTGAGGATAGGCTGTGGAAAAGTGTTTGAAGATGGGGGGGTTGAGGGTTGGAGAGATACAAGGGAAGGAAAGGCAAAAGCAGGCGACGAAAAGGTAAGTGAGGGAAGAAACGACTGGAACAAGAGAAAGAGTAGGCACGCGTCGTCGTAAATAAGTAACTGCACAGCCCGTAAAGCAAACTGACGGGGCGGCATGCGCTGGCCAGCACGGCAATCTCGTGTCTTGTCGGTGCGAAACACTTCGGGACTACTTCCAGCGCGCAAAGCCAGTACCATAACCATGAGTCAAGCCATCTGCAAGGGTAGTGAGCTACCTAGCTCATCGGACACACCGAAACCCCCCCGGATTTGCAAATTAGAATGTGCTCAAGCTAGTGACCATTGGCCAGACTAAGAAATTGGTCGTTCAAAAAGTTCTTTGTGCATATGTCCACGCGGTACGAAGTCTAGTGCGGGGGCTTATCGCGAGAAAGTCCATGCGACGCAGTCAGCATTAGAAGCGATACCAAGAGAAGACTCGACCGGGGTTGCGTTGCACCACGCCGTAAGGGTCATTGTATACCCATCAGATGTTTATACAATAGGCATCAAAGATGGTGCCCCGCAATGGCATCATCTGACAACACTAGTGTGTGGCTTATTTTATAGCCAAATTGGAGAAGCGGGGAAACAGATGGCGCCTGGGAAGGCCTGGAAGGATTCCCGCTGAAGTTGTTCTCGGGCATAAGAAATGATCTTCTCGTTGGTTGGGCTTGCTGCATGGAGGCTCTTAGCGTCGAGGATAGGCCAATCCGAGCTTGTTAGCAGGGGCCGAGGCCAATGAGGGGCGAATGCGTCGAAGTATAAAGAGCGGCATGGAAATGAGGGGATAGTCCGGCTGAAAGAATATGAAAATGGCGTTTAAGCCGTACAAGCCCCAAGCGTGCCCAAAGTGCCCGTCTCTCAAGGGATGTGACGCCGCGTGAACCTAGATTCACCCTCGAGAGTATGATGCTGTCCAAGTGCTGGAACCCCTTCATGGTTGATCTCGTCCGTGTAGCAGAGAGTGACATGTCACATGTGATCAAGCGCTGCATCGAGGGTATTCCAAGATTGGGCGTTCCAGGGCTTGGACACATGAAAGCGTCAAATTTCTGAGTATTGGAACTATTTAGCGAGCGAGAGTTCGTCTAGTCTTCAATTACAGAAAGGGGCATAGAATCTTCAAGGCTGCTGGGTCAGATATTAAGACAGGGATGGCGACGAATAGCATCCGAGAGAGACGGCCCCTAGAGACAACTCAACAGGAGAACCCTCGAAAAAGATCTTCATAGGAGAATTCATTAGAAAACCTACGGACCACAAGGCTAGACCCACCTAAAATACGCCGGACGGGAGCGTCCACGCCCTTCAAGCCCCTGCGATCTCTGAACACAAAACTCTAAATTAGCGTAGCACAAGATCCCCAAATGACAATCTGCAATGTCAATGCCACCAGTACCGATCACAAGATAAATTCAAGATTCCAGGGACTCTATTGCTCTATGAAGTCTACACACTAGAAGAGGAGCACACTATCCAAGCTGGAGAACCCAGCAGCCACACCACCCTCGTTCACTTCCTTTCCTTTGGTTCTCAGCAACCAGCCACCTTGATCATTATGAAGGACCTTGCCCGTATTATCCCATAGGATAGTTCCATAGACACCAAGCTCGGAAATCACATTGCCACGAAGAACTTCTCCGTCGTTTCGCAGAGCAATGTTTTCGGCATCGGGTGCGGGATTAATGAGCTCCATCAGAACCCATCCCTTCCAATCACTCTCCGGAATGGATTGAAGGAAGCCCGGAATCTCAGATTTGTAGATGTTGTTGCCGCCGCCTTCACGCTGTGGCTTGAGGACATGCTTCAGGGCCGTCTCGGGGTTGAGAGCCAGATCCCGACCCTGTCCATTGGCCGACAGATCATATTGAGGGGCAAATGTCTCACGCAATCTTGCAATCACTGCAGGGTCAGTGCCTTGGAGGAAGCTTGAGAGATGATCAGGTCCCGTCGGCTCCGCGAGGACCTGTTGAACCTTCTTGCAACCAGCTAGTTGGTTCAGCACGGTGGGACACTTGATCGCAGCAGAGCGTTCCAGATGCACCCGAGCATCCCAATCCCGAGTAGATGTATATTCATCAGGTGAATAGTAAGCACGTAGATACACGGTGGTCACTTCGAAGGCAGATGATGGAGAATGAGGAGGGTGGTAGATCAATGGTCTAGAAGGGTTGGAGTCGGACACTGAGGTTTGGTCAAAGATTTTGCTGCTAGGAACACGGAAGACGGGGACCTTATGGAATCCCGTGAGCCGCTTGGAGAGGGCATGCTGGTCGAAGACATTTCGCTCTCCGTCCTGGACTACGAAGATAACACACAGCGGGAGTTCAGGAGTCGACTTCGAAGAACCGTAAGCCTTGTGTGCCGTAGCCAAACCCCCAGCCAGAGTCTCAACGGAAGTGTTTTCGGGTGGCACGCCGGATTGCAGGAGAGGGTGCGGCGGATAGCTGATAGGAGTACCCGGGGGTGAGGTAAGAAGTTCCGTATGTAGTGATCTCACAAGGGCAGATAGTCCTCCGAATGACGAGGAGATGGTGTTGAACTCGACTTGCTTCAATGATGGAGCACGGTTGGGTGTGACATCAGCCATGTAGTCGGACCGGTAAAGCCCCAGTGACAAATTCTGGACGTATCCTTCTTTCTTGACCGCCAAATGAGTTTTCCAGAGGTTTGAGACAAAGTCATCGACATCAATTAGCCTGGAGAAAAGGGAATCTTTAGCTGATGCGATGCCCATCCTGGTTGAATGGTATTCTTACTCTTCCATGACCTTCCCCAGAAAATCCTCGTTGCAGGTGATTGCCGCATATAGTTCATTATAGACGGTCTGCAGCGCTTGAGCTTCCTCAAAGCAAGCTTTTGGGAAAGGACTGGGGAAGAGAGTGACTGGGGCGTTTGTTGCTAACACTCGATTCAAATCTGCGCCTTCAGGAAGGGCATTTGGAGCTGGCCGGACTGCGAGACCATTTTGAATTGCCCAGTCTTTAGTCGTGGTGACCAAGTACTCTTGCTGTGCAGGAGAAAGAACAGGGGGGTAATTGGTGTAGATAGAGTCTGCCATGGTCCCTGACGAGATGCAACAAAGGTCCTAAGGGAGGAGCGGTCGACTGCTCTATCTTTGACTTTATCATTCCACTCCCCGCCGTAGCGTGATTTATCAGCTGTATCACCCCACTCGACTGCTTTCACCGCCTACTAATATGCCGGGCTATTCGGAGATGTCTCACTTCACCGCCCTTATACACCGCCCTTCCTGCTCGCCCGCCGACCCAGCTGAATATACCGCCTATCAGACCGCCTGATCATACAAAGCCCGTTGATAGGCAAAATATCTCACCTTCCTAATCAAAGTACAACTTCTTCTCCAAACGAAACTTCCCTATGCTCGTCGCATCTCAACTGTTTTCCTGCCGTATTTTGATTTTGTATTTCCAAGAAGCTCTGAAATCCAACTGAGAAGATTACCTCGCACAAACTGGTCTACACACCGAGCTACGTGTAGGGGGCCAATACTTTTGGTAAGATACGCGCGGCACTAACCTGTTGAGAGATATCCTGACTATGTGGATATAGGCCCCCATCAACTCAACATGGATACCAAACCCCCAGATCCAGTTGACTGGGGAGTAGACGCCGTGGTTAACTTCCTGTGCAACCCCCAGGAAGCTCCCTGGACTAAGTCTGCCACTTCTTCACGCCCAAATCTCACTGCACTCGAGACTTCACTTCGTAATAATGAAATCAACGGAGAAGCTCTACTTCATGATGTCGACCGGGAGGCCCTGAGGGATGACCTGGGTATCAAAGCTCTAGGTCACCGCAGTAGTGTCCTCAGAGCTATTGATTGGCTACGCGTTCGATCCCCCAAGTACCAAACATCAAAGCGGCAATCCCCTTCTTCTAACCAACCTATTTCAACGGAAAGCATGTTATCACCCATCAACTCTCCACCTATCGTGGGATCTGTGGATGTGAATACACACTTTCCATCCGTTGCTCCCGAAATGACGCCAGTTTCCGCAGTTGCAGGAATGACTGAGCCACTGCAAACCACCAAACCAAACTCTTCTTCCTCCGCCCAGCCTCAATTAACTGAGCACCATTTGACTGAGCATCTCTCATGTTCTGCTAACTCCCGTTCTATCGCTCCTCCTGTTGACGCGCCTAGTCACATGCAGCCGGCACCACCCGCAAGTACGCCAGGATCCGCAGCCGCAGGCATGAAAGCAAAACGTCGAATTGCACCGACTCTGGTGACTGAGCCTGGGGAACAGCGAGTAGGAGAGGGGTTTTTCCTGGCAGAGGAGGTGTCCCTTTACAATCAAATGAGCAATCTCTCATCGCATCCTGTCCTCGAACGCATCAGAAATACCTCCACCGAGATCGTTGGTGATGACGGAAGCGGGAAGGGCTCAGTTTCCAAGTCTTCTCGTGCCAAAATCGTCGCACCAAGCACACCCTCGCTGGAGTCGCATCTTTCTGCGGACAGATCGTACAAACTAGGTGGGCATGACTATGACTTCTTGGCTCAATTACTCGAGAATCACCCCCCAGAGCCAGAGGGAAAGGAAGATGACGTTCTTCCCCTCTATGGTGAATCGGATGTCGAGTACGATGAAGAGACCCAGCAAGAGATTGATGATGATAAGCTGGATTCAATGGCTGGTCTTTCATGGGCTGAATGCGAAGCCATTGTCTCTGATTTCATTGCCAAATACGAGACGGCTTGGAATGAAAACCATCTGCCAAAACACCGGCAGTATGCTCAAGTGGTGTGGCAGCAGGCCCGGAATGCTCGCACAGGGAAGGCTTACAAGTCACGCGTGTTGCGAACTCTAAATGGACTTCGTTTACGACTGGAGACCCAAAAGAGCGCCCTGGTCGATGTCGAATACAGATCCAAAACTGCCTTCCTAGCTGCATGTAAGATCATGGACCCTACGCTGGATCAACTTTGTTTTGAGAAATGGAGGCTGGAAACCATCGAGATGGACACGTGTCCACCATTTGTTCCCCCGCCCCCGAGAGTTTCTCGGCCTCGGAAACGACGTGTGGTGGATGAAGAGGCGGACGAAGAGTCTGTGGGCTCAGAGTCCGAATTATCAGCCGATGACGAGGCTTCTGGCAATGAGGCTTCTGCCGACGAATCCGACTCGGGATTTCAAGGGGATATTCCAGATCGACCCCAGAGAGGTCTCGTGGGACCCATTCCAAGGGCAACAGACTTGGTCACTCTTAGATCTGATGACAGCGAGGAGGCCTTTGTTGCTAACAAAAGGCGCCGACTTCTGGGTAGTCAAGACCATGACGAGGCCAAGAGCCATAGCAGCCCGAGCAGGGTTGGTCCCTTTGCAGAAATTGAAGACGGAGAACCTTACCCAGTTTCCAGCCCGGACCATTTCTCTCCCTTCAAAGCATTTCAACTTGACTCATCCCCGCAGGCTCTACATGAGTCTGACGCGGCAGAAGATATGATAGTCGAGACACCGCCTCTCAACCCAACATTGCCAGCTTCCTCTCCTCGAGATGTCGACATGGAGGATGATTTCCTAGTGAAGACACCTCCACTCAATCCGACCAACCTACCACAGCCAACTTTGAAGCTTAAGCTGACTCTATCGTCCTCCGAGCCGCCGTCTGGGAATACTACCAAGGACACCTCCCTATGCCTCCAGCCCCGGAAGACTCCTTCGCGATCAGCGTCTCTCGACCAAGACAGCAGTGATATCAACAGCCCCAACATGGACGATATTGACATTTTCGACGAGATGGTTCACATGAGCTGGTCAGAAGTTGAATCCTCGGGGAATCGTATCTGGCTCCTGGCTAAACACCTGACATGCTTGCCACCGGAGGAGAACAAGTCCTTCGGGCCTTACATGGAAGAACTCATCGACCCTGTCTACATGGAAGAGGTTACTGCAGCGTTGCAAGCGATGCTCAAAAATCAGTGGCATCTGGAGGGCAGGACTGAAGATAAGAGCAAACCTGCAATGCGACTAGGTGCTTTCTTCGTATCCTGGCACAGCTGTAAGATGCTGACTGCCCGGGGCATGGGAAGAGAGACACTTCAAAGAGCTCTTGAAGCCCTTGAAGATGACGAAGAGTTGAAAATGTTCATTCCATTCCTCCATAGGCTGAAAAGGCTCTATGTTTCGTATCGAGCTTGGCTATCACGACAAAAGTTCCGCAAAGAAGGACACGGCACGTATTCCGAGTCTGCGGGTTCTGACAGCAACCTGCAGAAAAGGAGGGAAGAAATCCGAAAGAGACGCCGTTCGAGACCAACGGGGCCACGACCGCTGAGCAACATGCAGAAGGATGCACAAGAACGACAAGCAAAGCAAGACCAAGCCCGCGAGCGCCTTAGGAAGGAACGTGAAAGTAAGGGCCTGAGCAACAGTGACCCAGAAGGGCAAGCTGTGACCTTCAAGGATCCGGTCATCTACTTACATCCTCAATTGGGTCGATATGTCAAGCCTCACCAATTGACAGGCATCCAGTTCATGTGGCGAGAGTTGATTGAAGCAAATAACCAACAAGGCTGTTTGCTTGCCCACGTCATGGGACTGGGCAAATCGATGCAGGTGTAAGTTCCTTGTTTTTTTCTCAAGTTCAACCTTACTGATAACTCGGGATTGCTTTGGAAAAGTGGCTGATCATTCAATAGTATCTCCCTTTTGGTCACTATTGCCGCCGCCGCCAACTCGGATAACCCCGAGATCAGCAAACAAGTTCCCCAACGCTTTCATCGGTCGCAGACGCTTGTCCTATGCCCTTCTTCTGTGGTGCAGAATTGGGTAGACGAGTTCGCTATGTGGACACCCTTCGACAATCATCTTGGGCCAGTCCGGGAGATCGCTCCTCGTGGCAGGAATTACGAGATCCCCGAGAGGTTGAAGATAATCCGTGAATGGGACAGAAGTGGCGGCGTCCTCATCATGAGCTACGAGATGCTTCGTATCCTCATCGTGAACAAGCCAGCTAGACTCAATGAAGAGGATCACGAACTTGTTCAACATTGTCTCCTGGTGCGATCTAATATCATTGTCGCGGACGAGGCCCACAAGCTGAGGAGTGCGAATTCAGCAATCTCGCAAGTCGCCTCTCGTTTCAAATCAACGAGCCGCATTGCTATGACTGGCTCACCGCTGTCGAACCAGCTTTCTGAGTACTACCAAATGGTCGAGTGGGTTGCGCCTGGCTACCTGGAAGATCCAGCGACGTTCAAGAGAAAATTCATGGATCCGATTCAAGCTGGGTCCTACATTGATAGTACCAGGTCGGAACAGAGAGAAAGCTTGGTATCGTTGCAGCTTCTTAACGGCATTTTGGCCCCTAAGGTCCTCAGAGCTGATACCTCTGTGCTCGCTGCTGATCTACCTGTCAAAACCGAGTTCGTTCTCACAGTACCTCTGACAGAACTGCAGAGAAACGCCTACAACACCTTTGTGGACTGTGCTCAAGCTGGAAAAGCGGATGCAAGCTTGAAGCTCTGGTCATGGCTGGCTATCATGCAATTGTGTTGCAACCACCCCTACCCATTCCGCGAAAAGCTCAGCGACCGTGTAAAACAACAGGAGGATAATGAAGGTCCGTCTGTTTTGCCGACATCAATCCAAGACGCTGGTCTTCCGGGCGATCTGGTATCTCGAATGGAGGCTCTTTTCAGCAAGTACTCTGATCTGCACGACATTGCCCTGTCCAACCGTGCTGTCCTACTTGATCAGATACTGGACCTATCCATCAAGGCTAGGGACAAGGTTCTGATCTTCACCCAGAGCATTCCGACAATGGACTATCTTGATTTTATGCTGAAAAAACGTGGACGAAAGTACCAACGCATCGATGGCAGCACCCCCGGTCTCGATCGCCAGGTGGCGACAAAGCTATTCAACTCTGCTTCCGGCGAACACATCCTCTTGATTTCGACTCGGGCAGGCGGCGTGGGTCTTAACATGTTTGGTGCTAACCGGGTGGTCATCTTCGATTTCCTCTTCAATCCTATGTGGGAGGAGCAGGCGGTCGGACGTGCATATCGCCTTGGTCAAAAGAAGCCGGTCTACGTCTATCGCTTCGTTGCCGGCGGTACGTTCGAAGAGCTTATCTTCAACAACGCAGTTTTTAAAAGACAACTTGCCGTTCGCGTGGTGGACAAGAAGACGGTTGTGCGTGAAAGTTCCAGGAAGCTCTCAACATATCTTACGCACGTGAAGGATATGGCTAGGGATGAGGAGTATGACGCCCGGGGGCGGGATCCCGAGGTTCTTGACAAACTCCTCGAAGGTGAATATCGTGAGATCATTCTGAAGGCGACACTATCCCACATTCAAGACAATGAGAACGATCACCTCACCGAGGAGGAGAGCCGCCAGGTTGAAGACAGGCTCAAATTGGAACGACTGAAACGGTCAGATCCGCTGGCGTACAGCGCTGAAATGAAGCGACGAGATGATGCAGAAAAGGCGCGCCAACAACAGATTGCTCGCCTCAACGGTGATCAACCCTTGAATACGTACGAGCAGCGGATTGAGCAAGCCGAACAGCAACAATCTGTCACGATGCAGTCGCAATACCTTGCCTCTCTCAACCGTGGCCCGGTTCCGAGGTCCATCGCCAACAAATCGCCGTTGTCTGTCAATAACACGGGCGAAGCACACCCTCCTCCAGTCCTAACTGGGCCCAACTCTACGATAGTTGCACCTCACCGACTGCAAATCCGTGCATATCAGCCGAGCTCGTTGTCGTTTGTAGCCACAAGCCCAACCAAACAATCTATGCCCTGGTCTGCGTACGCGCCGAGCTCCTCGTCACTGAGACAAGACAACGGCGGAGATACTCGACTGGCCTATGTGGTACCCCCTGACAATGAGGTCATTGTAATTGACGATGATTCAACCCATTCCACGCCGGTGAAGGTACCCGCAAATCCTGCTGCAGACAACTCGCCCGTTTCGCCCACTCCAAACATGCGTGGTGATGTTGTCCAGATGAATACCAAGCAACCAACAACTGCCAAGCAGAAAGAATCACAGGTGGCTATGGTGCCTAGCCAAACCGAAACCCTGGACCTTGGCGGCGATAGCTCCGCCGATTCGATCGACAAGAATGTCGCGGGAACCGGTCACGACGAGGTCACCGAACCTCTTCCTTCAGTCGCTAACCAGGAGACCCCCTTGGATGCCAGCAATAACGGCACCGTGAATCTCGAGGCGACTGGGTCACAGAAGAAAGCTGTTGCCACAGCGCTCGAAAATTTCGCGACACCTCCAAATCTGTCCAGCCAATCCGAGGCGATGGACATCAGCGACGGCGCATAGGTGGTTAGCAGGATGCTCAGTATCCTCCGTGGAACCTGCCAAACTACGCTCTTACGCAGCTCTCGCTTCTTATTTGTTTTATTATCTGTGTTAATGATACCCCCTATGCATTTTCTTTTGTTGCTTTAACGTGATCAACGAGGACGCGATCTTACCTCTGCGGTGAATCTTCTTCAATTACCTCAGGTCGTAAGCATTTTCAATAAGTACGAATATCAAACATCAGTTACATGTTGAACCGCATTCGATCGCTTATCTTTCAATTGAGTCCCATTGAATTGTAAGGTAGATGACAAGAGGCAGGCCCTAGGTCAATCCACCCACCAGCCAAGTGGAGTCGGTTATCTTCTCCGCATATTGATACATCGTCTTATCGCCTTCGAGTTTCGCCTCGCACTCGATCTAGAGCTCTGGCTTTAATTTTCGTTCATAATCTGACTCAGTCACTCTCACACCGCCATATCACGAGCACGGAGTGGTGCTGCACTTGTTGTTCGCGACGGATCAAGTGCGATGGTCTTGTTCAGAGTTACTGTACTACGACTTTTTGAAGAGGCTAAGACCGCCATACAGAAATGGACTCAATACTGAGTCGCGCATACAAGGGCTCATTGTAAGAGCTGCGGATGATTTTGCTGATATCTGTCGCAGCAGCTTCACAAGCGGGCGGGTGATATTGGTTCTATCACACCAATGGAAGTGTTACCACGTCGTGCCAGATGATATTCCGTCGAAGTGCCGAAGCAGCCAGCGCCGCGGATGAGAATTCTCGTGTCTTTGCCCATTAACGTCACTGAATGTTTGCATTCCGATTTGTTTCTGTTCATCCTCAGACTATTGCCTACGTCCTCGTTATTTATTGCGGCTTTTGTTGGCCCACATCTCGCTTTGAGCTTGCCTGTGTGCATATCGGTGAGTTGCGATGATGTTCGACTTCATTCTTGAGCAGCGGGAGGGAGTATCCTTGGAACTCCGCGGTGACTTCGTTTCGACCTTCTGTCGCTTTTTGTGGTAACGCAAACAAGCCATCGGTAATCCTTCGAGATGGACTTCGGTCCGGCCTTCCTCAGTAGGAAAGTATTCCTTCCCCACATTTAGCTCCATTATGAGAACCGTTGAGCGGCTAATTCTTGTGTTTACTTAATGCTATCAACAGAGATATCAAGAGCTGTGTTGAAACAGTTTCCATTGAGATCTGTGGCGGCTCAGGCGCTGCTACATCCTGGCAGGCCTGAATCTGTATGTGAAGAAGGAATTGGATTATCACAGAAAGAATGATCAACAGTCGTTGGAAGATGAAGCTCGAGGTCGAGCCCGGGGGAGCTGAATCTTGTCCACAGGTAAATGCCTCAACTCTGAACATTTTTCAATTAGTTGGATGAAAATGTTAACCCGATGTCCAGACCAGGTGGTGGTGGCTGACCCCATTGGAGAAGACAGAGTCAAACTCTACTCGATACCCTGGAAGTACCTCTCTGCTTTTCAGGCGAGAGGCAGTGCTTGTGCTTTCAGTCAAAATGCGGAAGCAGCATCGTGAGTAAATACTAGATCACTTCTTCCCATTGAAAGTGGGCTTTTGTCATGATCGTGGACCTGATTGAGCATGTCTGGTCTGGCAATTGCTCTTCTGTCTTCCATGTATTCAAAAGAACGCTACCTTTCTTTGTTAATTTTTTCTTTCAATATCGCATTTGCTGCCTGTGTAAGACTAATTTTTAGGGCAGAAGTAGCTGGCAACTTCATAGTGCCTGTGCTTCGGATAAATGTTCCCAAAGCCATATTTGCCGAGATGTTAGTACTTCGGACCCCTTTATACATCGTCTCTGGGCGTTTACGTAGCCGAAATGGTGCCATTTTCATCATGCTTCAGCACTAGGCTGTACTAAGTATTCTTCATCTGGATTTCGAGATGGACTTTACCTGTTTCTGTTTAGATCACCCGTGATGGCGGGCGCGGAACCCCGCGATTGATGGAAATTTCCCCGCAAGTCCAGAACGAGGACAAACTCCGGCGGGATGAGCTCCAGGGAATGCTCCTTTGCACAATTAACCTTTGTAACTGTTCCAGATCATCGCGGCTATAAAAGCAGGTACGATGGCGGCCGTACATGATGTAGATCAATCTCTTTGTTTTGGTTGAGTTGCACATCGCATTCTATCAACCATGAAGTTCATAGTTCCCCGTCTCCTTACCCTCGCCGGGGCAGCCGCCGCAGCGAGTATTGCGGCCAAGTCGCCTACATCACTCACGAGTGTCGCCGTCTTCTCTCCTCCTTCAGATTATAACATTCCTCGAACCCTCTATGCTCGCAATGAGCAGCTTCCCAATGGTGATCTCCTGGCAACGTGGGAGAACTACTCTCCCGAGCCACCACTAGTGTACTTCCCTGTCTACCGCTCCAAGGATTTGGGAAAGACATGGTCGGAGATCTCCAAAGTCCAAGATACGGCGAATGGTCTTGGTCTGCGTTATCAGCCATTCTTGTATTACCTCCCCGAGCGCGTTGGCTCGTTCAAGGCTGGAACCCTGCTGCTAGCGGGCAACAGTATCCCGACGGATCTGTCGACTACTCAGCTCGATCTTTATGCGTCGCAGGACAACGGCGTGACTTGGAAGTTCTTGAGCCACATTGCTGCCGGTGGAGAGGCTGTGCCTGACAATGGATTGACTCCCGTGTGGGAGCCCTACTTGCTTGCTCAGTAGGTTGATATGGCGCGGTTTACATGAGCATCTAGCTAATATCTCAACAGCAATGGCAAGCTGATCTGCTACTACTCCGACCAACGTGCCAATACCACCCACGGACAGAAACTGGTGCACCAGGTCTCGACTGACCTGAAGAACTGGGGAGCTGTTGTTGACGATGTGTAAGGCATCTCCCGTTTCTAGTACCCATCTCTACTATATGTGTACTAATAAACTTCTAGTGCCTATCCGACGTACACCGACCGACCTGGTATGCCCGTTGTTACTAAGGTAAACACTAGCTCTACTCAATGCAAGCACTGATACAGTGCTAACTTTGCAACAATCAGCTGCCCAACGGTCAATACATCTACATCTACGAATATGGAGGTTTCTTCAACACCTCCAGCTACTCCTTCCCGCTGTACTACCGTCTTTCCTCAAACCCTGAGGACTTCGCCTCCGTCGAACACCACAAGCTGATCGTCTCAAGCGGAACTCAACCCACTTCCTCCCCATACGTTGTTTGGACTCCCTACGGTGGCAAGAACGGTACCATCATTGCCAGTTCGGGAACTGAGAGTACCTTGTTCATCAACCAGGCTCTGGGCCAGGGTGAATGGACCGAGATTGCGTCGCCGGAAGGGCACAGCTATACCCGATCCTTGCGGGTCCTTTCCGAGAGTAATGGAAGATATCTGCTGGTCAATGGCGGTGGTGTGTTGGGGGGAACCACTAATAAGGTGACTGTGACTGTGATGGATCTCAAAGCGTCGTTGTAGACAAGTTCGTAGTATATATTGCGTGCTAGCCAGACACATACTATATCGAGACATGAATGTTCGCATGCTGCATGTCTCACTCTAGAATACTACAATATCAATCGCCCTTATCGACCTATTTCGATGAATTGTGCATCTTTTATGAACCCCAAAACCCCAGATCTGACGAACTGCAACAAAATAAAGTTAGACTTTCCACCCCGCGTCGAGCCATGGGTGGCAAGTCACATGCCATCACCACGATAACTCAGTCGAATTTTTCATTTCTGTTCCTCATCTCAATCGAATGACTTCTTCAAAGCAACTCACAGCTCGTCCTGAGCTGTTCTAGGAATATGGGCGCAATATGGTCACCTGCGAAGCCCCGGTCCAAGGCATCGTCGGGGCATACACGGGCAACAGCTTTGCCGTGCAAGCCTCGACCGCCAGCCTGCTAGGCTGCGCTCTGTACAGCGCCATCGAGTTGATCGTCTTGGTCTTCTCAATATTCCAAAAATACACTGGTCTTTATTTCTGGAGTCTCCTGGTGTCAGCCTCGCTAGGGGTCATCCCCGACGCGATCGGGCTGCTCCTGAAATACTTCGACCTCGCACCCATTTGGCTTCCTGTCACGCTCTCAACGTTCGGGTGGTGCATCATGGTGACTGGGCAGTCCCTAGTGCTATATTCACGACTTCATCTCGTCCTCTTTGACAGAAGAATACTCCACTTCGTGCTAGCCATGATCATCTTTGACGCGATTGTTCTGCAAACTCCCCAGATCATCGCCTCGTACGGCGCAGTATACGTCTGCCATCTACACTTTCAAAGCTTCTTCCACACGTGGGAAAGAGTGCAGCTTACGGTGTTCTGCGTGCAAGAGATTACCATCTCAACGTTTTTTATTGTCCAAACCGCCAAGTTGATGCGCATTTATCCAACACAGAGCACTCGGAGGGCGAATATTCTGTACCAACTGTTGACGATTAACTTGATCATTATCATAATGGATATCGCTTTATTGGCTTTGGAGTTTACGGGGTATTTCATCACGCAGACGGTGCTCAAATGCTTCTTCTATACGATTAGTCTGAAGCTGGAGATTGCGGTGTTGACGCGGTTGGCATCGTTTGTGCGGGCTCATTATCCGGGGGAATGCTCGGGATTGAGCTAGCATTCTTGCGGTATATTATTGTGTACGGTATTTTACATACAGCACCAGGAATGTAAGAGAAAGCCTATCTTGATACATGATTGGACCGGACCAAGTCTAAAATACAGAGAAGAAAGTAAAAGATAGGCGACAAGCCGAAATAGGGTCAATCCATGTACAAGAAAATTGAAAGGGGTCAGTAGACCACAGGTGGCCCACAGCGAATGCCCACCAGGCTTAGCCCAGAAGAGTCTCGAAGTCGGCCATGCGGGTAGCAGTGGTTTCGGCCTTCTTCTTAGCTGTCTCGCGGAATGCAGCGAGCATGAGCTTGCGTTTGCGCTCTTGAATATCAAGCACACGCTCTTCAATACTGTTCTCCATGACAAGGCGCCACACGGTAGTCTCGCGTTTCTGGCCAAGTCGGTAGACACGGTCAACGGCCTGGTCTTCTATAGCAGGTGCCCACCAGCTATCAGCCAGAATGACCTGGTTTGCGGCCACAAGATTAAGACCGACGCTGCAAACGCTAAGACTGGCGAGCAGGACAGTGCAACCAGGCTCGTTGGTGAAAGCATTGATGGAATTATCGCGCTTGACAGACTGCATCTTGCCGTCGATGCGCACGAACTTGATGCCTCGCTGCTCTAGATGGGGCTCGATGAGATCAAGGAACGAAGTCCATTGACTGAACAACACGGTCTTGGTGCCAGGTGCTTGGCCCTGTGCCGTGAGAATCTTCATGAGCGCCTGGATCTTGCTACTCGGGTTATTTGGGTCAGCGACAGCTGTCTCAGCGTCCTCGCCCATCTCAACGGCGGGGGACACGAGAGTGGAGTTGTCTTTGATTTCCGCACGGCAGAGCGGGCACTTGTGTTGCCGCTCAATCACTTGCTCAATACAACCACGGCAGAAGGCATGGGCGCATGCGGTGATTACAGGCAATTCAAGGTTATCAAGACAGATGGCACATGCCTCCTGGCTCTCGATCTGGATCTGCAGCATGTCCTGCAGAGCTTTCATGTTCTCGGGGGTAAGAGGCACGATTTTGTGTTTCTCAAGTTCTCCCATGAGCTTATCAATACGGTTCTTGCAAAGAGCCCAGTGGTTGCAAACTTGACGAAGGCGTAGAATGACCTCCAGCAGGGTAGAGTAACTGCCTTCTTTATCCCTGAGCTCAAGGAGAGCACCTTTCGCCTCATTTCTGGGATAATGTCAGCGATGAGTATCAGTGAAACAGCTAACAATGGAAAGACATACTGGAATGCGCTGTACTTCTCCAGCTCATGGGGGTGGAATTTGACACGAAGAACCCGTGAGGTCATCTCGGGTAGTCGCAAGTTAATAAAGCTCATGTCCTTTCTTCGGCGCAGACAGATAGTTCCCATGAGAGCCTCGAGCAGCAAGCGGGCCTCGGGATCACCGTTTGTTAGCGGGCGAATCAGGACACTGTTGAACACACTCAAATCCTCAAGGCCGCCGGACATCTGCAGGAAACGGACTTGAGAGTAAAGGTCTTTGAGGCTGTTGATAATTGGGGTTCCAGTCAAAGTCCAGCGAGAATCGGCTCGCAAGGCGCTAGCCGCGAGAGAGCCTTTAGAGCGAGGATTACGAATGGTATGACCCTCATCCAACACCACACGGCGCCAGTGAAGGGAGAAAATTCCTTTTGCAGGGGGCTTCTTTGCATTTGGTTGATATTCCATTGCAAGAGCACCGTAACTTGAGATCACGACATCGTATTGTGCCAGATTGACACTCTCCTTTTTGCCGGAACCATGATAAATTAAGACTCGCGGCGCACTTTCGCTGTGAGTGTGATCTTGAATTTGGTTTCTCCAGTTGCTCATAACACCAACCGGGGCAAGAATGAGGGTCGTCTTGCTAGAGGCGGAAGTCCGAGGAGTGGGGTTGGCCATAACCAATGATATGATCTGAATGGTCTTGCCAAGACCCATGTCATCTGCAAGAATACCACCACTCGCCAGCGGCGGCTCGGTGGTCATAGAGTAATTGGTTGCGATGTTGGTGAATTTTGCTCCGTCGCGCTTCCACAGTTGAACGATGGTATCGGAGCCCGGGGCTGGGAGGGAAGGAGATTCTCGATTGATCATCCACGCAAGACCTTGTCGTTGGTATGGCAGGAGCTCTGTAGAAAGACCTGGAGGCGAGGGAGCCATAGGCATCTTCTCTAAATCGGCTTCCTTCTGTCCGAAGCTTTCGACAACCTTGCCAATGTCCCGGGGGTTGAAAAAGCTACTCTGTTGAAGAAGTTCTTCCAAGCTCTCGCTTTCGCCGAGTCCCGTGGCGGATGACAGGTTGGCATATGCAGGATCCTCATTCTGCTGCCATTGCTGGGCAGCCTTTCCGAGAGCCATTGCACGAGCATTCTTCTCGGCTGCCTTGCGTTCTTGTTCGCGCTGTTTCTCCTGGCGGCGTTGCTCACGCTCAGCTTCAATGAACTCTCTCACTGGCAGCTTATCTTGTTGCATTCGCTTCTTCAGGTTATCTCTCAAAGAAGGATCGCTCGTGCCATACAGTCTCAATTGCACCGGACAGTCGTACGGTCCAATACTGCCGGTTAGAACACCTTCCACAGACAGGTCATGGGAGTCCTAGAAGAAACTTTATTAAAGGCCATTATTAACTTGATATCTCGGGGTGACAAACCATGTAAGGTGCCAGTCTTGCAGCTAGATTTCGTGGAATGTGTCCAACCTGAGCGCCCATGACGTTGTCGACACGAATCGCATTGGGATCGTATTGGTTTGTAGGCTCTCTTTTCAGAATAACATGTTCACCAGGAGTAGCGTAGCCTCTGTAGTAGCGAACTCCAACGATCTTTCCCTCAATTTTTCCTACAAAAGTGGGTCAGACACTACTGTCCAGAACCTGCGTTTGAGATGGAAGGTTGAAGGAGGAGTGAGGAGGAGACATACCATAAAGTGTCGCGCTGGACACTGAAGATTCATCCGCAACTTGGCTTCCCTGGATGAGATCCTCGGCCTGAGCATCGTCTTCATCCGCACCAGCCACCTGAGACAGTGGAATGCGATCGTTACTCTCAGCAGGAACGTTGGTACCCTCAGTAGGGATGTACTGAACAGTTTCACCAAATCTCTGGCCAGTGGTGATAGCTGGCGGATCTGGTCTAATGAGTTTCCTCAGCTTCGAGGCTCGAGACTCTGGAACATCAAAGCGAGGCGCACCCGAGCTGCCCGCATCGGACTTTCGCTTTCCAGGATGCCCAGTCATGGTGCTGGACCTCTCCCACACTATTGAGAGACTGGAAAATGGGAGTCAGACCGGCAACGGAGGTGAGTAAAGACGGATCTAAAGCTCAAATTTCCAGGAACAAATCGATTGAGCCTTTAATTTGATGAATCTTGCAGACACCTGACAATCAAGACGAACGCGAATTACCGCGACTATCGAAATCACGGGGGAACCCATGACGGAGCACGCTAGTCCCGATAGGGACTGATAGCCATGAAACACGACCCACGTTTGACACGCGATCACGTGATGGCGAACAAATGACCTTTGTATGAGTTCCCGGTTTTATTCTTGCCGTGGAACTCACAGTCCTTACTGGATGAAGAAAGGTGTGAAGCTGCTCGACATTCAATAGGATGAACTTCTTATATTGGGTACTTATATTGGGCATCTCTTGGGGAGTAAAAGGTTGGAGTTGTGAAGGTATTCAGGACCGTGAATGAACATTTTATATCTCGAGGTTGATGGTGTCCCAGAAGCCAATGTTTTGAAATATGTTCAAATCACAAAGAGCTTAAATTTCTCAGAATCCAAACTTACACTCGTACCGGTATTCAGACACCGATGCAATCACCATCTCGCTGCTTCACACCTGATGATATGCCCACAACAATGAATCACGTGACATATCCAGTAGACCGGATTTCCTTGGAAGCTGGTCCTTCGTGTTTCCTCGATATTGCAGACAAACCAAAGCACCGCTAGATTTACTCCCAGCCCTATCCGGTATCCACTTGTTCAACCTTTTCATGCCACTATTGAGGAGGAGCGCTTGCTTAAAGTCCCCACTATCGGATCCCAACCCCATTCCTTAGCGCGGTCCCAGACAGACAAGCTCCCGAGTTAGTGGCGCTTGACCCATCCTATGGCCGATCTCCGCCAAGGTTCTTACAGGAATCTTGTGCAGAGCCACGAAGATGTGCTAGACACCCTGCTAGAACAAGGCGTTTATAAGCCAGTTTTTCTCTACCATATTGTGATTTTCAACCTTCTGCCGCTCATCGGCTTGGTCATACCGCGCCGCGGAGCTACTCGATATGTCCGCCCTGGAATCTTCGCCCTCAGCTTGGGAATTGCGGTCGAGGTGCTTAGTCGTCGTCGAGCACTGCTGGGTGGGAATGGGTATATGATCGGCCTGATGACGGCGTGGTGGCTCTTGTGGAGTGCGGCGCTCTTCGTGTTTTCGGATATTGAGGGTGACTTTCGACGCATCGAACGAGGAGCTACAGCTAGTGAATCGATATGTGATGATACATCAGGTCGAGGTACTTCGCAGAGCCCATTGCCCGATAGAACAGGAGACTCAACCACTTCCAACTCCACAAGTTCCTCTCCATCAGACAGAGAGGCGATCCCTACGGCTAGTGCCGACAATCACGGACTTGAGAAATTCCACTGGCAATCTTATCCTCGAAAATTGACGCACCGTATTGAATGGTGTGCAGGGCTTTTGTTCAATCTCAGAGGACCAGAATGGAACTGGCGTGCGCCACACCTAGGCCCTCTGCCCCGATCCGTTCACGCGCAAGTACACACAGGGTTTCACGGCGACAAGTTCAAGGCGCATGATGATGCTATGTACATTACTGCAAAGATCCGCCTCCGAGCTGCCCTCTGGAAATTCCTTGAGGGATACCTTTTGCTAGACTGTCTTAAGGTTGTCATGATGCGGGATTTATACTTTCGGGGCATCTTTACAAGTGAGATGCCACCTCCATTCCCGGTTTCTTACTTTGCGTCTATTCCACTCTTCATACGTTTCTACCGTTGCTTCGTCAGTTGCATGGGTGTCTATGTCGCACTCAACTTCGTCACGTCTCTCAATCCTATATGTTTCCTCGGATTGTCCATGGCTTTCCCCAATGCCGCTCGCAAGCTGACAGGCGCGCCGCTGGACGCATCTTGGCTATATGCGGATAGTTTTGGGCCATTCATCACCTCTGTTCTCGACCACGGACTAGCCGGATGCTGGGGTCGATGGTGGCACCAGCTCTTTCGCTATGGCTTCACCGCAACGGCGCGTTGGATTCTGTCCCTGCTTCCGACTAGGTGGGCGGCCTATACTCGGGTCAGACGAATCACCCATATCCTTGTTGCTTTTGCGATCAGCGGTATCATCCATGCTTCTGGCAGCTACACGCAGTTCGCGAAGACACATCCTTTATCTGGGCCATTTCTGTTCTTTTTCCTTCAAGGCCTTGCGATCATCTGCGAGAATATTTTCAAGACAATGGTTTTCCCCAGGCTACCCCTTGCAGATACCCCGCGGTGGGTACGACGGTCTGCAAACGCAGTTTTTGTGTTCTGCTGGCTGCTCTACTCAGGGGCCTTCATTGCAGACGACTTTGCCCGTGGCGGATTGTGGCTGATGGAGCCAGTGCCTCTCAGCCCGATTCGCGGCCTAGGGCTTGCATACGATAAAGGATGGTGGTGCTGGGACAAGCCGTGGTTCCGCTATTGGAGCGATGGGACATACTGGGGTAGTGGCATTCGCGTCATTTAAGCGTGATAGACTGTACACATTACACATGTAGATTAACTTTCTGATAGACTTTCAGACAAAAATTTGGAATATTTATGAATTCATAAGAAGAAGTCTAATTGTTGAACTTTTATTGATGAAAGGTTTAGCCTTCCATTGCCACATCCTCATCCTCTTCATCCTCGTCATCGTCGGTGTCAGACTCAATGTTCAATGTTGGCAGCTCGTCATCACTATCATCAACGGGCAACGGAGCTCCCGCGGTGGGTTGCGACGTTGCCTGGGTTGCTGGCGCCTGGGAAACAGCCGGGACCTGTGTAGGAACCATGGATGCCTCAACATTAGTTGGTTGGTATGCGGGTACAGAGGCAGGTGCTGGTGCCTTCTCCTCAAATCGAGCTTTCTTGATCTGCACAGGCTGCTGTACGGATGCCGGGGAAGAGTGCGATTCGGCGGCGGTCTCCTCAAAATAAGTTCGCTTCTGCAGCGGTGCCACTGAAATCGCGGAGGGCTCGGTATTCTGAGCCTTTGCAGGAGCAGCAGCCGTTTCTTTTAAGAAGCTAGCAGTCTGAGGCGCGTTGGTGAATGGCTCATCGACCATCTCATCAGCCTCCTCCTCCTCTTCTATCTCGGCATAAGCATCGAGCTCCGGCACGCTCATCAGGACCGGCATCCTTGGACGAACCAAAGCCTCGACCTCCATTTGTTCGGGGTAGCTTCGGACCAAGAACGGCATAAGGCTTGAGCCAGCTCCACGGCCCTTGGCAGCCGGAATTGGGTTAAGGACGCTGGCAAGCATGGCATCCTTGTTCGAAGTAAGAATGATCGTGCGATCAATTTCCGCACGAACTGAAGGCGCCAAAAGCTCAGGTGCAATGTACGCCAGAGCACTTTGCAGAAGTCCCGATGCAGCTTGCTGAACTTCGGGGAACTTCGGGCCGGCTTTCAATTGCTGCTTCTTCCGAAGCTCAGGGTCCAAGAACGAGTCTGCATTTGCTGTGCCTTGACCGCCCTTCGACTTCGACTTGAGATCAGTCTGCGCCTTGCCTACCGCAATAGAGTCTTCAAACTGAGGAAGCAGGTCATGACATGTTACCCGAAGGACACTTGCGACAGAGGCTACACTCTGCTTGGTCATCGCAGGGCCGGTCAATTTCAACACAGAGGAGAGCAAATCATAAGAAGCCGACCGAACTTCTTTGCAGAACTTCTCGTTCTTGAAAAGCCAGGTAACTTGCTCAAGAATGTTCTGCGAGATTGGAGTCGTGCTAATTTCCAACACACCGACAACATGGGCAAGCAAGTCCATACAGGCAATATGAATGCGAGGCAGTTCAGCCCACAACAGCTCCCGCTCGTCTCGACTGATTTGAGGATTGAATTGGACTCCATTCTGCGAAGCTTCGCCGTTCGGCGGGATAGTTACGGAAGTAAGGCGAGAAGTCAAGTCGAGAATTGAGCCGAGAGGAATGGCGACAGTGGCAGCCGACGGTAGGGAGATTATTTCAGAGAGAATCCGCAGGAGTATAACCAGCCTGTCGGTTCCGGCATGGATTCCTGTCCAGCCCGGGAATCCTAGGGAATCGCTGCTCGGGTCCGCCAATTCCTTGCTGTAGTGCTGCTTTGTGTGAGCCAAAGTCGGATCCACTGATTCCCACTGCTCTGCGATAGCCCGGAAGACATGGTCGGCGGCTCTGTGGGCAGACAAAATAGTCGACTTGCATGCGTCGTTCCAGCCATGGCCCGATTTATCCTTTGGAGCGCATCTATAAAGAGAAGCAAATAGCTGCTCTGCCACATCCAACACTTGCTCGGGATAGTACACCTGAGAAGATGCGCTAAGAATATCCCCAAGCAGAGACTGAAGCTGGGTCCCAAAGGGACGGAAAATTGTGGGGTGACGAGGAATCAGTTCTAGGATGGAATGGAGGACAATCTCCATGAAGGGAGTGTTGGGCTTCGGCTTCCGATTCGAACCCGAGGGAAGCTTCACCAAGGTCGAGACCAGGTTGAGCGCTGCGGTAACGAAGCCTGGCAGATAAGGAGTGGTAATCTCGCGAACTAACGTCGGGTACTGGTATGTGAGGTGAAAAATGCGAGTCAAGGTGATAATACACATCTTTCGGGTGGATACCGGGTCAGGTTTCTAGACAATTCAGCGAAATTAGTCAATTGAGCCGACGAAATCTTATTGCCAGCTGCAGTATGCACGGAGAGAGCTCCCTACCGCCAGAATGCCAATCAGGCCGCGAACGATCGGCTCGTAGCCCCGCAAAATCTCCCATTGTCCTGCTTCGACGGCGGCCTTGACTAGAACGACGGCGGTCCAGCGTCCCTCAACACTGCGGTCTTGCAGCAGACTGGCCAGGCGGGTCTTTAGTTTGTGAATTTGGACGGCATGGTCGGAGTCCCCCTTGCCCGGTTTTTGGGCTTGTGGTGCCGAGAGGAGTTCGGCACAATCGCTCAGCGAGGCCGCGAGGAATGCAGCAATCGAGGGCAGTTGGTCAACCGGGGTCGTTGTCAAGCGATGCGTGACAGCGCGCAAAGTGGTGGAGGCCATAGCGATAAGCACGCAGTGAACACTGAAAAGGGCCTCGGCGACCTCAATTGACACGGGCTCCAAGCGTAAAAGAAGATCGTTGTAGAAGAAGGAAAGGTCTTGAACTAAGGTATCGGTAATTTTTTTTGTCGATTATGGAACAAGCTCGGGCCACATGAAGCCTCGGTAAATTACGGAGATTACGGTCACGGCAATACGCAACCCTCTCTCCACCCCTGGGCGATCATCTCGGGGCCTGGCAAGGTTGCGCTGGTCTACGCATGCCTCACTGTCCTCCTGCAACTCTCTCCGCGCTTCGTTTGCTACCCTCCGGAAATCATGGCGGTAGGTGTCTTGAACTTCTGTTTTCGATGTTGGCATCATTTAGAGCTGCTGCGCCCGCCAAACGAGGACTATAAACAACTAACACGTGCGGTCTAGGGAGGCAACGCTGAGAAGGGACAGCGATACATCGCGACCTTGGACCAGGCGCGGGCCCAAGGCAAATGGGATGAAGTACCTGAATTGATCCGAAAAGTGACGAAACACGCACCGCATCGTACTTGTAAGCGCGCGCCACTACCGTGCCTTGTTCCAAGATGATGCTAACGGATATCCTTGCAACCAAAGGTGTGATTCAGACTGCGACGGCCGAATCTCGAGTCGTATCCTACCTTCAGCAAAAGACATCCTCCGAGAGTGCATCGACGCCTAACCTCCCCGAGCTGATTCCGGCGCTGTTGACTACCATTGAGAACAATGACGGAACCCCGGAAGAGATCGTCCAGGCGCAGGTCTGTCTAGGATGGATCCATTGGGCCTTGAGCGAGCCAGCGCTGGCTGCAGGACGCCTGCCAAAGGACTTCGCAACAACGGTGGAAGAATTGACCGCCGGAGGACAGACCCCATCCGCGTGGACGGAGGTCTGCCTAGTGAAAGGATGCTACATTAAGGGTATTATCCATACAGCGCCGATTTCGCGGGGACATCTTCGCTGACAATTGCATAGGGGCTGCTCAAGCTGCAGTTACTGAAATTGATGAGACGCTGGAGACTTTTGCTTCCTTGATACCCTGGTTAGGCAGTGGGAAGTTGGGCTCGACCAATGCGCAGTTCCTAAGCTGGACCGAGACTTTACTTTGTAAAGGTGCCATCATGGCCAGCGAGGAGGCGCACAATAGCTCCCCGTACTCTGACCCCAGACATGTGGAGATTGCGCTTCGACTATTTCGGCTTTGGGCTTCTCTCCCCGCGGTGAAGCAAGGGTTGGCTGCTCCCAAACCTTCCCACCTAGATGCATCCCCCTCGCTTTCCCGCACCGCCATATGGAAGGCCTATTATGGATTCCTCACAACTGTGCTACAGGAAGGACTGGTCTACACTGCTCCTCATAATGGGCCAGAGCGGCCCCAATTAGCCAGTGAACTACGTCGCATAGAATCAATCTGTGAGAACAACCTTCTTCGGGAGGTCAAATTCCCGACTGCCAGCTCCAGCAACTCTGAAGTTGAAGAATGGGTGGAGCAAGTCATCAGCAACTGGGAGGTCCTCTGTGGACCCCACTGGCAAGATCAAGACCTGGGCGAAGGGGGACAGAATGCCGTGGGACGCAACGTTTTGGATGTGAGTGCAATTGAGGTTGACACTTCTGAGTAGATACACTGACAATCCCGAAATCGCAGATCCTGTATCGTGCGGCAACTAAAACTTATCATTCCCACCTCATTTTGCGGCGCCTGTTTCATGTTCATTCCGCCTTGGCGGACTTTGACCTTGCTTTTCAGGCCCTGGACTCCTATATCGAGATTGTTACTGGTGCCAAAAAGAGAGCTGAAAAGGGTGCTGAGTATGGTGAACTCGAGAAAGATGAAATTTTCCTACAAACTCTTTCCGAAGGTGTCACTTTGTTGAGCTGCCTCGGCTCGTTCGACGAGGCAGAAAAGGCCAAGGATTTGACCGAATTGATCAGAAAGCGTCTCGAGAAGCAGGGGGCAACTATGTCAGATGGGAAGGTCATTGGAAAACTGCTACTCACGCAAGGTCCAGACTCTACCAATTCATCTGAAATCCCCCCGGCTGTTTTGGCCACTGCTTACAGGGCAGTCGGTGTCGGACTTGCGAATTGGGCAAGCTTCACGCCTCAAAATGAAGCACGCGATGAGATTCGCGGAGAAGCGGTGGATTACCTCTTGAAGAGTGCATCTCCCTCACTGGGCAAGCAAATGAGCTACTCAACTCTTTACACGTTGTCTCTTGTTCTTGCAGAGAACCGTGACTTAGACACTGCAATTGACTATGTCAAATCTGCATTGACTTCTCATGGCTGCTCAGATTCGTCTGAAGATCTTTCCAGGGAAAGGGATCTCGTCCCCATGTGGCACTTGCTCGCTCTGCTGCTGAGTGCGAAGAATGAGTTCGATATCGCCGAACGGTCTTGCGAAGCAGCCTTTGAGCAATTCCCTCCGGAGGTGTTTGGCAAGAGTCACCTCGACAAGCGATCAGAGAAACGTTCATCGCGACATTCTTCGCACTCCAAGGAACGGGAACCCGTATCCAAGCGCTCTCTCGTGAGCCGATTGCAGGGCCGGGAGAAGGAGCGTATACTTCAAACTCGCATCACACAACTTGCGTTCGTTGAAGTGATGGAGGGCCCCGAGGCAGCTGTCAACCAGAGTGGGCAATTGCTGAGCCTTTTCGCCACACTTTTCAGTGATCTCAATCTTGATAGCGAAGGCACGAAACCCAAGACCGAGCATTTGGTACCACCCAAGAGCTCCGCTGGCACAACTCGAAGCTTCCGCGGCAGCATATTCAGCCGTAGTCGAGCCTCTCATCCACCAGACCGAGGCTCTGTTCCTGCGGTACCGCCCCTCCCAAATGGCAACCTAGGCGGAGTGGAAGCACCGGCCATCCAGATTACGGATGAAGACCGACAAGGTCGTCAAAGTCCAACATCACTCGGAAGGTCCGACTCGAAAAGGCTGAAGAAGCGTAGCGACAGCTTCCATAAGAATGAAAGGCCTCGAGTTGAGGAGCCTCCCTTGCTTAACGGGACAGAGTCCCCGGAAACGGTGGGGATTGCAGTTTCTGGAAACTCATCTCCCCAGGCGGCAGCTCATACGCCAAGTGGTAGACAACCATTGCAGCCGATCCCGCATAATATCCCTCACAGACAGCAACCACCACCAGCTGGCCACGAACACAACCCACCTGTGCAAGACACCCGACTCCCACCCCCGCATCGATTCGATTCTCCCACGCTTGCCACTACGAAGTTCTCATATGCCCAATCTCAGAAGCACGCTCTTGGTCTACTCGTTAAGATCTGGCTTATCATCGCCGGTCTGTACCGCCGAGCGTCATTGTTCGACGACGCTCGAGAGGCCTGCCAGGAAGCCTGGAAGCAAACCTCGCGCGTGGAAACACTGGCTGCCTCTTTTGAGTCCTCGGCTCGGGCTTTCAGTAAGCGTAGCTGGGATAACACCAAGAGCTCGGAAGAGCTGTGGGCCGATGTTCATGCCGAACAAGGTCTGTTGGCACAGAGTCAGTCAAGCCCTCATCAGGCCATGAAGCATTTCGAGGATGCCCTTCTTCGCTATCCTGATCATCCTATCGCAACGATTGCACTGGCGAATCTACTTCTAGATGTCTGGGACCAGAAGCTGCCGTTGGAACCCTCGAATGCCGACGTTGATCTCAACGTATCTCGATTGTCACTATTGTCCACTCTCCCCAAGCCAAAGGTAGCAAATGCCATTTCCATTGATGAGTTGAAGGGTCCTGACGTTGAGACTCCGCCTACGGCCGAAACTTCCTCATCCCCGCATGAAGTTGATCCCAAGCACCTGCACCGCTTGGCAGCACGAGATCGCGCATACGGTCTGCTCTCGTCGCTGACCAAGCTTGGCAGTTCATGGGACAACTCGGATGCTTGGTATGCCTTATCGCGAGCTTACGAGGCTGGCGATCAGGTCGATAAACTGAAGGACGTTCTGTGGTGGTGCATTGAACTTGAGGACCGCCGGCCCATTCGGCACTGGTCCAATATTGGCTCCGGGTTGTATGTTCTTTGAAAGAAATAATAAAAATTTTAAGAGCCGAAAATAGGGTTTGATTCTTAACATCTTCTTGTATCTATTTTGATTTTGCCCTTTCCTGATCACGATTGTGCTAATCCCTACCCCTTACATCTTCCCTCGTTTGAGATACCATTTTTTCACCACCTACGAATCGAGGGTTACTAGCACGTTCACACCTTTTTCAATCAAGGATTAAAGGATATGGAAATGGAAAGTTTTTCAAGTTTCTGAGCTAAACATTCTCATAAAACCACTGGTAGCACAACTTTATGTACATCTTTCGAAGCGGCCTGACTGGGGCAGTTCGAGATTGAGAGAAAAAGGAAAGGAAAAAAAAAACAAAGCAGGTCAAAGTGTATAAGTTGGAATCAATTTGCTAGCAATTTGCTAGTAGCAAACGTCAACTGGTTTACCGCGGGGCAGCGACGGGGGTCCAGGCGGACAACTTGGGACGGGTGCTGTGACAAACTGTTAGCCACGATCAAAACAGACGATGAACACGAGCACGTACGTAGAGTAGGTCTTGAAAGCAGCACGGCTGAAGGTGGGGTTAGGGCGGTGCTCGGGGATCTCCCAAGTGCGCTGGCCAGGCTGGAGGAGCTTGTCGACGGAAGGGGGAGCGTCAACCATGTAGGAGATCCAGGCGTGCCTGTTATTGAAAGATCAATATCCGAATTGGTTCTCTAGCGTTTCCGATAGCAACCGTGCGGATCACTTACCAGCCAGGCTCAATCTGGTCGGGCTGGAACTCGGGCCAGTTGGTCTTGTAGTCGACCCAGCGTGTGCGAACTATACACAAGACACGCTTAGTATTCAGATTTTTCGGTCGGTTTCATTCCGATGCATGATTTGTCTTACGAGGCAGCTCTTCCTCCATGTTCTCGTAGTACTTGTTGCCGAAGCGATCGACTCCGATGAGGGTTCCGGCCTTGGTATCACCTACAATCGCACAGTGTTAGCCTACCACACCGAGTCAATTGGACAGAGACATGACATACCAATGTTCTAGTGGAAAGAACACAAGAAAGCATAGAGTTAGTCACAAGTGTCCACCATCTACCCCCATCTCCCGTATTCGCGGCGAGAATCATACCTGCATCTGGTGACCAAAGTCCTGCAAAAAGCGTTAGCAACCCGGCCCGTTGCGGTCCAAGATGGGCCTATCACAAACCTTCAGGCCAATTCGGCGCAGATTGCGCAGCGTCCTCAAAACGGTCGACATCTTTGCGGTGCAATGGGCGAGGATGAGGTCAGGGCAGAGCGTGTGGAAGGTGAGGTCTGAAGTCGGAATGTTTGCAACGTTTGCACCCATTCAGGTCACTTTCCCGATTCAGAAATCCTTCTCCCAGCGCATCCAAGAATCATGTTCGGTCGTGTTGGAGGCCAAGCGCTTCGTTGCGCTGCTCGTCGCCCATTTGCACGTAGGAAGCTATGTGATCGCCGGTTTTCTGCGCAGACTGGTGTCAATACCACCGCTGCATCTGCTCCTTCGCCGCTCGGAGGAATTACCGTTGAGCTGGATCGCATCGCACCCCGATTTGAGATTCCGGCTTCACAGATCACCATTCTCGATTCTCCGGCTAATTTCTATTCAGCTTTGAAGGTTAGCTTCCTGCGCGAAGTGTATTTAACGCTACAAGTTGAAATTGACGCGCGACTCCCTAGAACAAAATCCGAAACGCCAAGCGGCGCATTTACCTTTCCACGTTGTACATTGGCAAGACCGAGTACGAGCTTATTGAGACGATATCCCACGCCCTACGCGATAATCCTGAACTCAAAGTATCCATTCTCACGGATGCGTTGCGAGGAACCCGAGAAACCCCCAATCCTTCCTGCGCTTCGCTACTTTGTTCGCTGGTGTCAGAATATGGATCGGATCGGGTAGAGATTCGAATGTTTCACACGCCCAATTTGACCGGTCTGAAGAAGAAATGGATTCCTAAGCGTATTAACGAGGGCTGGGGCTTGCAACATATGAAACTATACGGTGTGGACGATGAGATCATTATCTCGGGGTAAGTGCCTCTGGAAGTATGCTCCACGAGCATTAAGGCTAATGACCAGTACAGTGCAAACCTCTCCGAGGACTACTTCACAAACCGACTGGATCGATATCATGTGTTCGACTCCAAGGCCTTGACGGACTACTATGCTCGCATTCATCATGCGGTCTGCAACTTGAGTTTCCAGGTCTTGCCGGATCCTCATAGTAACTCCGGCTACGTATTGGACTGGCCTACTTCCAACGGTGCTCCATCACCCTTGGACAATCCTCAAGATTTCGTTTCATATGCCTCAAACGTTCTCAGTCCTCTAATCCAAGCATCCGATCAAAAGCCAGCTCTTTCCTCTTCATCTTCCAGCCAAACCTTTGTATACCCCGTCGCTCAATTTACTCCGCTCCTGAAACCCGACACTTCCACCGAATTCCCCGCGGTCACAAGCATCTTGCGCCTCTTGTCCGAATCACCTACTTTTGCAGGAGCCCGTTGGCTCTTCACCGCCGGCTACTTCAATATTCACCCCGTTCTCTCATCACTCTTGATCTCGAGCACTTCCACCGCTTCTGAGAAAGCTTCCACAACACAAGGAACAGTCCTGACCGCTTCGCCTTGGGCTAATGGATTCTATGGCTCTCCGGGTGTATCTGGCATGCTTCCTGCTGCATACACACATCTCTCGGCACGCTTCCTCGACCGTGTAGCGGCCGCCCAGGCCACCAACTTCATTCAGTTGAAGGAGTGGCGTCGTGGCACCGTGGGCACGCCGGGTGGATGGACCTACCATGCCAAGGGTCTCTGGATTACCCTGCCCCGTGAGGAACACCCTAGTCTTACTTTTGTCGGTAGCAGCAACTACACAAAGCGAAGCTACAGCCTGGACCTCGAAGTCGGCGCGCTAGTCGTCACGAATGATCAAGACTTGAAGGAAAAGCTCGGCAAAGAGACTCAATGGCTTCAGGAGGACTCGAAACAGATTTCAAGAGAAGACTTGATGCGTACCGAGAGGCGTGTTGGCTGGAACGTACGTCTCGCCATGTGGATTGTCGAGAAGGTTGGTGGAGCTCTATGATACCTATCCTGTGACTTTTATATGTAAATATACGAAGCGTGGGGTTATTCCCGCTTGTACTTGTAAGATAAATGTGGTCAATTCCTCATACTAGCCCTATGGCAAGCTCCCTTCTTTTGATTGTTGTTTCTACGACATTAGATGTACAGTATGAAAACCTTGGTATTTCTCAATTGTTCTAGCATATCACACTCTTCTCAAGTTAGAGTAAATCTTGTAAGTCTCTCATTAGCTTCTCAACTATCCGGTGCACTGACTTTGTAGAACCCCAGCACGCTCTTAACAGTAAGAGTAATCAGACTCGTGAGAGGCTCTTCAACTCTCAGACCCTCCCATAGACTTTGTACTAATCTTTGGGCAACGATTATTCCACTGTCGTACTTGTGTTGTGGTAGGTAGCCTCGAGCTATCATTACCCCACTACTCGTGAGTCAGAATCACCAAAGCGTCGACTTCTAGGCGAATGGCTCATGAATTCAGAAGCAACGCAATTGTAAGAGCAAGTAAACTCTTTTTTTAGCATATCTTTCCTTGAACACAGAAAGGCAGGAAGAATTCATCATTTCGTGGAAATGAGCGAGTCCGAACTCAATTTACAAGCAGTCCTATCCTCCAAAACATGGTTTGGCTTCGACCTGGACGATACCCTACACGAATTCCGCAAAGCATCAAGCCAAGCCTCTCTTAACGTATTTGAGGTCATCAGTTCCAAATACGGAAAACAAGTTGATCACCTGAGGGCCAGATATCAAGAAATCCTGAAGGAATCGACCACCCATGCTTTCACAGACGGAAGGACCTCGACTGAATATCGCCGAGAACGATTTACACGGCTCCTCCAGGCCGATGGCCTTGATGAAAGTGAAGACATCGACCGTCTGCTTCGGATCTACCAATCCTCGCTGCGGTCCAACTTGACTCTGAAAGCTGGCGCATTCCAATTACTTCAGACACTGCAGCGACTGAATAAGAACGTGATCGTCATCACTGAAGGCCCAGCTGATGCACAGGAATGGACGGTTCGGGAATTGGGCCTTTGGCCTTATGTTGATATTCTTGTAACAACCAATGAGATTGGAAAATCAAAAGCTGATGGGCTTTTTGGTGCGGTCTTAGAGAGGTATGACATTCAGCCCGGGGCTATGGCCTACTTTGGGGACAATGAGGTGCGGGATGTGCGTGCAGCGCAGAAAGAGGGTATCCTGGCCATCTTATACGATCAGAAACAGGAGAACGATTTCAAATGTCCTAATACTTTGAGAGTTAATTCTTGGGACATGTTGCAAGGTATACTACTGGGTTGAACACAGATTATAAACCATGGAACAAAATCACTTTTTATTTTAGCCATTGTATCAACCCTAGCGCATATGCAAAGAAATGAATTTATGTATCCAGAAAAAAGAGACCAAAAACAAACCCTAACTCCGTATCATGATTGGGTAATTCCATTGCAGTGTCGTATCATGCATGCATTTCTCGCATCCCTCTAAGCTCGCCCGGGCACCTTCCGACCATTACTACTAGCGGAAAAGCGAGCGGGACCGAGGCCGGAGCGCACTTCATCAAGCATGCGAATACCAATAGCCTCGTTACCGTGCTTGCCACGCTTGTATTTAGTGCCTTTACGCTTGGCTTGAGCACTGGTGTTGTCGTCCCAGCCGGCGAGGAAGTCATCCATGACGTTGTGGAAATCGCTGCGCGAGACTGCTGCACCGTTTCCGTCGACGAGACTGGGCGCCATGGACGAGGCGGTGGACATACCGGTCATGCCGGTGGCTCCGGTCATGCCGCTGACCATGGACATACTATCATCATACTCATCCTCCTCATTGAGGGAGTACAAAGCCTCGACCTTTTCGAACCGATCATCCAAGAGACGGTGGCCCTCGGTACGAGCCAGCGCAGAGGAAGTCATCGAGTAGGCGGAGGGATTGGTCAAAGCACCCTTTCGCTTCTTGCGGCGAATCGGAGTACCTCCAGCTGTGAAGGCAGTCGAAGCAACGGTACGTTGCTCGGAAGGCGCAATCGTTGGCGCAGCTGGCGCTGGAGTCTTACCAGACTTGGCATCCTTCTTGAATTTGGCAAACTCTTGCATCCATCCTTGTTCCTCAGGGTGCATATCCGGAGCGGGCTCGTCATGTTCCGGCATCTCGCCGGACTCGAGATCCCTGGAAGGACCCTGTTCTGATGGCTCTTCCGTGTGTCGCTGTGCATCAGTCCTGTCTGGCTGCACGGGCGCCTTCTCGGTAGCATCCGACTCCCATCCCTCATCGTACTCGTCCTGATCAAACAGGGTATCTTCCCAATCGCCCTTCTCCAACTCCTCTCCATCCTTCGTCAACTCGCCGAAAAGATCGTCATCCTCGTCATCAACATATTCTTCATCCTCCAAGGCCTCCAGGGCCTCTCGCAGACGGGGGTCCATATCTGGCTGGAAACCAGCGATCGCATCAGGGACGTTCTGCTGATCTTGATACGTCGGCTTGCGAATATAGGATGATGCAGTTGAGCGCAGGTCGCCAAACTGCGACCCGTACGCACTTTGCGAGTCATCCAAAGAGACTTGGCGCAACGCATCCTCCAATTTCATGGCCTTTCCTTTGCCTTTGGCCTTCTCAACCTTGGCCTCCACAAAATGCGCATCGCCACCACCGGTGCCGAGTTCGCGCAAATGCTGCATGTAGTCATACCGGGAGTCGTCGTAGTAAACGCCATAGTTGGCGGCTTCACCCTCGTTGCGGCGGATCGCTTGGCTCTTGAATTCGGACTGGAGCTCGGAGAGGTTCCGGACGGGCTTCTGCGAGGTTGTCGACGCAGAGGAGGAAGAAGGAGCAGGACCGCCAACTTGGTGCAGGACTCGGTCCTCAGCCTGGGGGTCGTGAATCAACGGATCCTGTTGGGAACGGTGGAAGAGCTGGAAAGTGCTCGCATTCTTCTTGTCGCTATGAGGGAGTCAGCTCTAGAGCTTGCATGATACTGAGAAAGAGCTAGACTTACATCCACTGGCGGGGCGGCATTTTGGCGTCTGATGTCGGTCAAGAAACTCGCGCTCGAAAAAAGCGAAAAAAGTGGGATAGATAGGGTCACGTGAGTCTTATCGATGCCTGAGCCCCTCGGGTCCTCATAAAGTGGGGGCATGAAATAACGACGAATTTAGCGAGAACTAGCTGTTGAATATTAATTTTTAGAGTAAGAAATAAGCATAGATTATTGGTTTATAAGAATTCGAGTTCTTCATACTACCAAAACCAGTCGGGTTTCTGTTAAATTCGAGATTCTTCCCCTCCGAGCCCGGCTGAGTCAGCGTTATCTTATCCGTCTGAATAATCCAAAAGATTTCCCATTTTCAGGCGGGGTCGAAAGGACTCTCTTTTTCCAACATCACGAAAACACAGCAACACTGAAACAACCGTCATCATGGTGTTGGCTAAATCCAAGAACTCCGTGGGGCTGGGTAACAGCCTCATGAACGATCGCTTCGGCAAGGGCAAAGCCTCGAGCCAGAAGAAGGCGTCGCACAATGCCATTGCGCGCAAGAATATGATGGGTGAAACCTACATCACCAACGAAGCCCAGGAGGCATCCTGGGTGAAGATGCGCTCTATTACCGAGCAGGCCGCGCTCGATGAATTCCTCAGCACCGCCGAGCTGGCTGGTACCGACTTTACCGCCGAAAAAATCAACAATGTTAAGATCATCCACTCCGATCAGAAGAACCCATACCTCCTCTCTGCCTCCGAAGAGAAAAAGGCCGTCAAGAAACATCAGAAGAACAAGGGTCGGTTGACCGTGCCTAGACGCCCCAAGTGGGACTCGTCCACGACACCGCAACAACTGGAGATGATGGAGCGTGAGAGTTTGTTGGACTGGCGTCGAGGGCTTGCAGAACTGCAGGAGAACCATGATCTGCTCATGACTCCGTTCGAGCGTAACTTGGAAGTTTGGCGCCAGTTGTGGCGTGTTATTGAGCGATCCGATCTCGTTGTACAGATTGTCGATGCCCGTAATCCGCTTCAATTCCGCTCCGAGGATCTGGAGAACTACGTGAAGGAGCTTGACTCCCGCAAGAAGAACTTGCTGTTGGTCAACAAGGCCGATATGTTGACTCTGAAGCAAAGAGAAGCTTGGGCTGAGTATTTTGAGCAGAACAACATTAACTTCCGTTTCTTCTCGGCCCACCTGGCTAAGGAAAAGATAGAGGCCGAAATGCTCAATGAGTCCCAGGCAGATGATGAGCTGGCGGAGTCAACTAAGAAGATGAACGTGCAGAATGAATCAGAGGAGGAGGAGGAGGAGGATCAGGAGCAAAAGGAACAAGAGAATGTCGCTGCCAAGCTAGCCGACCCAGATCAATCACTGGGACCCCACATTCTTGACGTTGAGGAGCTGGAAGAACTCTTCCTGGCCAATTCTCCCGAGAGCCTACAAAACGAGGACTCTGGTGCCCCTACTAAGCGCAAGACGACCATCGGTCTGGTCGGTTACCCCAACGTGGGTAAGTCCAGCACTATCAACGCCCTCCTCGGTGCGAAGAAGGTGTCCGTCTCTGCCACCCCCGGTAAGACCAAGCACTTCCAGACATTGTATCTCTCCCCGGAGATCATGCTCTGCGATTGTCCCGGTCTAGTGTTCCCCAACTTTGCCACTACCAAGGCCGACCTGGTCGTGAACGGTGTGCTGCCGATTGACCAGCAGCGCGAGTTCACCGGTCCTGCCGCGCTCGTTGCGCAGCGCATCCCTAAGCATTTCCTGGAGAACGTCTATGGTGTGAAGATCCGTATGCGACCTCTGGAGGAGGGTGGTACCGGCATTCCCACTGCCAGCGAGGTCCTCCGTGCTTATGCACGCGCCCGTGGCTTCTCAACCCAAGGTCTGGGTCAGCCCGACGAGTCTCGTGCTGCTCGATATGTTCTTAAGGACTACGTGAACGGCAAGCTTCTCTTTGCTCACCCGCCCCCCGTTCCCGAAGGTGAAGAGCCCATCGACCCGCACGAATTTAACCACGAGCTCTACGACATCGCCCATCTCCCTCCAAAGCGCCAGGCACTCCTTGCTAAGACGATTGTGGACGTGGAGGCTGGTGCCGATGGCGACGCTGAAGCTGGTGCCGAGCCGGATATCGCTGCCTTTGTCCCCACGCCTGTCGAGAACCAACCAGGTCTGCGGTCTCGCAACCTCGACAGCGGCTTCTTTGGCACCGCGACCGGTCCCTCTGCGGGCCGTCTCAACATGCCATTCCAGCACAAGTACACCGAGCAAGGCCAGCAGATCCGCCAGAATCTCACCGGTCGCAAGGAGCGCATGATGATCGCCCTGGAGCGTGGTGTGGATGTTTCCGAGGTTCGGAGTTCGGCTGCCGCATCCAAGAAGCACTTCAAGGGCAACAAGCGCCGGGCAAAAGCCCAGCGTAACAACGGCGAGGAGACCGAGGACTTCTACTAAAAGTGAGATTTTTGATCGTGCGTCTGTTTCGTTCTCTTTCGTTCTCTTTTTTGTTTAACCTCGGCCGGCGGGTCGAGATGGATGGTTTATGCCTCGGATTCCCGTTTAAGATGTTTCCCTATGTGACCCACGTTTTTTTCTTCTGTCCGTAACTATGTGCCAGACACTACTTTGGATATTCGGAGGAGCTGGCTGGAGATGATGGTGATGGTGATACGGAATATGCATGCCACGATGGACAGAGTATCTTGGATAGACATTTACAGGCGTTTAGGGGAGTTGAGCATATAGTCAATGCACTTATACCACACTTCATATCCACACTCCGACACCTCAGATCCCCCCAGTCGTAGACACTCGGTAGCCAGTGCAGAATATTAGATTTTCATTCTGTCTCATAATCAGATAATTATGAACTATACACGTTCAGTAATTTTCCTTCCATTCTATAGGTGGCTCTTGGCCTTAAACCCAGAAGCAATCAACAAACGATCCGACTCCGCCTGCTGCCACTTCAGCTTAGCAGCAACAGCCTCCTTCCGGGAGTTGTTTTCCCTGCGACCCAACTGCTGCAAATGAACCTCATCAGGACCATCCGCAATACGCAGTGTCCGAATTCCAGCCCACGTATACGCGAGCGGGGTATCCTGGCACACACCCGCAGCACCGTAAGCCTGCACGGCACGATCAATAATCGCCAGCGCGGCCTGGGGCGCGAGGACCTTGGCCTGAGCAATCTCCTTCAGCGCAGCCTTGGCATCACCCTGGTCGATCTTAATCGCGGCGTTGAGCACGATGAGACGAGCGGCGTCGACCTCGATCCGCGACTTGGCGATCCACTCGAGGATAACGCCGTGGGCGGACAGGGGCTTGCCAAAGGTCTTCTTGCGCTCGTCGTTGACACGGGCGATCAGCCATTCGATGGCCTTCTCGGCGGCGCCGATGGTGCGCATGGCGTGGTGGATACGGCCGGGGCCAAGACGGCCCTGGATGATCTCGAATCCGCGGCCTTCGCCGAGAACCATGTTGGAGATGGGGACGCGCACGTTCTTGAAGCTGATGTGGCCGTGGCCGTGGGGGGCGTCGTCGTAGCCGTAGACGTGGAGCATGCGGTGGATGGTCACGCCGGGGGTGTCGGCGGGGACGAGGACGACGGATTGCTGGCGGTAGGTGTCACGGTTGTTGGGATCGGACTTGCCCATGACCAGGTAGATCTTGCAGCGGGGGTCACCGGCGCCGGAGGACCACCATTTCTAGAGGATGGGTTAGAAGACAAGTTCAAAGGTGGATGTCAGGAGGGAACAGTCTTACGGAGCCATTCAGAACATATTCGTTACCCTCACGGCGGATCTCCATCTCAATGTTGGTGGCATCACTAGAAGCAACTTCGGGCTCGGTCATCAGGAAAGCAGAGCGAATCTTGCCCTCCAACAAGGGGACAAGCCACTCCTTCTTCTGTGCTTCATTGCCATACTTGGCGAACACCTCCATGTTTCCAGTATCGGGGGCAGCATTGTTCGTAGCCTGTGAATAGCACAATGCCATTAGCTTCTCTATCTCTCTCGCTCTCCCTTCCTCGGTTGTAGCGCAATCCTACCTCAGAAGCAACCTTGCTCTTGCCCAACAGCTCAGCCATCAGACCGTACTCAAGATTGCTGAAGCCAGCGCCCTCCTTGAAATGGGTCTTGGACAGGAACATGTTCCACAGACCGAGCTTCTTGGCCTTAAGCTTCAGCTCCTCCATGACGGGGGGAACGGTCTGCCATCGCTTCTCGCCCTCACCCAGCTGGGCGGAGTAGACAGCATCGGCGGGGATGCAGTCCTTCTCAACGAACTCCTCGACCTATTATTTACCGACATGTTAGTCCAGTGAGTCTTGGATTGCGCGGGTAAAAGCCCATAGGCTTCAGGTTTGGGATGGGGTAATGGGGGATCGCGGCGTGGGGGGCAGAGGGAGGGGGAGCATTACCAAGTCGAGGGTCTTCTTAGCCCGATCGCTGACGAAGGGCAGGGCGATTGGAGGGATACGAGTAGAAGCAGACATGATGTGTGATTAAGGGTTGTGAGGATGAGAGGAATGAAAGAAGGAGCAGTGAAGCTGAATATAAAGTCAGCCCATTGAGAATTGCGGAGAAGCGCTGTGGAGAAAGCCGAGCGTAGCGGACTTTGCCTCGGCCCAGCAGCGCCTGACTGACTGAGCCCTGGAAAAGCTACAAAGAGAGTACACTGTTTCATTATCGCTCTCCACTTGCAAAACTGCACGGAAGATATGGCTGTAGCCAATCTGAACGCATGCTGGACCGATTAGAAATCAATCTTACGAGGTTTTCGCTGTCAAATGGGCTAGGATATCGGCCGATTGAGGGGGTCCAGCTCGGTCGGCTATGGTCTTCTCAGCCTCGGCCAGCTTCGCCAATGGATGCGAATGTATACGACCATACCACAATCCATGGTCGAGGTTAGTCTATTTAGTCGTTTGAGGCAACGAAGGATATAATCATTTTCCAATTGATCCTTTCCAAGTTCCCATTGTACCATATCTAAGCACAAAGCACCCAAAAAAGCCACAAAATATAAGAAAACAATAGAAAGAGTCCAAACCCCCCAACACAGAACCAGTTAAAACAAAAGAAGAAGAGAAAAAAGGACAAAAGAAGGCATTGCGGGTCATTACAAAGGAGACGGTAAACAAAAAGAGCACCAGTAATAACGGCAGCGACAGTCCAGGAAGCAAAGACACCCTCGATCGAATCCAATCTTCTACCAGGAAACGGGAATGCTCCAACATTGCCCGCAATCCGTAAAGAAGAAGGCGCTCCAGTCAAGCTTGGACGACCAGCGCCCCAACTATCCGAGACAATCAGGAATCCAGCCGACCGAGTGGCATCGCCAGTCCCAAGACACGTCAACAAGGAAGAGAAGACAAACAGTCAGTCTCTCGGGCCATTTATTCGGTCGCCTGGTTCTGCCCTGCGGACGAAGATTGCTCGTAGCTCTTCTTGCCGAGCTTTGCGAACAGCGACTGGGGCTTGCCGGCACTGCAAAAAAGGAATAATCAGCACTCTTTCTTCTTCGTCTCATCTTCCGGACCATGAACCATGTTAGTCCACCAGTCCACGGGATAGAGATCACCTACTTCTTAAACCGCTTGCCCTTGATATCACTCAACTTCTTCGTGCACGGGCTCATTATGTCGTCGGACGGGGAGACATAAGCAGAGGGTTGCCTGATACAACTCATTAGCCCTAATTCTGCATAATCAAGGACCCAGTCTGCATCCAATCCTGGCCTGGGTGCTTCTTCGGCGCCGGGTGTACACTCACTTCTCGCCGGTCTCCAATTTCCCCTGCAGCACCTGGCGGTGATAATCCATCGACGAAATATCGCCCTTGAGATCCGACATGTCGCCCGAGGAAGCATTGGCGAGGTGCGTGTTAGTCGAGCGGTCCGCAAGAGGCTGCGCGTGTGTCGTGGAGTCCATTGTGAAATGTGAAGGTAGAGGTGTCTGACGACGTGTGTGGTAGAGTTATAGGTCGGGGTGGAAGAGAAACTCGAGAAAGAATCCAACAAGACAAGTGCTTTGTATCACGATGAAGAGCAATTGATGCGGAGGTAGAGAGAAACAGGTCTTCGGAGGAGATTGTGGATCGGATAAGAGAAAAACGTGTTGTTAGTGCAGGCGAGGAAAAATGCCGATTTTCGATTGTTGGCAGGGCAACCCCGCCATGACTCAATTACGTCCCACTGGGGGCCGTGTAACTAGACCGGGGGGCGTTGGATATGACGCACGGATTTTAGGCATTCCAAGAATTGGGATTTGACTTTTACTATAGTCTGGATTTGTGGGGAGCTATTGTTATGATGGGGATGTATTTGTTTTTGGTCCGTGACTGGAGAATCCGACCGAAAATGCATTGGTAGGAGTAAGTTATTCAAGGAAAAACAAAGTCATCCAAAACAATTCATGGACTCCAGGCAACAAGTCAAGACAAGAACAGTGGGAATCATTTCGTAGACCAGTCATACAGTACATATGTACACTTGCCAGAGCATAGACTATGCCTGGAACGCCATGCAAAAAAAGAAAAAAGTCATAAACAGACATTAGGGGAATGAACCCGGAAAAAGGACGACAACGAACAAACATAACGTGATGCAATGATATGCTTCGGCAATCGCCGACAGTCATGGGGAATGATGGATATCGAGAAAGAAGCATGACCGGTCATTGCACGATGGGATCATCTTCTGGAACCCCAACCTCATGATGTTTGAGGCGGTTCCTCCGATACAGTCGAAGCCGCAGATAGAAGGTCGTTATCCTCCTTCTGTTCACCCAGTTCCACCTCCGAGGATCGAGCATTCAACACGGGTGGCGTACTGTGTGACCGGAAATGTGGCGTACCCAGCGTAGGCACCGACATTGGCCCGGGTGAAGGAGATTGTGCATCTTTCTCCTCTTCCTCAAATTCCCGCGAGACATCTGACGTCGGCGTCGGCGGGATATACGCCACCTCCGGGCTATTGGGGCTATCCCCCGAGGAACTATCTGACAAATTCCGCCGATGAGCCGAGTGCTGGTACGAGGATGTCGGCCGTGTAGACCCGGGACTGGCGGATGGGGATTCGAAGGGAGGGGACGAGGATCGCAGGCTGTAGGACCGCGCGACCATACGTTGGACGCGGGGAAATTCCATGTACGTGCCGACAGAGCCTCGCGAGAAGAGGACTACTGCGAAGCAGCAGAGGACCATGATGCTTTGGATCATGGTGACTCGCTTCTGAAAGACGAGCTCGTCGGCAAGAACGCCGAGTTGTGCACTGAGGGAATGCACTTCCTGGTGGTACCGCATGCGCTGGTGCTCGAATTCAAAAGCGACGGATTTCCAGACATGATCGTACTGCTCGCGGAACTCCTTGAGTTCGCTGAGTACTGTGATGTTCAAGTTTTCGAGGAAGGTGGACGTCTTTGCGAGTTGACGTTTCTCGACCTTGTTGAATGCATCGCGGAGGATGCGAGATTGCTCTTCGATGTAGAGCAGGGATAGCGTGGAGTTGGACTCCAGCATTTGTAGCCGTTTATGAACGGATTTGAAAAATGATTCCTGCGTGGTTGGGTTGGGGGATGGTGGTTGTGTCGAACTCGGTCGCGTAGATTCTGATGGTGGGCTGTTTTGTTGCTCTTCTTTGGGATTGGTAGTGGTCTTTCCCGTACTTTCAGTGGTAGAATCCTGTTGGGAAGTATCTGTCACGGCGGCTGGTGCATCGGGTGTCGCTGCTACCGATTTGGCCGAATCACCCGTCTTGCGAGTATCCTCGGGGACTTTCGGTGGAATTGCCGTTCCAGACTGAGAAGTAGAAGCACCATCTCCCGGTGTAGCTGTGGAGTTGATACTCGACGGTTGCTTGACCTTGGCCGGCGGAACAGTCTTTGTCCTGTTTTCAGCCGCAGCCTCTTCACCGAGACCGCAAGTTTCAGATGCAAAGAGCGAGCGTCCCAAGAGAACCGATTCCACCTCTATAAGAGGATTCGGACACATCTCATGGATAAGCTCATACTCCTTGCTCTCTATCGCAATTTCCTCAATGGTAGACTCCACGTGCCGAGCCTCTGCCTTATCAGAGACCTCGACAGTCTGAACAGACTCGATGACCTCCGGTTCTGCACGATTCACGCTTTCATCATGCTTATACTCCTCCATCATAGTAGTACCATGAACCCGAATAAGGCTGACGGGACAGTAAAACTCATGACCGTAGTGAGTCAAGAACTCGATCCGCAAGTAACGAGCCCAAATCAGCGAGTTCTCGACCGCAAAGGCTTGCACCTCACGAGTATTCCTGGCTTCAAAGACCCCCAGTTCCTTCCACTGATCCGGCTTCGCGGGGTACCGATCTGAGACACTCACTCGGAAAGTGTGAAAGATGGAGCTGAAGAACTCGTAGTTGGCGAGAACCACCGTGTCCACGAGAATATCATCGCAGAGCTCCAGAATGAGGAACTTGTTGTTGGCGCGACACTCGTTCAGCATGTAGCTATCCTTGTTCTCGACAAGCACCGACGAAGACCCCTTACATTCGGGATTCGTCTTCAACACCGTCGCCGCACAGTCAAAGGATGCATAGTTGAACCGCTCTTTGCAAGTTGTGCCAGCATCCTTACGCCGGGAGACATCCGGCTGAGGCGCAGTCTGGGTATGGGCGTCTCCGCCCTTCTCGCCATCCAACGGGTCAACGTACGGCGAAGGAATAGGTGTCCCCCAAGCCGTCGGACTCGCCTCTGGCGTTTCAGCGCCGAACCCGCCGAAATCCAGTTCAATCTCCCCGTCATCGCCAAGTGAGTCCAGCGCATTATTAATGCCCGGCTGCCGCCGACCTTCCTTGCCAACCGCCGCAGCACGTCTGCTCGCTCCAACGTTTTCAGCCGATTGTCCAACCTTGGCCAGATTCTGTTTCTTCCAATCCTCAAAGGAGAGAAAACTCGAGCTATCAAGCAAAGAGTCCTCATCCGCTTCATGGTCGGCCTCCTGCTCTGCAACGGCCGCCGGTGTCCCTCCTACCGCGGCAGTCGAGGCTATCGTCGGGGTGCTATGTCCACCCACACCACTCGACTGCGTAGAAGCCGGGGGTTGTTGTTTTGATTCTTCTGTCCCTCGTCCCCAACGAGTTTCCAAGCATACCGGTTCTCGGAATACCTCCGCTTCTACCTCCCACATAGTCTTCACCGGACACGTCTCCAATACCCGGTCAACCGATTGTGTAGAGTTCTGCACTCCATTCCCACATATAGGAGCCGAAAGTGCCAGAATCACCGATCCGTATCGTAACCATGTAGGCCATGACCGCCGGGTAGTCACCATCTTGCCGCTCCGTGGGCGATAAGAGGGTCGGCGTACCACGAGTCGCGCGATGACTCCCTGGCTTTCCCAGCCCCCAACGACACCCTCTACCAGTCACGACGAGCAAGAGTATTAGATTTCTCTAGCGAATCTGCCAGCCTAGTATTTCGCTCCAGCTTCTCCGATTATTATGATATAGGCATCGTCGTGCGTCAAAAGAGTGAGCAATTTGCAGCTCGGGAGAGCGGGTCACGAGTGAAATCGAAAATCGGATCTTGTCGTCGGTGAGATCAAGCGCGGGGTAACATTTAGATTAGTGCAGTCGGCACAGAGTTGCGGTGGGATAATGCTAGCGAATTTCGGGGCTCGTGGAGGGAGAATAGGACTTTTGGGAGGCGCCAACAAGCGAGTCGAGCTCGCAATCGAGAGTGGATCGGTGGCCATCTCGACCCATCTGACAGCTGGGGTCACCGCCCTCTTCACCGCTTGGACACTTGGCATTCTGGACTAGGATAACTACTCTTGAGTACGATAGAGATGATAGTCTAGTATTCTATTGCTATTGATCCTCCTCAAGTGTGCACCTATTGAAAGCTGTATGTGACTACAAACCCCTGATCTGCAAAGATCATGTAACTGGCAGCTTGAACCTTGAAACTGCATTGCACGCTGCACAATGTCCACCGCTCATTCGAGACCCACTAAGCCCGTGCCCACTAGACTTCCAGCCGGAAACATTAGGCCCAACGGGGACGTTCATGCATCAGGACTGCATTCGAGGTTTTCCTTCTAGCTAAAAAGAGTTTACAAGCGTTTACAATAGACACAAAGTTCTTTCTTTCACGGATGGTTCAATTTTTCCTTTTGACGGTCCCACAAAGCGAGTTACATACACATAATCAGGGTTCAGTACACTGTCAAAGAGGAAAAGCGCACGCCGGAGAATGCGGTAATCCACCTTCCACCTCGCGGATCCCCAATCCGAATCCCATCTCCATCCAAGACATCCACATGCTCTTTTCTGTCCCGAGTCGTTATAAGTCCATATGCAAAAGAGTGATAAATAGAATGATCAAGAAAAATAGAGAAAAATAGAGAAGAGAGGCATAATAGAAAAAGAACACCTTCCCCAAGGACATTTTCCCTCCGCCTTCTAGTCTTTTTGGTGCTCGATACCTTCTGCCTCATAGCTCTGCTGCCCACAGCCACATATAGTACAAGGTTGAAGATGTTGAAGAAGTGAATAAGAAAAAGGCAGGCTGCGAGCAGGCACATGACGTGTTCCATAGGGACACGGCCAAGGTTTGAGAGCAGGCGAAGAAGGCATCGGCAAACGGTCCAAAATCGAAGAACAAGAAAGACAAAAGGATGAGAAAAGAAACACAGGAATAACCGTAATTAGTTTATGGTTGTGAGGATTTTTGAACTTTTTTTTCCCAGCTCAGTTTCGAAAAAGAAGCGCAAAAAGGACAATCGCAACGACTGCGAGAAGAAAAGAACACCATGGGTGTAATGGTTGAACATAGAATCGAACATGGTTCACGGAAGTGGCGTAAAAGTAGTGCTACAGGTGGAGGTCGTGCCATCCGCCCACAAGATCGAGGTCTTCGTCGATACTGCCATCGTAGGTCACATGCTTCAAGGGCGAATGATGGGGGGAATGCTTGTGAGCATCACCGCCCTCACGACGCCAGTCCTTTTCAAGGAACAAACGACGGCGACGCTCGGACTGTGGAGACTCGCGCTTGGTCCGGGATCCCTGATCGAATCCGGAAGACCCAAGCCCCCAATCACGGCGCCAATTGTTAGCAGTTCTCGAGGGACCAAAGAGGTCGCGGGTCTTGAAGTTGCGGCGCTTGTCTCCCAATTCAGCCCACTTATCAACGTTGGGTGAGGCCTTCTTGGGAGGCGACGACGGCTGGTGGAACGGGCGAGGCGTGCTGCTGGAAGTCCCGGTGTCGCTGTCGACATCGAGGGAATTGGCACGGATGGCACGGGGTGCGGTCGACTGAATATCCGAGATATGATCTTGATCAATAGGGGAAGCGGAGTCCGGCTCGCGCAATCCCGCCAGAGAATCCGGCAGGGGGGTAGTCTGGCTTTCCTGGCTCCAGCTGCGAGAGTTCTGCTCACGGCGCATCTGGAGCGCAGATTCTTCATTCTCCGATTCTTCCTCGTCCCAGAGATCACTCCAGCTCTTGGAAATCTGATCGTTCGCATGCTTACCAAACACCATCGACAAGGATGGAAGGGGCTTGTGAGCATGGCTGGGAAGGGATCCGGTGATAGGGACTGGATCCGAGCGAGGAAGCTTGGGAGATTCGTACTTTCGGCCGATGTGAAGTGAGCGGAAGGATTCGCCCATGGTAGAGTCCAGCATGGAAGACAACGACGAGGTGTCTGCATGGACGGAGAACCACGAGGTACCGGCCACCTCCGAGGGAGGGAACAGATCCTCGGTATAGCTCTCGTTGTCCGGGATAACAGACAGCTGGCGAATGGCTTGAGGAGGGCTGGACTGCAAGGCCTTGGCCCAAGGGAAAGAATCGCCCTGGTTGATATGGGGGCTCTGGATGGAGGGAGTGCGAAGAGGCTCGCGGTTGACGGTGGCAGTAACCACCTCACGGTCCTCGGTACAGAACTCATCCAGTGACTCATCATCAGTAGTGAAGGAGATTGCGCGCAAGATGCACTGGCGGACCTCGGCCAACGAGCGCTTGGTAGGGTCAATGGCCAAACAGTGAGTCAGGATCTCAAAGGTATCCTGAGACATGTTGGGGAAAATGTCAAACAATGACTGGCGGTCACGGACATAATCTGCGAAAAGCACATCGGACTCGGTAGGGGTAACGAAGGGGTTGCGAGCAAACAGAATGTTCAACAGACAGATACCCACAGACCAGATGTCAGCCTGAGCAGGGGAGTAGCCGGAAGTGCCGGGCTCATACTGCTCAGGAGCCATGTAACGGTCGCTGCCAACGCAGGCTTCATGGCACCAGGGCTCTCGAGTAGCAAGGCCAAAATCACCAAGCTTCATATCACCATCGTGGGTCAAAAAGATGTTCTCCGGCTTGATGTCACGATGGTAGATACCATTGGCATGCATAAACTCGATAGCACTGATCAACTGGAGCATGAAGTCACGGACGTGCTCGGTCTCCAAGGGGCCTCGGTTCAGGCGAATAGCTTCGTAGAGATCACCGTTGGCACAGTATTCCAGGACGAGATATGTGTGGTGTTCCGTCTCAAAGTTATGAATCAGGTTGACCAAGTTTGAGTGGAAGCCGAAGCGCTGGTGGCACTCCAACTCCTCAAACCGATCTTCCAGACCGGACGCGTCGGTGGATGCCGACTTGGTCAGGCACTTGATGGCAACGTCATTACCAGTAGTGATGTCGGTTGCGAGGAACACCATGCCAAAGGATCCATGGTTGAGCGGGGCCACCGTCCGGAAACGCCCATCCAAAAGGCGACCCTTGACGAAGTTGTCCTTGAGGCACTCCATGGTGGTTGATGTGGACATGATGATGTGATGTGTGAGTTCCCGGATGGAAGAAAAAGGGAAGCGGAATGGCGGATAGAGGCGAAGGAGAGATGCAAAGATGGACGAGAATAAACTGAGTCAAGAGCTCCAAACGACGAAGATCGGAAACAATCTATGAACCGCTTCAAAAACAGTTTGCACTTGAAGTGACGTCAAACAGCAACCAGGCTAATAATGGGGGTGATGGTGATTAATAGTCGACAAGAAAAGAGTAAACGATCAGGCCTATATCCGAACGAGAAATGGGGACCACCAAGAACGGTGAATATAGGGGGGATCAGAGAGCAGAGTGGGCGAAGGCTCCTGGTCGGGTGAAGGTTTCGTAAAAATATATCGGCAGAAGGTCAAGGTGATAGACAGGAAAAAGAAAAAAGGATGACGAGGGCGCGAGAAGATTGCGGCAACAAGAGACCCGACAGGGTTGTATGGACGCTTAATGAAAATGTGTAAAGACCGTTATGTGCTCATTGGATTGGTGTCGTTTTTGTTTTTCGTTGTGATTGGGAAATGGCGTAGAGCCTGGTTGAGTGCGATAAACAAAAAGGAAGCTTCGAATGAATGGAGAGTTGTTGAGGTTGAGTGTCGGCCTGATGAGGGACGAATGTTGGAGGGAAAAAGGACGAGAGATTTGCGCTGCGTAAGATCGTGACAAAAGAGTTGTTTCAAAAATAAATCAAAGAAGAGACGTAAAGAAGCCTGTGAACACCGGGTTCAAGGTCGAGAACGGCCGTGACTCAAATATAAATTGGCGGGATTAATGAGTCATGAAGTAGACCGGTTGGCAGAAGAGCGAGGATGAGACGAGATGGGGGAATTCGTCAAACTGGATTCAAGAATCGCTTGATTCTCGAATCGAGGTGGGAGGTTGTTGGGATCCTGGAGGAGCACCTTTCAAATCCAGGGGTCGGAAGAGTCGGAGTGCTTCAAAGCCAGGTTCCCGCAGTAGTCGATATCACTCCCGGATCGCTCAGGTAGCAATGCTCGCAGGCAGGTATAGCGAAGATTGGCAAGCAGAAACGAAAATGTGTTTTGTCTTTCGTGATGGATTGGCGGGACGAAGACGACAAGAAATAGGCGGGTGTCCAAGTAAAGCTCGACGTCAATCACGGGTGGAGCCGGTATGACCGCTTGGAACTATGAGTCAACTAGGACTCGGTGGATCTCTGGGCAAGGCAAAGAGAAACGTGTAGAATCGAGGAGTTGAGGAGGAGAGGAGGAGGACGGAGCGGGAGAAGCACTCTTGGAGAATGAGTCCGCAGCGATACGTTGGAAAGGTGATGATCGCAATGGGAAGAGTGCCGCCGGTCCGGGGAAAGCGGAGTGAGAGAGGGTGAAGAAAGGAGATTGGGAGGCGTCGGGCGATGTAGAGTAGATGAGGGAGTAACGGAGAAGTGAAGAAGGAGAAGGGTAGAGCGAAGGGGAGGAACGAAGGAAAGAGGAATGGGTAGATGATGGATCAGGAGAGGAGGAGGTGTTAAAGATGGGGAAGTAGACGGGGGGGAGTAAGTCGTTCGAGGAGTCACCAGAGTCACGGGTGGGGACTGAGGCCTGAGGAGGACCAGCGAAAGGGACGGAAGAGGGAGTGACCGTAACGGTACGGGGGGGGCGGTATGGTCACGAACCTCGTGGGTGATCTACGACTGCCCGTGGCAGTGTGGATGGACGTTGGGGGAAAACGAGTGGTACAGTACGGTACGGACAGGACACAGGATGGATGGTGTGAATTACACGGCAAATACGGCTGGAGTCTGCAATCTACAGCAGAAGCACGGAAACGGTGTCCCGTCATTGCCGGGCGCATCCATCGAGCCACGTACGGACCCGGTAATTTTCCCCCTAAGTTACCAATACCGATTACCCAGTAACCATACGCCACGCAATCCGTAGCATGACTCCCGTCTTTCGCTGCTCTTCATGAACCTTCCAGACATTCCATGACCCTGGGAAGGCGTCACCGTCGAGACCAAGGGGACCAGTCCACCAATCCCCAGTCCCGTTATCTTTCTCCGACTTTGTTCTATGCTGGGCAACCAACTATGGGGGGGGATACGGATGGTGCAATCATCATTCCATTACATTGTCCCCCGTATAATGTACATAGTCTGAAGTTTTGGGTCATTTCGGCATCTATTGATCTGCAAGACCCATCTCAGACGAACATCATCTCCTGGAACCTCTCTTGGCCATGGCCCCCCCCCTAAAGCGGTCTAAGGTTTTGGGGCCGGCAGGTGAACGGGACCTGCAGTACTGGAGAGTTCCGAGTACTCAGGAGACCCAACCAAAAAAGGACTCCAGTCAGTAGGGGGAAAGGCCAAGGCAACAAAGCAAAAGGCCAGAAGCCCACAGCCCAAAGTCAGAAAGTGGGAACCAGCCAGAGAAACGGAGCACAACAATCAGGGCCAGCGAGTCACGGCCGAGGGCGGATCAAGGTGGCGCGCTACACCGAAACCGGTGGATTGCGCAGCGGAGTCTGGGGCAACGTCCAATCAGCCCCCACAATTTCGACACTATTTCCAGCGTGCATGACGCCATGGATGGGGATGGCGTGATCCAGCTGTGATTGGATCTTTTCTATTGGAGGGAGGGTCCGACTCTCTCTTTCCGCTGCTTTGCTGCTGCTTGCTGCTTGCTGCTGCAGGCCCCGGAGTTTCTTTCCCGGGCTGCGAGTGGATGAGACTGTTGCTTGATGCAGCAGACCACCTTCAGGTACCTCGATCGTACCCTACAGGAGTTCTACTGCCAATGCAAGTACGGAGGAATTACATACGGTGCCTAACCTCGCAGATAGGTACATCGCAGGGCTGGCAGCAAGTTCCCTCCCCCCTTGGCCTGTGCCGCCCATCGTGCAAGATTTCGGCCCCAGTCAGACCCTATACTGGATTAGAACGTACCAGGGTTGCGCTCGTTGTTACTTGTAGAGTGCTAATGCGTATCTACGCGCCGATACCATAGATAGCATCGCCAGTCTTAGCACTCGAGTTCTTCGTATACTCCGTATAACATCAGTACATGCTTTGAATAACGCGCCAGCCTTCCCCCCTCCTCCCCAAACACACCCCGGTCACACGCCTTCAACGCCGTCACTGTCAAAGTTCCCCCTTTGGCGCGCGGGATAGCTGAGACATACAACCGTCCCGGCATGGAAGACACTTTGCGGGGTTTACCTGAAATGGGCATGGCGATCGGTTTGTCAGGGGGGGAAAGAGAAGAAAGTGCACACGAAGGCTATCATCAAAGTGTTTACGATGATCCGATCGGAGTAAGGGCACCGGGTTAACATAGCTTCTCTCTCAGGTTGACTATATCATCCTCAAATCTATTACTATATCCAGTTCATAACGTAGCGGAGAACCACGTAAACAAAGTGTGGATCGTGCTCCTCAAGCTGTCATCTGCACGTCCATCCAACTTGGGAACACACCTCCCAACCACCACCTCCGTGCCCTATTCGCCCACCTCTTCTGGTCCATGTCCTCTCGAGTCATGGATGCGTCTCATCTCCGGTAGGGGTCGCTTCCCTATAGGAGGAAGAAGGGAAGGGGACTTAGACACCCACGCAGCACGTCCCCCAATGGCCAACGGCCAGCATCCAGCGGTGAAGGGCTTGCACGTCCACACGAGCTCGGTTCTGGCAGTCAGGGCTGACCGCCTCCTGCGAGGTGTCCTGCAAGGTTTGTCCTTGCATGAGCCGAGCCGATCGAGGGTTAGTGAGGGTGTGCCAAGGTATCAAGTAGTATCAAGGTACTCGGGAGTCATTCAGGGTAATCGCGGTCTAGTTGTTTAGTGAAGAGACTTCTAGTCCGACATGATTCAATTGAATTTTCTTTGCTAATGGGTAGCACGGCATTTTGTTGAATGACGTGGAATGAGGGATGGTGAGGTGTGGTTGCGGGCATTTTTTTGGATTCGAGGTTTCACGCGCATCACGCGATGGCCTTCCTGGATTTGGGGGTATGGGAATGTCGTCTGAGGTGTATATTCTATCATTCCACTCGATAGTATCTGATTGATGAAGGCGCTACCGACAAGATACTGTAGTCTATAGAGTTTTACTCACTACCCCAACTTAGAATCAACAGCCGTATCAAACACGACCTCTACACTCACTACACCCAACTCGGACGACGATACATTAGTTTCGCACACCTCCTACAACCCCAGATGCGACCTTATTCGCGCTTCCGAGGTGATCCCTCAGGTCGCCTTCCCACCCCCTCGCACACCTGATTTCCCGTGCCTCACACCATCGTCTCCTATTCCGTGCATTATGACGGCAGATCCTACGCAATATATTGCAGGGATGGGGAGGGATATGCCCTCATCGTGCACGGCTCAGCTCTTGGTCTGGTCCTGCCCACTCCATCGGATGTCGCCATTGAGTCTCCACGGTATCTAATTTGTGATAGAGTTGCATACAGTAGACATATCCTGATCAACAATACGTCTAGTCAATTGATTATTTAATTGGCGTACACGGATGAAGTACGAGTTTAACCCACGGGTCATAACTTTCGTCATTCGAGGCTTAGATAATATATAACCACTAATTACAGTAGTTAATGTTTTCTGCACGATGCCAGAGACGGTAATAATCCGTCTACTTCTGAACCTTGGGACGAACTGGTATCGCCCGTGACCGGCAAGTGTTTCGCATGTACAATCTGTGATGTTGTGATCCGATGGCGTTATCTACGGTGTACAATCATATCATATCCTAGATGGTGATGGTGATTGATTAGCACTCTCAATGATACAAAGATAGTCGTGACCTCAGCACATTGTCATTAACGTAGCGCCCCCATGATAATCAGGATGATCGTATAAGATGCGAGATGCAACGTGTCCCAATATTGACCGCAGTATCCATGTGGTCAACTTGCTTTTGGCCCCGTCCCCCAATTCCCGGTAGCTTGGGACATTATTCAACGGATGCTCCTAATGGAAGCTAATTGAGGGGTTATCATACTGCGTCCAGTAGTAGTACAGTACCCTTGAGTTGATCTACCTGATATCTACCTGATACCAACAAGAAGCGTGGATCCATCCTGATAATCAGTCTCTCTTATCAGACCCATCCGAGTATATCCCGCATGGCCCATGGAAAGTAGACTCTGGGGCTATCCTGGTCGGTCATCCTCGGGAAGTGTTGGTATAGTCCAGCCTAAACCTTCCGGTATGGAAATCCCTCCGGAAACAGCGTACCAACTGGCGAGTGGCCAACTCCAGTGCCACCCCTCTACGATCGCGATAAGCCCCTCGGATCCGGTAGGCCCGAGATAGCAGACCTGATAGGCCAAAGGTCGGAGAACCGGTTGATCCCTTGATAACCAAAATCCTCTCAACCACGTTAATGTGGATTTTGACCAAGAAACTCTATCTACGTATCTTACTCCATTCGTGGGTCAACTTACTGCCTCCGTCGAAACTCTGGAGGGGGGCGCGTCAACCGTGGACGCGCTTCCTTATCACCCAATTTCGGGCCTATCAGGACTACCCCGCACGATCGTCACGTTAGAGTCATGTCCGGAATGCTCTGAGGATCCTCAGAATCAGGTTCACTTTGTTGATTCATGGTGAGGGGCTAGCTCGGTCAAGTATGTGGCACAAACCACGGGTGGCCGCCGACAAGGGGAGTCGATAGTTTACCAGGCCGGAATTACTCCAGTAGGTCCACAGGTTGCGAGTCAGGCTGGGGAAGAGGGGAAAGAAGGGTCGTTGCAACGCCGTTTCGGACTCCGAGTAAACTGTTTACAGGTAGCTGATTCTACCGTAGACCGACAAGACAAGACATCATTATCTGTCGCTTGCGATAAGTATGAGATCACTGGCTTATCCGGCCTTGGCCTCCCTTTTGCCGACCACGATGACGACCATCGTGTCCCACTGCTAATTGATCATGTTCGTACTAACTCACTAGCCCCCTTCTTTCGACTGGTCCTACGGTCCTACTGGTCGTGTTGCCAAGACCCCCCGCGTCAGATCCAATTTGGGTTTAGTTGCAATTATGAATTGGAGGAAACCCATCTCCATCGAGTCTAGTGTAGCATTTTCTTGTCCAAAACGAGTTAAAACGAGTTAAACCACATATCCACAATTGGCCACAGATGCCATCATCGGGTCTTACCAGCTGACTGGGGCCTCATTTCCCCAGATTTTGGTTCGACCGGCACTCCCCCCCCCCCCTTGAGAAAGGACGGGGTAAACAAATGTTGATAATGCTCATGACAACAATCAACAAACCTCGAAATACTGGACCTATGGGGGTGCCGTAGTGGGCCGATGGGAAATGAATCGGTCTGGTGATTAATTTGCGGGGGTTGCGGTTGACAATTGGCTTTGGCAGGCTTCACTTTTGGGGAAATTTGTCTGGCGACACTATTGGGTTGCTGGTTTTCCCCCAACAATCTGGGAGCAACGATTCCTCCCCACCCCCTTCCCCTCAACCTCAATTCTCATCGGCTATGGATCGTGTAACGATACGTGTCTGATCATCTTGATGATCAATAGTGGCGGGACATTTCATCCAGGGGGCGGGGGGAAGAGGGGGGGCTAACTTTTCCGTTCAGGTTTGGCATTTTTGGGGGGAAAACGTTGCCAGGGTCTCGTGCCCCGTGTCTTCGGCCGTTATACGGAGATGTGTTTCCAT